GGTACTTTCACTCCATCCCGATTGTCGGAAAAGTCGACACGTGTACTATCGTAGTTGTTCCTCCACAAACAACTACAGTTACTTCTCCACCTAACAGTGCTAATTCTGTTCCTGGCACATTTACACCAAGCGATTGTGGAAAAGTCGACACATGTACTGTTGTCGTTGTCCCACCTCAAACGACTACTATGACGTCTCCTCCAGATAGCGCTCATTCTGTTCCGGGCACTTTTACACCTTCTGATTGTGGAAAGGTTGATACCTGTACTGTTGTCGTTGTCCCACCTCAAACGACTACTGTCACAGCTCCTCCTGATAGTGCTCATTCTTACCCAGGTACTTTTACACCTTCTGATTGTGGAAAGGTTGATACCTGTACTGTTGTTGTTGTTCCTCCTCAAACTACTACAGTAACTGTTCCACCAAATAGTGCTCATTCTTTCCCGGGTACTTTTACTCCTTCGGATTGTGGTGAAGTCGACACATGCACAGTTACTGTTGTTCCTCCACAAACAACCACCGTAACTGTTCCGCTAAACAGCGTGAATTCTGCTCATGGCACGTTCACACCAAGTGATTGCGGAAATGTCGACACTTGTACCATCACGGTTGTCCCACCTCAAACCACCACGGTTTTTGTTCCTCCAGATTCAGCGCATCCTCTGGCTGGCACTTACATTCCTTCGGATTGTGGAATTGTCGACACATGCACTGTTGTTGTTGTTGTTCCTCACGTTACTACAACACTATCTACCATGCCAAACAGAATGTATCCTATTCCTGGAACATACACCCCTGAGTATTGCAATGAAGCTGACGTTTGTACTGTGGTTGTTATTCCTCCACAAACTATCACGGTAACTTCTCCTACCGACAGTGCTCATCCTACTCCTGGAAGTTTCACTCCTTCGGATTGTGGAATCGTGCCCACATGTACAGTCACTGTGGTGACACCAGACCCTGTGGCATCTTCTAGCATTATATCTTCTGCCTCTCCTTCACAGTCGATTACATCCTATCCCCACACGATCGCTCCGAAGGTTTCGACTATTCCCGATGCTTCGTCTCTGGAATTTTCTTCGCAATTGTCTAGTTCCGTTCTGGCTAGCTCTGTTATTCTGTCTAGCAGCGAATCTGCGAGTGAACTGTCTTCTGCTGACCCAAGCTTGTCTTCATCTGACCCAAGCTCGTCTTCATCTGATCCAAGTTCGTCTTCGTCTGACCCAGTTTCATCTTCTTCAGAAACCAGTTCGTCTTTAGAACCAAGCTCGTCTTCTTCTGACCCAACTTCATCTTCGGCAGACCCAAGCTTGTCTTCCTCGGAAGCCAGTTCGTCTTCTATGGATCCAAGCTCGTCTTCTTTAGTACCAAGTTCGTCTTCATCTGATCCAAGTTCTGAACCAAGTTCTTCGTCATCTGACCCAAGTTTGTCGTCATCTGATCCAAGTTTGTCTTCTGATGCGAGCCTGTCCTCATCTGACCCAGTCGTGCCTTCTTTCACGTACAATTCAGACTCTGTCTCTACTGAATCGACATATCAAGACCCAGGGGTTGTTACTGGTTCTGATCCTAAATTCTCAACCAATACTGATCCTCGGTCGTCTTCCGGCTTCCCATCTGTGACTTTTGATGTCCCTGAGTTTAGTATCGTGTCGAGCTATTCTGAGGCTTCTCCTATTCCTCGTTTCTATGGAAATTCTTCTTCTTCTTCTTCTACCTACGTTCCAATCTCCACGACTTCGAATTCGATCCCATCATTCTCCGATTATCCACCCGACTCTCAGTCACCGGAATTGTCGAGCTACATTATTACACTGACTTTGCCAGACTCTAATAACCCTGTTGTTGAGACCGAGACCGAAACCGAAACCAGTACCGAAACAACAATAGTTGACCCACCGGCTGAGGTTAGTACGGAAACCGATGTTATTGAAACAACTATACTCGACCCTCCTGCTGTTAACACAGGAACAACTATTGTTGATCCTCCTGCTGTGAACACGGAGACTATTGTTGATCCTCCTGCTGTGAACACGGAGACTGTTGTTGATCCTCCTGCTGTGAACACGGAGACTATTGTGGTTAACACAGGAACAACTATTGTTGATCCTCCTGCTGTTAACACAGAAACTGCTGTCGTTCCTCCTGCTGTTAACACAGAAACTATTGTTGATCCTCCTGCTGTTAACACAGAAACTGTTGTCGTTCCTCCTGCCTCTAACACAGAAACCGGTCTGTCTGAGACAGCTACTGATGTTCCTGCCATCGGCTCTGGTGGTGTTTCTTCTGATGTATACAGCTCCCACTTTGCTACAAAGATTCTTACGGATGATGCTCCACCTAAATCCGGAGGCAAGCTTGATTCCCCATCGAGCTCTGGATCTGTCCCAGAAAGTAGTGGAGGAGTGGAGATTAATTCTATTCCTGGTGTATCCATTGAATACCTTTCAGCGACCTCCTCTGCTTCTGGTGCCACACCAGATGCTTCTGTTTCGCCAAGTTCGCCTTCTCTGCCTTTGATCACAATCGCAGAAGGTTTGAGCAGCAGAAAATCAATTGGCATTTCCATGATGGCTGTTGTTCTCGCTTATTTATTCTAATGAGCGATCCATGTTGGATAAGCTCTTTTGCATGTACATTTAATTTGACGTTCTTCTTTATTCTGCTCGGGACCATCTGTATTTTGATGTAATTTGTAATATGTAATATGGCTCAGTGTATAGACGATCCATCAAGAATCACGGAATTGTTCCAAATTTCCAGCGTTGTCAAAGACATGTTACAAACAGAAATGAAGACTGGAGCTAATCATTTAAATCATAATATGTTTTTGGTCCTGAGAGAGAGAGAAAGAAACGGTTACATAGATGCGGCCAGTGAAGAAGAACTTAGTCACTGGATCATCAAGGTTTTCTAATTTTAGTGGTTGGGCAAGACTTGTGACATTACTTAGATGCTTGAGAACTGGAATCACATAGGTCCAACACAGACATCCTACTATGATCATTTTTTTCTCGTTGATATCAATATCCTATTCACTCTAACCTGGAACATCAAGTTCAACCCAAGATACATGGTTTCATAGAACCAGACTGGCACCCAGAAACAGACACTGCCAAGTTGCCTCAAGTATTCGAGACATGAAGCAACTCACTTTCGTGACTTGAGGAGGAACTGGCAGTGGTCATGCATAACTTGGGCGCCATTGTTAGTAATCGGTGGTTGGCAGTAGTAAACACTTTTTGACTGCAATCAGTGGTTGTTTCGTTGGAGAGGCTGGGCCACATGCTTAACACAATGGATCAATGCATGAATTTCGTCAACTGCACCACGAAGTTTTTCCTCAGAGCATCCAGCTGCCCTCCTGATCCTGGAATAACCGTTGCCCTTCTGCCTTATTCTTCTGCCTTATTCTTCTTGCCTTTCCCGCCGTTCAATATCTATGGTTCATGCCCTCTGTCTGCATGGTACGCCGCGCTGATGGCTGCGCCCACAAGCAGACTCTCGGGCACAAGCTCGAACTCGACCCGCACGCCCAAGGCCGAAACGTCTTCGCAAGCATTGACAAGCTCGGTGATGGCGGTGCGCATGGTGTGGAAATGCTCCATGACCGAGCCCACATAGCCGATGGTGATGGTGTGGTGTTTGAAGCGGCCGTTGTGGCTGGCCAAGAAAAGCACGAAACCGGCGACCGCCGAAGCAATGACATAGGCGGCGCGGCGCACCACGGCGCGCGAAACGAGGCGGAACGCGGCCACGTCCGCGCGCAGAACCAGGCGCGGCGCCCACTGGAAGTGCAGCTCGAGGGCGCGCGCCACCACGTCGTCGCCCGGACTCTCGCACGCCATACACACCAACTCGCCCGTCATGCCCGAATACGCCACTTGCAACGGCTCGATGCACTTTTGGGCGCCAAACACCTCGCGCCGCTGCGCCATGGCCACCAAAACGTGCCGCACCAACTCGGGCACATACCGCCCCGCGGCCAAAAGCTCGCACGGCTGGAACATGGCGCCGGACTCGGGGTCAAGCTCGAGGTGCGGCGCAAACGCAAGCTCGGCGCCAAACCGGGCGTCCACCAACTCGTCGTAGCACGTGGCTAGCGCCAGCGCAAGCCCACAGCCGAAAAGCGACGCCTCAGCGTTGTAGAGCACTTTTTTCTGCCCTGGCAAGCGTTTCTGCGCCGGCAAGTTGTCGTCCACATCCACGGCGCAGCACACGTTGAAGCCGGTGCCAAGCACCATGGCCGCCTCTGTTTTCGGGTCGAAAAAGCGCCCGGCGGCGTAGACGGCAAGCAGGTCGTTGAGAATGGCGTCGACGCGCACGGGCACGCCGCGGCGCGCCATGGCCGCCTCCACGAGCGCGCCGAGTTCGCGCCCGGCCACGCGGGCGTCGAGCGTGTAGCCCTTGGCCATGTGGGCGATTTTGGCGCGGTGGGGCGCGGCCGCCTCGAGCGCGAACGACCAGGTGATGCCGGTGGCGAGGGGCTGCAAAAACAGCGCCGGTTGGGACTCCTGGCGGCTAGCGGCCAAAACAGAGCAGGCGTTTGCAGCCAACCAGTCGAAAAACGCCTCGTCAACGTGTTTGTGGCGGCCCTCGACGGTCCACAGCCGGCTGTGGACGATGCGGACCCGCGAGCGGCGAGAGCTCTCACAATGATCCTCAGAGCCATTTGGCTCTGAGCCGTTGCGCTGTTCTGGTTCTGGTTGTGGTTGTTCTTGTTCTTGTTCTGGTTGTAGTTGTTCTGGTTCTGTTTGTTCTGGTTCTGGTTGTTCTTGTTCTTGTTCTGACGGTTTCTCCTCCAGTTGCCCGATTTCGATCACCGCCACGCGCAACGTCGAGCCGCCCAAGTCGATCGCCAAAAACCGCCCGTGCTCCTCGCCCGACGGGTCCACCAAGTAACACGGGATCATGGAAAGGTCCGATTTCGAAAGCGCCTCGTCTAGCAGAAGCGCCAAGTCGCGGGCCTGGCCGCCCACGTCGCCCGACTCGACCGGGCCGAGAAAGGCCGTGAGCGCCGTGGCCAAGACCGAATCTGGCTCTGGGTCCGAGAGCGACGAAGATGGACTCAGGGCAAGCAGAATGTCGCTGGCGGTGGAATCGGTGGTGTCGATCTCCACGATAATGTCGCCAATGTCGCGGGCGGCGTTGTCTGGTATGCCCACACGTTCGTTTTCAGCCATGTCGCTGCCTTGTGGGAAGTTCTGCGTGTCCAAAAACATGGAGGCAGAAAGCGGCAGATGGCCCGTATATGTGTTAACAGGTGGAGGAGCGGATGCAACATGTTGGATCTGTGCGCGCCATGTTGCATAATCGCGGTGCAACACGGTATCCGAGAAAGAAGCGACCAGAAAGTGGGAGAAAACACAACGGCAAAATGACCGGCACATGTGCCACTTCCAGTTCTATGTATCCGACTCTTGAAACGTCGGAAACAGGCTGGCCATGGCGGATTTCGGTGGATTAAGACGACGTTGCGGTGAATGGTATGCTACTGTGTGCAGGACACGACTCATGGCGCTGATTGCAACCTGTCGATGCAACATCACACCAAGCCACCATATAATGGCACATTGCCGTCAATGGAGGAGTAAGCGACTGCCGTAACCGGTTGCAGTGGAGATTCGCGTGTTTTGCATCAGGCCAAAGGACTGGCTATTCATATGGTGACGATAGTCTGATAGTGTGGCTGATTGTGTGATTATGTAAGCGGCTCCGATCGGCAGACTGAAGAATCAAAGAGAAGCTAGCATGAAACTACCATCACATATATGTGCGGACATATGTCAGTTGTTTGGTCTATGAGCCATTTTCAGTGTCTCAAGCGATTCTATCAGGATCGGATGTTTTCGGCGTCCGTATTTTGGCGGACCGAAATCTGTCAAAGTTAGCGAAGATAAGCAAATTCACTGTCTGTTCAGTTACGGTCTACTCAGAGTCAATGCTGATTCAGTTTCGAGACATACATTTCAACACAGCCTGTCCATTGGATTTTCTTGTGAAAGGTAACACTTGTCTTTTCTCTAGGTTGCAGATCTTCTTGTCATGATCTTAAGTCCTAGTACAATTCTTCGTCATTTAAATCTACACCATTGCACCCTCGTACACTTTCCCGTCCTCTGGTACCGTGAAACACATTCATAAATTGCTATAGTCCCTATGTAGACTCCTCCAGCAAGTCGTCGAGTTCAATGTCATTTGTCGTCATTTTCTTCATATTGTGTCCGTGTTGCATGTGGTCATCTACAACGAATTCCCGAAGCTTCTCCTTGGCCAAGCCAAGAGCCTCGTTTGCCATGCGCTGAACCACAATAGACGCTGGCCCAAGCAAGTTCATCAGGTACATGACGTATGTTGCTCCGGCCAACATGATCAAAAGCGTAAAGAAGAAAGGATTGCGCAATATGGCCATGAATTCGTTCCAGCCCAAAACCAAAATCACAATGTAGATGTAGTATGGGATCTGCGTGACATGCTGCATGATGGAGCGTTTTGTTTCAACAAACTTAGCATCCATTTCACGCTTGAACTTGGCCATGACCTCGGCCTTTTCGCTCTCGCTCAAAAGTTCTGCAAAAGCCCGCTGATTTTCGTCATCCTCGGAGTCCCACTCGTCCTCGTCCTCTTCCTCGGCCTCCTTCTCCTCACGTACGGTCTCATACTGGCGTTTCAATTTCTTGTCACGAACATCGTACTTGGGAATCACCTCGGTGCCATCAGACAAACGGGCCACCGTCAAGATTGGGAATGCCTTCAACGCGTGGGTTTTCGACTCGCTGAAACTGCCTTCCAACTCTTTTGTGTTTTGGTACAACCGAGGTACGCCGTTTTCGTCGTATCTGAATTTGTCGTCGAAGCGGTCCTTCAAGATGTTTAGCAAATTGTCTTTGGAAATGTACTTGTGAATCAAATTGTCAAGTAGTTCCCATGACTTGAAGTCAAACGTCTTGAGAGCCCTCTTGTTCATCGATGGCAAAGTGCCCAAACGGAAATCGTAATCACCTTCCTCTGTCTCATACTTCTGAAGAGCAGACTTGCTAAGACCTCGGAATTTTTCCAAAATATGGTCCCATGTAAGCTCGGATGGGTTGGCAAGTTCCTCCACAAAGCATGTGCTCAAGCCATTGTTGAGCTTTTTCAAAGCTTTGCTGAGAATAGAGTTCAACTCTACAATTTGTTGCTTGGACACAAGCTGCTCCAACTCTGCCAAGTATTCCTTTTCGAAAGGACGGGTATCCAACGCGCCATCCAAAGAGATGAGAGCCAAAGCTTGCAGAAAATCGTGCGCCGACGATTGCTTCAACTTCTCCATAGCCTCAACAAAAGTCCCAGACCTTGTTTTCCTGCTCAAGCCTGCCGAGACAGCTTTGAGAGAAGTTGTAACCAAGTGCTTGGCGTATATGGCAAACACGTCTTGCAAAGTGGAGTCGATTTTCTCCGCCAATGTGGCTCTCTTCTGCTGATAGACGGATTTGTTGTACTTGGAGGCACCCAAGTCGTAGTCTTCCAACACGCTCTGCTTCATGTCTTGGAAACCCAACCCGGTGTCCTTGTAGTCGATGGGTTCTGTGCTCTGGGTTGCCGATACTGCTACGTTTTTCAACTCATGCGAAACTTTGGCAAACTCTTCGAAGCACTGAGCGGCCACCTCGTCACACTTGAATTTGGCCACCAATATCTGCTGCGTGGGCAAGTCCAAGTCCTTGTTGTGGTCGATCTGGTCCCAGCAGTTCTCGGCATACATGGTCCAGCCCTCAATAGGAATGTCGTGGTGGTAGTTTGGCTTGAAGAGGAAAGACTCGCTGGAGGTGTCGAGGAACTTGTTTCCCAACAGGCGAACGTCGTCCAAGAACTTTTCGTTCTGCAACACCTTGTGGCTCAACGTGTGGAAAGCCAAGTCGAAGAAATCGTCAAAGGCCAAATGGGCCACGTCAGCGGGCTTGTTCAAGCCTTCCCAGATCCGCAACAAGTCCTGAGTGATGGTGGCGGCTAGAGACTCCATTGGCGTGACGCCCAAGTGGTCACGGATCACAAAGAGCAAAAGAACCTTGTGGTCGTTGTTCTGGAGCTTGGCCTTGCCGAAAAGCGACAAGTTCACCTCAAACACCGTCTTCAACAAGCCCATGTTGGCGCCCTGGTACAAGCCCACCTGGGACTCCCACATGTTGACAATGAGCACCTCGCTGGTGGACAAGGCGAAAAGAGCGGCTTTCCGCTCAAAGTCCTGGTCTTCGCCGCGTTCGCGGCCGTCGGTGCCCTCGACGTCCATCACCAAGATGTTTTCGGGCGGCACATGGGCGTTTGCCGGAAGCAGGTTGCTGACGCCAGGACTGACAGCCATCCAGATTCCCTTTGTCGTTTGCTGGCGGTTGACCTCGTCCATGACATCGAAGTTGGTGCTGAACAAGTGGTTGAGCAAAGTGGACTTGCCCGTGCTCTGCGAGCCAAACACCGAGATGATGCGGTAGTCGCCCGGCTGGCGCGATCGGCTGCTGATGTAGTCCAAGATTTGCTTGTTGAACTGTTTGTGCTCGTCAATGATCTGGATGGCGTCCTGGATTTCCACGGGGACAAACGACGACAGCGACGACGACACGGCCTCGTGCGCCGCGTCGGGCGAATCTCCTTCTAAAGTTACTGTGGGCAGGGGAACGTTGGACATGGGTGGATTAGAAAGAGTAGTCGGTTACGTGGAGTCGAGGTGTATGCACGACCGAGAGATTAGGTTCTGGACTAGGAAGGGCAAGACTTTGAATGGTCAATGGCTGAATGATGTGATGCAATGTCTGATTTGGGTTTTATTGATCATTTTGCTTTGTCTGTTTATTTTTTTTTTTTTGTTTGTATTATTCTTTGGTTTTATTAACTTTGTGCTTTAATGTGCTGTTCCCGATTAGGGTTGCTAGGAACCGCATAAGGACTAATCAAAGAGCAAATACAGTACAGTTTATTCAAACAAGAAACTAATCAAACCAAGGGAAAGCAAACTCGACCAAATAGGAAATCGTTCAATCCAAACGAAATTGATTAAACCAAACGATAAAAACTAAATAAACCAGTATGAAATGTCACGGACTTTTCATCGTTCCATTAAACATGCGATATTGCTTCTTTTTGTTGATTTAGCTTGACCATTCGGACAAGGAAAGCCAGATTACTCACCGTAGCTTTCTATTTTTGTCTTTTAAGGTGACTAAGTAGTCTTTTTCAACAGTTTTAATCATCTTCAACTTTCCATACTAGTTTATCTAATTTTTTTCGTTTGGTTTTAACATCTTTTACCATTTGGTTTGAATGAATTTTCCCGTTTGGTTTAAATAGTTTTTCTTGTTTGGTATGAATAAAAACTGTACAGTTTATTCAAACAAGAAAATTAATCAAACAAAGGGAAAAGCAAACCAAATAGGAAATCATTCAAACCAAATAGGAAACCATTCAATCCAAACGAAATTAATTAAACCAAACGATGAAAAATAATCAACCGGTAATGTCAGGGATTTAATCGTTCGATTAAACATACAATATTGCTTCACTTTGCTGATTTAGCTTGTTCAATTGGATCAAGAAAGTCAGAATACTCACTAGTTTTCTATTTCTGTCTTTTAAGGTGACTAAATAGTCTTCTCACAGTTTTAAGTTTCCATACTAGTTTATTTACTTGAACTGTTGGTTTAACAGTTTTTGCCGTTCGGTTTAGAAAGTTTTCTCGTTTGGTGAGATGATTTGTTTCATTTGGTTTAATTCATTTTACTTGTTTGGTATGAACAAAATTTCTAACGACTGTCAAATTTTTGTTGATCGTCCGGGACAATTTCTTAATCACTGTTTGTGACCGTCTTCCGAATTGGAAGGTTCTAATTCGCTTCAAGATGCTGTATTGCCAAAATGTTCACCAGACGAAAATGTTGTAAGTATGAATTAGAAGAACGGTTTATTTATATTTCGTGGCTTCTTTAGAAAGACAATTTCGGTTTTGTTCTTTTGCCAGGTGCTTGTAATGAACTTGCTTTTCTTCAACCTTTGGAAATGATCCATAAACATGTGGTTAAGTATTCAAACTCCGTCTTCTTGCAACAAGACAAGCCCTTCTCTCTTCATCTCAAAAACCAAAAACACCCAGATATTCTTCTATCACCTCTACTGGCTTAAGTAGTCCTCGTGACTCTTAATTGCTCACTTTTGTTACCTCCAATTTTATTGTATGGTTATCTCGTCGTAACGTCATTTATTCATTTTCGATAGATTAAGCTGGTAAACTAACCAAGCGAGCAAATGATCAGAATCGGGGTTATTTGGAGGAAAAGTTGCAGAAAGACGGCTTTTAATTGCTTAGGAAGTATGTACTAAACAAAGTCTTTGAAGAATTTTTAAGATCTCACTCAAAAAACCTTTAAATCCAAGCTGTCTAATCTGTTGGAATCATAATGTATGAATAAGTCGCCCGTTTGAGTCATTCTCCCCATTACTTTGACATCTTCTTTGATTTGTTAGGTGAAACCTCAAGGCTGGATCACTATTAAAGTCATTTTTCCGCAAGCAACCCGAAACCTTGAATATATTCCAACTACAAAAACCACAAATCTATTGACTTTAAACACTGCATGTTTGATCGTTGCAATTTGCTCTCCAAAAGAACTTAAGATTGCTCTATGTATACTAAGTGAAGTTATTAGTAATATATACAAGATAATCTATAGCATCTTCGTTGGGAAGAGACCGAGACGTACTAAGTTGAAGAACCCGCAAATCAAGAAGACGATCGCTCACAATGCCAGCGTAGTATAGTATGACGCATCATGTTGAATGTCTGGGTACGTCTACGGAGTGGAAGAGAACATTTCTCCCGAGTCACGTACGACCTCGACGCATATAGAGTGAGCAAAATACAACTTCAGGCGGTCAATTCAGGCGATTACAACACCAGGCTTCGCCCGTGGTGGCTCGCCCGTGGGGCAAATAGCCCAGCGTCTTCAGACTCAGACCCAGGCTGCGCCTGAGTCTTCATGGTCTCTCACATAAATGCAAACTCGCTCTTGATCGACGCCAAGCGGGCCTTGTTCGCCCGCCTCATGCCCTGGTACGACATATCAAACGCACCCCGGCCCTGGGTGATGGAGCGCAAGCGCGAAAGATAGCCCACCATCTCGCGAAGCGGCGCCTCGGCGACAATGGTTTTCTTGTTTTTGAGCTCGCCCGTCTCGGTCTTCATCGTGTAGTCGGGCGGCAAGAAAAGGCGCTCTGCCTCGGCACGCGCCCAGTTCTGGTCCTCGAAGCTGTCGGACTCGTCGTCGATGGAGAGAATGGTGGCCTGGCACCGGCTGTTCAAGTCATGCACCACCTCGCCCAACACGTCCAGCTCCACGTACACCTTCACGGCCATGATAGGTTCCAACACGCCGAAAGCAGACACGCCGGAGCTGCCAGACGCTGTTTTCTCTGCAAGCGTGGCCACTGCCTTGGCCACGGCCCGGCGCCCCACGTCAAGCAAAATTGCCGGCGGCACCGTCTTCTCCTCCGCCGGGAAGTTCCACAGCACAATGCGGACAGCACACGAGTGCAACGGGAGCCCAAACACGGGGCCGCCGATCTGAAGGCCCGTGACACAGCCCTGCACCAAGAGGCCCTGCAAGTCTTCCAACGACTGATCGCACTTCCAGCGGCGGTCCGCCACGGCCTGCGTCATGGCCTGCGGCGTGGCGCCGTCGCCCAACACCACCACGTTGTTGTCGTGGCCCACAAGCACGGCGCCCTGCTCTTGCGCAAACAGCGACTCGGCCGCAGCACCTTCGAACGAGTCCAACGCCACGTCCACGTACACGTCCGGGTAGTCGGCCGCCGCCACACGCACAGGCCGCCCGTCTGGCCGCGCCACGGTCTCCTTGTACGACACGGCCACGTCGCGGAGGCGCACGCGGGCCTTCATGTCTTTCACCAAGCGGTCGCGCACAATCTCAAGGTGCAACTCGCCCATGCCGCTCAACACCGTCTGGCCCATGTCCTCGTCCACGTGGACGTGCAAAGACGGGTCCTCGCGCACTAGCGTGCGGATGCATTCGTTCATGTGGCGGGCGTCGCCGGCCGTAAGTGGTTCGACCGCCGCGTTGAAGAGCGGCGGCGGCACGTCGATGGCATGCATGCGGAGCGCCGCTTCGGCGGGCGAAAACGTCTTGGAGTGTGTGGCGCCACGCAGCACCAACGTGTCGCCCGTGGCGATGTCGTCGTCCATGCCGGCAACAACGCCGATGTTTCCGGCCGCCACGTGCGCCACTTCCTCGGGCACGTCGCCGTGCATCAACATGAGGCGGCGGAGGTGGAGCTTCTTGCCTGTGCGGGTGTTGATGACGGTGGAGTTGGACGCGAGCGTGCCCGAGTAGACGCGGAAGAAGGCCATGACGCCGCGGGTGGCGTGCGTCACCACTTTGAAGGCGAGCGCCACGGTCAAGTTGCGGTCGCCGTTGACCACGAGGCCCTTGGGGCCCACGGCCACGGGCACGGCGAGGGAGGAGGAGGAGGAGGAGGAGGAGGAGGAGGAGGAGGAAGACAAACCCTTCCTGTTCGTGGTGGTCACCTCCGGCAACCGCGCCTCCAACGGCGACGGAAGATACGCCGCCACGGCGTCCATGACCGGCTGGACGCCGATGTTGCGGAAACTGGAGCCGCACAACACGGGCGTCACGGCGCACGCCACGGTGGCCCGCTGGATCGCCTGCTGGAGGGCGCCCGCCGGCACCGCCATGTAATCCTCGCCCGCGTCGAAAAACGCCTCCACCACCGAGTCGTCAAGCTCGCCTAGCGTCTCGACCATCGCCTCTCGGCACCGCAACACGAGGTTGTAGTCGTCGGAGCCGGGGCTCAACGGCTGGGCGTCGATCTTGGTTCCGCTGGCGTCGGTCCACACCAAGCGCCGGCAGTGCACCACATCAAGCACGCCGGCAAACTGCATCTCGCCGTCCTTGGGCGCAAAATACGGCACGTTGACACACACCGCCCGCGTGGCGAGGCGTGACACAAGCTCCCGCACCGTGCGGCTGAAGCCGGCGCCCGCCCGGTCCATCTTGTTGACGTAGGCAAGCCGCGGGATGCCGAGCGCCGCCGCCTGGCGCCAGACTTTTTCTGTTTGCGCCTCGACGCCCGCCACGGCGTCCAATATCGTCACGGCGCCGTCAAGCACGCGCAACGACCGTGTGACCTCGAACGTGAAGTCGGCGTGGCCCGGCGTGTCGATCACGTTGATGTGGTGGCCGTTCCAGGGGAACGAGATGGCCGCCAGCTGGATGGTGATGCCGCGCTGTCGCTCGGACGGGAGATAGTCGGTCACGGTGTCTCCTTCGTCCACGTTGCCCATTCGAGCAGTCTTGCCGCTGAAAAAAAGCATGCGCTCTGTGGTTGTGGTTTTGCCGGCGTCGATGTGGGCGATGATGCCGATGTTGCGTGTTTTGGCCGCGGTGTGGGCGGCCCGGAGGAACTGGAGGGGGCGGAGAAAGTGGAGAGAGGTCATATCTATAATGGATGAGAATGAGTAAATGTGAGGATGAGAGTTTGATCAGGATGAATCTGACGAGGAGATCTGAAAGAAGTCAGAAGAGAACTCTGCTGTAGAAATCTGACGGACGAATATGATCAGGATGAGTAGATAAAGTATGAGCGAGTATTTGAATCTGATGAGCAAGTATTTGAATCGGATATTTTCAATCTGATAAGTGAGACTCTGCTGCTCAATGAAATCTAATCAGACGACGATGTGGATGCAACGATACTCAATGGAATGATACCAGAATAACAGTCTGAGTCTGTAAGTCCAAAACTCTGAGTCCAAAACTCTGAGTCCAAAACTCTGAAGTCCAAAACTCTGAAAGTCTGAAACTCTAAAAGCCTGAAAATCTGAAGTCTGACCAACGTCTATTGTACAAGCCAGTATCACCGATAGTTTCAAAGACCAGGCCTGTTGTCTTGGAATAGCCCGGAACTAAGCGCTGAAAGGTGTATGTAAAGGAGTGGTAGTTTCTTGGTGTAAACTGAATTCAGATATTAGGGCTGTATAGTTCAAACTCGGCCGTTTCGCTCCAATCTTGAAGTCCAGCTTTAAAAAGTTGAGACTGATCTCGAATCTGAAGAATCTCTGCGCGCATAATCTGCAGACACAAAGTTGAGAGGTCGTTTTATTTAGAGAATACGCTTGGTTATAGTCTTTTTAGTAGATTGTGGTTTGTTATAGAGTCTTTTTCAGTAGACCGTGATTTATTAGAGTACACATGGTCACTATTCATAATACGATCATAATACGATCAGGAGGACTATCAAAATGTGGACTTGGTACATGAACCGAGACAACTTTGCTTGCTCTAATGTCAATTTGGCCGCTTGAGTTCGAAACTGCTGTTTGGTGTCTTAAAGAGAAAGGGATCGGAACAAAAAGTTGCCGAAGAAACTCCGAAACTAATGAAACCACAGCCATGATTCTCGTAAAAATACTGCGCTTTTCAGAAGAGGTGTGACGACGCAGAGATTGAAACTACTAATTGAGGATATGCGATGCAATTTTGACATTAAGTGTGAAAAAAAAATATATCGAAACACAGAAGCTCTTCCTGGAATGCTGTATGCCATATTTTCTTCTCCTTTAGTAGCATTTACCTCTTATTTCTGGACAGTAAGGTTCTACTTTTTATGTTTCTAAATAAAAGTAGCATCCAGTTATCTTGGGTTGAGGAGAGATGGCTTAATGGGAAGAAAAAGGTAGTAGTACAAAGCCTGGTGGTTCCTGGTTTTAACCAAAGGGATTAGCGTATAATAAGGTGGGTACGAGAACACTTCGAAAGGGACGGAAAAAAGGAAGCTTGGCAATAGCAGAAGTTTCATCAGGTATTGCTTCTTTTGCATATATGCTTATCTGGCTTATCTGGCTTATCGACAGAGCATATTGAAGCTGGGGTCACTTGTCTTTGGGAGTTGTCGGGTGTTGATAACCGTCTGATAAGTATATTTTTCGAGCTTACTGCATGTCAAGTATTAAGTTTTATATAGTTCTCTCTGTTTAGCCCGGTCTATACGTAATGTATATCCATTGTTTTAAAGTGAGAATATCGTCCGAGTTAAGACACCATCATCATGCTCAACGCAACACAATGAGTAAATCTATTTCAAATACTACTAGGATGGGCAATCTCCTTGAAGGCAATAATTCTAGTGGTCCTTCTTTTTGACCATTAGCTACTGGAGCTTGACTGAGTTACTTGACACATATGGCTACAATAATAACAGTGGTACATAGTCTGGTACATAGTTGAAGGTAAATGATGTAGCTAGGAAAATTATTTACAACATTCTGATGAATACAGTCTCATATACTCTTTCTTAGTTCACCTGCGGTTGTTCAGCCTTCTCCTTTGAAATATATCCAAGGGCGTTTAATCTTTCGACCAAAGTAGGGTGACTTTCTTTGTAGGTAGAGTACAACCAGTCCACGTTGAAGGATGATAGATTTTCAACTTCGAGTTTGATAAGAGCAGAGGCTAACTCTTCACTGTATCCCTGTGCCTTCGCATAATTATCGGCCTGGTATTCGTTCTTTCTGGTCACAAAATTAGTAACAAACTGGTCAACACAGTCGATTGGAGCACTCACATAGGAGAACAAAAGGAAAGCAATCATTGGAGGGTACTCATGAAAAAAGCCAAATGAATGAAAGAATGACTTGTTTTCCATGAAAGCACAATACAAAACACAAGTCAAAATAACGGACGCTTGGTTAGTAACAAGAAGCTGGGGAATATGGTTCAACTTCCAGTGACCAATTTCATGAGCTAAAACAGCGATGATCTCTTCTGTGGTACTTTGGTCAATCAAGGTGTCAAAGAGCACAATTTGCTGACTCCAAGGTAAGCCATGCAAGAATGCATTTGAATGTCCTGATCTGGGAGGAACCGTCGATGACATATACACCAGAGAGAGGAAACCCGTTTTTCGTGGCCAATTTTTCCAATTTCTTTCTTCAATTCACCATCATCTATTGGAGTGAGTTTGTAAAAGAGAGGTAATATCAACTTAGGCATGATCGTCATGAGGATGAGTTGCAAAAGGAGCGTAAAAGCACAGGCATAAGAGATGAAGGACGTTCCAAAATGATCAATGATCTTCAAAAAGCCGTATACAGCCGGAGTTCCCAACACAAGCGGAACTAAAGCTAGCTTAATGGTGTCCAATGCCCAAAGCTTTACAGTTGATTTATTGAAACCGAACTTCTCCTCCAAGACAAAATCATTATAGTAGGAAAAAGGAAGCCGCTCCAAATTTCCGATAACAGATGTTAACACAAACAAAACCAAAGACTGGCTGATGAGCCCAGAACCGAAAAAGCGGCCAATAACAGAGACTTGTGATAGCGAGGACAACAAAGAACCCGACCACGACCAGAGCTTCTGATACAAATCAAACTTGATATAAGCCAAGTCTTTGACCAAATTGAAAGTGGACTTTACAAAGGCAAAGGAGCTATTTGCTCTGGAGTATTCTTGGGACTTGTCGAAGGTTTCCTTTGTAATTTCATTTTTGATCAGGGCCGGGGGTTCTGTCTTGCATTGCTCTTTGTATTGTCTGTATCTGACATATGTCTCAAATGTATACTTTCCTATCAAAAATGTAGTGACGATGGACCTCCAGTGGTATGCCGGATTGTCAAAGGCAGATATGATCTGATGGTTAGTAGGACACTAGTATATTGCACTGGGAACATACATTTGCAAAAGCCATATTGGAGATTGAAAGTGAGAAAAAAAATAGTCCAGGCGTCCCACAAACCTCTTTATATAGTGGAGTATAGTGGACGCATTGCCATCGAGGGCGCCAATCAGTGTTTGACGTGAACATGCACAGGAAAGCCACACGTACCGTATCGGGGACGTTTGTGCAGTACCCGCATGAGAAGATAAGGTGGAATTGTTTACACATTGCCACTTGAATGAAGGCTTAAGCCTAATGTACGATTCAATGAGGAAGTTGAGCGTTTTTGCGACAGATTGATCTTCATTGGCCCAAAGAAACTTTATATATATGGAACTAAAAGAACGACAGAGATATAGTAACGGTGTGACAGATGCATACATGAACAATTGCGATTTAGTGGCTGAACATTGCATTGAACAAGTTTCAGAAAGTAATTGCTTCAAGGATAGGGTCATAATACAAAATATTTGGAGAGCACCCAATACAAATAAATTTGGAAGGCAAAACTTCCTGATGTCCTCATCAGAAAATGGCTTCTGCACTTGCCATTGTGCAGGTTGGCTTTCGAATGGGTGAATATAGCCGGGCCATTCTCAGATTCCCTATTCGGTGCATCAACTTACGGTTATTGTCATTGGTGGAGATTTCTCTTGTTTCGGCGTTTAGTGATATTTTGCCGTTGGGTAACCTTCTACTTAAATGTATACTATGTTAAGGAAGCTACGGACTAAGAAAGAACTTGCTCTATGCTTTTTCGTTTTTATTTACGATCCATATCAATGTTTATTATTACGATATGACGAAGGAAAGGTCAGATTAAGCGTGTACAATTCTCCCGAACATGTGTGTCCAGCGAATTTTACATGAATTAGTTTCAATGTTCACTCGTATATAACTCAAAAAGGTTTCGTTGGGGTTTCTTGACTATGTATCGAAGTGAAGACAAGAATTGGCTATTAGGAATTTGCAAAGCCCGTAGGCGCATTAATAGCCGTACATCCGAAAATGAACAAAAGTAACTATAGCTCTCAATCATCTTTCACCTGTAGAATTCGTCATTCGCTGCAACTTTTGGTGCTTCGTCAGAGTCAACGATAATAAAAAAAACAGTCAAACACATAAAGTGGCCAATAGAACTCATAGTGCCTCTCAGATCCACAATTTCCTTGCAACTAGGTTTTAAAGGAGCTGACCGTCGACCATGACTAGTCACGAAGAAGAATTAGACTGATGAGTATTATGTTAAGTTCTGACTCAGAGTAAATGGTCTCGCATCATCTGTTTCATCATGTGTAATCATGGACTTTCCTGTGGTGTTTTGGAAGCCAGCATCCGGCTTAGTTAGATAGGTGGTTGATTGGGGTTTGGATCCAATTGTCTATGAGGGGGTAGGTGTGCTGTATTTCGTATTTAAAAAATGGATGATGTTTTTAGATTGAGCCACGAACAAGCTCCAATATGTAATGGTCCTATAAACCTTTAAGGTCCTCATAGTAGATAGGTTCATGATCTCGCAATCAGGTGTCCTTTCAACATACTTGACTCTAGCAGTTGGCTCTTTTCCGTACTTCATCTCCATGTATGTTTGCGTCTTTGATGATCTCTTTCTCGTCCATGGTCAAAAGACTTCTTTCTAGTCAAATGAGAGTAATATTGATCGGGCAGGAGTTTCCAGACATTGAAACCTTGACATTACATCGTAAAAGCAAGAGAAACCTGAAAGCACCGTTAGCCATAGATTTCACCTCTTTTGTAGGTTTCTTTCCTTCGAGAAAGTATTTTCATTGTTCTGCAAATATGCTTATCATGGCTGAGAAAGGAACAGACGACAGATTGTCAAAATCAAAGGGACGAAGAAGAGCTGTTTGCTCGTGCCAATGCTTTTTTTTATAGACTTTGTCGAATCAAATTGTGTTTCGTGATTTTTTGTGGATGTCTACGATTAGGTAAAGAAACGTTACCGACTCATAAAAGCATGAACTGCTCTTTAGTAATAAGTAGATTAGTCCCCTAGACTATTCGAATAATGCACGTTAACAATCGATCAAAGTCAGGTATCTCAAATCACTTCCTGATATAGTCGGATCCATGGAACTTCTACCAGCTATCATAAGGTTTGTATTAGTGTCATAAGGATTTGTATTAGTTTTCATAATGTCATACTCTAAATATCCGCTCAGTGAGCAGGGGTCTATGAAAATCTGGCAGGGTTGCCATTGTGCCAAGCAGTTGTGGCAAGAGTGTAAAGTTGGAAAGTCTGAATTAGCCAGAGTGGTGGGGTTATCTGTCCCGTCTGATACTCTGATTCTGGCTCTAGTCTCAAAGACTGATAGTCCTCCAAGTCTGATACTCCAAGTCTGATGTGCTTACTAGTGCACCTTCTCCTTCTTGTACGTTGCCATGGCGTATTGGATGGTGCCTGCCACCAAAAGCAAAGACCCCATGTAGCCCTGCAAGTTAAAGCGGTTTCCAAACACCACCGAGCTGAGCACCAAGCTCAAAAACTTGCGAACCAAAAGAACAACCACTACCGTTAGAGACAGTGCTCGACCAGCCAACTGGTTGACTCCTCGGGCGCAAACAACCTGAGTGGCCGCATTAAGGGCCAATAGAAGCGCAGGCCGCAGCACCAGAAAGTTGCCTAGAGTCTTGGAAGAAGCGAACAACGAAAACAGAGAGGCCCATGTTTCAAGCGAGTAGAACGGCCCGCTGCGGCACATTGTCACCAAGTCTGTCCACACGCCTCGGCCCAAAAGCAAAAAGAGCGGAAGCGCAAGCGCATGCGAGTAGAAAAGCGTTTCTTGCCAATGGGTGCCGTACTTGCGGTAGAGCCTTTCATTGTAGAGCCCGAGAAACGCCCCGAGAACCAGCGCAGCCACCAAAACACCCACGCCTACAAAGTACCGTAGGCCATCCAGCGTGCTGTGGGAATCTTGTGATTTTTGGCACACCACCATGGCAGAACCCGCCAGCATCAACACCAGAGCGCAAATCTGGCTCCGCGTGTATCTTTTCCCGCCAAAAACATAGCCCACGGCCATGGTCACACATGCGGCGCTGGAACGGAGGGTGATGTGGATCGGGACGCTGACGCCAAAGCGCCAGACGGAATTGTTGAGGACCAGAACGGCGAAAAAAAGCCCAACGGACACCATGTGGCGGTTAAGCGGGATCTTGGGGCGGCGGAAAGTGTAAAAGAAGCCGTGCCGAACGAGATGGGGCCGCACGGCCACAAGAGAAACGAGCATGAACTGTAAAAGCGTCACGACATGGCCCACGTCCGGGTGTTCGGGAAGACGTTTGCCCTGGTCTAGAAGCGCCTCAAACGAGTAGACGTTGCAGCAGCAGCCGCCAAAAACCTGGGCCAGCGGGATAAGAAAGTTCATGGGTGAGGGACAAGAAACTGTTAGGATACACTTGGTTTGTTCTGGAATTGGAGACCGGTTCGGTGCTGTAATGAGGTCAAAGTTGATCAGACGAATTGGCCAGACTTATTGGAAGGAGTTGTATTGACGATCGTATAGTTACCAGTCTTGACGATGTGATTTAGCCGCTCTTCAATATCACGTAAGACAACTTAGACCGAGCAAAGTAACATTAAATGGAGCAGCAAATGGCCAATGAAGGTGGTTAGGTTATCTCACAGTTTCAAACTGGATCTGAGATCCAAATGGGTCGCTCATGTTCAAGTAGCTGATAAATGGCCTGTATGGAGAGGCACGGCCGCATGGCTATACGAGATGACAGATATGCCAAAAACCATCAGAAAGATGATTGCGAAGTTTGGCCTATGAGAGAATTTCCACTAGTCGTAAGAGGAGGAGAAACCAAAAGAAAGCGTATGAAATGAAGTTCATTGGTTGTTGGAATCACTTCGAAAAAGTGGGTATTCTTAAGAAAGATGATTGAGGAATTGTGCGACCAACAGTTGGAAGGCAACGTAACTGAAAATTTTCCAGATCAAAACTTCGAAGATAATCCCTGGCTTCCTCCAATGGAGTGGCTTATTATTTTCATGATTGAAAACTCGATTGTAGAGCAGTCCAGTGATGTATCGTATCTGGGTCATGAGTAAAATGGTTGATAATATTTAGAACATTGAATCAAACGCTTCGTGTGTTGATGGAGGATTGAAGAGTTTCTGCTCTGATATGTTCTTATAGTGAACACATTGATAATCCAATATTGACGATCTATCAGGGCCATTAAGACTAATAACAATTGATGAGAACAATTGATGAGAACAGTTAAATGAAAACAGTTAAACCATAAAACCAGTTCATAAAGATCACAAATACTCCAATTGTTCAAGTATTGGGTGTTTAATGTATACATACATTGACTGAACAAGCTTCGGTGTTCATTATTCCTAAAAAGGCATCAACTGGGCCAGGTTCACCTCTGTGTGCATTTGGCTCAAAAGAAGAGTCAAATTCATCTGTAGCTGTTTTACCAGCTATGTTGTTTGTATAGGTCTATCCTCATTCACCGCCAGATTAGGCGCAGAGAATATGATGTGCATTTATACGTAGGCTTCTGGTCTTCATAGTTATAATATTGTGGTTCGACTTGATTGTGTAGTACTGGCGATTTGCTCAAATGAGTCCGATCAACTTAAATTAATTTTACGTTACATTTCAAAAAATAGTGGAATGGCCTTTGAGGTCCGACTCTTCCGGATTTGGAGATAATGACTCAACAAATATTCTGCTTAATTAAGTCTAAGATACATTAGCGCAGTCCAAGTCAGTTCATTGCACGTTCATGGAGTCACCTTATCTACGCCACATTGGCGTTTTCAAGATCTTCTAACGCCATTATGTGGCGCCAATCGGGATGACATGATTGCATACAAGATACTATCGCCGCACCATCCGGCCTTATGATACCTCAGATTCAATTGGACAAAGAAAAGAATTCAGAAGAGGAAACCTGGAACTCCAAGACTTGTCCTTATTCTTCTATCCAGCGGGTCTTTTCTGCCTTTCTTTTTTCCCCTTCTTCTTCTTGGCTTCTTCTTCGCTTCATTCTTTGGCCTGAACTGTGGCGTCTCTTATCGCCGTCGGCGTTTGCGCCGCGCGTCGCCCTTAAGCCCGAGATCCAAGACCCTGATGCAAATCTCGACAAATAGCATCTGTCTGAGAGCAAAATCGACAAAACCGGTAACTGGAACCGTATTGCGCTAATATTCCCCAGCTGTGGCGTTAGCGCCTAGTCGGACATAGTTATCCTCCTCTGTCAGACAAGACGCTTGACGTTTCCTATTGTGCAGGCTGCAGGTCCCGTGAAAAGACGTATAGCCGTGAAGAGTATACATAGAGGGCACGATGGCCAGAATGAAGGGTCAGAACCAACATGTCGAGCATCGAAAAAAACGTCGGGGCGGAAACAGAGAAAGTCGCCGCCAAAGTTTCGCTCAGCGACTCCGTTCGGTCTGTCGAGTCGGCCAAGTTGATATCCATTGAAGATGCCGATGTCACCTTGGCGTTCATGAGAGAACATGACCCACAAGTGGCAGAAATCACGCCCGAACAGGAGAAAAAACTTCGCCGCAAAGTCATCTGGTACGTGTTGGGAATCACCTTTCTCGTCAACATGATCATGTACATGGACAAGGCCACCTTGTCGTACTCGTCGATTCTTGGCCTTTGGGAGGAGACGGGGCTCGACCAGAACAAGTACAACAACATCAACACGCTTTTCTACGTGGGCTTTTTCGTGGGCCAGTTTCCCGGAACCTATGCGGTCCAGCATTTTCCACTTAGCAAAGTTCTCTTTGCCATCACTGTCCTTTGGGCCGTCCACATTTTCTTGATCTGCGTGGCATACAACTACCCCGGGGTGATGATGCTCCGCTTTTTCTTGGGCTTTCTTGAGGCGCTGGCCATCCCCATCTTGACCACCACAAACGGAATGTTCATGACCAAGGACGAGAGGGCGGCCACCCAGCCGATTTTCTACGCCTCTTGCATGGCGTCGCCCATCCCCATTGGTTTCATTGCCTACGGCGTGATTTACGCCAACGTCAGTTTCAAGGGCTACCGTCTTTTGCACATCATCATTGGCGCTCTCACGTTGGTGTTGTCTGTGATTGTGTGGTTTTTCTATCCCGACAATCCGTCCACGGCCAAGTTTCTCACCACGGAAGAGAAAGTGTGGGTCATTCGCCGCGTGCAGCGGACCCAGCTCAACACCATTGAGCAGAAGAAGTTCAAAAGACACCATGCCATCGAGGCCCTCAAAGACCCCATTTCGTGGCTCATCACCGGCTTTTTCTTGCTCCAGCAGTTGGCCAACAACTTGCCCTACCAGCAGACGCTTCTTTACGAGCAAATGGGCGGCATTTCGAATCTCGACTCGACTTTGGTCACGGTTGCCGGTGCCGGCTGGGCCGTGGTGTGGTCTGTTTTTGCCAGCTTGGTCATGTACCTTCTTCCCAACTCCACGTGTTTCTGCATCATCTGGTCTCTTTTGCCGGCCTGGGTCGGGTCCATCGTGGCAGTTTCGCTAGATATCCACAACTCCATTGGAATGCTAGCGGCCATCTGTATGGCGTCACAGTCGTTTGGTGTGGCGTGGATTTGTGCATTTGGTTTGGCTTCGAGTACGGCCGGATCTTCTTACTCGAAAAGACTCACACGTAACGCCATGGTTCTTGGCGCCTATTCCGTTTCTAACATCATTTCGCCGCAGCTTTGGCAGGCGAGAGATGGGCCTCGGTATGTGCCTGCGTGGATCGTGCAAATTGTGCTTTCTTTCTCGGTGGCTCCGGCTCTAATAGGTGTGGTGTGGTTTATTTTGAGCAGAAGAAACAAAGAAAGACTAGCAGCCATGAAAGATGGCGACAGGACGGGCTACGTCAAGGATGAATCCGGCGAAATGATATCGGTGGATATGGCGTTGCTAGACATGACCGATTTGGAGGACAAGACCTTCATATATCCACTCTAAATAATGGGAATGCAATCTAATTTTTTGTCACGTACGAAAAGGTCTATCTTGTTGGAGAAAGTATGTAGTGCTAGATTTAACTTGGAAACGTACTCGTTAGGTCTAAGTCGGCTGTTGGTTCGGATTCCTTTTGGCACTGAATATCTTCACAATAATGCTAATCCAGATGAATCTCCATAAATCTGATCACACCTAAGCATTTTTCTAACCGACCAACTACATTTTTTTTTCCTTTTGTGATTCTAGAGTCCAGACCATTAAAACAATCTGAACGTTTCCTCAGCCATTTATTGTTCATCTCACTAGTAAAGTAAAACTGAGGTAAATCCTATTCGCACTTTGGTTTTCACTTTCTGTACAATACGCAACTTTAAAGAAAAAATAAGTAGTGAAGACATCCATTCACTTTTTAAGATAAAACATAGACAGGTGTGATGCTAGAAAGATGCCAATCCACAAACACAAGATTGACTGATTTCTATATGAGATCGTCCTCAAGTCTAGACTAAAAGTAGTCAATTCACTCAGAAGTAGCCAAAACTTATACTCCAAAGATCAAAATTAGTGGCCCATCAGGAAGAAGTCCATTGAGAAACATTTGGAAGGAAAGTCTATTACTTGAAGCCAGATATAAGCCTGTTTAGGTTTATGTAGGAGGAGGTATGGATGTCCTTTTGCTGGTGTTCGGGTGTTTAGGCAGTTGGTGTACGGGTGTTTACGGATGTACAGGTGTTAAGTTTGTGGTGTATGGATGTTTTGATTATGGTGCACGGGTTTATGTTTCTATTTTGTGTCACCTGCCCTACCCTGCTTTTGTGTCACCTACAATGCTTCCTCTTGCAACTACACGTTCTTTTACAAATAACATTCAAGTAAATATAACAGATGCCATAGCCACATTAACAGACTATTGGTAGTAAAATTAAGAAAGGATCATCTTATGCACGGATTGGCTCATTGCTGGATCTTAGTGGCCAAATTCTTTTTCATTAATGCCAGCCTTTTCACACATTTGAAAGAAAGTACCTTGTTTTTTGAATAGATTGATTGGTTTGTCGAATTCAACAACCTGTCCTTGATCCATAACCATCACTCTATCGTAATTCAAAATTGTTTTTAGGCGGTGAGCAATACACAAGATGGTGCAATCACTGAATTCTTCGACAATCGCTTCTTGTAGAATTTTATCTGTGGCATAGTCCACACTAGAAGTTGCTTCATCCAAAATCAAAATCTTGCTTCCCCGAACTAAGGCACGAGCAAATGCAATCAATTGTTTTTCTCCAAGAGAAAAATTCTCGCCATCGACATCAACATCTCGGTCAAGATGAAACTTGTGCATCTTGCTAGGGTCCATTTGACTTTTTACTTCATCAAGATCTTCACTTTTAATGATTCGGGCCCTTCTCAACGTTTCCCAAAGTTGCTCATCGGTGGCCAGACCAAAAGGATCCAAGTTTTTTCGAATGGTTCCTTGGAAAAGAACAGGGTCTTGTGGAATGATAGAAAGCTTCGAGCGCAAGTTGTTGAGTCCAAGGGTCCTAATATCAATCCCATCAATCGTAATATTTCCTGACGTCAACTCAACCATGCGGTACAAGGCAACCATAATCGAAGATTTGCCAGCTCCTGTCCTTCCACAAATACCAATTTTCTCATTAGGATCGATGTGAACTGTGAAGTCTTTTAGCACCATAGGCAATCCAGGACGATACGCCAAATTCACATGGTTGAAATCTATTTGTCCCTCTTGTGGCCAAGCCGAATTAGGGGTCGTTTCTGATATAATGTAAGGTGCTTCTTGTGGGAGGTCGTCAACGTACTCAATGATTCTTTCTGCAGAGTTCATATCCTGTTCCACTCTAGTGTAAACAACAACAAGAGTTGTGATAATGCCTGAGATTTGAAGAGTATTTGATAAAAGCAAACCAACAGACGAAGCGTTAATTTTGAAAACACGGAACACGCAAAGGAAAGAGATGATGATTGCAAAAATCGTAGCTAAAAAGGATACGGCAACATCAAGCCACCTCTGATTCGCCACTGTGATAAAATACGCTTCATTCATCTTATCAATCAAGCGAATATTTTTAGAAAGGAAAACATCAGTTTTATCGTACCCACGAATTGTGTCCAAGCCTGTAAGTGTCTCATTGAAGTTGTTGTAAACGAGAGATCTCTGGACTGCTTCTAGCCTTTTGATTTCCCGACCTGAAGCTTGGTAAAAATTGGCAAACCCGAAAAATACGACAATAAGGAAAGGCACTGCAATGGCAAACCATGGAAGGTAGATGATACAAAGAATGAGAACACCTCCAATGATAGATGCAAAATAAATGATCATACCCATGCGGTCGCCCATTTCATTATCTAGAACATCCGTATCTTTGGTGAATCGATTGATGATTCTGCCCATGGGAGTCACATTCATGTAGGACATGGGCACATATAGGATTCTTTCGGCAGCACGAATATTGAGGGTACGCGAAGACAAATTCATCACATAAATCACACCCAGGAAGCCGAAGGCCAATGTGACTAGAGCCAAGACGGTAAAGGCCGCGTAGAATCCTATGTAAAAACCGTCTGATCTATTTCTCCATTTGTATTCAACCCAAAATGATAACCAAGTGCTTGTGAAAAGATTGAAAAACACAGAGAGAATAGAAAAGATTATTACGGCAGCGAAAATCATTGCCCCTTTAACTCCTGGGATGCCAGCAAAGATGTAACGTACGTAGACATCAGCATCAATGGCATTGACTGATTTCTCCTCTTCCATAATCAATTTTCCTTCGTTTTGTTTCTGTAAGTCTGTTTTCTCGTTGGTGCTGGAGACGCTTGTGAGTCTGCTAATTTGTGCTTCAACCACCACCTTTTTGATACTCTCGTCTGTTTGAGAAGAAATACTTGATTCTTCTTCTGCATACTTTTCAGTTGTACTATGGGAAAGAAGTTTCTGAAAAGCTTCGTTTGAGCGTCGCAAACTTTCTGATGTTCCGACATCGACTGTGCCATCGCCGTTCAAGAACACGATCTTGTCCGCAGACTCAATCAAAGACAATTGATGTGTTGCTAACACCACGGTCTTCTTGCGTAAGACGCCCAAAATACATTCGTCAACAATTCTCTTTCCCACTTTTGCATCAACAGCACTAAGGACATCGTCGAGAAGGATGATATCGGATCTAGCATACACAGCCCTTGCCAAGGAAAGTCGGGCTTTTTGGCCTCCAGAAAGAGTGATTCCACGCTCGCCAATTTCTGTTTGATCTCCTGCGGGCAAAATCTCCAAGTCACTGTCCATGCAACAAACATCAATCACCTGTTCATACCACGATTTGTTGTAAGGATTGTTGAAGATCACATTTTCTCTAATGGTGGAGCTTTGGATCCATGGAGCGCCACACATAAGTAGAGACCCATTAGTTTTCACCTGACCGGAATTTCGCTTCATAGAGCCCTCGAGGGCAAGCAAAAGAGAGGACTTCCCTGATCCGATCAGTCCGGTTACAACAACAAATTCACCTTTCATTATAGTTAGGTCGATGTTTCGGAGCTTGAAAGTGGCAGCTGAGGTAGGCTTCTCCAGTTTTGTAACAGCTTCATGTGAACTTTCATCCAGTGAAAGTTTCTTCTTCTTGTTCTTCTTATCATTCTTCTCTTTGTCTTTCTGTTTCTTCTTTTCTTCTTTTATTTTCTCCTCGTCGGGAATATCAAATATTTCCCACTCAAAGTTGGCATTGGAGACGGTTATAGCCAAGTTTTTCTCCTCCATCAACTGGCGATCAGTTTCACTGGTCACTCTTTTCTCGTCTTCCACATGTTCATCGGAAGCCAAATACTGGCCGACTCTTCTCATTCCAATATAAGCATCGGTGGCGCCAGCAATAGCAAGCGGAAGATTGATGAAAACCAGGGCCAAAATGTTGAACAACGCCACCGAAGAAAAGATGGAAGCTGGGTTTCTCTTTGAAGCAGACGCTGTTCCGTACAAAAGCATGAAGGATGCAAACGATGCCACCAAGGATAATGATACAGCGACAGAGATGATTATACTTCTGGTGACTTGCATTTTGAGGAGGAAGGTCATTTCCTTTTCCCGCACGGCTTTGATCATGGCCATGTACGGCTTTTCCCACGAGTAGAACTTGATCATTTTCAAGTTGTTGAGCACTTCTTTCATGTAACTGACACGAGCATCTGTTTGGGTTGTGGCCAACTTTCTGTACTTGAAAAGCAAGGAACCGAGAAAACCGGCAAACCCAAGAAACAAGATCATGATGCCAATGCCTAGCAAGGCCGGCGCCTTCAAGTTGTGGATCAAGATGCCAATGGAAATGGCCAAGGGAACAGGCGCCACAATGATCATGGGCGCCGTGGCCAAACCGAGGTCTATCCGCGAGACGTCTGTGCTCATGATGGAGGTGATTTTCGAAGCAGGGTATACACGGCGGCTCCGGGCGTTGAGCCGGAACGACTTGTCCAACATGACTTTGGTGAAAATGGCCTTCAGCTCGGCGCCGGTCAACGACGACAAGTAGTACATCTGGTTGAAGAGAATGTCGGAGCAGAACACAACGAGCGACACGCCTAGCGCATAGCCAACGCCTTTGCCCGTGTCCAGCTCGATCCCAAGCGCTTTCCGCTGCACATAGGCGATCAACTTCTTCGACAAGAGAGGGTTGCATGTCCAGCCGACCTGGGCCAAGGCACACAAAAAACACGCCGTGAGGTACTGCCACTTGAAGGTTTCGAAAAGCGACCAGAGGCAGAGCGTGTCCGAGGGGACGTAGTCGGCCAAGTCGGCCAAGTCGGCCAAGTCGGGACTGTTCAGCAGGTTTTTGCTGGAATTCAGGATTTTGCTGGAATCCTGGGCTTGCTCGAGGTGGCGGCGCTTGTCCTCGGCCAAGCGGCGGGCGAAGATGGCCTCGAAACGCGCCGCTAGCGCATCGGCCTTGAGCTTATCGTTCAACTTGTACAAATCATTGGGCTCCAACGTTCGCTTGTAGCCTGTGATCATGACAGGCCACAACCACGTGAAGAAAAACCACAGGATCGGGTTCCCGTAGAGCGGATACGTGTGTCTCTCATGGTCTTGGGGCACAGGCGGCACTTTTCTGCTGAAGAGCGGCGAAAGAAGGCGGTTTTGGCGGAGCGGCGGCGCCCGCAGCGAAAACGCAGCAGACTCGTGATCCATGGGGCAGCAGGATTGGCCAGAGGTGCCACACGGCCTTATATGTAATTTCTTGAGTTTTAGCCGGCCCACCGGTGGCAAAAGAATCAATGATATACGAAGAGAAGAGCCGCACGGTAATTCCGTGAACGGAAGGGCAATGGACTTAGCGACTGGTGTTGCTTTAGCGACTGGTGTTTTCTTGCGACTGGTGTTTTACTTTAGCGGCTGGTGTTTGGCTTTTTGTCCTGACATGTACGTGGGTTGGCTTTTTGGATGGTTTTCGTGTCTGGCCTATGTTTATCTTGATGTTAGGGTTCAGCCTTATCGGAACGGAGCCGTGCCAACGGCGATAAGCGGGGCATTGTGCAGGACCCTTACCAGCTCTGCCAGTTGCTGTTTTTAGTTGTTTGAGTCATGGATGGCGATGATGTAATCGATGGCGATGATGGATGGCGATGATGATGGCGATGATGACGCAGATAGATCTGGGTCGGTTGTTTTTGGGCTGAGAATTCACATTGCTGGACGGCTCATGTGTATACAGTGTCTAGATTCAAGACTCAATAGGTCAGGCGTTTGGGCATAATTGTACTGCCATGCGGCTGGACAGAGGCATTTCTATTCTCCGAGGCTGTCTGTTTTCATAGTTGTGTTCGTTGAAGCAAGATAGACACGGCAATTGCCTCAAAGAACGACATTCACTTTGCTTTTCTTTATTCTAGGTCACTTGAATGACGTTTGGGTCTAGGCCAAGCCACAGCATCCAAAAGTTCTAGATAGAGTGAAAAATTGCCTTTTTGGTGGCAATCCAAAGTGCTCAGATCATGGTTAATGACGTACATGTGCGATGTCGTGTTGTTGCGATACATAGAATGAAATATTTTCTATTGAAGATATAACTGGTACTAAAATCAAGTAATAGCTGAAGTAATAAGCAATAGCAGATGGGCGGATATAAAAGGCACTTCAACATGTAAGTGTCCTGGGCTGGATCAATCATGATCCCTAAAGAAGTCCATATTTAGATTACATAACCATCCGTCAACCATCCTCTACTTTCTGTTTTCTTGTCTTTTCACCTGGCTCTATTCATTATATAATAGCCGCAAAAATAACTTTCGGTTGCGGCCATATCAAGTGGAAAATACTGTTTCCCGTCCGATCAACGTTAGTCAAGCCACTTAGAAGCCACACCGAGTAATGCAGTTGGAGACAATGCGTGAAATTGTGGTGCTGCAATCTTTTTGCTCCGAAAGCCATTGGGCGCAGCCTGATGGCGCCAGAATTTTTTTTTTTTTTTTTTTTTTTTTTTTTCGTTTTCGGAAATATGCTTCTTAGGTTGTTTCCATTTGATGGATTTCTTGTCCGCTGTCTCGATTGTGGTGCACGTGACCATTTCATATGTCTCTATAGTAACTGATTCCAACGCCCCAAACAGATAATCTAATGTATCAGAAGCTCATTTTGAAATGATGATGTTTCCACTTCTCGAATACAACAGAAGTCCAAGCTGGAGTCTACGGGTTACCATACATTAAGATGAGCAATTGATGGAATCGACTTTGAATATTGGCATGCTCGATCTTTTAGACCGGAGATATCTCCACCTTTCTTGCAGACTCGAGAAATCTGACTTTACTTGCAAGTTTGCCTCGTGACGAAGTATGGTGAGGATTATACTTATTGATTGCACCTAACAACGAAAAAATAGCAAGGCGCATTGATTGTTTGTGCATTAATTGTTTGTGGTTTCGAAACTGTAAAAGACTGTTCACATATATCTATTATGGAATCGACATCGTACTTACTCGAAATTGTTGTCCGCAAAGGCTTAAAGAAAAATTAATCCAACAAAATTAATTTCAGCGTACGCAAGGCATAAGAGTAAAAATTCGGAGACGCGAACCTAAGAATGAAATTTCTATGGAGGCTACATCTATGGGTTCTCTAACATTTCTTTGTACATCCAATTGTATATGCATTGTGTGGCTTTACAATGGTTTTTACCTTCATCAATTGTCCGATATAGTGTAACGGCTATCACGGTTCGCTTTCACCGAGCAGACCCGGGTTCGACTCCCGGTATCGGAGTTTTCTTTTTGCCGAACCTACTTTGGCCGAGAAAATTCATCCCACATCAGAAACCAAACCTTTCAACGAAATCATTTAGATGCTCATTTCATCCGCAGATTGAATAAGGAAGAGTAGAGATTTTCAGTTTAGTTGTCCATTTTACTTGGTGTCGACATTTCTAATACTTAAGCCTAGTTTGGTGGTCTAAAAGCCGTTGCCTTAATTTGAGTGAGTCTGATCGATGGTTAAACTAAAGGGAAGCCAGCAAACGAGTTCTCCATTCTTACTGGAATACCTACAATGGGCACCCAATTTGCCCAAATAGCGATTCTGCTGTTTTTTTTTTGGGTATTGTGAGAAGGAAAGGAGATACTGTAGAACAGTGGGCAAACTTTAATAAAGATCAAGTGCAACAGTTTTACCTCTTTGTTGTAATGAGTCTTGCTAAAAGTCAAATAGACAGACCTTTGACTGATTGCACTATCCCATTCATACCACAATCTTTAATTTTTCAAATGTCGTAGCCCCGAAGAACAATACCTAAACTGATATGGTTGATTTTCTAAAGCGTTCGTTCACTATGTCGTTCGATTATGACGATGAAGCTTGCACACTGGTAAAGTTCAGTAAATACTTGTAAGTCTGTCCATTAACTTCATCAAAGATGAATTTTGACTGAATATTCAGCAAGTGATCGTTTTTGCACTTTACTAAGTGTCAAATCCATGAGAACTGAACGGTACCCCATGCACACATGCTCCAGACGGACTGTGTAAAGATCCAGGACTCCGGCAAAAGTTTCCACTTATGCGAGAAGCAAAGATAACTGAAGATACGCCTTGGAGTTTGATGTGGGTACTATGGACGAAAAATCTGTGTAGAATGTCAAGTGTGGCGAAGTCAAGATAAATATTTTTTAATAATTTTTTGGTTGATAAGAGCGACGGACGGCATGCGAAAAGTCAGATAAAGATGAATATAATTGTGTTAGGTTCTGAATACAACTGATTGTTGGACCTTCTACATTTTAGACAACGGCTTCCATGTTTGCTAGTTCATTTAGTCAGATCATCAAATATCACAATAGGAGAAGCGGAGAGACGGAGGGATGGAGAAATTAAGTCGGTATGCAGATTATGGAGATCTGTGTTCGCTTATGTGGTTGCGGGAAGCCTTTGATCGCGTGGCTCTGAAAATGCCACGATAATACACTGTTACTTTTCATAGTCGTTGTTAGCAGTTTGATTCCCCCTCAATTACCATTCTTACTCCATGATACTTGGACTTCAGCTACATTTCCTGGAATTGATAAGAGAAATGAAAAGACTGGTTCTGACATCTTTTCCAATTAGCAAAGTCCCAGAGCATTCTGATTAGCCCCTTTTGGCCATTTTTTCTGCAGATAGCGCTTCATCAATCTCCAAGATAGCCGATAACAAAACGCCGAAAGCCCTCACGTGACGGCGTGGTGTATAACACAAATTAAAGACAGAAAATATCAGCAAATGTCGGCTAGCTACATCTGGGAAGAAGAAACCGCAAAGCAACTGTAGATCGGCAAATGTCATAGACGCAAGAAGAAATAAAGGGCATACAGAAAAAAAAGTCTGGAGACCCAAAGCAAGGCAGCAGAAATTTGCCAGAAAAAGAAACGCGCAAGATCAGGGTCTTGGTGCTCCAAATTTCTTGGTCCTGATAAAGTCTTCAAGTGTCTCTTTTAGTAGGGAGTGGTGTCACCTGAAAGAGGTTTGACGTGCATCTACGCGCAGCTCATGACTTTGACACGCCCAGCAAAGGAAAAAAAAGAAAAGTACAGGCCATGCATAAGGTGCGCCACTGGGGCAGGCGCTGGGCCCTGAAGAAGAAAAGAGAATGCGGTCTGCAGAAAACGCAATAGGGCCCATTGCGGCCCGACTTTCACGCAGACAGTGCCCCAGTGAAAAATCTCTCAGTTCACACCTAAAACCCCGTTGCGGCGGTGCGGCTTAAATATTCTCGTGTGGCTCTGAAGTTAAACGGCATTTTGACTTTTAGGAAACACCACCGTACTTTGTGCATGCACATTGTGCATGTGTGCAAGCACAAACCTGGTTGCAATCTGCATCGCGCAGGGTTCCATTTTTTTTCATGGTGCGGCATTCTCACGTCCGCGGGTACTGCGCAGCATGTGCAGTCCGGCGCTCATAACCAGTGCAGCTCTAGCACCAGTCGAACGAAAAAGAGTGGGCGGTTTTACTGATAAGGTCCTGAGCAGACTAAAGTGCCGAAAGGGGTGCACCATGGCGGACAGAATTGTCACAACCATTTATAAATGTCAAAACGCCGCACATTTGCGCAACGTTTTTTTTTCCTCTTCTTGTAGTTTATCTCACACATGTCTTCGATCGAAGAGAAGAACATTGCTTACGAAAAGCAAACCAGCATAGAGAACGACTCTTTCGAGAAGTCTCAGGCTCTTTCTCAGGATGGCTTGGAAGACTTGGCTTCGTCCGATGAGGGCAGAGAGCCAACGGAAGAAGAAATGAAGAAATTGAGACATGTCTCGGAGAAGATCCCAATCAGTTGTTGGCTCGTGGCCATTGTCGAGTTGGCTGAACGTTTCTCCTACTACGGTTTGTCCACTCCGTTCCAGAACTACATGCAAAACTCCCCCGACGACAAGCCAAAGGGTGTTTTGAACTTGAAAAGTCAGGGTGCTACTGCCTTGTCGTACTTTTGGCAATTCTGGTGTTATGTGACTCCTGTGTTTGGTGCCTGGGTTGCTGACACCTACTACGGAAAGTTCAAGACCATCTGTATCTTCTGTGTGATTTACATCATTGGTATTTTCATTTTGTTCATCACTTCGTTGCCCTCTGTGGCCAGCAAGAATGCCTCTTTGGGTGGTTTTATTGCTGCCGTGATTATCATTGGTATTGGAACTGGTGGTGTCAAGTCCAATGTGTCTCCATTGATTGCCGACCAGATTCCAAAGACAAAGCCTGTGATCAAAGTCTTGAAGAGCGGCGAAAGAGTCATCCAAGACCCTAACATCACCATCCAAAACGTGTTCATGTTCTTTTACCTCATGATCAACATTGGTTCTTTGTCTGTGATTGCCACAACTGAATTGGAGGCTCACGTCGACTTCTGGGCTGCTTACTTGTTGCCTCTCTGTTTCTTTGTCATTGCCTTGTTGGCTTTGTACTTTGGTAGACACGAGTACGTCAAGGTGCCAGTTTCCGAAAAGGTGATTGCCAGATCTTTCCAATGTACCTGGGTTGCCATCAAGAACAAATTCAACTACGACGCAGCCAAGGCCGGTGCCAGTGAAAAACAGTACCCATGGACTGACAAGTTCGTTGAAGAAGTCAGAAGATCTGTTTACGCTTGTAAAGTGTTTGTCTTTTTCCCAATCTACTGGGTTGTGTACGGCCAGATGTTGAACAATTTCATTACCCAGGCCGGTCAAATGGAGTTGCACGGCTTGCCAAACGATATCTTGCAGTGTATTGATTCCATCACCATTATTGTGTTCATTCCAATCTGTGAAAGATTTGTCTACCCATTCATTAGAAGATTCACTCCTTTCAGAGCCATCACCAAGATCTTCTGGGGTTTCATGTTTGGTGCTGCTTCCATGGTTTATGCTTCTGTCTTGCAACATTACATTTACAAAGCTGGCCCATGTTATGACGACCCAATGGGCTGTGCTCCAGAATATGCTAACGTGCCTAACCGTGTGCATGTGGCGATCCAGACTCCAGCTTACTTTTTGATTGGTATGTCGGAGATTTTGGCCTCCATCACCGGTTTGGAATATGCCTACACCAAAGCGCCAACCAGCATGAAATCTTTCATTATGTCCTTGTTCTTGCTTACGAACGCTGTCGGATCCGCCCTCGGTATTGCACTTTCGCCAACTTCCACCAACCCCAAGTTTGTGTGGGCATTTGCCGGTTTGGCCATTGCATGTTTCATTTCTGGTTTGTTGTTCTGGGTCATCTTCAAGCATTACAATGACAAGGAAGATGAATTGAACAACATTGACCTCATGGACGACGATCTTCATCTTGAGCCTGTGGGTTCTCTCCAGGCTTCTACAAAGGGTTTCACTTAGTGGTATATAAACGATAATGAAAGTTAATTAGTAGCAAAATAGTAGTTCTGGGGATCTGATGCTATTGTCATCGTGCCTGACTTTGCTTTAGCTGAATCTTGTGACGTTTTGCGCTTTCTTTTTGTTGGGGCAACGCTCATGTATGCACGGTCTGGCAACGGCCATGCGGCGCGAGAGAACGGCATTTGTGCATGGACGGTACATGTGAGATGCAGCATGTGCATAATCGATGCAGGTTGCTATGTAGGATTTTTCAAAACACTTTCAAAGTAGAGCAGAGTGACTCGTGGCTGGTACTCTATGAATATGGCCTTGAGTAGACCCTCTAAATCCTTTTGTACCTTTTTTTCTAAGGAAAAAACCCTTTGTTCTGATATTTTCTATGTACCGCTCTGAATTACCCAACTGGGCGGAGACAAAAGAAAAGTGAGGTCATCTTCAGAAAGCAAGACTTGTGCAGGATGGCATATGCTTGATGTGTTTTTTAGCGGCGAAACGTAGAGCCGTTGAGAAAGAAAAAATAAAAAAAAAAAAAGAACGCCGTATCTGCATTGGCGCTTTACTAACGTGATGAGCAGGTTTGCCGCCTTTGATGCTTTGCTCTGATGATTCCTCGTCTTCTGATTCGCCCTCTGGGTTTATCGGATTTCACGTCTGGAATTCCGAAAAACGTAGTCTATTGGGCAGTATTGCTTTGAAGGATAATTGATGAAGTATCATTAATGAGTTAATGATTATTGACGTCATGATGAGGTGATGAGTGTTGGATTAAGTAGTGCTTAACAAAAGAAATAATAATGGAACTAAGGATCAATTCATCACCAGCATAAACATTGAAAGCATTATTTTCGCACGTATTTTGTCGGCGCCGATGCACTTTCAAAGTCGGCTCTTCGGCACAATTTCCGTCTCTGGCTGTTTAAAAATAGCTCTATTGAGACTAAAACATCCGAAGACGGAATCGTGGTGACCGTTTGTGGGGTTTTAAGATATCATGCTTGAAAGCGGGGACAATACGATTGGAGCTTTAGTCAAAACTCAGCAAACCGAAGACTGTCTAGTAGTCAGAATGATGATATTTGCATCATTGAATCGCCGCTAGGATGATGGGATGCGAGAAAATTAATAAGTGTAGTTTCTAGTGGCCCAATTCCTGGTTCTCGAAGAAAACCTAACAATGAATACTGTATTCAGTGCCGTGTTCTATATTTAACGATTCTGTAGCATCGGAAGACTTATAATGCTGAAATGGTCCAGATAGATGCATCAGGTACATTCACAGTCAAATACTCCAAACATAACACACAAGTCAAAAGATGACAGAGCATAAAAGGCCGGCGCCACGTGAGCCTTTGCAACGACAATAAAGCCCTAATCAAAACTGAATCATTCCATTCAGTCAAGCACTACGAAGCTGTTTCAATGATGTCGATCGAAATTCATACGTGATATTGGTATAGTATCATAACTAGTGTTTGCCGTTAGCGTGGCCGTTGCCGTTTTCCTCCACCTTCAAAGGTCTTTCTGGAGTAGGAGACAAGATGTACTCGGAGTCAATCAACTCCACCTTAGGGTTCAAGGTCAAGCCGAAACCAGGCTTGTCAAGCACAGTGGTGTCCAAGTATCCCTTGACTGGAACAGGCTCGTCAATAAACAAGTTTCCGAACACAGGCAACACCGAAGTGGAGTCAGGAGAGTTGGCAAGGTACTCCTGGAACGGAGTGTTTTGCTGCAGCACCACAAAATGGTAGGAGTATGGTCCAGAGGCGTGTGGAACGACAGGAATATCGTACGCAGCTGCTTGAGCTGCCACCTTCAAGATTTCGGTCATTCCTCCGACCCACATGACATCCGGTTGCAAGATGTCGATGTTTCTTCCCTCGATCAACTTTCTGAAGCCGTAACGGGTGTACTCGTGTTCACCAGTGGTCCATTTCATGCGAGGGTGTGCTCTCTTCAACAACTCAAAGCCGTCAAAGTCGTCTGGGTGCAAAACTTCCTCAAACCAGTTGATGTTCAAGTCCTCTGTGGCCGAGGCCAACTCAATGGCATATGGAACAGTCAAAGACATGTAACAGTCCACCATAAGAGGGAAGTCGGGGCCCACGGCCTCTCTGTGCTTTCTCAAAAACTCGACGTTTTTCTTGAGTCCGACGTGGCCTTCGTCTGGGCCGTATGGAAGCGCAACCTTTCCACCCCAGAATCCCATCTTCTTGGCAGCCTGTGGGTTGCATCCAGTGCAGTAGAAGTCGATCTTCTCCTTTGTGGCTCCGCCAATCAACTTGTAGACGGGTTCTCCGCGGATCTTTCCCAAAAGATCCCAAAGGGCCAAGTCAATGACAGAAATCACGGCGATTGGCAAACCTTTGCGGCCGTAGAACATGGACGCACGGAACATCTTGTCCCACAAGATGTTGTAGTCTCTTGGGTCGGCGCCTTCCAAGAATCTGAGGAAATGGTGCTTCACCAACCAACATGCTGGAGGTCCACCGAATCCGGTAGCAAAACCTTTGGTTCCGTCAGTGGCCTCGATCTCAACACAGAATGAGCCCAAAACATTGATACCCCAGCTGACTCTCGAGGCACGGTATTCTTTGTATTTGGACATGGGGTTGGAGATGGGACTGTCAATAAGCCAGTGGCCCTTTTCGACATTGTGGTAGTCGCCACCAATGCCTTTACCTTCCAAAAGATATGTCTTGACGCTTTTGATTCTGGGGAAGTCTGTCATGTTGTGTGATTGTTGGAGAATATTTTGGACTTGCGAGACACTATATACTGCGCGGGAGCGCGGCAATGATGATGCGACGGCGGATTTTTGTGGGGTTATACCCAGAGCGCGGAAAAACCCATCGCGGGGTGACATATGCAGGCCAGTGTGGGGAGAGAGGGAGGCACGGGTCTGGTGACACGTTTTTGCATACAAATCACTAAAGAAGACAATGATGGCCCGATATCGAAAAGAAAGCAAGCCAGAGGGAAGAAAGCAAGTGGGAAGATGAAACAGAGTAAGAATATTCCAGCGCCATTTCAGTGGAGCATCATCATGTAGCATGTCTCGGAGTTGCGGAAGTCAAAATTGACAAGTCGGGAAGTCAAGTTCCAGACTGTGTATGTAGATCTTTGTCTGTTAATGTTATTCTCCATCCAATTTTCCGGTGCTGTTCCTTTTGACCTTGAGATGCATGATTGGGTGAAAAATATGGTGAGGCACATTGTCAGAATCAGTGTGATTGTCGCACAAATTGGCAAAATGGTGCAGATCTACTTATTTCAGGAACATCAACGTCATGTTATCTGAAAGATTCAGAAATGGTTTCAAAATAATTATAATTCAGTTTAATTTGTCATTTGGGCTCAGTTTCTGATCTCATTGTATCAAGTGCAAATATTCCCTTATTGGCCATATCTACGTCCTGGTAATAAAGACATGCTTCACTAATGATTCCTATAAGCAGTTTTATTTTTTTTTTTTAAGCTTTGCACTCAAAGCTGTAGACACCCGAACCAGTCTCAGACTGTGTGCCATCGGGCAACTCAATTGTGGCCCTCGTGTTCAAAGGCACCGTCACATCCAACGAAAACTTGCCGTCTTCAATTTTCCAGCTCGACACGATGGTGCCGTATGGACATTCGTGCGAGACACGGCATCTTTTCAAGTCTCCGCCCACCTGCGGCTTCACTTTGAACTCTTTATAGCCCGGAGACACAAGCTCGAGCCCGCCTATGACTTCGTGCATCGTCGATGCCACGGCTCCCAAAGCATAATGGTTGAAGGACGTCATTTCGCCCGGGTTGATGCTTCCGTCTGGCTTCATGCTGTCCCATCTTTCCCAAATGGTAGTGGCGCCCATGCTCACAGGATACAACCACGAAGGGCACTCTTTTTGCAAGAGCATGGAGTAGGCAGAAGCCAAGTGGCCGGTGGTAGCCAAAGCTTTGGCGACAAACGGAGTTCCGGCAAAACCCGTGCCGATTTTGAATCCATTCTTTTCCACAATCGCCGCCAAACGCTTTCCTCCGTACTCCACCTGCTCCGAAGTCTTGTAGAGGCCGAAACAAATGACAAGAGCGTATGCGGTCTGCGAATCACTCAGCAACTGGCCCGAGCTCTCAATGTATGCGTCGTGGAAGTCAGATTTGCACTGTGCGGCCATGGCAGCGTACTTTTCCTTGTTCTGCGGCGCCACTTGGGCACTGATCTCGGTCATGTAGCAAAGCACCTGGTACAAAAACGCATCTGCCACGAGATAGGCCAGGGTCAAGGCCTGGAACGGATTTTCTGGAGGCGCTTCGGGATCCAACCAGTCGCCAAGCTGGTGAGGCACTTTGTCCTTGTTCCAGCGAACCTTTCCGGGAATTTTTGGGATGCACTCGATCCACTTTTCCATACTCTCGTACTGGTCAGCCAAGACGAATGTAGCCCCGATCAGGTCGTACAATTTTTTGGGCAAGAAAACTGCGCAGTCTTGCCAGATGGCACTGATCTGGTCGTCCCAGAAATGCTTCATGTACTTGATCACATTGGGCACAGTAACAGGCGGCGCATACGGGAACTTGGAGTCTGCCTTGAGTTCCTGCTCGCACCAGAGATCTTTCAACCAGCTGCTGAGCATGGACGAACAGTCAAAGAGGAACGCGGCCGTCTGGCCGAAAAGCGCAATGTCGCCAGTCCAGCCCATTCTCTCGTCTCTTTGAGGGCAGTCTGTGGGCAAAGTGATGAAGTTGCCTCTTGTGCTTCGAATCACATTGTCGTGCAACTGGTTGAGAAGGTTGTTGTCACAGGAAAACTCGCCGGTCTGCGCCATGTTGGTCGAGATCACCACCGCACGCAAATCCTCAAGCGAAAGTGCTTTCGAAACATCTTCCACTTGGCAGTAGCGGAAGCCGTGGAAAGTAAAGCGTGGAGCATACAGCTCGCCCGATTTTTCTCCCTTGAATGTGTATGTGTCTGTAGCTTTGGCCTCGCGCAACGGTCTGGTGCCCAACTCTCCATGCTCCATAACTTCAGCATGCTTGAACTGGATCTGGTAGCCTTTTGGAGCCGTGGCGTTTTGGAACTCAACAAACCCGACAATGTTCTCGCCAAAATCAACCACGGTTTTTCCCTTGGGCGTGGTGAAGATCTGCTTTGGAGAGATCTTTCTTTGCACAGTGACGTGGGGGAAAGTCTGGGGCTCGATGCGAGACGTTTCGAATGGAACAACGTCCACTCCGGCCCAGCTGCCCAGGCCATTTTCCGCCGCCAATGACCAGCCTGGAATTTCCCGATTAGCATCGTACGATTCTCCGTCGTAAAGGCCCGCCGCCACGATCGGACCAGGCGAAGACTGCCAGGAATTGTCTGAAACAATTTCAACAGACGAATTGTCCTCAAACACAAGGCGGAGCACGGCGCTGATGGCCCGTTTTTCTCCGTAGATGTTGGTGAGCCCGCCGTCAAAGCCAAACTTGCCGCTGTACCAGCCTGCGCCGACTCTGGCTCCAATGACGTTTTCCTGGACGTTTTCGTCGATCAAAGCCGTCACGTCGTAGGTCTGGTGCAACAATCTTTTTTCGTACGTGGTCCAGCCGGGGCTCAAGTAGTCCAGCCCCACTTTCTTGCCGTTGATCTCCAACTCGTAGATGCCCAACGCCGTGCTCCAGACTGTGGCCGAGACGACTTTTTTCAGAACGGAAAACGTCTTGCGGAACAAGGTTTCCGGCGCCGTTGGTCCTTCGGCCCGAGGCTGGTTTTTTGCTGCAATAAAAGCGGCCGGCCACTTCTCCTGGCCCGCCAAAAAGCCCACCTGGCCCAAAACTGGAGCGCTCCAGTCAGAAAAGCCGGCCGGACCTTTCACCCGGACAGAAACCTCAAAGCTCTCACGTGAACGCAAGTCCCGCCCGGGCCAAGAGACAAAAGTTGACCGTTCTGACATTTGCTCCTCGTATTCAGTCCAGTTCTCGTTGTTGTAGCGAACTCTGATCTGGTATCCATGCTGGAACCAGTTTTTCTCGTCGCCAACGGTTTTCCACGACACAGAAGGGCGTGTGGTGTTCAAAGTGCCCTGAAGTGGGCCTGGAAGCGTCAAATCCAAACGGATGTTTTCCACCTTCATCTTGTCTTGTCATGCCACATTATCAGAGTAGGCACATATATATAGGGCCCACGTCGCGCCGCATCAATGATGATGCGGGGCCGGGGGCGTGCGCAGCCCGAAATGCGGGGCACCGCGTCTATATATTGCATTCTTTAAGAATACCCCAAGCTAAAAAAAAATCATCACGAAAATTTTCAATGGCGCAGCTTCTAGCAGGAAAGGTCGTGGCCATAACAGGCGGTGTTACCGGAATAGGTAGAGCCATAGCCGTGGAAATGGCTGCCAACGGCGCAAAAATCGCCGTCAACCACCTTGATTCGCCAGCCCAGGCCAAACTTGCTTCTGAACTAGCATCGGAGATCGGTGAGGCGAACTTCCTCGCTGTTCCAGGCGACATTTCGAAGCCGGAAACGTCGCAGAACTTAGTGAAACAGACGGTGTCGAAGTTTGGCGAGTTGAACGTGTTTGTGTCCAACGCAGGCATCTGTGATTTCGCCGAGTTCACGGAAATGGCGCCAGAAACGTACTTGCGTACAGTGGACATCAACTTGAACGGCTCGTTTTTCGCCATCCAGGCGGCTGCCAGACAAATGAAGGCGCAAGGCAAAGGTGGAAGCATCATTGGCGTTCTGTCGATCTCGGCTTTAGTTGGAGGCGCTTTCCAAACACACTACACACCTACAAAGGCGGGTATTTTGTCGTTGATCCAGCTGACAGCATGTGCTCTTGGCCAATACGGCATCAGATGCAACGCCTTGCTTCCAGGAACAATCCAAACCGCTTTGAACGAGGAGGATTTGAAGGACGCTGAAAAAAGAAAGTACATGGAGGGCCGTATTCCATTGCAGAGACTCGGGAAGCCGGAGGATCTCGCAGGGCCAGCCGTTTTCTTGGCGAGCGACATGGCCAAGTATGTCAATGGTGCACAGCTACTTGTTGACGGCGGAGCCTTTGTTAATTTCCAGTAAGCTGGATCTGGTGGGATGCCGAAGAAGAAGGCTAAAAGTCTATGAATATCGTATACTCGAATGCATAAAAGTTACTCTTTTAGATTTGTATCCAAACATGACTTCACAGGTTTAAAGTAAACGACTATTTCAATGAAAATAAGCAAGTAAAAGAAAGCAATGTCGACGAGCTGAAAGTCATCTTACGGAGATAACGCCATTAGACCAGAAGTGACGGTTCAGAATTATTTTGCATGGGCCAAGTAAACAAAAATCGACCAACACGAAAGTACCGTTTGGTCAATGCTGGTACGTCTACTTATGTTAAAACATTTTGCTAACAATGAATGCCAAACTAGACAACTATATACAACTATACGCCAAACGCCCGCTCCCAGTTACTCTCGTAGATTTTTTGCCTGTCTTCTTTTGAGAGGTCAATCTTGTCAAAGAGACCTTCCGTGACAGAAAACCACTTCGAGTGTAACTCTGGGCCTGCAAACATAGAGCACACAGGCCAGTTGCTTGCCCAGATTGTGCGCTCTGCACCCCAAAGATCAAAGCAGACTTTGAACCAAGGATAAATCGTTTCTACGGCCTTCTCCAAATCATTCCAGAGCAGTTCAGGGAGTTCAGAAAATCCACCTGAAAGCTTCATGTACGAGTTTGGTGTAAGCTCGTAAATCTGTTGCATGCACTGTTTCCACTTCTGGAACTGTTCGCTTTCATGCGTTTTCTTTGGGTCCAAATCAAGATTGGGTTTGGTCAAATGATTAATGAGATACCGGGTGTTTGGCACCTGGCGGAAAACTTCAATTGATTCCTCAAACTGCCAAAGACCGCCATTGTGGATGTCGATGCCCCACTCGAATGCGTAGTCCTTTTCCTGGATCCACTTCAATCCGCTAATAAACTTCGCCGTTGTCATTGTTCCAGGCTCTTTGTCCTGAAGCAAGTAGCGAAATCCCTTGACATGCTCAAACTGCGGGCCAAGCTCTTTCTTCAACACCTCCACGTACTCCACAACATCTTGTCCCCATGGAATTGGAGCCCATGGCATCATGGCCTTGATGAAACCTGGTCTGGTTTCACCTTCGCCCAGCTGGGTTCCCGAGTAATAACGCAGGACAAATTTGCATTCTTCAATGGGCCCTCTCACGCCGTCAATTCCCTTATCGAGATCGTGCAAGGCATCTGCCTCGATCCACACTAGCCCTTTCACCAGAAACCGCGCTTGTTCATCTTTGCATTGCGAAATAAATTCATCCACACGATGATCTCCCGAAAGTGGATGGGGCGCTCTCCATTGCCAGACTAAATTGTGAACATCTGCTAGAAGATGCACGTGAGTATCAACTATGGAGTACATTATCAGATTTGGTGTATCTTAGGATACTGGGGAAATATGCGGAGCGAAGCAAGTGTAGAAAACGCCCTGCAAGTAACATTTAAATGAGGGATGCATGCAGGCCCTGCTACATGAAAGGTGCATACAAGTGCGGCCGAATGATGAACCGCATAGTGCGGCATTAGCATTAGCCAACAGGGCCAGCTGACACCATAGATGACAGTAACCATAAAAACGAAAGAGAATAAAAACAGCAGACTGGAAGGCGTGAGTAAAAATTTGTAACAGTGCAGATTTTTAGTGGCTTGCGCATGTAAAAAAAAATCAGCCATTACTAATTATGGATGCATGAGCGAAAAAGGCAATAACCAGATATGAGGCGAAAGGCTGTGGATGAACGGAAGTCGTCCCGTTTTCTTGTGGATTGGGGAGGAGTCCCAATCTAGTAGCCTTAAGCAAGAAGGGAAAAAATTGTTGTTGGTGAAGGTTGAGTAGAAGTGACTTTTTTTTTAGGAAAATGCTTCTGTGACCACTATTTTTACAATTAATGACGTGTTATCACTATCTGATGGAAACAAAACAGTAATGTGGGACTCTGAATTTTTACGACAGGAATGTCACCCGTCAATGGAGTGGGGTCACATTTCTTTTTACTCTTGACCATTGCAGGAATATGGTGACACAAGAGGCAGTGCCTAAAGTCCAGCGAAGCAGAGTCTTATCTCCCTGAAAAATGAGGAGAGCCAATTCTACGCTAAGTTTGTTCAAGTCTAAATTCCAGGTCAATGAAAGGAACAAGAGAATATTCACAAAAGGAATTTATAGGTTTGATTGAGAATTAAAAGAGAATTAAAAGAGAATTAAAAGAGAATTGAAAGAGAATTGAAAGAGAATTGAAAGAGAATTGAAAGAGAATTGAAAGAGAATTGAAAGAGAATTAAAAGAGAATTAAAAGAGAATTAGACTGCCACCAATATTAACACATGGAGAATGAGAACTGATAGGAACTTTAACTTCAGTATGAAGCTAAGAAGACGTTCTGCGGTCCAATTTACGCTTTCTAGGCTGAGACGGAAGAACTGAAAAAACGTTCGTGAAAGCATTAAATTTTGGGAATTGTTCCTGAAAATGTCATTTGGTCCAGAATACTATTGACCGTGCATTTCCTCAGACAGTCTGCCTTGATTCCGATGTCCATGTGAATAGATGACATAGACAGTAATACTGCTCTCTCGTACTATTTTTTTTCTTCATCCTTTGATTTAGTCCGATCACCCATGAACATTGGTCAAGACAGTTAAAGATTTAACGTCTGTGGCTACTTGCACTCGTAAACTTGTTTATACTCTATTTATTCCTTACAAGGACTTGTGAGTCTCAGCACAGGCCGAAAGATACGGAGCATAGTTTTCCCATTCGGGAGAAACATCCTGGTTCAAAGGAGCCCGGCCCAAATAGGTCTCGCCAAAGCCAGTGGCGGTGTGAATAGCCTTTTTGATGCCCACAACTCCAAAACGAACAACCAATTCTTCGCCTCTTGTGGCAATCAATTGCAATTCACGGGCTTTTTCGAAATCGCCGCTGTCGTAGGCCTTCAAAATCGAGACGAAAAGCTTGGGGAAGGCTCCACTCAAAGCATCCACAGCACCTTGGAATCCCACACTCAATGCGGGAAGCAAGATCTGGCCCAAGCCAGTGAAGCATTGAAATCCGTTAGCAGCGATTTCCTTGTCGAGCCCCAACAAGGCATGGTGGCCCACATCGCCGTGGGAAACCTTGGTGCCGACAATATTAGGGTGGGCAGAAAGTGTCTTCACAGTAGTTGGCTCTACAACAATATTGTTGCACACACCAGGGTAAATGTAGACCAAAACGGGCAAGACCGACTTCTCGGCCACTTTTGTGTACCAGTCAATGATACCTTGCTGCTTGGTTCCAGGTCCGTAGTACGAACTGGGCAAAACAAGTGCATAAGACACACCGGCATTTTTCAACGATTCGATTTCCAAAAGGGCTTCTTCCACCGACGCTTGGGAAACTCCGCCCAAAAGAGGAAGTTCGGGGACGGCCGAATGGATGTTCTCCACCACTTTCGCCCTTTCGGCACGAGTTAAATGCGAAAGTTCTCCAGTGGAACCCATGACAACAATGCCCGAGATGCCGTTTTCTTTCAAAAAGCGAGCATGTTTGGCCTGGGTCTCGTAGTCGATGGTGACACAGTCTTTTTTGAAAAACGTAGGGACTGGGGTGTAGATTCCTCTTTGCAACATTGGGGATAACTGGTGCTTTTTTTCTTGACCACCGAAACCTGGGGTAACTTTATGCCCTGCGGTGGGCGGCGAAATGATTCCGCGCAGAAGGTGATCCTACCCCACAATTAGTATATGTAGGACAGATCGGAGCAACGGATTCACGCCGACATTTACCCAAACCTGGATGCGACATATGCATGACATAGACCGCCAACCGTTGCACCCCGCCCTGTTTTGGCTGAAAGAACGAGAGAAGACTGAAGAGAAAGTTGGACGAACCGCAAATCTGAAAAGTTCTGCTCCAACTTCCTCAATTTGAGTGTTGTGGCCGCGATTTGCGGACTTGTCCATTGCAATAAGTCCGACCCGCATTTTTAGGTTTAAAGTTGCGGGTTTCTCCATTTTTTGACGCATTGTCCTGCTCGTCCTAGCATCGGACAATTGGCCAAAGCTTCTGTGGAGACTGTACGTTCGATTAACGAATGTCGTGCGACATTCTAAATACGAGCTGGGGCCGAAACGGTAAAGGTGCAAGAAAAACAGACACCCGTGCACCACGTAAGACGACGCTAAGTGATGTACCGAGAGATGAAAAATGCAAGAAATACGAGAATCTTGGGGCAGTCACGGGCCGGGCCTACAACCAGCGGGGCAGAGGCCGGTAGCTGTTCTTGTTTGGGCAACGTTGCCCTTAGACGTCCTGCACACGCGCAGAGGTTTGTCTCTTGATGCAAGATTTGCGACAAGATGGACTGTTGAAGATGACCCTGCGTGGCGGCTAAAGCGCGCAAAAGATGTTGCGGCGGAAGAGTTTTTCTTCTTCTGCACGAATACCCCACGAATTGGACGCGGGGCACATGCTTGGCCGAATCCAGAAGTCTTCCAAGCCATATATAAAGACGGGCACTGCAGCTCAAGGTTTTCCCTTTCCCTTCATTCACTATCTATCATCATGAGTCTGTCTTCATTGGAAAAACAAGTGGTTGAACCCGACTTGGATGACATTGAAAAAGTTGCCCGTGCCCAACAAAAGTTGGAGCATGGATACACGAGATGGCAAGCCATCAAGTTATACCCGCGTGCCGCCTTATACATTTTGATTTTGGTCTGGGGCATGATTACCGTCGGCTTTGAGAACCAGGCATCCGGTATTGTGCTTTCGATCCCAACCTTCAGAAAGGATTTTGGCCACTACTACGAAGGAGCGTATGTTTTGGAAGGAAAATGGCAGTCGGCCATTTCCGGTGGTCCATACGGAGCGTTTGTTGTCGGCAGTTTCCTTGGATCCTACTTGGCTGACCGTTTTGGAAGAAAGTTTTTGATCTGGGGCACCACCGCCTTTACTTTTGTGTTCATCGGCCTTGAATACGCCGCTACTTCTATCGAGGTTTTCTTCATTGGAAAGTTCTTGAACGGTTTGTGCTTGGGTATCATCCAAACCGTGGGAACCACATACGTGGCTGAATTGACTCCCTTGGCCTTGAGAGGTATGAGCACAGTTTCGGTCAATTTGGCCTTCTGTATCGGTCCTTTTGTGTGTTATTTGATTGCTAACAAGACGTCGACCAGAGCAGACAGGTGGGCTTACCGTGCTATCTTCTGCTCCCAATGGGGGTTCGCCGGAATTGCCGTCTTGATTTTCGGATTCCTTCCGGAGTCGCCTTACCACTATGTGATGAGAAACAAGGACGAAAAAGCTTTGGGAGCACTTCGGAAAATTTATCCGGATGCCGGCATGGCCGAGTCACAGTTGCTGATCATCAAGGCCAACATTGAAGAGGCTAGAATTTTGTCGAAGTCGGGATCATACCTTGAACTTTTCAACCGCAAAAACTGGCGCAGAACTTTACTTGGAACCTCGGTCTTCATCATGCAACCCATGAGTGGTTTGGCATACGTGGCTTCTTACCAGACTTATTACTACCAGCAGGCCGGATGGGACACTCTGAAATCCTTCCATGTGAGTTGTGTGGCCCAAGCACTTTCAGTGAGTGGTACAATTTTGGCCATTTTCATGGTGGACCGGTTTGGAAGACGTTTTGTCACTTTGTACGGAATTATCGCCTTGGCTATTTTGAATGTTTTGACCGCTGGTCTCGGTACAAGCAAGAAACAGAGCCTTTTGAGTGCATCTTCCATCATTTTGACCATGTACAACTTCTTCTACAACTCGGGTATCGGCCCCATCGCTTACTCCATCAACTCGGAAATCCCCACTTCTCAATTGAGAGTGAAAACCATTGCCGTCGGGTTGAGTCTTAATAACGGTTTGCTGTGTATGTGGTCTTTCGTCCTTCCTTACATGTTTAATGTTGACCAGGCCAACATGGGTTCAAAGATCAACTTTATTTTCGCCGGCTGCTGTTTCTTCTCCTTGTACTTTTTCTACTTCTACTTGCCTGAAACTGCCAACCGCTCCTACGAAGAAGTCGACGAGATGTTTAAGGCAAACGTTCCTGCTCGCAAATGGAGAAGTTATGTTACAAGTGAACGCACAGAGGCTGAAAGCGTTTACGCCGAACAGGCCAAGGGCGAAACTGCCCACATTGAGAATTCCTAATTTGTTAAAATGAATACTTGTACGTGATTGCTTGTAGCTGCGGGATGGCCGGCAACTAAACAATTTATGAGTCACTTGCCAGATAAATCGTGGAACGATTTTTGGGCAGTAATCGACCGTCTTTTAAGTGCTGGTTAAACAACTTTCGTTGTATGGATACTTTTATGGGCTAGATAACTATTTATTGTGAACATCAACATGCCGGGATGTTTTCACGTTTTAAAAATTTGTTGGTGTAGTTACACCAACCAGAAAAGGTCTTTGCGATTGGATTTGTTTCCTTATTATATGTACCTAGTTTGTCGTCATATGTAGACTTGTAACCGGAGAAGTTTACAGAATCTGATTACTAATGCATCTAGCATGTACCAAGTTGGGTAAAGAGGCTCTGTTTTTGATATTTCTGTCAACAATATAATAAATTACCGTCCAGATGAATATCCATAATGAACGGAGAAACCGATGTCAAACTCATTTCTGCTTAGATAAATCAGTTAGAATTTGCGTGACTTCAACGTGTCCATAGATTGGCTTTTCTGGTGTCTAGTGTAATTTCATTATCTATTATTTCGACAGAATTTAGGACTCTCTTCTATTAGGAGAGGCAAGAGAATACTATGAGTAAAAATACGCCTACTAATGGAGACTCACTTTCGGATTCCATTCTTTTTATTTGGCAATTAATGGCCCAGACTTAGTTTCGAACACTGTCATTCCGAACTCAAAGCAGTATGACTCAGCTCTGGCCTCGACGATCTGTTATCATGGTCCTAGCACTTTTCTGCCAAGATTTCCGTGAGGAAGGAACAGTTAATCAAAAAGGTTATGACTTGGAGATCAATAGCCATTCTAAGCCTATCAGTAGCCATTCTAAGCCTACATCACGCTATAAGTATCACTCCATCACGCAATAAAGATTCGGATTTCTATGGGCGTCATTCTTCCACATTCACGGCTGGGCACAATACCAAAGTCCTACAGTAGACCAATCTTGCATTAAATAGCTCAACGAATCTCCTGTCTACACAATTTCCATCCATCTGTCTCGGCCAGGATATTTCCGATGACCATCGCTCTCTTCTAATTCACTCCATTCATCTAATTTCTTTATCCAGTCTTTCTTTGTTTCCTCACACATCGCTTCCTTTTTCGTACTTTTTCGTACTTCCCACCACTTAGTCGTTGTACTTTTTTCCTCACCGTTCGTTGCATTTTTCCTCACCGTTGTATTTTTTCCTCGTTCTCCACACAGACCCGCACATCAACGTTCTTTCTGGGGTAACATGGAGAATGAACCCAGCGCCAAAATCTCAAAGGCTTGCAACTCGTGCAAGGAGAAAAAGAAAAAATGTGACCGGGCCAGCCCCAGATGCGGCTACTGCGCTCGAAACGGCCTTACGTGTAAGTATCGGGCGCTCCAGAAACCTGGGCTTCCTGTCGGATACGGAAACACCATGCTAGACAAGCTTCTGCTGCTTGACGCCAAGATCGAAGGCAACCAGGAGTCGGCGCTTCTGGAGCTTCGCGTGATGGCAGACCAGCTCAAGGACTTGAAGTCCAAAGTCAAGCTCATCTTGAACCAGACCTCGACCATTTCCAACACCTTCAGCTCTGTGGGCGTGCTTAGCGTCGAATCCTTGACCACATCTTCAGATTCCCTGAGCCAGCACGCCAGCGACTCGGCCGACCGGACCGGCTCCGACCGCAGCCCCGAGCGGAATCTTGCGCTGGCGATTCTGCTTGAAAACGCCCGCAACGTGCTGTTTTCCCTGCCCTCGTGGCCGCTCCCGTCGTTGCCCATCGTGGGCAAGTTGGTGGACTTGTTCTTCCTCCGCATTTTCCCCGGTTTTCGTGTGGTGCACCCAAGTTCCCGAAACGCTCTTCTAGATCTGTACGCCCAGCACTTGGCCAGCCGAAGCCCCGACGCCTCGAAGATCGCCCCCAACTTTTTGGGCGTCATTCTTTGCGCCATCCGGTTTGCCCACCAGATCTTGCTTTCCGAGGAGATCGACCGGTGCCGCAACTTCTGTCGAACCACCATTCTCTCCAAGTGCATTGGAGTGGCGCTGGTGGAAGATCTCCAGGCCATGACGCTTTTGGCCTACGACCTGTTTGGCAAGTCCAACAACCCGCGCACGTGGGGCTACATCTCGTTGATTTCGTGTGCGGTGATCCACTTGAATCTCACCAAAGAGCCTCCGGCGTCGGAGAAGTTGTCGTTCCGCCAAAACGACCAGGGCACCAAGAGGGCTAAGATTTTGTCTCCGCAGAACGTTATTTCGCCGAAAACGCTAACGCCGTTCGACGAAGAGTGTCACCGAAACCTCTTTTGGGAAATCTATATCTTGGACCGCCTTTCAAGTGTCTCCAACTCTTTCCCGTGCAAATTGGACGGCAAGGAAATCGACCGCCAGCTTCCAATCAAGGCAAGCCTATGGACTCCTACCATGGATGAGGAAATGAACCAACTCGGACGCAAGCTAAAACAGCCAGCGCCGCGAGATTGCTATGACTCGGCAGCGTACTTGATTGAAATCGTCAACATTCTTGGTGATATCCACTTGTTCTTGAGAGAGTCCATTGACGTGACCAACATGAAGGAAATTCTAAGTTGGCAAATGAAATTTTCCGAGTTTGACAACGAGCTTCTGAGGTGGAAGGCTTCTTTACCCATGGTCTATCAGCAGTATTTGGATCTGCAAGTGATCAATTTCGAACAAAATGTCACCGTCAAGGATGTACTTTTGTTTTCCATCTACCACATGGCTGTGATTCGTTTGAATTCTGCGTTGGGCTACCAAAAGTTTGACTCGAACTATTTTTTGTTCTCTAACACTGCAAGAACAAAGTGCTTGGATTCGGCAGAAAGTATAGCCTCGTTTTCGGAAAAGTTGCCTGTACTTCTTGGACACTTACAAGGAGAAATATTTTCGTCGTGTGGCCCCTTTTTCGGTTTCACTGTTTGGGTGGCAGCACGTCTATTGTTGGTGAATGCCATCAACAATGGCGAAGGGTTCTCACCCAGCTTGGATCAGTTGATTTCTGTATTGACAAAAATGGGCCATACTTGGGAGAGTTGCATGAAATACAGGGACATTCTTGGGTTCCTCAAGGACGAAGAGCTTGAAAACATGTCCCACGACTTGGGATTGCTTTCGAGAGAGGTTGGCCTTGGTAATCCGGGCGAAGTTTTCCCAGAAGGTGAGGAAGGAAATGCAGAAGAACGGTATCACTCGAAAAGCGCCAAAGTGTTCTCAGATATGCGTTTCAATGCCTACAGCCTTGATGTGCTCTTGTCGAAAAAGATTGAGCAGTTCAGAAAAGAGGGAAAGGGCGAGATCTCGCCTCACAACCAGACAGACTTTTCCAACTTTTTTGAATGGTTTAAGATGCCCATAAACGAGCTCAACTCGCCATTTTTCAACCAAGTGCAGCCTGGTCCTTAGTTGGAGATTATTTATCTGGAGGTTTCAATGATTAGTGAATGTAAGAAGATTAATGTAGGAAAGAAAAGGCGACGAACTATCTCAGTGGTGAGCATATAGTTGTACGTACTCAAAAATTGGATAATAAAGGTATGGATTATGGAGTATATAGAAAACGTGCAGATGAGCAAAAACTTTTAATGTTTACTATCTTCATCTATCAAAAAGACAGAGGTACTTTCAACAAAATCGATCTTCGAGTATAAATAGTAGAATGCTTTTTCGTGAATGTACCAAGGCAGAATTATGAAGAAACACTTTCGTTTGCATATTTCTCAAAGTTCTCCAATGGTTGTAGGATGTGATTCAAGTGAATTCTTGGGTATTAGCCTATAGTTTCTCTTACCAAAACTGAGATTCCTCAATCGAACAAATTCCGCTCAAATATTCGGAGATGATAGAGATGTGTGTTTATTTTTTTTATGCCAGACAATGATAAGTCCAAAAAATGTTGGAGTGATAACATAGATAGCGGTTCTTTCTATTTTCCAGAATACGTTTCCCTGGATCAATTCAAATCTTGAAAAACCACAAGGTATTCTGTACCTCCACCTTTCTAAGATAGTATCGCACAAAAGTTTAAAGTGCCACCATGAGAAATTGAAAAACGAGAATCAAAAAAGAAGAAACAAAAAACTACACCTATGAAAGTGATAAAAATAAATTAAACACGCAACTTTCAAAATATAATCATCAATCCCGAACTATTATAAGATAAACATCAACATTCTAGTACTTACTCCTGCACGCGAGACGCGTAAAAGATTTGAACCCCACGTCTTTCTTTTTACCAACCCGAGGCCAAACTCCGAAATGGAGCCGACTCAACCTACTCAGACCCAGCCGACACAAAAGTCGCCACTGGTGCAAGAGGAAGAAAAAAACTCCGATCACGTGTGCCGCTTGATCTGTACCACAGGTCAGTATCAAAGCTTTGACTTGAACAAAAACCAGCCGACGCGAAGCACGGCTCTGGCGACGAAAAAAACGTGGCTTTTCGGCAGAAACGCCGACTGTGATTTCGTCCTAAGCACTTGCACGCGTTTGTCCAACAAGCACTTCAAACTTTGGCTCAACTTGGCCGACAAAACTTTGTGGATCCAAGACACGTCCACCAACGGCACGCATCTCAACGGGAGCCGGCTCGTGAAGGGCTCGAACTACATAGTCAACCAGGGCGACGAGATTGCCGTTGGTGTGGGCGTGCCAAAAGACGTTATACGGTTTGTGGTTCTATTCTCTGATTTGTACAATCCTTCCAACTCCGAAAAGAGCTCCGTTATCAAGGACGAGGGCATTTACAAGGACTTCATCATCAAAAACGAAACCATCGGCCAAGGCGCGTTTGCTACTGTGAAAAAAGTCATTGAACGTTCTACAGGCGACTCATATGCCGTGAAAATCATTAACAGAAGAAGGGCAATCCACGCAGGCGGCAAAGGCGCCATGCTTGGCGTGAACCGAGAGCTAGAGATTCTCCGCAAGCTAGACCATCCGAACATTGTCAAACTCAAGTCTTTTTACGAGGATATCGAAAATTATTATTTGGTAATGGAACTCGTGCCGGGAGGAGATTTAATGGACTTCGTGGCAGCAAATGGGGCTATTGGCGAAGACGCCACTCAGGTAATCACAAGACAGGTGCTTGATGGGATTGCCTATGTACACAAATTGGGTATTTCCCACCGGGACTTGAAACCCGATAACATTCTTATCATGCAAGACGATCCGATTTTGGTGAAGATTACAGACTTTGGCCTCGCTAAAATCAGCGATAACGCTACTTTCATGAAAACTTTTTGCGGCACTTTGGCCTATGTAGCGCCCGAAGTCATTACAGGGAAATACGATCATTCACAAGATTCGCCTGTTAATTATAGCAATTTGGTGGACATTTGGTCATTGGGATGCCTTGTTTACGTTCTACTAACTTCGCATTTGCCTTTTAATGGCAAGACGCAAACTCAAATGTTCCAGAAAATCAAATCTGGTGAGTACCATGAATCGCCTTTAAATTCATACAAAATTTCTCCAGAAGGCCGCGATTTCCTTAACCGGTGCTTGCAAGTGGACCCAAGAAATCGGATTGTGGCTGAAGACGCAATAAAACACCCTTGGCTTGCCGACGTTGAACCATATCCATCACAAGAGTCACAGTTGTCCCAGAAAGTTGTGAGTCTCTCTCAATCTACATCACAACAATCTCGAAAGATCGAAAACGGAATTCAAGTCAACTCATCCATGAGCAAATTGGATGACGACATTATGATGAGAGCCTTAGACTCAGACCGCAATAAGAAACAAAAGAAAGTAACCAACGCAGAGTTTAAGGTTCCGAAGCGCGTGATCCCACTCCCACAATCTCAGCCATTACAACCAAACAGCCAAAACTACCCATTTGTTCTGCCCAAAAAGGTAGACAAACCCAAGTCTTCCTCGCAGAAGAAGCGTAGCATCGATGAATTGCTGAACTCACCACAGAAAAAGTTTAAAGCCGACCCCGATATTAAACGTTTATCCATCTCCAGAGCCGAGGAAATAGCGCCTTCAGATACATGTATAATCTTGGAACCAGCCCCTGAATCTATCATGAAAAGGCCGATTTACATTAGACAAGGGGTGAACCCTTACGCCATAGGACGAAACGAAACTTGTGACACATTTATCAATGATGATCGTATGTCGAAAATCCATTGCTTGATCAACAAAAAGAGACATCCAGTGTTAGAAGCCTCCATTTACGAAAGTCCAGCCCATTGTCTTGAGGACATTTGGCTCTTAGACTTTAGCACCAACTCTTGTTTTGTCAATGGAGTTCGTCTCGGGAAAGGTCGCAAAGTGCAGATTTTTAATAGAGACAGAGTCGATTTCTTTGTCGACGATACGTGCAACCAACTGATGAGCTTCATAGTTCGTATCAATGATACCACTGGTCTTTTTAATGGCGGAGAAAAAGTCCAGGACCACAAATTTGTCAATGTGGTCAAGTTTGACGCAGCAGATGCCAAACTTCGCCCTCCAATAGTGGCAGAACCGCCTTCTGTCAAACTGCATGTCAACGGCTCACTCAGCCAACAGTACAGCGATGGAATCTTGGCAGGCAACGGAGGAAACTTCAATTCGCTGCTTCGGATCCAAAGGAAAGTATACGATCACGCCAAATCGTCGCTGCAGTCCTCCAAAAGGGCCAGTCTCCAAAGCGGCCAGGAACGGCCAAAAAACTCGTGGGTCTAATCTACATTCTCTTTTCTCTTTGCCCATTATTAATAGTATACATTGCATGATTCATTAAAGCATCATCCACAGCATCTGTAGTGCACTAACTCAGCAGCCGCTTCGGGCTTAGGTTGAAAGTTTTGATTTCCGAAAACACATTTTCCTTTTCCCTGGGTGACATGAGATTGGGCCCCAAACCGGGTCTTTTGCTATGCTCGGATACGGTATTAGATTCAACCAAACGGCGTAACTTCGACGTTTTCGTTAACCCATATATGATGCGATCTTTGTCCTTGATTGTTTCCTTTAGCTGCCATATTTCCTCTTCCTGCTCCTTGAGCATGGCTTCGATATGTTTGTCTGACAACCCCCTTCTGCTAGTATCTCCGACAATGGACGATTGTTGGCGAGCGAGTCTGAGTTGTTCCTCTAAATGGGAAATATACAGTTTGTATTCTTCCATCTCGTAGTTTACTCTTTTGTAGAACTCTTCTAGGTTGGACATCATCATTTGCAGAGACACTTTGTCTGTGTCGACGCCCAAAATGTCATTCAATGTATCATTTCGAAGAAGGATGGTTTCTGTTTTCTGCAAATCGTTGAGACGGGTGAGATGCTCGAGTTTTTCGTTCAAAACGCTGATTTCTGCCCGGAGTCCTGCCGTTTCCACATCGGATGCAGAGCTCTCGTTTCGAGGAGTAAGTTTGAGCATCTGGATTTCGTTTTTCTGTGTCTCCACTGTTTGCCGAAGCTCATCCAAAAGCCGCTGTGTTTCTGTATCTGTAAGTGCCTGTTTCTTGTTTGTCTTCACCGTGATGACAATATCTTTAGCTCTGGCAGCAAACCGTAATGTATTGTATGTTTCTGTGATGAATTGTTGATTGACTGCGGCCTGATTAGAGCCCAAATGTATGGTACACAAAATCAGCACCAAGGAGGAACCTGAGAGTGCTGGTTGAAGTAATCGGGTCAACTTCGAGTCTCGATATGGTATGTGCTCCATGGAAGCAGACGGAGAAGTGGAAAGAAGGGATAATTTGTTGATAACAGTCGAAAGTGCCAAGAGAGACTTGTTTATGAACGCCCCTTCTTTGCGTCTTTCCAAGCTGGACGTCGCTCTTTCAGAACCGGCCAAGTCGCAAAGAGAAAGCGTACAATGAGAGTCTGTTTGCGCTACGAGATCAACGATATGGAGTCTCAATTGCAAAATGGCGTGCGACCGGGAAGACCGCGCGTTATAGTCTGTTGCTGAGGTTTTTCTTTTCGTGTCGCCGGTTCTGATCAACAGAAGCAAGTGTTCTTTCGAAAGAATCACCGGGCTGGACGCGCCGACGATTTTGGTGCCGTAGTCTGGGTCATCGCGGATCTTTAAGTCTGAGGGTGCTGAGAGCGAGTTTGACAAAAGATCAACAATCTTCTCGTTGTAGATTTCCAAGTACGACGCCGACAACTCGTACTGTTTGGACGAGTCGGACGATATCCTGTCGAAAATCTCGTCGATCGCCAAACGGACAAAGCCAGGGTCGTGGTCTTCGCCGCGCATCGAGTATGTTTTGCCCGAGCCCGTCATACCGTAGGCGAAGAGCGTGCTGTTGTATCCTTCGTGGAGAAAACTCTTGACTATATGCGAACACAGGCGCATGTACACTTCTCTGTTGGTGAGCTCTGTGCTGGCCGGGAAAACGTTGTCGAAACAGAAAGACGACTGGTCCGCAATGTTGGAAATGGTGTTTGTGTCGTGCTCGATCCACCAGTTTTTGCTGTGGGCCGTGTCTGAATGGGGATTTGGCCTGATACTGACAGTAATAGTTCCAGTGTACGGTTCGGCGCGGAAAGACGGGGTCGAAGGCCGGCTCCCCATGGAAGATCCGGGTCTCGATCGGGACATGGGCATTGTTCTAGGCGACTGGGGTCTTCCTCTGGCAGAAACGGGTCTTTTCAAATCGGAAAAGCTGGATCTCTTGGACAACTGGGACAGGCTTCGGGCGGGCGGGCCGCCGGAGAGCGAGGAGCTGGGGCGCATTGGGAAAGGGCCCTTTTTGGTTTTCTGGCAAGTATGAAAAAGAGTATCTAGACGATAAGAAAAGATGTGTTTACATCTTTCTGAAAGAGGTAACACGCAGGTAATTAAGCCACTGCAGGAACAGAACACCCGTACACCACAAGTATACATCTCGTAAGCCGTACGTTCGAATCGCAGCCGCGACTGTGTTTTCAAGTGTTTTGGCATGGTTTGAGGAAATGAGGGCGAGCGCGCAGGAGCTTAACTATGTGGTGTACGGATGTTCTTGTTTGGTGTATGGGTTTTTGACTATCAGATGTACGGATGTTGTCTTTGGTGTATGGGTTTTTGAAGGGATGTAAGGGTTTTTCCATGGTGCATGGGTGTTTTGTGGTGTACGGATGTGAATATAGGAGGTACGGGTGTGAGTTCTTTTTGTGTCACCCACCAACCCCCATAATCTGGGGTACAAAAAGGATTTGCATTTTGCAACTACTTTCTCTTTCTGAAACAGACCGTATTTTACCTGACCGACCTGCTCTCTTGCCAAATATACTATGAACCCTGAACCTGAGGCTTCTGTTTTTTATTACGTCTCATTCAATTGTGGTTCCGTCATAATTGACTAGTCTTGATGACTTCTCTATAATATGTAACTGAACAACTTTGTCTACAAAATTAAGTTCTTCAAGCTATTAAGCCAATGCAGATGATTCATTTCGTGCTCAACCTCTAATGGAAAGTACGACTTGGCATCTTGTGATTTGACAATGTGGACAGGGCAAGTCTCTCAAATGTCAGCAAGCTTTCCGGACGCTCACTTAATGGCTTTGAATGATCCCAAAGAAATCTTAACTCCCCATATGAGTAAGAGATAGACAAATTTTTACCTAGAAAGAAAACAGACCAAGCTTCATTAAGAGGAAGAATGATCGGTTTCTATTAATTATGGATGCATTGAACTTGCATTGTGCTCAAAAGCTGAAATGAGATAACAAAGTCAAGCGGTTAAAACTTACGGGATCTGAAAGTATTACAAACGGCTTAGGTGACAAAGTAAATGGAGTATAAATCTCTGTCACAGATGTTCTGCCAACATTATAATTTCTGTCTAGATGCTAATATATCATTATAAGCCGGTCAGACCTCAAAACATGGCTTGTTGGTGGGATCTCTCGCATACTTGAGTGCCCAGGCAGAATACTTGTGAGCAAACGCCGACTCTTTCTTGTCAAAGGCCTTTTTTGCCATTACTGCGCTTCGAATGTCGGCAAACTGAATGCTTACGCTGAGTTTTTTTGAAATCACCGGCATGATCTCGACGATTGTGCCAAAACGATGGAAATCCCACTTGACACTCTCGGCATCGAAATCGTTTGAGAAATTCTCTTCCGGAACAGGGTACACCCGTTTGCTCCTGTAATCTTTGGCCACTTTTCCTTCCACTGGCTGGCTGAGTACAAGCATTCTCGAAGCATGGAAATAATCCACTTCTTCAACTATATAAGCGGGCAAATGTGATGGTGTTTCTTCACGGCTTACCTGAGCCCACGAAACATCGAGGTGTTTCCCATTGACCATAAAAAGGCCTGTTTCCGTAGCGTACTTGAGGAACAAATTGGCTTTGGCGGCTGAGAGGAAATGCACTTCGAGACACGGGTCTGCTGTTTTGTGGTAGACGATTTTCTCCAAAGCCCCGCCTCGGATCTGTGCCACCACATTGCCAATGGCAGTGTTTCCCGGGATCCCATGAAGAAGCACCGATCTCCTGCCTGCCTTCGATAACTCCGAAGCGCTAAGCGATCTTTTTGTCATCACCTGTTTCATATACTTGGAAGAAGCAACATGTCCGATCCTGTCGTTCAGAAGATAGCGGACTTTTTCGGCGTGGGGATCAGCAATGGTCAAGCGGCCCAAGTCGGCAATTCCAGGAGATTCCCGCGAGTCTCCTAGGCGGTCCTTGAATTTGGCCATATGGTCTTGGACGAAAACTCGCATGGTGTCTTTCCGATCGGCATTTACCAATCTTGGGTCTTCCCAAACATCTCTTTTCTGTTCAGGAAACCAGTCCCACCAGTCGCGAGTCTTCTTGCCCCAGGAGACAGATGGCTTGGCCCACATGTTTAGCAAAATGAAGAAGAAAGCGTTTTGCACCCAAATGTTTTTGCGCACCGGATTATTTTGAGATAAAGAGGAGACATACTTGGGCAGTAGAACAAATGAAAGGTCACACCAACGACTGACTTATGATGCTGTATGTGAATGATAGTTTGTATATTCAGACTAGGAATTCACCGAATAGATGTAAATAAAGATGTCATTAGCGGGAACTATAAATAATGAAGAGATAGATTGTAGCTTTACAAGGAGAACATAACCATTTATAGCAGGATTCATAGATCATGGATAGCTACTTCTAAAGAGTATCTTCTATTTGGATTTACCATAAATTGTTCTTTTTGGTATTTATTCACATATCATGGATTCTCATAAAACTCATCGATTGTCTTGTCCTTGACTTTAATTTTGTTATACTTGACTCTATTCCTAAAATTATACTACACCGTGACCTAAGCTCTTCATTTCTCTCCATTCATTCCTGTTCATTGCTTTATTTCTTCGTTTCTTATTTTCTTCATCTCTTCTCCACGCCTGTCTATATACATGTGCGATGATGTGAAAAGGCATCAATGCAAAAAACTTGACTATCTATTTTCAAGCTCCGCTTCAACAACAGTTTTGTTCGAAAAACTATGGAAAGCATTAAAAGAGCCGCAGATGAGGCCATTGGGCCCAACAAAAAATTCCAGCAGCCTGACCCGGCGAAAATGGTCCAGGAAAAAGACGTTGGCATCACCCAGTATATAAACGAGTCCTACAAGAACGGTGGAGGCTTTTTTGGCACGATCAAACAGAGATACTCTGACTTCCAGGTCAACGAGATCGACATGGCTGGAAACGTTGTGCATTTGACCGACGAAGGTGTCGACTTGGGCAAATCCAGAAAGGAAAAAAAATTGGAACAAAGACAGGCCATCCGGGCAGATCTCCAAGGAAAGACGCCCGAAGAAGTTGAGCAGATCAAGAAGGAGAAGGCCGAGAGCCAAAACGAAGCTGCCGAAACCGCTGAGGAAAAATCCCACTTCAAAGTCTCTCCAGAAAACAGAGAACGCCTTTTGGAATTCATCACCGCAGACGAGCTTGAGCAGATCGAAAACTTGTTCAGCACCGGAGGCAACATGGAAACGAAAACAACGTTCGGCGACAAAGCTAAGCGCACGCAGTTGCACCAGTTGTTCCGTCTGGCGTTTGAAGGGAAGTTGGAAACGCTCACCTCGAGCGAAAACACCTTCAAAGTGGCTTTACACAAGGGAACTTCGGGTGGCCAGCGCAGAAACAACAACAACAATAACAACATCAACCACGTGGACGAGCAGGGCGTGATCAACTACGGCTTGGGGCCCTTCAAAAACTACTTGCACTTCACCGTTTACAAAGAAAACAAAGAGACCATGGAAATCGCCTCCACCATCACCAAGTTCTTGCGGATCCCCAACAAGGCGGTCAAGTACGCGGGAACAAAGGACAGACGAGGCGTTACATGCCAGAAGTTCTCCATCCACAAGGGGAAAGTGGCCCGTGTGACATCTCTCAACAAGGGCCTTCGAGGTGCCATTTTGGGAGGCTTCTCCTACGAAGACAGATCGTTGGATTTGGGCGACCTCCAGGGAAACGAGTTTGTCATTGCCATTCGGGATGTGCGTGCTCTTTCGCCGGACCAGAACATCGAGGCTGTTATTGCAGACTCGTTCCAGTCTCTCCAGAAGAACGGCTTCATCAACTACTATGGTCTACAAAGATTTGGCACATTCTCCATCTCGACGCATGAGTTGGGAATCATTATATTGAAAGAGGACTGGAAGGGTGCCGCCGAGCTTATTTTGGCCGAACAGGACCGGGTGGTGCCAGATTCCGTCGAGGCCCGGCGCAAATGGGCCGAAACCGGCGACGCCGCAGAAGCAGCGAAGTTGATGCCCCGCCGCTGTTCGGCCGAACATGCCGTGTTGAATTCTTTGGCCAAGGAGAAGAAGGGCGACGACGGATACTCCAAGCAAGCGTATTTCCGGGCCATCATGCAAATTCCTCGCAACTTGCGCCTCATATATGTGCATGCGTACCAGTCGTATGTGTGGAACCTTGTTGTGTCCAAGAGAATGGAGCTTTTCGGGTTGGAAGTGCAAGAAGGCGATTTGGTGATGGTGGAGGAGAAATCTCTGGAAAGCAACATTGTGACCGAAATAGTCGATGGTGAAGTGTTTGCCGAGGATGTTGCTGGGCCCGCTTCTGACAAGGTGAGGGCCTTGACAAAGGAAGACATTGAGTCTGGAAAGTACACGATTTTCGACGTTGTGTTGCCATCTCCAGGCTATGATGTGGTGTATCCTACGAACACGCAGCTTATGGAGGTTTACGAGAAGGCCATGGCCAAGGATAGCTTGGATCCACATAATATGGGCCGCCGTGTCAAGGAGTTTTCTTTGGCTGGCTCTTATAGGCCAGTGATGGGTATGCCTCTGGGTCTCTCGTATGAAATTGTCAAGTACAAAGAAGACACCGACGCCTTGATCCGGACCGATTTGGAGCTTTTACGGGAAAAGGAAGCAACGGGCGCTGTTTTAGACCGCGTTGTCAAGTCCGAAGACCCAGAGGCCAATAAAACAGCCGTCATTTTGCAAATGAGATTGGGAGTGAGCAGTTACGCTACTATGGCCCTTAGAGAATTCATGAAGGCGGACACAAGTCGCTTGAGCGCCAATTTCGATGTGAAGACCGGAAAGACAGAGGAGAAATAGAGAAGTATCAGCATGATAGAGTGAAAGAATATTGAGACAATTATACTTTGTAGAGAAAGCATCAGCATGATAGAGTGAAAGGATATTTAGACAATTAAACTTTGTAGAAGACCGTAATATTGGTCGAAGCTGGTCTAGAATCAACTCAATACGTTTGGACATTGAACGTCGTGCTTCTGACATCAGTGACATGGGCCGAAACTTGAAGCTTTGAGATGCAAATGGAGCACAAGATAAAATAATCAATCAAGCTGACTTGGTCTGTGATCAAACTGGATCAATGATGCAAACCAGATTTGTATTCACTGTCATTGCTCGAGGTTTGAGAAGCTTAGAGACAATGGCATTGATCGGACCTCTTTTACATGATCACTGGCTCATTCTCATAGAATTTCTGACACATCTTTCTTCTGCAGACTTGGATCTGAGAGTCCTACTATTTACCAACACGGAACGATCCAAAAGATGTAAAGTCTGAAGTCACCGTTCCTTATGATCCTCGATTTGTTTGGCGGCATGGCGGCACAGCCTTCATATCTTCTTATCTTCATATCTTCATTTCTTCGTATCTTTGTATCTTCATATTCTTCAAATCCACAGTAGAATGAAGTATAAATGCAGATCAATTGTCCGCATGTATCCTCATTTATATTCATCTCTTTTATATATTCTTCGATTGTCAAACTTCGAATCTTTTGACAGTCTGGAGAACCAAGACTTATGATCAGCTCTAAGATACCTGTACCAAACATCAATTTGTTCGCCTATAACAGTCAGTGAGACTCGTGCCTCGTAGATGAGGTCGATAAACTCTTTTTTTTGCTTCCAATTCAAGGTTCGGTTCGTAGTTGCAAGCGCCATGATGAAAGTTTTCCAGATCTCGTTTGAGTCGGCTGAGTATGCCAAGAGGTAGTCTAACAAAGGTGTGTAGTTTCCTTGAGCAGCCTTTGTTTGTAACTCCATAAGACGGAATCCGTTTTTCACCATAAATTCCAATTCGTTACTTTGGGACTGAGGGATAAGTTCGTTCTCAACCCGGGCTCGGTCATAAGTTCCCACGGCCACCATCACTTTCTGTTGTTCTAGAAGTTGAGTGAAACACGAGTGGAAGGCATGTTCCATGGCATTCACCGCCTGACAAATTTCCGCTGGTTTTCCAGAGAAGAGCTTTTGATACTCCTCAAGGGGAAGGGAGAGGTATTCTCTCCCCGTGGGGAATGTTTTCCCAAAGTTCGATTTGAAACCGTAGTACCATTCTTGCAAGTAGGCTTTCTCCTTAATATCAAATGGGCTAAGATGTTTGATCACAAAGCGGCCCATAGCCTGTTCAATACTCTGCGCAACGAACAATGCGGTATACACAGCCGTGTTTGAAGCTAAATCAGAGAATTCCTGAAAGGATTCTTCCAGTGGGGATCTGGAGACAGAAGACGGAGTGAATATTGATAAGTGTTTGATTTAGAGATATCGGGAGAAAGGCATCCATCTCAGAATAATCTTATATCCGTGAGAACTACAGGTGAAACCTTCTTGACGCATTCAGGGGATGTGTATGCCATAGTTTCAGATGTAACATCAGGATGAAACTGTTGGAGTAATCCTGTGCATACATGTAAGTCTCAACAAGCTCTGTTCAATGTTTTCCCTGCACAATGTTCAAGGCTACCCCATAATCATGCCTCCAGTTAAAATCGTTTCACCTTCTGCCGCCAGATTGGCCCTTTCCGGCTCTGCCCGTGTTGTTCCTGTGGACGCCACGTGGCACATGCCCAACTCTGGGCTCGACGCCGCCAAACAGTTTGCGCAAGAGTCCCGGATCCCGAAATCGGTTTTTTTCGACTTGGACGGTGTCTGTTGCCCCAACTCCAAGTATCCACACATGTTGCCTTCGCAGCAGATCTTCGGCCGGGCTGTATCCAAGTTGGGAATCCAGAAGTCCGACACCCTTCTTGTGTATGACCGTCTGGGCATCTTTTCCGGGCCCCGGGCCGCATGGACATTTTCGCTTTTTGGCCACGACAACGTTCTCTTGTTGGACCACTTCAAGCAGTTTGAAGCTGAGGGCGGCGTCGAGTCGGGCCCAAACACGTTTTTCCCGGCGCCTGCCGAGTATTCCGGGATCGGGAATGAAGAGTTTCTGGAAAACTATCACCACCAGGTGATAGAGTTCGAGCAGCTTGTGGACCTTGTCGACCAGAAAGCCATTGGATCCGAGTACACTTTGTTTGATGCACGGTCCGCAGACCGGTTTTCGGGCAAAGCTCCAGAACCTCGCAAGGGCTTGTCTTCGGGCCATGTTCCGGGCGCCTTGTCTTTGCCCTTTGGGAAAGTGCTTGGCTCGGACGGCCATTACAAGAGCAAAGACGAGTTGCAGGCACTTTTCAAGTCGGAGTTCAACTTGGACTTGCTGCGTCCTTTGGACAAGAGAGGAATCATCGTCATGTGTGGAACAGGAGTCACCGCTGTGATTCTTCGTTTGGCTTTGGAGCGGGCTTCAGATGTGGACATTCCAATCAGAGTGTATGATGGTTCCTGGACAGAATGGGCGCAGAGAGCCGAAGATATGATTGAAAAGGATTAAGGATAATGGTAAAAAGTGAAAACAGGCGATTGGAAACGTACGGTTCTTGAGAAGCTGGCCTTCGCTGAAAGAGAAGACTATGGATATTGTCTTGATGGAGTTGAATCTTGAAAAGAGGTGGTTGGAAGCTTATCTAGAATAGAGGCAAGTCTACATTACTCGAGTAGGCTGAGATCCGGCCTTGTCAGTAGATTAGGCAAATTTGTAGCAACCCGAATCGTATCATGTCATATGGTTCTATAAACACCATAATGCATGAAACCGAGAAAGTCATGCAAGGAAGCAGTCTTACCTATCCACATCTGCTCCTAAACAACTCTCTAAACAACTCTCATGCTCCAAACCCAGTTTCTGCCGCTCTAGTGGCAGCAAATTTGGTGGTTGCACCAACTTCAACGGAATGTTTGATTGGGATTACCAGAGTTAGACATTCGGAGAGTCGTTCTTATCTTGAACCACTAGTAGTATAGTTCACAACAATGGTAGCATAATTCACAAGAGTGGTAGTACAGTTCCCAAGAATGGTAGTACTATGCTCTCTTTCCAAGAATGGTAGTGCTGATGTTCTTTTCTGGTGGTACTGGATCCCCTTCCTTAACTCCATAGACACACGGTGCTGTCAGAGCCGCCGCTGGCAAAAAGACACCGCATGTTTTCCGGATCGCTGCCTGCAAAATGAACAGCATTGACAAAGCCCGTATGTGCCTCTAACGTACGCACACAAGCGACCGTCCCCGATTCGGCTAGCTCGCCCAAATCCCACACGCGGATTGTCTTGTCGTCCGACCCGCTAAAGAGATACCGCCCGCTTGGATGGACGGCAAGTGTCCGCACCCACAGTCTGTGGCCCAACCAAGTCTGCAATGTGCCACGCATGCGCATTGTTCTGGACCGAGGGCTGCGGTGGGCGGTTGGCCCGGAGCTGCGGCGGCGGAAGAAGCCAGAGCTTGACCATATTGTCGCGGCCGGCAGAAACCGCGTACTTGAAGCCTAGCTGTGCGTAATCGGCGTTGGACACAATGGCCTCGGAGAGATACGGGAAGCGATCCATGTTTTTGAGGAGGTAAGCATCGACATGAGCACCCGCCAGGGGCGGCAAGAACCGTGCAGCCTCCACCACATGAGAATGGCCCACCAGCACAGCCAATCCCGCGCCGGAATCGTGCAGAAGCCGGACGGACTGGTCATTGGAGCAGGTCAAAAGGAAATCGCCCACGTGGCCCAGCACCACATCAACGTCTCGGACCCAGTCGCTGTGGCCCACGAACGTGCGCAAGCAGTGGCCCGAAACAACGTCCCATACTTTCACAGTCTTGTCTCGCAGAACAGAGTAAAGGGTGTTGGGCGACGATTTCGAGAACGCAAGCGCAGACACCGTGTGGTCATGGCCCGTGAGTGTGCGGACGTGGCGAAACTGGTCGCCTGCCCAAATCTTGATTGTGAGATCCGCCAGACACGATGCAAGAACGTACTCCTCCTTGTCTGTGAGGCTAAGAGGCACGTGTGACCACGCTAGCGCATTGGCGCTCCTTGTATGGGCGTGCCACGTTCGTATAGGCACCGTGGGGTCTGCAGCGGCCACGTCCCATGCCACAACACTGCCGTCGGCGCACGCAGCTACGATCCACGGCAATTGCGGGTGGATGCTGACGGCCGTGACGTACTGGGTGGACGCAGTGGCAAATTTGCGTGTGGCTGCGCTCGGAAGCCAGTCACTTCTGTCTTTTGCAGCCACGTTTTGTGGCGTGGCGGCTAGAAGCGCCTTGTATGTGTCTGTTTCGTTTTCGAGATCAAGGATTTTCTTCTGGAGCCGGAGCACCGTGGCCCATTTCTTCTCGAGATACCGTGGCACAATTGTGTCGTCTGAGTCGACTCCAAGCGTGCGCGAGAGTTTCTGAAGCGTTTCGGGCTCTTCTTCTAGAAGAGGCTCCATATACTGGAGAATGGCCTTGTGGAGTTCTGTCTGCTGTCGCGAGGTGAGAATGGACATGGCACGCGTATCAGGAACTATCAGCAGAAATCAAGAAGAATATAAGAAGAATTCAATCGTACAAAAACCAGATCAGTAGAAAAACAGTTGAAGAAGCTTTGAGTAGTAAGAGGTGCGATGTTGATCTGTGCTTCTCTGCAGGCCAAGAAGCATATACCTGCTAGGCTAGTAAAGTTTCAAATTCATCCTAAACTCAAAGGGGCTGTCTTTAGTTCGATGGGTATGAACAGGCTACAAATATGGTCAGAACTTTGGATTTGTTTATAGAGCAGAATTTTGGGTATGTGCGAACATGAATTACGGACTAAGTAAGGTATGCGTGAAGATACAGATCAACAGACAATGTTGACATTTTTATTGAGCGATTATTTCCACGGTTTATTTTTAGGGATATGAAGAAGCTGGTTTTGATGGCCATTTTGGAAAATCTGTCCTTTTTTACAGTTAATAAAGCAGAATTTCGGGTTCTCGTTTTGTCCTATATTGAAAGCACCATCACATATTGCCCATAAAAATGTATGCGCCACTTTGATGCTGAGAAATAGAAGCATCCAACCTCTGGATAGGATGATCTTCTTCGTTTCCATAACCTTGTGCTCTGACGAGATTTAGTATATTCTTTCATCCTTTGGCTTATGTTAATTCGAATTGCTTCTTCTAGGATCTGGGGAAACTAAGTAGTGGTAATGGGAAATTCAATATTCCCAACTTGCTGGAATACTGTGTACCATTTCTAGGGATTTAAGCCACAAATATTAATCTTACGCGGAGATGGGCTAGTTGTGAAAATATATTTGCATGGCATTTCTATCAAGAACATTTTACTTCGCAGATATGCTATGGGTTGGCCTACTTAGGTATCTTCCCATGGTCCAAGTTGACATTGAGTCTTGACTTTACTGTAGACTATTCACTTTACTGGATTCTGTAGCCTATTCACTTTACTAGATTTGTAGTAGACTCTGTTTACGAAATATGTATTACATATTAGTTCAGTTATGACTGGAACTACCTCTATTGATCATTGATTGGAGGGAATCGTTCATTGACACTCGAATACAATATTTTGTGAATATTCCAATCAGGCGAATGAGCTAGTTACCTTGAACAAATCATCCATCTCCCGACTCTATGCATCGAACAGTACAGACAAAATGTGTAACAATCACATGTCCATCAGGACAACAAATTTAGCGCTTCAAGGCCGCAAAACGCGCCTTGAGCTCGTCGTAGTCAGTCTGCTCCTTGCGAGGCTTCTTTGCCACGCTGGGTTTTTCCGCTATGGCCTCAGCCACGGGCTCTTCTAGCGCATTTTCTTTTGCCCCGCCCTCTTCATCGCTCTCGCTCGAATCTTCCTCGGGCAAGCCAGAGTACGGCACACCATACGCTCTTGCTATTTCGCACAAGTAAAGATCGACCAACGTCTCTTGCGGCGGGTCGATCGCACAGCTTTTGACGATTTTCGCCGGGACATAGTCACCGCCCGAGTTCTCTGCCACTTTCGTAGCAAACTCTGCGCCGTAGCGCATGCGCAACATGTCGCCCAAGGCAATCATCTCCTTGATCTCCGTGTAATGGGCCGCGTACACCACCAGCAGAACTGCGTCTTTCAATCCGGAATCCAAGGGCCGCTGCATGTCCAAGATAAGCAGCATTCGGGCCAAAAGCAACTCGCAATAGAGCTCGCAGTACTCAAGAAGCTCGATGTAGATGTCGTCGCGAATGATGTTCTCCACTCTGATCTTGGCGCTCAGTTCTTTGCCGGCGGTAAGAAGGTCGGCCAACTGGCGGCGCTGCTGTTTTGTGAGGGCGGTTTTCTTCTCCTGGAGAAACTTGAGCTTGGAGATGGCCATCTTGAGCGTTGTTTTCAACCTCGTCGCATTGAGCGGCGGCACTGGCGACGGTGGCATTTCTGAAAGATAAGATAGAGAGATACAATATGGTGGTGTGCACATAAGCGCTTCTTCATGAGTACTGGTATTGGCAAGCTATCACTATAGAATGTTTTCTCCAAAGGCAAGGCTAGAGTTTCGAGGCACAGACCTGTAAGGCTGAGATATAATTAAAAGATTGAAGTATATGGGGTGACACAGAAAATAGACAGAGACAATATGTCGATGATAAACGGCGAGACAGTATCAAACAAGCAGTCTGGCTAGTTCGGAGCGCCATGAACTGTTGACTGTACTTGACAATCGGCAGAAAATAGCGTCATGGACTGTTGGACTCAATTGACATTCGGCAGAAAAATAGCGTCATTCCACACCTGGCATTCGTTCACACAAACGGGAAGGTCACACTTCTCAGACTAAGCGATCAAATCCTTTCTCATTTTTCCAGGCTTCAACTCAGTCACTTCGACTGTCCTCATGCATGCACAACTACTCCTTCTCGTCCGTCACAATCGTGTGTTCATGTGCCGGAGTTCCGCGAACGAAAACTAGATCCTCCTCCTCCTCTATGTTATCGCCAGTAGTTGTCGACTGTAGAGTACAACAATGAATGCTTTCGATCCACTCGTCCGACAAGATCTCCTCCATGGTGGCACGCTTTGTGGGATCAATCTGGAGCATTTTCAGAATGATAGGCCTCGACGCATGTGGTAACAACCGCATCAAGCGGTAGGGGCCCTGTATTTGCCGGTGGTGCTTGCGTTTTTCGTCGTGTTCTTCTACACGCGGACTGGCCGGGCGAGAACGGGCAAACTGAGCCTTCATTTCGTTTTTCCGACGCTCGAGATCGTCTAGCTTAGCGTCAATCTCGCGCAACTCACGAGTCACTTCTTCCAACTCCTCTTCGCTGAGAACTTCGGTCTTGACATCTTTCGATTCATGCTTGTGCAAGTGAGACTTATGTGGATCGGGCTTCTCATGGTCATGTCTAGGTTCATGTGCGTCTTCATTCTTCTTATCACCCACATCCTCATTTTCATGTTCCTCCTTGGTATTTGCATTTTCATGTTCGGCCTTTTCGCTCGCTCCATGTTCGACCTTTTCGTTCGCTTCATGTTCGAGCTTTTCGGTCATTTCATGCTGAGCCCCTTCATTCTCGGTCTTTTCATGCACCTGTTCATTCTCAATCTTTTCCTGTGCCTTTTCATGTTCAGCCTTCTCTTCTCCATGGCGTCTGCGCTTATTCAGGCGTGCGAGCATATTCTTCAACTGCCGTTGCCGCAACAAAAGTTTATGACTCTCATTGGAAAGATGATAATCATGCCAACTGTCATCCTCCATGGCGTACAACTTGAAACTGTTATCCTTCTCTGGGCTTGGGATTTTCCAAGGGAAACGTTTCAATGTCATGCAGCAGTAGATAATGGCAATGGACCACAAGTCCACCGGTTGCGGGTTATACAGATTCAGACTCGAAAGCACCTCGGGCGCGAGATACGGGTCTGAGCCCACCACGCCGTGGCAGTGATGCACCTGGTCCTGTGACCCAAACTGGTCGTAGGGATAGCGGAAGATCACCGCACTGCCAAAATCGATGATTTTGAGGATTCCGTCTGTGGTGAGCACACAGTTGTCGAGCTTCAAGTCACGGTGGGCCAAGCCCAAAGAGTGTATGTACAGCACGCCTTCCAAAATCTGCTTCAAGCAGCAGTTGATCTCGGCCCGCGACATGTTCCCGCTCATGACGACGGCGAAAAAGTCGATGGGTGCGTACTCCATGATCTCATAGTAGCGGTTGTTTTCGTGGATGATATCAATGGTCTGGATGATGTTCGGGTGCCGAAGCGTCAGCCCAATGCAGTACTCAGCTGTGCACTTACGAGTGTAGTCCTTGAAGGACTCTGCGGTTCTTCTCGGACGGAACTCCTTGACGGCGAACGTTTTCCCGTCCAGCGGCCGCACAATGAGCCGAACAGAGCCGCCGGCGCCGGACCCGAGCTCCTTCTCCACCTTGCCGTATTTTTTCACAAGCGGCAGCTCGTCGTGCATAAAAGGCTCGTGGTACGGGCCCTCGGACTTCTTATGCTGCTGCGAAAGTAGCTGTGTCGATGTCTGGTTGATGAGAGCTGCGAGCGACGTCAGCAGTTGTTCACGACTGTGGACGCCGTGCTCACCGGAAACAGTTGTCTTGGAATTGCGTTTGACAGGCTTGAAGAGCCGTTTGAGCTCCACCATGCTGTGCGACTGCTTCACGTGGTCCTCGTGGCCAGGCGAGGTGTGGGACGGCGGCGCCAGAATGCCCGAGTGCATTTTGTGGGCGGGCAGATGCACCTGCTGCGCCTGGAGGCCGTGGGCCGGCAGCGGCACTTTCTGGGCCAGGATCCCGGGCAGGTGGAGCTGCATCTGCGCAGGCGATGGCACGGGCGGCGCGTCGTGGTGGTCGGACAGGTTGGTCAACGTGGGCGAGTTGAGCGAGTCCAGGGAGTCGTGGCGGCCAATGTGGAAGCCGAGAAACTTGCGGCCGCCCAGCAGTTGCGACGTGGACGGGTTGAGCTGGTTCTCCGTGCCCTGCTTGAAGTGGAAGAGCTTGAGCTTGTGTCTGTCGGGCATGGCGAACAAACGAGACGAGCAACAGAACGAAATGAAACGAAACGAAACGAGACGAGACGAAGCTACAGACAAACGAAACGAGACGAAGCAACAGACAAACGAAACGAAACGTGCAGCGGTCTAGACTGTCGGAACAGAAGCAGGCAGCCAATCGTGGGCTGGAAAAAGACCCTAAGTCTGGAGCTGGGAGGAGCTTAAGCTTGGAGCTGGAGCTTGACCTTGGAGCTGCGTCAGTGGGGCAGAACTCGGCGGGGAGAAGCGCGGAAAAAGCGGAAATGGCGGGCGGGACAGCGTCCACGGGATGCGGCAGTAACAAGTGCGTCTGTGAGAGAGAAATGCCGCCAGAAACACAAGCAGCAGAAAATGGGATTCGGCCGCTTCTTCCGTGGAATGGAGCCGCCTGAATAGTGGAGCGCGCGGGAGGCACGGGTGCGGGTCTTGTGACCTTGCGACTTTAACTGGGTCTTGGTTTTTCCTGTTTGGTTGCTGCGGCGCATTCTATTGGCCGGCGATGTGCACACCCGGATTTTTTTTCTGGCCGTCTTTGCTTGAATACGGACGTCCACTTGGATTTGGTTTTGGTTTTGGTTTTGGTTTTTGTTTGGGTTTGGTTTTGTCGTATGGGACATCCGGAGGGCCGTGCTGTGTGCAGTCTTTTCCGCATGACGGCGGTTTGGCGCCCTCACCTTTGACACTTCGGTGCGTATGCACATACAGTCTTATGCTTTAAGGCCGAAGACGCCAATGTGATGAGGCATGGGGGTATGAGTGTATGATTATGGTGACTATGACTATGATTGTGATTGTGATTATGATTATAATTGTGATTAAGGTTGGACTATGACTATATTATGCTATGAGACAGAGTATGACTATGTGAATATGACTATATGACTCACTGAGTACGACTGATGACTATGGGCCTATGAAAAATGAGTAGGGGTAAAATCGGTCTGGGTATAATGGTGATTATGACTATGACTTTATGAACATGACTTTGATTATGAATATGACAATGATTACGAATATGACTATGATTATGAATATGACTGTGATTATGAATATGACTATGATTATGTTTGTATGACTTTATCGACTATGAATTACTATATGACTATGCGACTATGTGGCTATGGGTGAGAAACGAGAATGGGAAAAATCGGTCTGAGTATAATGGGTATGATTCTATTTGACGGTAAATATGCGTGGCTATGAGTCTGACTATGGGTATAGTAAGATATGAACATGATGCTTATATGACTACGGGAAAATATGGGTGAGCATGACTTTGATTGAGTGAACGATCAACAAACAGGTGGATACAACTTTAGAGAGCTCCGCTAAATGAATTTCGCTGGAACAGCAACCTCAGCTGGCCCTTCATTTGTAGAAACATTCTTGTAGTCTTGATTTTATGTACGCTCTCAGCCCAGTGCCTGTTATGGCACTGAATTTGAAATTGCCTGTCAAGCTTCCATTTTAAGGTCATTGAGCTGAAGAAAAAAATAGAAGACTTGTTGAAACGTTCAAGAGCAACTTCTCCAGTATACGATCTCTATCAACGTTACTTGGAAGATGTCTGCAAAGCTACATCAAAGTCAATCTGCTCAAAAACTCTGTTTAAAAATGGAATGATAACTTGCTAATCTTGGATCCCAGGCTCACCTTTCATATGCTTGGATCATGTAACTGTAATCCTTGAACACTCCATCGTAATCTTTAAGGAATATCGCTAGAAGGCCTTCAATTTCTGAACTTTTCGGTGTTATTGAGCTTTCTGAAGTTTGTGTTTAAGAAGCTGCTCATGAATGTGGTGAGTAATACCAAAGCAAGTTTTGGTTTGGCTAGCCACCTTGCCAGCTAAACTAAATTATACTATGAATCTAGTCATCCTGCTTGCTACCCATTTGAATACTTCCGTTACCTGATGACAAATTCCATGCATAAACTTACTCACCTCTTTGGCTAGTTAAATCTGCTGCAAGCTAAAGGACCACTTTCAATGATAAAGACTAATGCCATCATTGAAAAAACACTGAACACAAAAATTGTGGTGAGTGAACAATGTAAATTGTCCAAAGTTGAATTTCAGTACATTTCTTCAACTAGATGCACAAGTCACTGTGATTTCGTTACTGTAGTTGCTCGTGTTGTGACTGTATCCTTTCACAACGGACTCCAAGTGGATGATCTTTTTACCACTGGTTATTGGGCCGGGCGAAGCCTGGTGTCTGTAATTGACGCCTTAACTTGTAATTTTGCGTTGCTTCGCCTGACTATTCTGTATTTTCCGGATACTTATCTCAATTTTCAACAAAGTTAATTGAATCTATATATTTAATCATATTTTTATTATTATTACTTTTGTAAGTACGTAAAATACAAATTGTTTGATTAAATTTAACTCATTCCGGTTAGCCTACTGATATTAGAAGATGTGCTTCGTTGAGTCAAAAGAATTGGAGACTTTAATAGAATGGTTTGCGCTAACGCAAGCTACAGAAGCAATCAGTGATAAACTCACCAGCCTGTTCATCAAATATTCCAGATCACTAGTCTCATAATCACTGGTCTCCATAATAGTGGACCATGAACCATACTAACACTAACCTTATCGAAAAAGCAACCGAGCTGCAATCGAGTGCTAAGAATCTTCTCTCGCTTTTTCTGTCTCTTGCGTTTTCGCTTTCAACAAAGTTTTTACATGTACCAAACTGGTTTACACCCGCTATTACCTGGAACGATAAACTACATGGCAATCGATCAGTAGCTTCTCTACTGGGCCACCTTCGATCTCTTCATTCTGGTCTTTCAAAAAGTTTTCATTCTCGTACTTTCTAACTCTTCACACGCCCACATTCAACGCTCACTGCTCCTCGTCCTCCTTGATGGCCGTGCCACGAACGTGTTTCTGGCGCTCGGGCACGCGAGGCGCCGGCTTGCTGTGCTTTCTTGCGTTCTCCTCGCGCCGCTTCAACGACTGGAGCTCGACCGTCTTGATCTGCTGCGCCTTCTTCACCACACTAGGCAAGTGGCGGTGTCTGGCAATGCGGCGCACCTCGGGCATGTACTTGTAGCGGTCCTTCAACTTCTGGTCGTAGTTGAGCTTGGCGCGTTCGCGAGACGACTTGACGTTCGACCGCTCCGATGCGTTGCTCCGCCACACCCTCACGTTGGCGTCGTCCGAGCCACTGAGCACATACCGCGAGTCTGTGGTGAAGCCCACGCAAAACACATGCTGCATCCGCTTGGTGTGGTAGACATCACGCGAGTGGCCTTCGCGGGCCCGGTAGAGGCGGATGGTCTTGTCGTAGGAGCCCGTGACAAGCTCCTGGCCCGTGGGACTGAAGTCAAGGTCCGTGACGGCACTGACGTGGTCCTTGTAGATGTTGAGACTCTTGGTCAAGTTGCGCATGTCCCACAAGTAGGCGTTGTGGTCCTCGTGGCCCAGCGCAAAGTGGAACGCCTCCATCGGGTTCCACGAGAGCGCATTGGCCCGGAAATTCGTCACCACCTTCTGCACCGGCGTGCTTGTACGGATGTCGTACAACACAATGGAGTTGTCGGCGCCACACGACGCCACCACGTTGGTTTCCGTGCGGTTGAACCGCACGCTGTTGACGTTATCGGCGCCCCACGACATGTTGGCCACGTAGTTGGACCGGCTCATGTTCCAGAGCTGCACCGAGGCGCCGCCGGTGACGAAAAGCTCGTCCGACACATGGTGGTCCAAGCCTTTGAAGGCGTGCTCGCCGCCAAACGTTTTGAGCAAGCCGGCGTCCTTGACTTTGGAGTCGTCCGTTTCGCCAAACTCGTTCACGTCCAACGACCACAACTTGATGGTCTTGTCGTCTCCGCATGAGAGCAATCCTGCTGGCGACACGAAAAGGCCCGTCACCATGCCGTAGTGTGCTCTGAAGCTGAGCGTTTCTGCTCGCGACGTCATGTTCCAGTACTTGACCACACCGTCGCCCGAGCCCGAGGCCACCTGGTTTGTCGTGCGGAAGTTGCGGGCAAGACAATAGACACCATCACGGTGTCCGTCGCCGAGCTGGCCCACAAACGGACGCGCAAACATTCTTTCGAGCTTTGTGGCCGTCACCGCTCGCGTGTATTCTCGGGCCCGCTCGAACGGGTGGAGCGCCGGGTCCAAGTTGCGGGGCAAGGCGGATTCTTGGGTGTTTCGGGCGGGGACATAGGTGTCGGCCGAGCGAGAAATGGTTTTGACTTTCATGACGGTTCTGGTGTGTTGGACAGATGCACCAGATGTGTAGATGCAGTTAAGATGTAGTTAAGATGTAGTTAAGATGTAGTTAAGATGGAGTTAAAGTGTAGTTAAAAGTTGGCGGAAAGTTGCAGGTAGAAGACTCAACTAGATCGATCAACAGATATATCACGGACAAAAGCAAGTATGCAAATCGGACTTGCAAGTATGGCACGGACTTGGACGATGGCTTATGTTTCGGCTTGATCCGGTCAGCTTGTTGGAGAGCCAAAAAATTCAAATGGAGATGACTTCGCAAAGATGGAGAAAGTTGGCGATGAGCATGTGTGCACACCTGTAGGTGGGACTATTCGATCGACTGGACAAAATATTTATTCACAAGCCAAATTCATCAGGAAAAATTTTACGCTTGAGCTACGATCCTACGGGTTTATTTTCCGCCCAAAAGAGTTGGCTATAGGGGAGTAATTATGCGTTTTTGTATATCTCATTCTTCGAATTCTTCATTCCATAGATAAGTTACAGAAGAGATAAACCGACATGGGCCATCTTGTTTTCTTTTTCTTCTTTTTCTTCTTTTTCTTCTTTTTTGTTTTTCTCCATTGTAGTATGTCTGCGCAGTGGTATGTATTATTAGGCGTTGTCATCTAGCAACTTCTATAGAATAGTAGTACAAAACAGAATGGGGCCCAGGTGAGAGCCAGTATTATTCTCCGGTATGTGCCATTTGCTTTATTGGCTCATCTGGTTTTCCTTCTCGTGTCAACCTTTCCCGGCTGTATACTCCTGTTTATCCAGGGATGTGTCGCCTTGTTTGTGTTGGTTGTCCCACATAAGTCCTGCTTATGCATACTTGTAATTAAATGGTGATATCAAGCACCAAGCTCACGTCGTCCACGTTCAGCTTGGAAATGTCTTCCAAAAATGGAAGCAAGTCCAATAACTCGTTGTCGTGGGTGTCGCTGAACCAACTGGAGATGGGGATTGAGTGCTGAGGGTGGAAAATGTAGGACGCAGGTGAATTATCAATGATAATCGAGTCGCTCAAAGGACGACCAATCTGAGATAAGTTCTTGATAAAGTTGCCCTCGTGGTTGTAGCAAGAGTCTCGGAAGAGCCGGTGATGCACGGATTTGGAGATATCCAATTTGTTCAACAATGGATCACCATACTTGGCCACCGATGCAGTAAACACCACCACCTCAAACCAGCGGCCCACTTTTTCCAAAAACTCGTCCACACCAGGCCGTTTTATCACATACACGTGATGCACCTGGTTGTCAATCTCCACTGGGATGACAAAGTCTGCAGTGCGCAAATACTTGAACGACGAGTGCACAAGCGTCTCGTCCAAGTCCAAAATGAGACATTTTTTGTTGCCAAAACGTGCTATATCCTTTTTACCCAAAAGAAATCCCGTTTCTGGGTTGAATGCTTGGCCCTCCTGAATTTTGGACAAGTCCAACTCGGACTCGTTATCCATGAGTTCCTCTATAGCGCTCGGGGCCACGTCAGGTTCTGTTGGAGGAATTTCATCGGAATCTAAGACCGGAGCGTTATTGTTGCTTTGCTCGTTGTTTTCAGCTATTATGGGTGTTGTGTTTGACTCCTCGTTTGTGTTGGTGATGGTGTCGGTCTCATTGACCGAGTGGTCGTCGTCCAACATGTCCTTTTTGGACTTTTGCTGCGTTTTCTGCGGCACTTCTTTCTGCGACACGGAAACTTGCGGTTTATCCGAGTCGTCGCTGTCTGTTTTGCCCGAAGCGGGAGCGGCGCGTTTGGCGGTGAGTTTTTGCTGTGCTGGTGGGTGCCGTTTAGTCGGGTGGCTGTTTTTGTTTGTATGCTCGTCGTTGGCGTCTCCACAACAAAGAAGCGACGTGAAAAGACCCATGGTGAGAACAGAGGGGCCCGTGGTAGTAAAAGACGGGGAACGGACGGAAAAACGGGCAGGGAAAAGTCTAAAGCCAGTCTAGAATTTCAGTCTATGAAGCACAATCTATTTCGCCCTAGGAAAAGCCCGAAATGAAGCGTGGCGGAAAAGAAAGGGAGCGGCGCCTACCTAAAGAAAACACAAGGGCAGAATGAATTTGAATAGCGCCAGGAAAAGGTGGAGGCTGGTTTTCTGGAGCCACGGTGGCACGTGTGGGAGGATGGAGATTTTTGGTTTGCTTTTTTTTCCAAATTTTATGGAAGCCAACTAAGGTTGTGGTGAAAAGTGGCGAGGAAAGAAATGGGAAAAAGATGAGTCTTGGAGTTGGCGAGTATTTTTTGTGGATACTGGCTTGCTGCGGCGACATTTTTCCCTCGTTTGTGCCGGGAAGTGCGCGACATTTCCCATTATTCCGTTGGCACGGGGTCAAGACGGAAAGAAAGACAGAAAAGGGCAAAAAAGAGAGATTTGGGAAAAGCATATAGGGTAGTTGGGAACGTTTCTATCGCTTTCTTTCAAACGTGCCGTTCTTTTCTTGTCTTTAGATTATTTTCGGGGGATCTTTGCTGTTCGTCTATTCTTGCACAGAACGGCTGAATGTTAGATAGAGGATTAGAGGTTATCAAAAAGCAAAATTGGACTTCGATACCATTTGAGCGTTTATTGATCTAAGGCCGTAACTTTAGTAAATCAGTAGGTTAATCCATTGAATTTAGCGAAATTTATCTTAATGGCACATTTGTCACGTTTACGAAGCTTAGATGAGTATGCCAGTTGTCTCTAAACTCCAGTGCATAGAAGCAAAAACTCCAGTGCATAGAAGCAAAACTCCAGTGCCATAGAAGCGAAACACTTGTATAAAAAATATAAGTCAGCCTACGCTACTTCATTCGGCAAAGAATAAAGCAACATGTTGCTATATCCTTTTCTCTCGATATTGGCCAATTTGGGCCCAAAGTGTCTTTGGCCATTTGAGACGCGCCCGCGCCTTTTCTATTTTTTCGCGTAGCCAGCCACCCTAGAACCAGCATTTTTCTCTTTGGGTCTGATCTGATTTTATTTGTTTTTCTGAAGTGTTGTTCTTCTGTCGCTTGTCTTACTTTCTTACTTGTCTTACTCGTTTCGATTGTCTTGTCTCACTTGTCTGCTGCCTAGCTTTCTCCCAGTCTATCTATCTCACCCTCAAACAGCATGCTGGATTTTGCTGTTCCTCATACGCCGCCTCGAAGTGCCTCCAAGCCGAAAAACCAAAAGCTGTTCCCCGTGTTCCAGCTTCCGCTTCAGACGCCAAAAACCCCAAAGAGAAAAGTTGACAAGAAACTCACCACTCCGGGCCAACAACCACAGGGCCTGCTATTGCCGCCCACTCCTGATTTCACGCCCCACAAGTCGCCTCGCAGAAGGAGAAAGTTGATTGTTGAGGAACTATTCGCCGTCTCTGAGAATGTCGGCCTGCTATTGCCCAACCATGCTATGGTGGGAAGCGGAAGAAGGCTGCTACCGCTGCAGAAACCACTCAAATCAGCATTGGACTTCGAGGACTTTTCGCTGATCCACAGTAAGTTGGATTTCGAGGAGGACCTTTTCGAAGATCTGTTTGAAGCAAACCTCATGGCCAGCCCGACGAAAAAGAGGCACGTGAAAGGGCCAAAGCACGAGAAGCAAGTGGCCCAAACTCCAGGAAACCAGCTCATCACCGACGAAAAAGTCAACCTGTGGCATGGAAAGTCTTTCAACACGTGTTTTTCGTCAGACGAAGAGTCTGACGTCGAACTGGCACCACACGAACTCCACAACCCGTTTTTGGACCCGCCTGCTGTGCAGAAAAAGACCTTGTCGAAAGCTTTCCAGTCGAAACTGCCAGTCGACTACTCGACTCATATAGAGTACATTAACCACCGCACAGGTGAACGCAGAGTAGAAGAGCTTACGGAAGAACAGAAACAATTCAAACCAAAGAAAATCGACTTTTCAAAAATATAGAAGCAGCTCCTGCCACTGGAATGGCAAAGAGATCGGCCAAAGTTGAAAACGTGAAGAGGCACGTAATTTTACTATAGAGTTTTCGGATGATTTCCACTTCTATATGCGCTTATTTCGATATTAAATAGCATCTTTTTTAACGGAAATATGACACTTCAGATTTTGCTGGAAGCAGTTGTAGAGTGGATTTCAACACACTATGACCAGTATACGAATCTTTGTGAACGGGTGTATGATTGCAGGAAGCTTTGCTTAATTGTTTCTGTAAAAAACGGTTTCAGTAATCACTTGTACATGTAATTTATGAAGAGCAAGAATTTCCAGTGAATTAGACATCTAATTCTAGCAACGGGCCATTGTCTGGAAGATGTAATACTACTGATGGCAGATTACGTTAGTTGCAGCTCTCACTTCTGAAGTTTTTTGCACGAAAACAGCTCAAGAACATTTGGTTTTCGGCCTATACTTTTTCATTCGCCCAAGGGCGTATCTCGCACTGTTTCGCAGTAAATTGCGCCGTTTCGCAGTAATTCGCATTGATTTCGCCCTCTTCGCCCTCTTTCGCCCATTTTCATCCTCGCCCATTTTCCTCCGTCTGCACACTTAACTCGCACTTCCATCTCAACTTCTTAATCCATGTCACTTGAACAGAGCGGCGAGATCCAGCTCGACGAAGGCTGTGAATGGCGCTTTGAAGTGCCCTTCAAAACCATCTTGACGCTCAAAGTTGTTGATGGCATTGGCGAGATTTTTGGCACGGAACTTCCCAACGACACCGAAGTCCATCTTACGGGAGCAAAAGCCGCCGTGTATGCGCCTTTGCCGGCCGGGTGCCGTTTCCAATACTCGTGCTCGCTCAATAAAGAGAATGTCAACATCTCGAGCGAAGACGCCAAAGTCAGCGAGTACGTGAGTGATGAATCTGCTGTTCCAGCCTATACGCGGCTCCATTTTGCGTTGGATGTTAAAAGACAACAAGCACAGGCATCGGCGGCTAGAGGACCCGTTGTTATGGTTGTGGGCGGCGCCCAGTGCGGCAAAACAGCCCTCGTGAAGATATTGGCCTCGTACGCCGCAAAAATGGACAGATGCCCGCTTTTGGTCAACTTGGACCCGCAGCAGGGCGTTTTCTCTGTGCCCGGGTCGTTGACGGCCGCAGTTGTTAGCGACGCTCTCGACTTGGAAGCTGTGGGCGGCTGGGGCGAGCTGCCGACACTGGGAGCGGCGTTTCGCCAGCCCAAACAGCCTTTGGTCAAGAGCTACGGCTTTTGCGCCCCACAGGACAACTCCGAGCTCTTTGAACACCAGGCGGGCGCCCTTGCTGCGGCCGCACATGAACGCATGGCGTCAGACGCCAATGTCCGTGCTTCTGGCATGATTATCGATACGCCGCCCTGGACAATGAAGGACGCAGACCTCGTACAGAAAATCGTGGAGCGGTTTGAGGTCGACGTTGTGATTGCCGTGGGCGGAGATAGACTTGCCGTCGACCTTCGGCGGACGTTTCAGTCTCGCGTGGACGAAAACCGCTTGGATATTGTCAAAGTGCCTCGTGCCGGCGGAGTGGCCGAGGTAGACGGAGCGTTTTTGCGTAAAACACAAGAGGACCTGATCAAAGAGTACTTCAACGGGTCGCGACGCACGCACTTGTCGCCGTTCAAAACCGACGTGGATGTCAAGTCCGTGGTCATATATAAGGCTGTGCGTCTTCTGGAGTACACTTCCCAAATGGCATTCTTGCCTTCTGGAGACTCGTACACGCAGGAGGACACGAAACCAGACTTGGCCTTGGACAAGTACTACGTGCGTATCGAGGCTACAAGCGCCAATTTGGAGAACTGTGTGTTGGCGATCACGCAGTTGGATGCATCTGAAGAGCCGCTGAAGTTGTTGGAGACGTCTGTTCTCGGCTACGTACATGTGTCGACTGTGGATGACACCAAGCAAAGAATGTCCATGTTGTTGCCTTTTCCGGGACAGATCCCAAGAAAGGTGCTCATTGCAACTGACATTCGGTACACGGAGTAAGAAAAGAAGGAAAAGAAAAAGAAGAAAAGGAAGAGAAGAAAAATTTCAGAATTGAGGTTCTAATTTCGATTCACGAATGATGCTCTCTGTTCTTCAGGACATTATATAGAGTCTAGGGCATTGAGCAAAACAGCGCACAAATCGTGCGAGTGGGATATATGTCAGCTTATCTACTGGATCATTTGGGAAATTTTTATGAAAACGTTTTAGGACCGTTAAAGTTGTTCCAGTCAAACACAATTAGTTCGCCCGAAACAACAAGCAAGAGGATCCAAACATAGTATCAAAAGCGGTATTTAATATTCTGTGCTGACTTATATCTACAAAAACTTTTAGAGATCTATATATTAGACAAAACTGTATTAGCCATTTCGTCATTCTTATAGCCTCAAAATACGCCCGTAAGATCAGTATATAGAAGGAAAGACAGACATGAAAGAATTCAAAAACTACTTAAAAAATATGTCGGGACAAACCTGACTGTATTCAATAAGAAATTCAACAAGTAGAATTGATGGAGAGATATTGTTACCATTTCAAGCAAATCCATTCCGAAGCCTAAATATGAAGTATAGACACTTGTTGTCGTAGCTCATTCGGAAAATAAATCCAATGATTCTAAAATACTAATGACTTTCACTACAGCACTCTGTCTTCGAAACCTAGCCTATTTATTGTCCCATATCCTATGTGTAGATTTGTGGATCTCATTATCCGAAACCAGTCAACCAGTCAAATCCGAATCAGCGGAACTTATTGTGAAAACCGGAATGCACTGGCTTTCAACTCCAAAGTCTAGCATCTTACGGGTATGTTTGTAGTGTTTTCCTTATCCACTTCGCCAGACATTTTATCACAGTCAACTTCCAGCATGAACTATCACTTCCATCCCAACTAATCAAAGGGCATAGGTCGAGACATCGACGCAGCCACAGCACTAGGAACCTTGATGCCGCAACAATCGCCCCATGTGTTATGCAGACACCCAGGCTCAGGAGCATGCTGGCCCACGCCTTCGGGCGCGGTCAAAATCGACCCAAACATCATGTGTTGCACGATAGGCAACTTTGCAAGCACTTCAGCAGCGTACATTTTCACCATACCGTCCCTGATTTTGCCCCACGTTTTTGCAGCCAGAATATCGTCAAGCATGGGCAGGTGCCACCGAAGACTTGCTTCTTCGTGGCCCGGAACGGTTTTAATGCTGTTGATGAAATGGATGCACTCCAAATACATGTACTGGCGCCAATACGTCTCGACCAACTCGCGATTGTGGACCAGTTTGGGTTTCATATGAGGGTGGGGCGCCAACTGTGCCGACCCAAAGAGAAATGGAAGAAAATGGTAATCGTCCAAGCCCCAAACACCGTGCGAACCTGCGGGTTCAAGCCAATATGTTTTTTGGAGGCGCCGCATCACGGCCATGTACTTGTTGAACACCACAATGATGAGTGCTTGGTAGTCAGACGGTTTAAGAACGCCAATCTCTTTCAAGCAGTAGAAAAGGCACAAGAGGTTGAGTTCGTGCCCAGACCCGTAATCAATACGCGTGCGGTCCCCCCAGGACTCGGCAAAATAGCAGCCAAGCTCCTCAGCGTGGTCCGGGGCCACTGCCGCCATCAACAGCGGTGCTTCGGCGCTGACCTGGTCGTAAAAGCCCCGGAACTCGGGTTTTCCGAACCGGGACACGTTTTTGTCGCGCACAACGGGGTTGGCGTCTATAATCTGGTCCACGCGGTCGATAGCAGCGGCAATAGAGGCGACTGGAGCGGAAACGGCGACTTTGGCGTCGTTGGCAACTCCAAATACGGAATCCTGGAGGTCTTGCACGAACGAAAGAAGGGCCGCATGCTGCAGGGACTGGGTCCATATATCGAGATCCTCGCGCAGGAGAATGCGTTTCTGTGGTTTCATTGAAGAGTAAAGAAAAAAGTGGTTGAAATAAAAGTAGTGAAAGGTGATCGGTATCAGAGGCGATCGATAGCGTGGAGACTATCTGCAGGATTATAGTTAAGGATGGTCGGAAAGCGCGTGGACTTTGTGTCGGAGGCCAAGGCGATGTGAATATGGAGACAAGAGTAGGTAAAGACAGAATAGACAGAAGACAGAAGACATAATAGACAGAAGACAGAATAGATAGAATAATGCAGAAAAGGAAGAAGACAGAATAGATATAATAATGCAGAAAGGAAGAATAGACAGAAAAGACAGAAGGCAGAATGGCAGAATAGGCAGAAGACAGAAGACAGAATAGACAGAAGAGAGAAAAGGAAGAAAGCAGAGTAGACAGAAAGTCACAGCAAGATGGAATGCTTTCGCACTTATGCGAACAATCAACTGAATGCGAGAATTGCCATGCGAATGGATCTTGACCTGAATGCAGAAATCGGGCAGGTACTACGGCCAAGTATCAGGCAAGTACTACAGCCAAGAACGGATCCGTTCACTTACTATGGCATCTGCCCAGTCATCCAAGCCACCAAGTAGTAGCATATTGCTTTCCTGCATACACGGCCCTAGGTATTCATCTCAGTGCTCGCTTCAACGCCCACTTCCATCTCTTCCATCACTTCCATCTCTTCCATCTTCATACCCTATCGTTCATATCCCATGGCTCGACCATTTGTGTTTGGAACGCTGCGGGAGGCATTCCGCAGCCAACTCCGCACCACGCCGCACCTTGCGTCGCTCTGGCAGAAAGGGCCCGGCGGCACGCTCAATTGTACGCGAAGCATGCCCATGGAGATCGGGCTGCGGCAGGAGATTTTCGCGGCGGCGGCGCAAAACCCGGGCCGCGCGCCTGTTCGCGTGGCGCAGACAGTGGCGTACGCCAAGGCGCTCGCGCGGTTTTACCGCTACGGCTTGGGCGCGGCGTGGCGCAACATCAAGACGGCGCGCGCGCTCCGGCGCCAGTACGTGCTTTCGCCGTGGGTGGACCGGGCGGGCGACGCGGGCGCCATCAGTTTGCCGCGGTTTCGCGTGCTTGCGCGTGCCATGGCGCAGGCCATATATATGGACAAGATGGAGGGAGACAAGGTGAGGAAAACACAAAGGTCTGAAAAAACAGAGACGACAGACACAGAGAAGGCAAAAACAGAGACGACAGACACAGAGAAGGCAAAAACAGAGGCACAGCCAGCAAAAACAGAGGCAATCGTGACTACGCCAGAATCTTTCTCAACTGAAAACTCAGAAACAGCAAAAGGGACAGAGGCAACGGGAGCCGAGGCAACAGTTTCTGATGCGGAAGTTGCGAAAACGCCTTCTGAAGCGACACTTTCTGGCGAAAGTGTCGTGCCTTCTGGCGAAAGTGTCGTGCTTTCTGGCGAAGGTGTCTTGTTTTCGCTCGCGCGGCGCGACTTCCAGCTTCTCCGCCGCGCGCCGCCCGACGCCGCCAAACTCCCGCTCTTTGCGCTCGTGGCCACGCTCTTGGGCGAGCTCACCCCGCTCATCTGCTACGCGGTGCCGGAAATCATGCCGCTGACTTGCTGCCTCCCGCTGCTTTTGCCGCGCGTGTGGCGTGCCGCGCCGCTCGAAAACGTCCGCACGCTTGTTCGCGCGCAGCCGCCCGACGCCTACGCCCAGAAAACCGCCTTTGCCTTGCCGCCCGCCCATGTGCGCGCGCTCTGCCTGGCGCTCCGCCTCAAGGCCCGCTACATCCCGCTGTGGATGTACCCCGAGAAAGTTCTCCGCCAGAGGCTTCAGGACCACTACAACTATTTGTGTGTGGACGACTTTTACCTCAGCGGCCATAACGGCGACGGCAATGTGTGGAGCTTGACGCCGCAGGAGGTTGTTCTCGCGTGCTTGGAGCGGAATCTCGGCGGCGACGTGCGCCAGTTGGTGTCGGGCACCGAGCCCGAGCGCCGCGAGCGCTTGGTCCAGTGGCGCTTGAAGTTGGTGCAGTATCTTGCCAACGCGCCTGCGGCCAACGTGGGGTATTTGGGCGTAGCCGCCCTCATGGAGGCGCCGCGCGCCGAAATCGCCCGCTGGTAGGCCAGGGCCACTGTAAATAGGCCGAACTGTAAATAGACAAGACAAGACGAATAGACCCAAGACAAGACGAATAGCCCAAGACAAGACGAATAGACCCAAGGCGTAAGAGGATGTCGTAAAGACTGAAGGCTTATTAATAAAATATTTTATATATTTCCACATTTTCAATGTGGGGATATTAAGCTAGTATTAAACAAATAGCTAATGTTAAATTAGGTAATTTCAATTGATGTATATATATTAATGGAGATCATTTACCTATTTTAGGTGCTTTAGCAGCTTTATCTGTTTTATTATCTGCTTCATATCAAATGAAATTAACTAATAGATTAACTGGTGGTATTAAAACACCTTATATCTCATTAACAGCTGATTGTACTTATAGAGAATCTTTCTTAATGTGAGCCTTAATAGGTCGCCGTAAGAGGACATACTGAATAGGACGTCAGTTAACGTTGGTATTCGGTAGTTGTAGATTTGTTTGCAGTGGTTTACTAATATGCTTGGTTTAATATGTTTGCTTTACTGCTTCTGGTGGGATTCACTGCTCTGGTGGCATTCACTGCTCCAGATTGTTGGTATTTCTGTCTCCAAGTCTTGGTGCTTTAAGGTGACAGGTTCTACTAGTCATGTAGTGAAGGTTTTTGGTTCTTACTTCTTTCTGTCCTTCTGCATGACAACAGCGCATGTCAATCTCTTCTCAAATGACTCCATCTTCGGCGAAATCGGCAGTAATACGAACTCTTATCGACCTCCGCATGTATCTTATGTGTAAAGATTCTGGTTGACGGACCACTGACCCAAATGGCATTATTCTCGATATGTAGAGATTCTGCCTACTGCGTTTTACTAGTTTTCAACATTTAATCACCACCGCATCACAATGAATCGCACTTCCGTCCTTTCTTTCTTCTTCGTTTTTTATTTTCACTCTTCTCATCATAACACGTTCATCTAATTCGATCTTCCCTAGCTCTATTTACCTCCCTCTGTACTTCTTCCTCTGTGCAATTCCACACCTATTCCTCAATACTCATTTTCCTGCTCGTAGTGCGAAAACAAACCAACTTCATCTTTCATGACACCCGTGCCGAGCGCCAAAACGCCCATCAAAATCGAAGAGGGCGCTTCTGTCGCCGAGTTCGGCCCGGAAGATATAGTGTCTGGGTGCAAAGTCTATGTGTCCAAAGAGAACAGCACGCGGTTGGCAGAGATCTTGCAAATCCACTATAAGAAGGGCCACAAGCGGTTCTACGTCCACTATCAGGATTACAATAAGCGGCTTGATGAATGGATCACGCCAGAAAGAGTCGATTTCCTGCGGCCCATGTTTTTGCCCGAGGAGAAGTCCGAGGAAAAGAAGCAGGGAAAGCTGAGCAAGACCAGCAAGACCAGCAAAACGAGCAAAACAAGCAAAACAAGCAAATCCAGCAAGGCAAGCAAAGACTCGGTCCCACCTCCCCTGCTGGAAGGAACACCGTTGGAAAACGATGAGATGGACCTTGACAATTTGAACGTGCAAGGGCTCAAGTCAGAGAATGAAAAAGTCAGTCGAGAAGACGAGATTGAAAAGCTCCGAACAAGCGGGTCGATGATCCAAAACCACTCGGAAGTGGCACGTGTCAGAAACCTATCGTCCATCATTTTGGGCGAACACATCATCGAGCCCTGGTATTTCTCGCCGTATCCAATCGAACTCACAGAGGAAGACGAAATCTACATCTGCGATTTTACGCTTTCGTATTTTGGGTCGAGGAAACAGTTTGAACGCCACAGAGCGAAATGCTCCATGAAACATCCACCCGGGAATGAAATCTATCGTGATGAAAAGGTGAGTTTCTGGGAAATCGACGGACGCAAGCAGCGTACTTGGTGCCGGAACTTGTGCTTGCTCTCGAAGCTATTCTTGGACCACAAGACACTCTACTATGACGTTGATCCGTTTTTGTTTTACATCATGACGAAAAAATCAAAGCATGGCCATCATGTGGTGGGTTACTTTTCTAAGGAAAAGGAAAGTGCCGATGGTTACAACGTTGCATGTATTTTGACACTTCCGTGCTACCAGAAAATGGGATTTGGAAAGCTTCTCATCCAATTTTCATACATGTTGTCGAAAGTAGAGAACAAGGTCGGATCACCTGAAAAGCCGCTCTCGGACTTGGGACTTTTGTCTTACCGTGCGTACTGGACTGACGTATTGGTGAAGTTGTTGGTGGAGCGGTGCAATCCTCATTTGTACAAGAAGAATAACATACACCACGAGGACCGGGACTCGTTGCTGCCACCGCCAAGAACGGGCACTCTGCCGCCTGAAATCACCATCGAGGAGATCTCCTCCATCACCTGCATGACCACAACTGACATTCTTCATACGTTGCTGACGCTTCAAATCATCAAGTACCACAAGGGGCAGCATATTATTGTTATTACAGACCAGATCATGGCATTGTATGAGAAACTCACGAAAAAGGTTCGTGAGAAGAAAAAACATGAGCTTGATCCAGCCAAACTTCAATGGACACCGCCGTCCTTCACAGCCAACCAGTTGCGGTTCGGATGGTAAATATAATGGGACAATGAATGCATGTAAGGGGCTAGTAATCACCAGTAGTGAACACATGGAGTATGTAAGTAAACGATTGTGTTATGCACTCATTTCCTTTTCCCACCATCTCTTGGCTCTAAGCCTCTTTAGATTACCTCAAATATCTTGCACATCCGGTGCCCAGATTTTCACCGCCTTGTCGCTTTCTGCCGTCACCAACCGCAGGCCCAGCATGTCGAATGATGCCGCGTATATGGTGGTGCGGTCCGCGCCCTGCGCCGGAACAGAGCGCGCGGTGAAGGTGCGCGCGCCCGACTCGTAGTCGTAGAAACGCAAGGCGCCGTCGGCGTGGCCCGCCACAAGCTCGTTGGAGGCGGGGTTGATTGCAAGTGTGTTGACAATATTCCCGGCCGGATCGGGGGCACCGTTATTTGCAGCCAACCCTCCAAACTGTGCAAGCAACTCGCCTCCAGGCAACACCCACTGTTTGATGCCGTTTGCGTCGGCCGTGGCCATGGTGGACTCGTGCGGGTGCATGGCTAGCGCACGCACGCCGCACGCATGCTGCGTCAAGGTCAAGTGGGTTTTTTGCAGCCGCAAATCCCAGAGACGCACTGTGCCGTCCATGCCCGCCGAACAAACCTGCGGGTCTGCCGCCTGTGCTGCCAAGGACGTCACGTCGCCGCGGTGGCCTGTGAGCACCATGACGGCGGCCCTCGTGCGCATGTCCCAAACACGCACGGCGCCGTCACGGCCGGCGGAAAAGAGCACGTCGAGCTCAGGATGCAAAGCCAACGCGTACACGCCGCCCACGTGGCCGTGGTAGGTGCGGACTTGGCAGCCTGCGGGGGAGGATGTGCGCTCCAAGTCCCAGCACCGCACCGACTTGTCTTCGCTGCCCGAAAACATGTAGGCGTAACGGGGCGAGATGGCGAGCGCGCGCACGCCCAAGATATGGCCGGAGATGGTGGCGCGAACGGAGCCGGCCCAGTCCCAGACCTTGACGGAGGCGTCGGCCAGGCCCGTGGCAAACCATGCGTTGGAGACCGGGTCCACCGCCACACAGCGCACCCACCCCTGGTGTGCGCCTGCGAGAAGCGTTCGGAGACGCCACTTTGGCGCTGTGTCTTTTGCAGCCCCTGACTCTTGGGCTGTTTCTTTTGCAGCCACGTCAGTTTTGTTGTTGTAGAATCTCGCAACTGTTTGTGTGGGATAGCCGCTGGCGTTCGGATTAGAAGGGCCGGTCAATCCAGAATGGCTTGCGTTGGCATCCAAACCGATGTTAGGATGGGCGTTTGTGCTTGTACTTTTGTTTGTGTCTGTGCTTGTGTTTGTGTCTGTGTTTGTGTCTGTGTTTGTGAATGCGTTGCTGGCGCTTAGACGGCCCGTTGTGTCTTTGGTTGAGTTGTCGTATGGGTCTGAGGCAGGATCCGCTTCTGCTTGCAAGATTCTGGCGTCTCCCAAAAGGCCCTCTAGCTTCACGCTCGCATACACGGCGTCTGCCAATTCATCTTTTGGCACGAGCTCCACCGGTGTCTGTACCAACTTGTGAAAGAGCATGAGAGAAAAGATAATACACACGCCGCGATGGCTGATATCAGGCGCGAAAGACAAGACACAAGATCGCGAAACGGGCAGAACAAGCGGAAGAACGCGCGGATCCAAAGACTTCAGAAAAACGAGCGACCAAAGCCGCACCTGCTCGAAAACAAGCGACCAAAGCCGCACCGCTCGAACACATGTCGTTGGCGGCACAAATATTGACCCGGGTCTGGCTTACGCCGCATCCATATGTGACACTTCAGATTGGGCCGGTGGACGGAGTGGTTTTCGCTCTGGACCCCCAGTCGGACACTTTGCAAATTGGCTTTTCCAAGCGCAAGTACTTGGAGCTTTTCACAGAGGGCCATCACTTTTTGGAAGGGCGCAATTGGAGCGCGGATGTGGCGCTGATGGGCGACGTCGAGCTCTGGCAGTTCTTTTTGGCTACGGCGGCGCTTCTCGCCACGACAAATGACCATCTGACGGCGTGGCGTTTGCACGAGCGCGTGGTGGGAGAGATGGCATTGAGAGAGTGCAGAGACGAAGAGAATGAAGGTGAAAGAGAAAGAGAATGTGAAATTGAAAGTGAAAGTGAAAATGAAGATGAAAGAGAAAAAGGGATCGCACGAAAGAGCAAGAATGGCAATGAAAGGTCTCTCTCAGAAATGCTGGAAGAGGGCGAGGCCGAGACATTAAGGGCAGCGCGCATGTCTTTTCTGCCCGACGTCGCGCCGTTTTCTGCTCCCGCGCCCTTCGGCTCTGTTTCCTTCGGCTCTTTTTCCCCGCCTGGTCTTTCGCTCGCCGCAGCGTTGTCGCTCCGCTTCTGCGCCGCGCTAGCCACGTCGCGCCTCGCGCGAATCAACAAGAGCCCGCTTCTCTGGACCTGGCTTCGGAAATTGGCCGTGGCCGGTCTGTTCTCGCTGCAAAAGAGCTTCCGATTCTTCTTTGAAACAACGCTCCGGTCCATGGCGCTCCATTTTGCCAACTACCATGCCGCATTTACTGCGCACTGGCTGGTTTCCGTTGCGCGCGCCCACGGCCTCGACCCGCGCCCTGCGCTCGCCCTTTTGCGCCCGCTCTGTCGCACCAACTTGGCCGATGTTTCCGCCTGGACTGCGCTCGCCAGAATCCTCGCGCCCCAACCTGATCCGCTCCGCCTCTATCGGCAGTTTGAAAAGGAGACCCCGAGAATATTTGGAGTCACGCCGCAAAAGCTTTCACTCGAGCCTATGCAATCTGAAGTTTCTGACTCTGAACCATATGCTCTGCCGTTGCCGGACTTGCAGTGGCTTCTATCTGTAAAATGTGCTGTTGTTGCGCCATACTGCATTCTTGGGGCCGTGGACTTGCCAGCCGCACGCCACTTGCTACGAGAATACCTTTTGCAGAATGAAAATAAAGAGAGTTCAAGGACGGTCGTCGCCCCTGAAAATTCTACAAACGGGAGCGAAAAACAATACGCCACGGCTGGAGCAGAAGATAACGTTTCAATAAAAGATCCAAGCTCGGATCAGAGTCGACTGCAGGAATCGCACCTTCGCGCAGTATCGCACGCTCTCGAATTTCTTTCCACATAGCCTGCATCTTTTCCCGTGATCTATCCATCTAATCTAACAACCTCTATATCATGGTATGTTCTTCGCATGTGCATGTTGTCGCCTTTTGCTAACCGCAGCTTAAAATCAGACAGCTTCAGAAACAGAAGCAGGAACAGAGCCTGGCGCCTCCTCTGACGCAATCGAAAGTTTCGGCGGCCCAGATCCGTCTTCAGAAAGATATCACCGAGCTCGAGTTGCCTGCCAGCGTGAAAATAAGCTTCCCCAACGCTTCAGACTTGTTTCACTTTGACATCCTGATCCGGCCTACGGAAGGTTACTACAAACTGGGCTCGTTCCTTTTCCATGTGGATATTTCGGACGATTTCCCTATCGACCCGCCACGCATCAAGTGCATGCAGAAAATATACCATCCGAACATCGATCTCGAAGGAAACGTCTGCTTGAACATTTTGCGCGAGGACTGGTCGCCTGTGTTATCTCTCAATTCGGTGCTTCTCGGCTTGAACTTTCTTTTCTTGGAGCCCAATCCAAATGACCCGCTTAATAAGACGGCGGCAAATGTCTTGGTTCGGAGCACCCCAACGTTCTCGAAAAACGTGCGGAGTGCTATGAGGGGACAATATGTGGATGGAGAAACGTACGACAGAGTATTGTGAGTGGACAGCTATGATGCTGTAAATGGAAACAAGATACTTTGATGTTCGTGCACATGTCAGTGTCTCATTGAACTGTCTCATTGGAACTGCAACACGTGAATGTTCTTTTTGATAGGCGGAACGGCTTTTTTGTGTAAGGAGCCGTTATGTCACTTCAAGACCACTTGCACCTGGTCAATAGAGGAAGTACCATCTTCTGGTGTATTCTTTGTCTATTGCGTCATTCTTTTGGGAAATAGATAAGAAGATTCTTTTTACGAGCACTAAGTACGGTAGAAGCATTAAGATCGCCTATTTGTTGACTATTCCTCCGAATTTCAGCCTATGTACATCCCAAGAGAATCGAAAACGCACGAAACTCAAAATCCAAATCCGGACCCGCCGAATCCTGCTCCTCCGGATCCAAATCCAGGTCCTCCAGGCCCAAATCCCGATCCGGGCCCAAAACCTGGGCCACCAAAACCCGATCCGGGTCCGCGAAGACCACCGGGCAATCCCATTCCCATATCGTCCAAATTGTCCTCGCCATACGGATCGTCAAACCGTGCACCCGGCGGCACGCCTCTGCGGCTTGTATTACCACGCTGCGATCCGAACATAGGATCGTCTGGTCCAACATACATTCCGCCGCGTGGGCCGTCGGCCAAAGGGTCCAAATAAGGCTTCATCTCCGGGTGCCGCGGAAGGCCGGCCGGGTAAAGATCACGATCTCCCACAAGAGCCGGAGGTGCGGCTGCTGGTCTGTGTGTATCTTTGAGTTCATACTCATCATCGAAATCCGGCATGTCGGGCGGTCTTTCGGGGCCCGTTGGGCGGACCTTCTCCAATCGCCGTGGGAGAATGTTCTGCTGGTCCGGGCCCGGTTTCTGTTCTGTCCTGTCATTGGGATCTCTCCGATCCTGGCGATCTGAGGTCAATTGTGGGAAAAACTTCTCGTCCAAGAAATCCGCAAAGCGGCGGCGAAGTTGCGCAGACACCTCGCAGTCCGGCTCAATGCCCCATTCGGCCCAATCTACAACGGCTGTCTTTGTTTCACTTTTCCTCACAAGGTTTATCAATGTGGTAGTGGCGCCTGTTTCAGTGACAGAAACGGTGTATGGGCCTGCGGACCACTGCTGGTGTTTTTCGCCTGCAAATACGACCTCGACTGGAAGATCGGAACTGTCCAAGTAGCCTCGAAGTAAGCTTTGAGCTAGCTCGAAGAAGGTCATGGTAAAGCAAGTATGTGGTTTAGGTGAGGATGGACGGGTGTTGCCACTATATGATGTGTTGAGAGGGACGGGTGTGGAGATACTACTGGTACTTATCCACTTTTTGTCTTGCAGTGTCTATTTGATATGTGATCTGTGTCATCGGGCGTCATTGGGTGTTGTGGTGAGCTGAAGTTTCTGCCAAATATTTATTTGCACATGATTATGTGGATGACAACTTCGGCACATAGATTATCCGTTCCGATGTGGCTACAGCACCGAAAACATGTAAACTTGTCTCACAAATGATTACTAATGGAAGTTACATGCACATTGTTCCATTGTGGATTCGCTTACGCCGAATGTATCCGGTCCATCTTATCTCCGTAGTATCGCCGTGATGGCCAGTTGTTGAACTTCGGAGAATCATACGGACTGAACTGAGGCTAAAGGAAATCCTTCGATTGCATGCCTGGCTTCTAGTACATTGTGTGAAGAACTACACAATTGATCAAAAGGAAGGCCAGGCATCAAGGTCGTGGTCCAGACCTCTTTTGGCTGTTCTGCTAGACTGTATGAATGAGCTGCCCAGTAGGGTAATTTGTGTCGGCCACCTTTTATCGAGCTACGGTATTTCGAAGTCGAGCTACAGTATTCGAAGTCGAGCTATTTTTCGAAAATCCAACTACGGTATTTCCCGTTCTCGCACCAATATCGTTCCACCGGGAATTGCGTCAACATGCTTCTGTTGCTTGCTGCGAGTTGTGTATTGACTCACGCAAGCATCAAATAAGGTACGAAAAAGATAAACGAGCGAAATGAATAACACTGAAAGTAGATGAACTGGCGTGAACGAACAGGAACTAAACGAAGTAGAAGTAAATCAAATGAAGAGTAGAACACTCTCAACTCCTGTGGAAACTGGTAACTCGCAAACTGGTTACAACTCACGGCCATTGGAGGCACGGGTCCAGTATCAAAGTCAAACAATGACATTTGCACCACTGCCGATCTGGGCCCATAATACGGAGCCGAAAACTGCAGTGGGCCGCAAGTTTGGCACGAACCGAGTCCCAAACCTAAAAGTACAGACATGGAACAGAGGCCACCAACAATCATACAACCAACAATCATACAACCAAACAAGCACCGAGGCCCATTTTCTGAATCTACCTCTTGAATCTATCTGCTAATTTTTCTTTCCGCTGAACCTTTCTCTTCAATCTCTCGAGTAAAAGGCCATTCCGTCACTTATCGGGCCGCAAGTCAGGAGCCGGCCGGTCACGTGCGGGCAGAAAAAAACCCCCACTAGCAATATCACTGATTCGGACAACAAAAGCACTGGGCTAAAAAAACCACCCAGAAAACTAAAACAAGCACCCTCCTGTTTTCCGCCGCCACATTTCCGAGCGGACTTCCATATAGCATTTTCCTCCCGCTGCATTGTTTTTGTTTGCTAAACGCCTGCCAACATCCGTTTTCCAGAACTTTCCATCTCACCTTTCCGATAAGTGTTTCCATCTCCGCAACCACATCACCACCAAGTCTGACTACCCCTAATGACAACCACCGTGCCCTTAATATACTCGTTCCCCGAGTTTGAAGGCGTGGCCGACGCTGTGGCCGACCATGTCATTCTGGCACAGAATTTGACCTTGTACAACACGTTGGATAAGGCGGCAATCGCCGAGGCCAAGAGAATTGCAGCTGCGCGCCCGCAATTGACGGAAATGGCGTCGTCCACATCGATCGGCGGCTCCAGCGCCGGCAGCAGCTCGCTCCGCAACTCCAGAAGTCTTAACCAGAGCAACAGCAACCTCAATCTCGCCGGCGAAGGAGGGAGCGGCCGCCGGGGCCCCAAGAGCAAGAAACGCGCCGAATTGCGGTTCAAGGTGGCGCTCAGCGGCGGTTCGCTCATCAAAATTTTGCACCAAGGCTTGTTGTCGAGGCAGGAGGAGATCGAGTGGGACAAGTGGGACATCTACTTTGCCGACGAGCGGTTGGTCCCATTCGAAAGCCCGGACTCGAACTACGGCTCCGCCAAGAGACAGATTTTCGACTTGATCTCGGGCTCGAAAAAGCCACGTGTTTTCCCCATCGATGAGCTGTTGATTGACGATCCGCAAGAGTGCGCCGACAGCTACGAGAAACTACTCATCGACAACTTCGCCCGCAAGGACAGCGTCAAGTTGCCCATGTTTGACTTGTTGCTTCTTGGCTGTGCGCCCGATGGCCACATTGCGCTGTTGTTCCCCAACTTTGGCGAGCAATTGCGAGAAAAATTGGCCTGGTGCTTGCCCGTGGAAAACGCACCCCTGGGGCCTTCCAACAGAATCACGCTATCCATTCCTGTCATTTGCCACGCTCTGAGGGTGACTTTTGTTGTGGAAGGTTTGACAAAGGCTCCCGTGATGCGTATTATCATGGAACGACCCGAAAAGGGTTTGCCCAGCTCTATTGTCAATGAGAGCGCTGCGGGCCGTGTCACTTGGTTTGTCGACGATGCTGCTTTGAACGACTGCTACGATGTGACCAAGAAAAAGTACAAGTTCTTGAGCATTGCCGACCCGTCTTTGTAAGTTTTGTTCCATCTGTCTTTGAGCTGTTGAGCAGCGGATCAGCAGATGTGATGGTCTTTTAATCTTTGGTCTGCCCGCTTTATTTGCGTTATGATTCAGACCGAGTCGTTGATCTACGGATCCTGTGCATTGTCATTCGCTACTCTAGGGCGATTCTTCCGATCGAAAGAAATGTTCGACGTCGATATAGAAGAAGAGCGTTAACTGTTACTTGGGACTGAAACCTCGTTTCAACAATTTGGAGTCCAACTTGAGAACTGTAGAGTTCCACAGAGTCCGGGTTCAATGACGTGGAAGTCTGACGTTTCACCGAGAAACCTTAGTTTTAGTGACGTTGATGGATCTTATAGAGTCAATTCGATGTTTATCTCAGCGGATAGTAAAGGCTTGATATGTTTAGAATGTAGGCGAACGAGAGAGCAAACACAACGGAACAACTAAATCGTATAAACTGTGTTTTAGAGCCGAGTTGTAAATGAACCGTCAGCTCTCTGGCTTACACCTCTTGAAAGATTATCATCATTCTGATTCGTACTTCAATGATCGTACCTTTGGTGTTGTCGTCCGAAAATGACAGAAACGGAGATTCTTCAATTTTCAAGCAATTGGAGCGCTCTATTTGCCAATAGAAGTCGTGCTGGTGTAATTTACTTGCTTAGCAGAACAGACGTTCATATAAGACGGAAGATAAGAAACGATTTTTTCGGAAAGAACGTCAATTTCAATTCCAAAGAGCCGAGATGACAGGCAAGGGCAATTTTCTACATCACATTCATTTTACTTTACATCGATGGGGCACTCCTGTATTCTGATTTCCTTTCATCCATGCTCAGCTTGACAATGTCTCATACACTTATGTCTTTAATCTTCCGTTGATGCTGGAACTGCTTTGTTGTTAGATAAATTTTGTTGTGAGAGAAATTCCACACGCGAGGAACACCGGAAGGTGCATGTCCCCGCAGAAGGCGCATCCTAAACAGTATATTTGATCGGCAGGGTGCAGCGGGCGTGCCCTAAAACAGTAATAAGCACCTGCACACAGGCCAAGGATGCGTCTGGTCCATGCTCGCCGTATGCACCATCTTTCCCCAAACGGGTATAGTGAAGTCTACTCGAATTGTGGAGAAGAAACTAGGCCCTGGAAAACCATTTAAAAGGATGCGGAGCCCCATTTTCCTACACCAAAAATGACTGTCGGCTCATCTCCAGAGCCCCGTGAGCCTTTTTCTTCTGACCCTTTCTTCTCAGACCCCTTCTCTCCCCAGCCTTTCACTTCTCCACAAAATACCCACGATAATTATTCTCGAGAATACTCTCGAGCCACTACGCCACAAAGCTCCAGTTCAAACGATTCCGAAAACACGTTTGTCGGCACGCCAATGAAACACAATGCGAGAGACTCCTCCGACGAGGAGGCGAGCGTCGGAATGCCCGACCTCCAAGTCCAGAAACGCATGTTCACATTTCTCTTCAGCAAAAAGGTTCCGCCGGTTCCCCTTCCCGAAGAAAGAAGAGAATACCCGTGGAAACGGGCGCGCTATGCTAGTCGAATGGTGTTTTTCTGGCTCTGGCCGGTGCTTATCAAAGGATACAAGAGGACGCTTGTTGCGGACGACTTGTGGTATTTGCCAACAGAACTCACAGTGGAGGACATGCATCGGCGCTACCGAGAAAATCTCGACAAGATCCTAGCGACAAGAAAAGACAAGGAGGAAGAGTGGCCCGTTTGGGCGGTGCCGCTAGCGCTTTACAAGACGTTCAAGTTCGACTACACATTATCGTGCATCTTTTTGGCGATTTCGTTCGTGTGCCAAGCGCTTTCGCCTTTAATCACGCGGCGTTTGATTGATTTCGTCCAGGACAGGTACTTTGGGCTCGAAACAACATACAACAAGGGAATTGCTTACACGATCGGAGCGGTGGTTCTCATTTTCATCAACGGGTTGCTTTTGAACCACTTTTTCCACAAGGCCATGGCCACGGGAGCTTGTGTCAAGCTGGTCTTGACCAAGGACGTCCTAGTCAAGAGCTTTGCGTTGCTGGCGCAGCTGAGACGGCGTTTTCCTGCGGGCCAAATCACATCTCTTATGAGCACAGACTTGCTGCGGGTGGATTTGGCGGTGGGATTCCAGCCGCTTGTGGTGTGTTTCCCGATCCCCGTGGTGATTGCCGTGGTGCTTCTATTGCACAATATCGGAGTGACGTCGCTTGTGGGCATTGGGCTTTTCTTTGTTTCGCTCGTGGCGTGTGTTCTTCTCACGTCCAAGTTGTTCTTCACCAGAGAGGCGGTGGTGGAGCACACCGACGAGCGGATCGGGTTGATGCGGGAGGTTTTGGCGCACTTGAAGGTGATTAAGTTCTACGCGTGGGAGTTGGCTTACAAGGCCAACATTACCAAGGTGCGGGAGCGGGAAATGCGGTACTTGTTCACCATCAAGGTGTTGAGAAACTTCATCACGGCGTATGCGGTGACATTGCCCACGTTGACGTCGATGGTTTCGTTTGTGACGATGTGGGCCACGGGCAATATGAAGCAGACGGGCCAGGTTTTCCTGAGTTTGTCGTTGTTTTCCATTTTGGCGCAGGCGATCATGCTCTTGCCCATTGCTTTGGCCACGGGCGCGGATGCGACCATTGGTTTCAGGCGGCTCCGCGAGTTTTTGTCTGCGGAGGAGCAGGGCGCGAGCGGGATCGAAAAGCCGCACGCGGAATGGGCGTTGCAGGTGGAAGACGCCGATTTCCAGTGGGGCGGAGGAGATGGGGCGGACGAGATGGATGAAAAGGATGAAGAAACCAAAAAGTGGAAGCGTCAGACGGCAGAACAGACGGCAGAACAGACGGCAGAAAGAGAGACGCCGCAAGTGCGGCGGCCCGCACATGTGTATCGGCCGGACATTGCGCGGCCTGCCCAAAACATCCGCATCTCTGTGCCGCGCGACGACTTGGCGGACATTTCCACTGCGGAAATCGCCACGGCCCAAGTGGCGCGGAACATCAGAAACAACAGAAACAACGGAAACAGCACAGACAACGGAAACAGCACAGACAACAGAGACAACAAGACGAAAGGCTTCCACCTCGCCCACGTCACTCTAGCCATCCCCGCCGGCAACTTTGTCGTGGTGACGGGCGCCATTGGGTCGGGCAAAACCACGCTTCTCCACGCGCTCGCCGGGCTCATGGAGAAAACCCACGGCAAGTTTGCCGCGCGCGAAACGCTTCTCTGCGGCGCGCCCTGGATCCAAAACGCCACCGTGCGCCAGAACATTTTGTTTGGCCGCCCCATGGACTGGGCCCGCTACCACGCGGTTTTGCACGCGTGCTGCTTGCAACAGGATCTTCGCGAGCTTCCGGGCGGCGACCAATGCGAGATTGGCGAGCGCGGCGTGACGCTTTCGGGCGGGCAGAAGGCGCGCCTCAGCTTGGCGCGCGCCGCCTACCGTGGGGCGCCCGTGATGCTTTTTGACGATGTTCTTTCGGCAGTCGATGCTCGTGTGGGCAAGCACATTGCCACGCACTTGTTCCACGGCCTTTTGCAAGGATGCACGCGCATCGTGGCCACGCACCAGCTCAGTTTGGTGCGTTCCGCCGACCAGGTTGTGTTTTTGGGCGACCGCATCGAGGTCGGGCGGCCGCGCGAGCTTTTGGCGCGCAGCGCAGGCTTCCGCCTGTTGATGGCCCACGACAGCACCGACACACACACAAACGGAGGCTTGGACGGCGACGATGGCTTGGACACCGCCAACAGCGACTTTGACGACGACACGCTCGGGTCCGACAACTTGAGCAACGCCAGCTTGCGCCGCAAGAGCGACCAGTTTTCCGCCATTGTGGCCGAAGACGTGGCGGTCAACGCCGTGTCGTGGGACGTGTACCGGCAGTACATTGTGCTTGGCGCCGGGGTGTTTGGCCGCCTGGCGGTGCCGGTGTTTCTCTTTCTCGTGGCGTTGGCCACGTTTTGCCAGTTGTTCACCAACACATGGCTTTCGTTCTGGATGGAGGGCAAGTTCCGCTTGCTGGACCGCTTCTACGTGGCGTTCTACGTGCTTTTCGCCGTGTTGACCGTGTTCGTCACCGGCATCCAGTTCACCATGTTGGCGTACATGAACAACCGCAGCGCCGAGCTCTTGAACGTTCGGGCCATGGAAAAGGTTCTCCATGCGCCCATGAGCTTCATGGACACGAATCCCATGGGCCGCGTGCTCAACCGCTTCACCAAGGACACCGACAGCGTGGATAACGAGATTGGCGAGCAGTTGCGTCTCTTCATTTTCCCTGCGGCAACCATAGTTGGCATTATCATCTTGTGCATCTGCTACTTGCCGTACTTTGCCATTGCCGTGCCGTTTTTGGCTGGCGTGTTTGTGTTTTTGTCCGACGTGTACTCGGGCTCGGCCCGGGAGATCAAACGGCTCGAGGCCGTGCAACGGCTGGTGGTTTACAACAACTTCAACGAAACCCTCACAGGCATGGCCACCATCCAGGCGTACCGGGCCGAGCAGGATTTCGTTGCCAAAAACGACCGCTTGTTGGACCGCATGAACGAGGCGTACTTGTTGTCCATCGCCACGCAGCGCTGGCTCTGTGTGCATTTGGATGTCATTGCGCTGATGTTCGCTCTCGTTATTTGCATGTTGTGCATCACTGAGCAGTTCAACATTTCGGCGTCGCTGACAGGGCTTTTGCTCAACTACGTGATTCAGATTGTGGGCTTGTTGTCGTTGACGGTGCGGGCCATGACCCAGGTTGAGACGGAAATGAACTCTGTCGAACGCTTGCACGATTATGCATTCCACATGCCGCAAGAGGCGGCCTACGAGAAGGCGGAGTCTCGGCCTGCTCCCGAATGGCCTATGGCCGGCTACATCAACTTCCGCGACGTGAGTTTGCGCTACAGACCCCAGTTGCCGTTGGTGCTCAAAGATTTGAGCTTTGGCGTTTATCCCGGCGAAAAAGTGGGCATCTGCGGCCGCACCGGCGCCGGCAAGTCGTCTCTCATGACGGCGCTTTACCGTTTGACTGAGTTGGAGTCGGGCCAGATCACCATTGACGGCGTTGATATCGCCCACATTGGTCTCCGCGACTTGCGGTCCCAGTTGCTGATTATCCCACAAGACCCGGTTCTTTTCCAAGGCACGGTGCGGCGTAATTTAGATCCGTTTGGCGAATACTCCGACAGCGTTTTACGAGACGCCATGCGCAGGGCCGGCGGAGTGCTGGAAAAGTTTGCTTTGGACAGGGCCGTGGACGATGATGGCGGAAACTTTTCCTTGGGCGAAAAGCAGCTTGTGGCGTTGGCCAGGGCCTTGGTCCGGGGCCTGAAGATTTTGATTTTGGACGAGGCGACTTCGTCTGTGGACTATGCAACGGACGCTCGGATCCAAGAGACTATTGCCCGTGAGTTTTCCCACTGTACCATTTTGTGTATTGCTCACCGGTTGAAGACAATTTTAAACTACGACCGTATATTGGTGATGGACCAGGGCCGGGTGGTGGAAAAGGGTACGCCTTGGGCTTTGTACCAGCAAAAGGGTGTCTTTTCACTGATGTGCCACAAGGCGCAGATTGGTGAGGAGGACTTTGGAAAGTAGATAGAATTTAATGCATGGATATTTAAGTTGGGGATAGTAGCATATGTTCCAATATGGGCAATAGTTTACTAGTAGAAGTTGACTTAGACAGACAGAGATCGACAGCAATATCGTTGAAACAGATGTCTGTCACGAAGACTAATCAGCTTTAAAAAATCGAAAAATAAATTAAAGCACATACATTATGTAGCAACCGTTAAAAATCAAACCAACCTATAGGTCGCTTTGGTATCATAAAATGACGGGCAAAGATCGTAGTAAGGAAATCTTGTGAGAAGATATTCTTTAAACGTGAAACTTTTTGGGACAGAGACGAATAAGCCATAGGAACGAATAAACAATGAAGCACTAGGTAGACTTACACTATGAAGTCAAGACGACAAGCAGCAAGCCCTTGATACATAAATCAGCGATAAATTTATTATGAGTATTAAATGCAATGTGTTTGCAAGCAGCAATGGTATGTGTACTGGACGAGACGGGCGTGTGGGTGTAATCGAATAGGCTTCATCGACTGCCACCTAGTTTCGATGGACGTGTAGATGTGATCAAATTGGCTTGATGTCACCTCGTCTCCTCACACGGCATGCGCAATGTAAAAGAGAAGGTACGCATTTGTTGCCTGGACTTCTTCGTGAGAGACAAGGGAGATCACACTATCGTCAAACTTGAACCAGCGCCCGCCGCTGCTTTTTACAAGCGCAATGTAGTGGCCTGTGCTGACCAGTCCGACATGATTCACCACAGCAAAAAGCTCGTACACTTTATTTGCGTCAATGTCGTCATCATGCTGTGACGCATACTTGGACAAGTTGAGGAAAAGCGGCGCATCCACTCTCGCTTCAATTTTTGAGGCAGTGTCGCTTCCCACGGTGTGTTTAAACCGCTTGAGCTGAATGCTGATCACAGGCGGAAGTGCTTTGATTCGGAGAGCTCGGTGTGCCTGTGCCTCCTCACGGCACGAGCTGCATCGGTATTTAGCGTCCAATGGCTCGTGCCGCGTGAACTGGTCGAGACAGTCGTAAAGAGTTGCTTTCCCGTCGAGTCGCGAGATCTCGAGAGAAAGGTCCATGAGCGGGTCCACCGTGCGGGTTATAGCACCGCAGGCACTGCAAACAACCGAACTTTCGAGCTGGCCCGCAAAAGTCGAGTGAACGACGCAACGGCACGGTTCTTGCGGCAAGCCGGCGCTTTCGGCCACACGCTCGTAGTCCAGATGGAGCTCACCCAATAAGAACTGCCAGAACTCATGCGCATCCTGCTCCTGGAAGCCTGCAAGCAGTTGGTTTTTGTACCAGGCCGTGGCTAGAAGCGTAGCAATGCCACACCCGTCGCGGGCAGAGGACGTATATACTTCCTTGAACACGGCATCCAACAGACAGGTCATGCACGCCAGATTCTCGTCGATTTGGGGCGAAGGCGCCGCATACCGTGACAGCAGGTCGCAGTTGAAAAAATGGAGGTCATTGTTGAAGAAATGGCGGCACACGAGCGGGTTGTGGAGCAACGTTTGGAGAATGCAGCTCATGAAGCATGTGGCGCCGAGGTTGACGATGCCACGGAGCCCGTGCACTGCGGACGCCGGCGGCTTTGTGTATGCGTCATCTGCTATTGCCAAATCTGCGCTTCCATTTGTGTTGCCATTTACCTTTGCAGCACCTGCCTCGTCTGACTTGTCGGCTTTTTTACTAATGAGCAGCTTCCGGATAGTGTGTAATGCGCGGTGGCTGACATAGTCTCCACACAGAAAACAGTGAAGCAACCCATTTGCAGAGTCGATGGCGAAGCGGTGGCCACGACTCGAATGCGTCTTGGCGTGGTTGTAACAACCCACGTGCGGACACTGAAGGCAGATCATGGCCTGGCCGCTGCTGCCGCGGCACTCAGTGCATCGGAGTGTGGAGAAGTACTGGGCCCACTCGGCGGGAGAAACGGGCCGCCCATCCTTTTTGTGGCTGTAAATGACGTGTTTGCGTGCTAGCGGGTTGGCGGCCACCGAGATCGCCACCGCCTGTCGATACGTGTCGAGCACAGTGTCGTGTGCTTTGGACTGGAGCACCTGGGTGAGGTGGGTGCACAGGGCAATGTGGCTGTAGTTGTCTGGCGGCGGTGTGAGCTGCTGCATGACTTGGCTGTAAATGTTTTAGGGACGGCTGTAAATGACTGAAATGCAACGGGGTGTCTGGATGGGTTTTGTTGGTGGATCCGAATGATGGTTCTAAATTGTGGAGTACCAGATTTTGACACAAGTTTCGATGGTCTGGTTCTGCTTTTTTTCTTTGGCGTGCAATGTGATGACTAACTGCTTTGTTTTCTTCTAGATAGAATTTCACTCAAGTGTAGGCGAAATTCGGTCTGGGATCAGAAAGAAAGTGGTACGTGAGCCATCGTCTTTCGCGCTTATCGATGTCCTGTCTCGGCTCTTTTATCGTGGACCACAGTAGTGAAGACTACAAACCAAAGGCATGGACCGTAATTCGAATCAAGATCCGCCAAAGGGTTTAAAATGGGCACAATTAACTGGTGCGTAGTTCTGTAAGTGCCGTCATACCAGGAATTAACCTGATCTGGAATTATGATGAAATAGCATGAGAAATTACTCTAGCGAGACTAGAGCCAAAAGAATATTCAGTTGAAACTATTAAAGAGTTGGAAGTAGAATAACTTCTGCTGGTTACAGTGCCTCTTTCTGTCGGCATAAGCGTTTGAACTTCTCAATGTGACCTTAATTCACATTTACGTCTTGCATGTTCATCATTTTGCTTTAATTCTTGTGACCATATTCGTCTTCACCATGCTCTCTACTTCCACGTCGCACCTTACTCTTCGTTGTGTTCATTTCCACTACATCAATCGTAAAAATCATCGTCATCGTCATCGTCATGGTCGAGTTTCAGCCCACGCAACGACTTCTTGACAAAGCGGGTTCTCCTGGCCTCCTCCAAATCCTCGTCTTGCTGGTTCATCTCGAGTCTCTCGTCCGAATGCTTGACTGCGCCTATGTCGACCAAAACCTTTTCCAAGTCGGCTATCTTGCAGTCGCTGCCACCCAACTGGGTGAGTGTGACGTAGTTCTTGACAATGTTCTTCTTGTGGTAGATGATTAGCGTCGGGCAGTTGGCCTCCGGGTAGTTTTCCACGCACCTGTTTGCTGGGATCTCTGTGACCTTGATCTCGGGGAACTTCTGCGCCAACGTCACCAAAAGCAGCGCCAAAAGACGGCTCTGCACCGCCAGCTGAAGCGACATATGCACCAAGACAAAGCACTCTTCCAGTGCCTTCGTCACCTCGTCCTCATACTCGGGTTTGGTAACGTGATATACCGAGCCATACTTCTGCTTCTCGCCCAACTTGCGAAGCTCCTGGAACCGCTTCATCTTGTACTCGTGCAAAAAATCCTCGTCCTCTTCGTCCTCCAACTCTTCGAGCTCGCCCAACGTTTTGTTCTCGAGCCGATTGTCGTGCGCCCTTTTCACCGCTTCTTCCATGGCTTCTTCGAGCTCTTGCGTCGGCGACTTGGGTCTTTGCGGAATGATCCCGTGGGCACGAAGAATGTCGTTCCACTCCGTGTCTTCATCGGGGTTAACCTCCACGGGCACTTGGATATCTTGCAAACTCATAAGAAAGAAGGTGTGCAGGCGATTCCGGACTTGATATAGTGAGCGAGCGTGAAATACAGAGAAGACAGAGACAGAGATAGACAGAGAAAAGAGACAGAAAAGAGATAGACAGAGAAAAAGAGAGATAGACAGAGAAATAGAGAGAAAAACAGAGACAAGACAGAGAAAAACAGAGACATTATAGAGAATATAGACAAGAGACAAGTAGCAAGATAATTTCCAAAGCTTGAAGGTACGGCTAGCCTCAGGAAAATTCAGAAACTGGAAGATATCTGAGTGAAGAAAAGTGTCTCGAACTATGAAATAGCAGGGCTAGTTTAGTGTGAACTGGGCCTATATTCTGCACTTTTCTCTTAGTGATAAATGTTACGGCTCAAAAGTGTTTGAGCTGTAACTCGAATACTTGAATTTTTTCTGTTGAATTCAAATTGACTCGCTAAGTAGTGAATGCTATTTCTGGTCAAACGATTCTACTACGTCAGAACAATTCAATTTGGCTTCGAATCCACTGTGCCATTTTCTACATTAAATTCGTATTTTTGTTTTATGTCTGTATCTATTTCAAATGACTACTATTTTGTTTCCTCTCCGCACTTTTCCAGATTATTGCATACGTCTTTACATACGTCTTAAAATGCACCTAAAACCACAAATTGGTTTTGCCAGCTGGACTCATTCTTGAAAACACTAGAATGTGAAGCAGAAAAAAGTGTGCAAAACCTTAAAAGACTACAATTTGTCATGTCCACTTATTCAACTAAAACAGGTGTACGGGTGCAAACACCAACCACCTCCAACTTCATCTCCTTCCATGGTCAAGTTTTATCTCAAGGCGAAAGCCGAGCTTTCCAATGTGACGGATCTCGAGCCCAATGACTCTCCTTCATCTCCGTTTGAGTACACTTTTAGAATCGAATGCACAAAGTGCAGAGAAGTTCACGATAAGCCGGTGACAATCAATATTTTCGAACAGCACGACATCTCTGGATCCAGAGGAGAAGCCAGTTTTGTGTTCCGATGCAAAAGCTGCAAGAGCGAACACTCGGCGCAGATCGAGCGGACCAAAGAGAAAATCTCTGCCAGTGGCGAATGGGCCAAGTTGTTGTCGATCGATGCTCGAGGAATCGATTTCGTGGAGTTTATTCCTGACGGCAAATGGAAATGTGCAGCAGCAGAGTCCAGCACCAAGTTCGAAGAGGTGGACTTGGAAGACAAGGAATGGTACGACTACGACGACAATAAGGGCGAGGAGGTGAGTGTTACAGAAGTGGAGTTTGACATTGCCAGATCCTGAGGCTGGCACAAGTTGCTACGGCAGCGGAGTTCTGAAAGGGCTGCTTAAAGAGTGCCTGTATTAATTGACAAGTTATACTACTTTATAATCAATGTACTCCTTCTGTCCTCATCAATAATCACTGTAATCTTTCAACGCATCACTATTATTCAGCTTTCTGTTTCTCTGATTGCACAACTTTCCGTTGTCAGCCCATACATTTACTTAACATATTTTGTCTCATGAATTCCACATACGGCACTTGCCTATTAGACCTTCATTGTTGACAGGGAATTTCGTGACACTAAAGCCAATTCTGAGTACTCCAGTTATTTCGATAACTCGATGTTCGTAGCTTTATTACTCTGCTCGTCACATTGATTCAGAAGCTGAAATGCTTCTCTAATTCTGCACGAGAGCTTCTATTGGTTTTTTCATACAGTTATTTTATTTTCATGACACATCGTACAAAGCTGCTTGATCAGCCTACCGGATATGTCTGAGCCTGTAACTATAAGACTGCTCATTCATAGGCTCGGGTATTATTCGGTCATCTGACAGAATTTACCGTAATGAAATCCAATTCTCTGCAAGTAAGTCTATTGCATTCCAAGGGAAAGACAAATCGACACTTTCTTCTAAAAATGAAATGGAAACGACCAAGACTACTAGCCTTAAATTGAACTAAGGTAAATTCTTCGCATCTCGCACGTCATGCATCGTATATTCTTCAGTAATATACCAAAAGCCGATGACGTTCGCAGTCTGTCCTATAAGGTTTTAAGGTTTTAAGGTTTTAAGGGTCTATCTCGAATACACATTTAGGCAGTGTGCCGTCGTAATTGATTTCGATGAAGATATAGTGGAAAACCACTTTCAGTAATACCTTTTGGGGAATTCGAAAAGCCGTCATTTCACATAAGCCAATTATCGGACAGGCGAACTCTTGCAATGGCCAACCCAGAGTCTGGGGTCACATAAGCATATTGTTCAATTCATATCAGACTTTCAACGCAGTAAACATCATCTACACCTGCAGCCCAGCCACTTTTGCTGAGCCATCTTCGTTCACAACGGAAGCAACATTTGATTCTTATATACAGTGTCTATTTCATCATCGAGACGATTATTTGGTGGCACTAGCCAAGTAGGTGATCAAGTCGTTTCTGTCCTTTGGCTTCTTCAAACCACCGAAAGCCATCTTGGTACCTGGAATGTACTTCTTTGGGTTCTCCAAGTAGTCAGACATGGTTTGCTCGGACCAGACAACACCCTTCTTCTTGTTGGCGTCGGTGTAAGAGTAACCAGCAGCCTCACCAGACTTTCTGCCAAAAACACCGTGCAAGTTTGGACCAACCTTGTGTGGTCCGCCCTCCTCAACGGTGTGACATTGCAAACATCTGGTCTTGAAGAGAGTAGCACCCTTCTTTTCAGAACCTTTTTCGAATTTAGCTGGCATTATGGAATAAACTTTTTGCGAGAAAAAAAATCTAGCGAGCAAAAAAAACTAGAGCCAACCACCGGTGTCTTTATATATCGGGCTGTCATTTGTTTCTTTGCACGCCAATTACTGCACTGATGATTATCCAGCGCGCCGCCATTGGCCAGAAAAAGGAAAGACTAGGTCACGTGCAGCAACCTCTCACATTGGTCGGCTCATTGTGCGCACACACAAGCGTGTAGCCGTGGAAAAAGAAGACGAAGGAGTAGGGAAAAGGCGTGATGTTCGTAACACCGAAAAGAAACTTTCTGGAGCCGTTTGTGATGGAGAGGGGTCGAGGAATTACGCTCGACCGATATATCCGAAACCTGCACACAATTATCGAGAGAGTGACTCGGCCTGCATGCAACCCAAGAGTGACTCGGTTTGTATGCAATCCGAGACACTCAAGATTTATTAAGGCTGGAAGGCTCAAAAGAAGATTCTGTAATGGAAGAAGATTCTGTAGTGGATCGAGCATCGAAAGAAGGATTGGAAGAGGACTGCATAACATCAAAAATGGGAGTACTTGCTTCGTTAAGATGTAAGTTGTAGCAATGGCGTTATTCCATACGTCATGGAAATTAAGTGGTGTGAAAACCTTCCACAGCAACTACTGCGAAAAGTGGCTGTCTGAGGCGATCCGAACCTCCAAGTGACGTAAGCGGTGCTGAAATGTGTGAAAAACGTGATGTGCAGAGAGAACATCGAATTGTCAGAAATAGGTTGAACGCCCGTTCGTGTAGTAACAGTGAAGTAGATCACTTCGATCACTTCTAGATCCCTCATAGATCACTTCGATCACTCATAGATCACTCATAGATCACTGCGGGTGTCTGCTTGGGCTCCGGCTTGGCGAACGAGAAAAAGACCTCTGCAGAGCATTCGAAGGCGAGCGAGAAAACGATCTTTGCAGAGGCGACCGCGAGTAGGATGCGGACCTGGATCTGGAGTAGGAGCGAGACGAGGCATACGAACCCGATCTGGATCTGGAATAAGAGCCTGATCTAGACCTAGAATAAGAGCCCTCTCTCGACGAGAAGGAGCCGCGGCTGCGCTTGCGTCCCCGGTCTTCTGGAAGCGCTTTCAACACCAGCCGCATCTCCTCCGTGAGCACGCCCAAGCCGATCGCCGTGAAGTAGTTGATGGAGAACATGATGTGGTCGGCGTCGGCACGCGACACGTCCACCACGGGGAAAAGGCCACGGAGGTGCACGCGAACATCTGGGTCCAGAAGAAGCCGCTTGAGAGAGTCCACGCCCAACTCCTCCACCAACTCCTGGAACAAGAACTTGATGAACACTCTGCTGGCGCTGGAGGTGTCTGTCTCGGTCAACGTGATGACGCCGAGCGTCTCGTGCGGCGCCAAAACGTCTGCAGCGACCAAGTGGCCAAAGTACTTGCCCATGTTGCGGAGCTGGGCGCCCTCGTGCTGGTAGAGAGCGTCGTACGAGCGGCGGAACTGCGCCACGAACGCCGCGTGCCAGCGCCGCGACGACCCGCACAACTTCTCGCCTAGCACGCCAAAGTACTTGGAGTACGTCTTCTCCTGCGCGCAGCACTTGACCAACATGTCTGTCATCACGGCGTCCGACAACTGTGCGCTGCGCTGGAGCCGGAGGAGCTTGTGCACGGCCTCGTCCGCGGACATGGACGACATGACCGTGAGGTAGATGCTCTTCTGGTGCTGTAGGAGCGCGGCGTCCGTCATGTCGGTGACAGCCTCTTTGGTCTGGATGGTCTGTTCGTTGGTGTGTTGGTTGGCCTGTTCGTTGGTAGAATTGTCTTGGTTGGTCTGTTCGTCGAGGATCTCTGCCCGATGAGCGGCGTACGCCGCGTCGGCCGCCGCCACGTCCTCTGTAGGGTCAAACCAGTCGAGGTGCGCCTCCACAGGCTGCGGCGCGGCCAAGTCCACGTCGTGCGGCTGGGCGTCTTCGGCCGGCACCACGTCCAAGTGCCGCGGCACCGCAGGGCCAAGGCCGTCGCGCCGCGCCCGCATGAGCTCGGTGATGCGCCGCATGGCCTGCGCCAGCGCCTGGCCCTCGTGGAGCACGTCGCGGAGCCGGCCCCAGATCATGTCTGCCGCAGCGGGTGCGTGCGCGTCCATCCACGAGCCGAGGCGGCGCAAAAGCGCCGTGGCCACGCGCACCGTGTCGTCGGAGGGCCGCTCGAGAAGAAGCTGGAACACCTGGAGCAACACGGTGTCGGTGGCCACGGCAAAGCGCACCAACTCGGCGAGAAACGCCGCCGCCGCGTCCACGCCGCGCCCGTCGTTGCGCACGTACGCCTGCTTGAAGAGCGCCGCCGTGCGTGCCGCCACAAGACCGCCCACTTGCGGAAGTTGCAGGTTGACCACGCCCACGAGAGCAGCGAGCGGCGCGGCGGCTTGCGGCTGGCGCATGGCGCGCGAGAGCACGCTGCGGGCGACGAGGCCGCGGCCGCGGACGACGTTGAGGCGGAAGAGCTCGACCGAGTGGCGGCGGAGCGCCGGCGACGACGCGGCGGCGGCGCAGATGGTGTCGATGTCGCGGGCGAGGCCGGCCCACGCTGCGGTCTTTGTTGTGGTTGTGGTGGTGGTGTTGTTTGTGTTTGTGGTTGGTTGGTTTGTGGTGGTTTCGGTTGTGGTTGGTTGGTTTGTGGTTATTTCGTTTGTTTCGTTTGTGTTTGTTTCGTTTGTTACTGGGTCTTCCCGCTTTGTCTCATTCAGCTCTGGCTCTCTTTGTTGCTTTTCTGTAGACTTGCCAGCATTCTCGTGCTCTTTGTTTCCATCGACATTCTCGGCGTCTTTGTTTCCACCGGTAGCCGCTTTTGTGCCTTCAATTCTTTCATTTTTGCTTTGGCTTTCCTCGCCGCTTGTATTTCCCTTTTCATTTGTTTCCATCGTGCTGTTTTCCTTCCCACCGATTGCATTCCCTTGGTCCTCTTTCTCGGTTCTGGACGCCATGCTAAGAAAGTGGAGGTGTAGATATTGGAATGCACACAGGCGCATCGCATCGGTGGACTTACTCTTAATCTCATCGACCATCGATTCATAACATCTGCTCATTTGACAGATCATCGATATCGATACAGATACACCGATACAGATACACCGATACAGATACACCGATACAGATACACCGATACAGATACACCGATACAGATACACCGATACAGATACACCGATACAGATACACCGATACAGATACACCGATACAGATACATCGATACAGATACATCGATACAGATACATCGATACAGATACATCTCATCTGATACATCTGATCATCTCATCATCTCATCGATTGATCCGATCATCGCATCTGAACCTGATACATCTGGTCCATCATCTCCATCGGATTCATCGCATCTCCATCTGATTGCCGACTCGTTTTATGCTTCCCTCGCGCCGCCATCTTGTGCCCGCGTCGCACATCAAGGCCCGCCTCGAACACTTTGTGGAAACAGGCGAGGTGCGCCGCTGGTCCGGCCGCCAGCAGGCCCGCAAGCTCGAACACGCGGCCGAAAAACGCCGCGCCGCCGCCGCGCGCAACAAACCGTCGCTCCAGAAAACCCTCTTATTGTTGCAGGCCAAGTACGACGCCGTGCCCTTGCAAACGCCGCAGGGCGTGCTCGACCTCCAGCGGCTCACCGCCAAGGACCTCCGCGTGGACTCGGCCAAGAGCTTGTCGATTTTCCGCGCCTTGGTGGGCTTCAACAGCGCGCGCCCGACCACAACGGCCGAAACCGCCACAACGGCCGCCCTCCCGCGCCCGCCGTCGCGCCTTCTTCTCGCGCTTCTCGGCTCGTCGCCCGACCAGATCAAGGACCCCTACGTCGTCACCAGAGACGTGCTCAAGCTTCTTGCCCGCGACAACGACCCGCTCCGCGCCATGCACTTGTGCCGCTTGGCCGGGCCCAACGCCACCGCCGGCCTCAACGCCGTGCTCGAGTGGTGCCTCGACCGCTCGGACGTGGAGCGCGCCCACCGCTGCTTGGCCAACGCCGCCCGCTGGCGCATCCCCACCTCGACCCACACCTACGTCCACTACTTTGGCGGGCTCGCGCGCTGCCACGAGTGGGGCAAGGTGCCCGACGACTTGGTGGCCCGCACGCTCCGGCTCTTGGACCGCCTTGACGCCGTGCCGCTCGAGGTGTTCAACGCCGCGCTCTCGCTCGTGGCCAAGTGCTTCTCGGCCAACCAGCAGGCCATGGTCGACTTGCTCGAGCACGCCGGCGACCGCGGCGTCGCGCCTTCGGCCCACACCTACACCATCTTCCTCAACGGCGCCCGCCACCTCCACCGCCTGCGGGCCGACGCCATCCGCGCCGACACGTCGCTTTCTGCGCCCGTACGAACCAGGCGGCTTTTCGAGGCCCACGCCCGCCTCGTGCAGACGGCCAACATGGTCATGGCCCGTGTTGTCGCCGGCGCCACGCCGCCCGTGCCGCCATCCAAGGCCGCGGCCGAGACCGACCCGCTGCTTTTGGCCGAGTACCGCAAGCAGTGCCGCCGCGTGCTTGTGGACGTCGATCCCGTGTTTGCGGCCACCTTCTTGCAGTGCTACGTCAACGGCGCCGCTGGCACGGCGCAGAACCCTCGCCTGGGCGCCCACTACCGCTACTTGCAGCAGGCGCTCGTGTACCTCGAGGCGTGGAGCCCCGAGGTGGCGGCCATGTTGCGCTTTGCCCACGCCGAGGCGCCGTTCGAGCCTGCGGCCGCAGTGCGGGCCAAAGTGGACGCCCGGCTTGCGTCCGCGCCCGAAGCCACGGCGTACCTGCCCCACAACCTTACGCCGTTGGCCAGGGAAGACATCAACCCGATGGTGGTCTTCCCGCCGCCCGCGTTCTCGTCCAACAAGACCCGCGCCGTTTTCTCGGGCAAGCAGAAGCCGTTGGTGGACTTTGGCCGCCCGACGTTCGCCGATATCCACAAGGCGGTTTTGAACCGCACATACGAGACATCCAAGGGCAAGTTCGGCAAGAAGCTTCCGCGGCTGCAGCAGGTGTCGTTGGAACGGCGCCCGGGCGTCAACAAGTTCTTGCTTCACCTCGCGCTCGATGCCTTGGTGAAGTTGGGCCGCCACGCCGAGTTCTACAGGGCAATGTGGTATGCTCTTTCGACGTGGGGCGGCTTGTACGTGGACAAGACCCGCTTGGGCCTGCAGTTGGCGTGCCAAGCGGTTCCGGCGACAGAGTATCCCGAGATTCCTCATGCAAGGAAATCAAGAGATGCAAAACGCACCGAAACCACCGAAAAATCCACCGAAAAATCGGATGGAGCCCCCACCGCTGAACGCCCCCACCAAGAGTTTGGTAAACCTTCGCTCAACGAAAAGTTGCGCAGCTCGTCCACCCACGACAACAGCATCCTCGACACCATGCTTGTGGAGAATTTCATCCACAAAATGGAAGAATGTTTTCCCCATTCAGCAGTGCCGGCAAGATTTGCTGCCGAGTTGGTGGCAGCTCTAGTCAGCCACGACACAAACATGGCTAGGACGTTGCAGCCCCGCGAGAAAACCTTTGATGCTGTCTTTGCCCTTCTCAACAGAGACGTCTATCTTTACAATGACAAAAACTGGCACCAGGGCACCGTGGGAAATCGCCGCAGAGATGTCCCCAACAACACGCCCAAGCGCTCTTTAACCGAGGCCCAGCTTCAGGACATTCTTGATCCCCTTTTGGTGCTCATTAGGAGCATCATAGTCCACGAGGGACGTCTTTATGCCCATGTGGCCAACCGAAAGTCGCTTATGCTGAACCGTTTTGTCGAGTCGTACATTTCTCTCGTGAACAAGCTTTACGACTTCACATGGACCGACGCACCAGACAACAGCGCCGCCGCTATCGCCATTCACAAAAAGATTCTTGCTGGCGGCATTTTCTTCTACAGACCCCAGGCCCTCGTGGATCCTCGTGACAAGATTGTCTACGCTGACAACGTGCGCCAGTCCATGGAGTTTTTGTACAAGACATTGAAGGACAAGCTGGATCTCAGCCTGGGCGACAAGCGCTTGATGCATGCGCTTCGGTCGTTGTTCACGATGGACACGCTGGCTCCAGAAGCTGTTGCCAAGTTGAAGGGATTGCAGAGTAAAATCTACGATCTCTGTCGTTAGAAAGGCGACTGAAGAATCGATTCTATGACACAGCAGCTAGAGGCACATGGACTGAGATTGATGAGGAAATGGGATGGGGTGTGAGTGCTTGGTGTCTTGGATAGCCTGATTAGTCTTTTACATTCTCAGACCTAGACCACATTCTCAGACTTGTTCTGCCTTTTCTCAGACTGTTCTACATTTTCTCAGACTGTTCTACATTTTAGACTGTTCTACATTTTAGACTGTTCTACATTTTAGACTGTTCTACATTTTAGACTGTTCTACATTCCACAATCTGCTCTTCCCTTATGTGCTTGTGTTGCTGGTCCCATGTATATAGCCACCAAACCAGCGAATACATAGTGCATAAAAAATCTTAAAACAGCTACTCTAAAGTGTCTTATCAGCTTGGATCTGTACTGTTTTAGAGTGATAATGTTAGTTATAATATTAGCAGTATATACTTGAGGAGTTTATAATTATGATTTCACTAATGTATCCCATGTATGTGCTGAAACTACCGTTTTATACTTACATGTATTAGCTGTTTTATGATTATTTATTTATATAATCATTCCTGATGAGGTTCTTAATTTAGTACTCCACTCATAACTTTAGAATTATTAACTATATTAGTACATATTTATTCAAATGATAAGAATATTCAACCTCTAATCAAGTACTACAAGCCGTCTGACCTGTACGTAACACCAATCACCATGGCTCTTTTCTTGATAAGAGATCCACTCCATCAAAACTACTCGAAATTCTTCGACTCGTGTTTCAATCTTCTTCCTCTTGAAACACCGGGTATTCATGTTCTTGTGGGGACAGCATTTCCCGATTTGACAACGACTCGTCATGTTCTTCTGACCCTATATGCTCAACTAAGAGACAATTCCACCAAGCATGGTTTTCCTCCCGAATTGGAAATCGACGTGTTGCTTCGTCCGTCAGGCCAAAGTTACAAGTCCCAGTATTGTGTGAAGGGCGAATTTCCTGATCCTCCAACGCACATTGTGGCGATTGATGCTGAAACTGAACAATGTGATGTTCCGTTTGATAACGATCCTAAAGATGCAAATGGCAAGAAGGCCATTACGGCCGTAGGCGGAACCTTTGACCACATCCACGACGGGCATAAGATTTTGCTTCAAACAGCGGTTTTATATGCCCAAAAACATGTGATTGTGGGAGTCACAGGGCCAAAACTCCTCCAGAAGAAAAAATACGCCGAAATGCTACAGCTGTTGCCAGAACGAATCGACAATGTGTGCAAACTTCTTCAACTTCATTTGCCTTCAGGTGTGCTGTTTTCTATTTACGAGATCAACGACGTATGTGGGCCTACAGGTTTTGTTCGAGATATTGATATTTTAGTCACCAGCCAGGAGACAGCCAAAGGTGCAGAATTCGTCAATAAATACAGAAAAGAACAAGGCTTTTCCAGCTTGGAGGTGGTGGAGGTCGGCGTCGTGGGAGGTAACGGCTCCGACAATTGGAGTGGAAAGCTCAGCTCGACAGACTTCCGCGAGAGGGAGTGGCGCAAATTACATCTGTGAACTGGAAATATTTCACTTATGACGAATCCAAGTACAGTAGACAATCTCACAAAGAGGCGTACTTTTCCAAAGACAAGATATGCTTCAATCCTCTAATGGGCCAAGAGCAAGAGCTCTACCGGATAGAGATACCACGCTCGTATGGGTTCACCCTACGTGGAGTACGGTCCGGGTGGTCCAAAGCAAGCGACACGTGCGAGTCAAACTTCAGAATCTCCTGGAGCAAATTCAAGTCTGCCTTGTCCATGTCGAGGTACCGGCCCTTGTCATTGCTGTCGGCGAGAGCGATTTTGATTTTCTCGAACGCCTGGATGCCAAGACCCAACTTTTTGCGCAATCGAGTCTTCGTGTCTTCAAACAACTCGTCCGGAAATACTGCAAACACAAAGGGCTTGCTGTGAACATAAGATGTCGATTTGTGGAAATGGAACACTGGGATAATATTCAACAGTTTCAAGTAGCGTTGGGCCAATTGGAACTCCAGCCGGAGAGTCTCATCTGTAATGTCAGACTCGGATGTATAGTTCTCGTCGAATCTTTTAAACATGTCGTGGCTAGTCAATATTTCCACTTCTGCCGGGAAATATCCGCAATAATACTCGTACAGGCTATTCAAATCTTCAATAGATCGGTCAAACTTGACGAGGTCTGCATACTTGTATTCTTGGCCAGCCCATACAAGTAAATTGCTCCAATGTTCTTTAGGCACATCCATCTTATCGATCACTTTCTTAATGAGATCTGCAACCGTGCTCGTTTTCGGTACAAGCATGTCAAGGAGATGGAATTGAAGAATCGTATTGAGCCAGTAAATTTTGACTGATTTCATGTTCTCGTACTCTTCCAATGTGATGTTGAGTACTTCGTACTCAAACTGAATTGTGGTAGACACTGCCACTTGCTTGTTGAAAATTTGTGACAAAACCAAATTTGATGACAATGGAAGTCGGCTGCCGCTGTTGTTGAGCACAAAGAGACGCAAGTGCTCCGGGTTAACATTATTGCCAAGTTTCATAGCAATTTCTTCCGCCAATTCTTGGTAAGTGTATGACGTAGATACCCACATATCAAAAGATCTACTCATTTCTTTAGCCAATTGGATTTCTTGTGCCTCCGTAGTTTCTCCATTAGTGGACTCCGTTTCTGGAGTCTGTTCGTCAGCGACAAAGTTACTGTCTTCCTCATCGTCTCCTGCCTTGCAAGGTTTTACCATAATATGGAACCTTGTCGATAAGAAGTCATAGTAATCTCTAGCGTTACTGAACTTCTTTTCCACCGCGCTACTCTCGACGTTGGCGATCTGGACGGTCAAAATGTCTCCAGTGCCTAGTTCGTTTTTCTCGAGCGTGACACTTGAATCGACTGGTTCTATGCGAGTCAGTGATACTTCTTCGAAAAATTCCAAAGGTGTCAGTTCATCGAAGCCGAGGACATTATTGATTGGCTCCATCAACTCTGATACCACAGTGTCCTTAGGTACGCTAGCATAAGTGACTCCACGAACTTCATTCAACACGGGATCGAAATACTTGATGAATATCTTGACATCGCTATCGTCAAAATGCGCAGGTTTTGCATCTTGATTGCTAACGATACGATCGGCCAATGCTTCAAAATCAAATACTTCAGGAGCAGTTTTTGTTGTAGGAGGGGTGATATGGCTCAACTCTTTCCGCAGTTCTTCCACAAAGAACACTAACTCGTCGTACTTGCGTTTGAAGCATTGTGTGTACACGTCATTAATGGTTGATTCATACATCTCTGGAGGAACAGCGGAGTCGGGTCTGCTTGTTCTATTGTTGCGATGTTTGACTGTAAGCAAACGGAATGGAAATTTGGAGAGGTCAGTATCGTCATCAATGGAGATCGCATCGTCTTCTGTACCGAGAGCGTTCTCCTTCTCATAGCCTAACTCCTGGGCCACAAGTTTGTATAAAGAGGCAAACGTCATATCCTTCTTCACAGAGAGCACTGGAGGGTATGCACGTTTGTCAAAGATGTTCGGGTCGTAGAACTTCGGTTTCGCTGGATCTGGGTATGTGTCAAACCCATTGTAGCATACAAAGTTGTCAACTGTTGCGAGCTTGACATTTGTGTAGAACATGGCTTCACGCTTCTTCTTCTCCCAATTGGCAAGCTCCTCGCGCTCTCTATTGATTTGTTCAGATACGTGGTCTGGGATGGAAGCAAGCTTTTCAGGAAGTACAAACTCCATCTCCGATTCACGGTAGTAAACTAACATGTATGCGGAAGTTGCCCTCCGGATCAAGTACTCATTGCGCTCCAGGCGAGTGAGCAGACGTAACTGTATAGGTGACAACTCCTGAGCACCAAAGTTTTCTTGGAAAACTTGCGATGGGGTTACCTTCCACACCTTATCGTCATCAAAACGGAGCCACGTTTGGCTGTTGGCTTCTGGTTTTATCATGGCATAGTAGTGCCCGTTGGAAATGCTTCCCTGGTGTACAAGTACACCGTGAAGTTTATAGTTCCAGTTCTGGTTGCGCACTGCCGGGGGTAAATCAGTATCCAAATATGGGCTGAGGTCGATTTTGTCTGGAAACTCGTATAAATCATCTATTTTCACGAGATCATCGACCATAAAATCATACTCGAACCGTTTCAATTGTAAATGCAACACAGGAGGGAAAGACTCGAATACCACACCCTTCTTTGCATCCTGATAACCGTATTCCTCGCCTGCCTGATATTTGTTTTCTCCCTCAAGCATTTCGATTTCGATGTAATTCTCGAATGACTGTTGTAAATTGCGAAACCCTTTCACGTTGAGTTGAATATCCCAAAATTCCTCCACACGTGAAGATTCATATGGCACATTGACACACTTAATGTACAGTTTCATCTTGCCGACGAAAACATCGTTCAATTTCTTTTCAATGGGCGTGCCTTTCATGGCTGTCTCGAGTCGGTCCATTAGAACACGGTTGAGTTCCTGGACATCGTGCTGTGTAAAAGCGTCTGAAGAATCCCAGCCAAATGATTTAGTAAGTTCCAACGTTCCGACCGGTTCATTGGACAGTTGCATGAGGTAAAAGATACGCTGCAATGCCAAAGGAACGGCTTTGCTGCCAGCACCGTCGTCGGTAGGAATTTGGCATACCAAGTCTCGAAATACTCGTGTGGTATAGTACGATTGGAGTAACGAATTGAGGTAGCATGTAGCTCCCTGATTGTTCAAACCCACGTAACCCGTGTGCGCCTTAGAATCGTATTCCACGAAATTGTGCCACAATACCCCTGTAGCAGAGTCGTCAATAACACGTACATAGCCCGTGATATTTAATGTGTTGTTTTCGAGAATCGCATGGGGCTGATTGCACTTTGCGGGGTTTGCAAGATCGCGGCCTGTGATGAAGGCCGAAAAACCCCAGTCCGTTTCGTTCTTGTTGAATCTGTGGCTCGAACTTGACGGGTAATGGGATTCTGGATGTTCTGGATTCCACATGTCCAACGCAAACTGTGCGCACACATACCAGTTGGGTCCATGAGACTCGGACGGATGCGGTTCCATGTAAAGTGACACTGTATCATTGTTTCCTCTCGGAAACAAGAGCATATTCCACAGAAAGCCACCGCATTCAAAACGGCCGCTGCGTACTTTATCTTCACGGCGTACTGAGCTCCAGTCGGAGATGGTCCACGTGTAATGAGCCTCGCCCACTACGGGATATTCTGGAAGTGGTTTCATGAGCCTCAGCGCAAGTTTTTCGTACTCGTCTGCTTTAGGGTACAACAGCAGCTGCGTCAGTTGTGAAGTAGCCTTGCTGGGTTCGTTTTCAGCGGCACACGCATCCATGTCGTCCATGGCGTCGGGATCGGAATCATCGGCGCTGTCAGCGTCGCTGGCGCTAAGAACTATGGTGTCGGGCGGTTTTTCTCCGACAATGTCGCAGTCGCTATCAATGTCAATGATTTTGTCGTCGTTATCGATCATGTCGTGAAGGAGTTGGGACGAAGGGCGATTTTGAGGATGTTTGGAACTAGATCCGGGTGCTTTTGGGCCTGGCGGCTACTAGATTTGTTTTGCGCTCTTGTAGATGCAGAGATGGGCAAAATTGACGCGGAAAAAACGTGGAGATCGAGGCTCAGGCCAAGTGTTGCAATTGAGTAGTTATATCCCTGGGTTCCTTGCACGAAGTTGCAAAGTAGGAAGTACAGTGGAAAAATGTAGCAAGGGATAGAAAGGTTGGTGATGTGAGAGTCACGTGGCCTGTCTGCAGGATTTTTGACATGGCCATAGTAGCAAAGGAGTTGAAAGGATGATTGAAAAAGAAAAAACGTGAAAAAAGTGGAAATTGAACTCTGCTAATACAGAGGAAGTAAGAGAACCACGTTACTGGAAAATGGAAATTTTGACGCAGTCGAACAACAGGTCATTGCAAATTGAGAGGCTTGATCCAGATCTTTAAAGTAGATCGAATGTAGATCAATTGTGGTTGATATGATATGGACAAGAGAATATAAGGGTCTAGCCGAGAGTTGCTTACTACTTTGGTCTGTTTAACTGAAAGTGCTTTTATTCGCTTCGGAAGACGAACTTATGGGTCTGTTTCCATGTTCATATCAGTGTGGATTATGTATGGTATCGCGCAGATGGACTAATACTGTTCAAGTATCATGAAAGGACGATTCTGAGATTTTTCTAGGAGTTGATGTGAAATGTGTGGGGTAAATTGACGAGAATACTCGAATAGTCCATCTGTTGTATCTTACTGACTAAGGACGAAGTTCTTTACTATTCATCAAAAACAGTAATTTATTGCGATAGTACTTTTCAACACGAAAACCAGATGTCTGTTACATTTATTGATAGCTTCGGTAAGTATCTGGATAACTGTCACTTGTTGTTCCATTACAGTGTCGTGTCTTAGTCTACTTGGGATGGTTGTCTGTATCTCTATGACTACAGGAAGAACAATGCTATAGGCGAGACAAATGTCCATTTAGGAAAACATCACGAATAAGATCTCAGGATTATAGTATACTCCATCAGCTTTTGATAGAAGCATGTAGTCCAAGTATTCTAAGAGCATGTAGCCCAAGTATTCTAAGAGCATGTAGTCCAAGTATTGTAAGAGCATGTAGTCCAAGTATTCTAAGAGCATGTAGTTCAAGTATTCTAAGAGCATGTAGCCCAAGTATTCTTAGAGCATGTAGTTCAAGGATTCTAAGAGCATGTTAACAGCATTGGTGTATTCAGGTCTTCAGTACAGATGCACGCATTAATTGCATGTTACTCTAGTGCCTTTGAAGTTTTCCGAAAAGCGTCGAAAAGTGGTATATCTATCTGTTCTACCTATTTTCCATTCTGCACTTTGACCATGCATCACTGGCTATTCTGGGTGGTATTCAGGTTGAGATCAAGAGCGGAATTTCAAGGCAAGATTAATGCCTCGGAAACGAAAGCTTATTTGCGAACAAGTGTGTAAAGGCGAACGTATCGTCTTGTAGAGCCAATGAACGCTGCAAGAAGCTAATATGGCGCTTGTAAATCTGAATAGAGCAGTTAGAGATCGACAGTAGATATTAGCACAGGCAGGGAGCACTATGGGCATCAAGAGATGCGGATAGCATGCTACGATCTGATAAAAGCTGCTAGCATGTCGTTCAGGCAATAGTCTTGTGGGCACTACATTTGCATATGACAAGAAAAGAGATTCATGAGCGAGATCGGACGAGCCCAGAGATGCAATGCCGCACTTTTCGGTATACCACTTGTACGCAGCTGCGGCGTGGGCAAACTTTAATTTGCAATTTCCAATGTGAGTGAATGAACACACGCCTCTATGGGTGTGTGGATTCCGTTTCGTGGGCCCACGGAGAATGCAAATTTTTTGGCCTGCGACATGAAACATACATCGCAGCAAGGGGGAACATACATACATCGACCAGATATGCGCTGCTCGAAAAAGCTCCTGACACAACTCCTACCAGCTCCTGCTGCACCATTGTCGTATTGGCTGCTGTGTCCCCTGCAAGTGATGGCTCCTTGACAGCGATTAGATGGCGCACAGGTGGAGTTACAGGAGGCATGCACGTAATTAGCCTGTTTTGGATACAGGAGCTGCGAACCTGAACCATGCGAGGCACACTGAATGCCACACGCAGAAACGAGAAAAAAGAAACGAGAAAGGGAAGAAAAAAAAGCAAAAAAAGCAAAAAAAAACAGAATAACAAGAAATAAACTGTTGCCAATGTATTCTGGCTGCCTCTGCGCCCAGCTCAATCCGTCGTGTCCGGCCCCGCACCTACATCTATACCCAGTTGGAGTAGGCAAAACAGTCAAGAGCGCGCACCGCCAAGGCCTTGGGCCTGCACATGGCACGAGAAATCTCGTCCTGCACTGGTTGCGGCAACGTCCGGAGAAGACAAAGCGTGGGGCCAGAACAACCGCGCGCAAATGCACGCTGCGAGCTTTCCGAGGGCAACGCGCGTCGGCGCCTGCGCGGACCGCCCCCTGCGGTGCAGGATGCCCGTCGTGCTTGTATAAAAAAACATCGCCGGCCGCATCCTTGTTTCACCTCCAAGGTTATTCTTCTACAGTCGTTCCTTTCCCTCCCTAGAAAAACCTCGCCTTCGCTCTTTGATTATGTTGTTCAAATCGCTCGTTCTGGCTGCGTTGGCTGCCACCGCCTTGGCCCAGCCTGTCCAACAACACCAGCACCACCAGCACGCCAAAAAGGACCAAATCACCCACACCGTGATTGTCACCGCCGGCGCCCCTGCTCCTTCTTACGCTGCCGCCGTTGAGGTTTCCTCTGCCGCTGGCTCTGCGCCAGCTGCTTCTGCTCCAGCTTCCTCTGGTGCTGCTCCTGTTGCTTCTGGCTCTTCGTCCAGTTCTTCTTCGTCTTCTAGTTCTTCTTCCGGCTCCGGTTCTTTCTCCGGCGCTGCCAAGGCTATCACCTACTCGCCATACGCCGACGACGGCTCCTGTAAGGACGCCGGCACCGTCAAGTCCGAGCTTTCCAAGCTTTCCGGCTTTGAGGTGATCAGAATCTACGGTGTCGACTGTAACCAGGTGCCAAACGTTTTGGCTGGTTTGTCCTCTGGCCAAAAGATCTTTGCCGGTATCTACAACACCGACAACATCTCTGGCGACATTGAGACCTTGGCCTCGGCCGTCAAGAACGCCGGTGGCTGGGACATTGTTGACACTGTCTCTGTTGGTAACGAGTTGGTGAACGGCGGCCAGGCCACCGTGTCGCAGGTTGCCGGCTACGTCAAGGAGGCCAGATCCGCCTTGTCCTCTGCTGGCTACAACGGCCCAGTTGTCGCTGTCGACACTTTTATTGCTGTCATCAACAACCCAGGTCTCTGTGACTGCTCCGACTACATGGCTGTCAACGCCCACCCATACTTTGACGGTGGTGTCACTGCCGAGGAGTCTGGTGAGTGGGTTTTGCAGCAGTTGCAAAGAGTCTCTTCTGCTTGTTCCGGCAAGAAGGTTTTCATCACCGAGACCGGCTGGCCTACCCGCGGAAACAGCAACGGTAAGGCTGTTCCTTCTCAAAGCAACCAGGCTGCTGCTCTTTCTTCCATCTCCGAAACCTGCGGCAACGATGTCACTTTCTTCACTGCTTACAACGACATGTGGAAGCAGGACGGTTCTTGGGGTGTTGAGAAGTACTGGGGTATCTACTCTGAGTAAGCGTGTTTACGGTTCCGGTACTTTTTTTCACTTGCATTCCGTTTGGTGTGTTTTATTCCCTTCTCTTGTGTGGGCGCACTGCGCTTCAATTTGATTCTTGCTTTCTTGTGTATGTGTAGTTTAACATGAGCCTCCGCTTTTGGATGTGTGCGTTTTGAACATGTGCCCTTTTGGTAATGTGCGTTTGTTGACTTTTTTTCTCTCGTTTTTGTCGATGCAGTTCTACCCTCGGTTTCCTGCAGACACCCGTGTTTTCCGATTGCCTCATTGCGCTATTAGCCGCCCGTGCATGCTCTGTGCATTCCTGTCAATGCATCCCATGTTAGCCCAGTTGAGCTGCCGACCGTGTTTATTTTCCGCTTTGAATTTCGCCAACGTCTTATACCAGGCCAGTGTCTGTTTTTTTCTTTTTAAAATATTCCCAACCTCAAACGACAACTTCATCTTGCTGTACCGACTTCACTTTAGTGTTTCAGATCTTGTCGTGTCGAGTCCCATCTAACTTTATTCTAGCCGATAAGCGCATTCCATGCAGGCGGTTTCTTATAGGGGAGCCAAGAAGCCATTGCCGGAAGCGGAAACAACCACATGGCCGTAGGTTAAACTCGAGTAATTTATATATTTACAATTACTATACACAAACTGAAGATGATGATGACGACTGAAGAAAAGAGGGTTCAGCTTTGAATTTCAAAATAAAAGATTAGAATTTGGAATAAGGTGAGGAATGGTGATTTAACGTGAGATTTAGGGTGAGATTTAAGGTGACGTTTATAAGCATTAAGGTGAGGTAACGTGAGATTAAGGCGAGATTAACTGAAAAACTAAAGAATACATGATCGATACCTCTTCGATCTTACATTATAGGCTCAACCAGCGTAATCTGATCACTAAAGGTAGTATTCTTTTCCAAAAATCAAATAATTTCTCTATATCAGCCAAAAACCAGTCTTGGTGGGTCCATCAACACAAACTTACTAGTGATCACAAGGTTAGAGATAATTGTCAGTTTGAGTTTTTTAGTTCTCACCGCTAACGAAAGATCTGAAACCTACTTCCAAGATAATGGTACCAACTACTTCAGATACAAATTCCAAGATATGGAAGATATTGAACCAGCTACGAAAAGGGAATAATAGGCCCCATGCTGATCTGTCGAAACTTTATAGTCAGTTTGGATTCAGGTATTCGGGTTGTACCGGAATCATAGATGAATTCTGTAGTCAGGTGAATAACACTAGCTTGTTGTGGATTTTCTAGTTGTTCCTAGACAATGGAATGGTGTTCAAATATAGATCACAAACCTAACTGTTCCGGTCATGTTACTGCTATCTATTCTTGAATATCATTAGCAAAAACTTGATACGCCGCTGATTAAGTTATAACTGCTACCGAAATGCACTCGTTCTTTCAGAACAACTACATGCCGCATCCTGCCAAAGCGTAAATTTCATAAACACTACTCGTCGAGCCCCAAGAACACACGCCGTTGCGCGATGCTCAGCTTGCTCTGGAATTGCAACTCACGCAAGTCGCCTTTCTCGAGACTCATATCATATTCCGGAATCCAAAACCCGTTTTGGTTGCGTGGGAACAACAAGTCCTCTGTCTGGATATGGTTATCGATTCCCTGAAGAAACTGAACCAAGAACTTGTGTGCATACCGCACATCGGCACCTGTCACTTTGAAAATGTGGCCCGTGAAACGCCTTTGCAATCCAATATTCTCGAACTCGCGGAAAATGTGGCCCATGTCCTCTGGCCCCGACGAGCTCAACGTCTTTTGGATGAGAATCAAAATCTCGTGACCCTTGTGCGTGTAGAAGTTGTTGTTGAACAAGTCGTCCACGTCGGCGTCCTTAGGCAAGTACACGATTTCCTTAACAAAGGCATCCTGCGAGTCTGCCTCTGTCTTTAGTTCCAAATCAAAGTCATTGTCAGAGTGGCCACCGAGGTTGGGATGGATAGCTCCTACACCCGTGTTGACCATGTCATCTTCAATGTTGACCCGTCCAGCCTCTGCGCCCACGTTACGAAGAGCCTCGTGGATGTTGGAGTTTTTCACCTCGCCAATCTCCTCATCCAAAGCAGACGCCTCGCGTGCAGAAACCGCCATATTGGCCACGGCCGCAGCAGCGTTGGCATCCATCTGCGAATGTGGCATAGGGAGATGGTGATGGTGGTGGTGGTGACCAGAGTGGCCAAGAAGATGCCCGTTCGTGGCAACCGCAGCTACTGCAGCAGCGGCAGCAACCTCTGCATCATCCTGGACCTTCTTCATGCGGCGCACGTTGTTTTCGATCTTCTTTTTCTCCTTGGAAGCGCGAGAGGTTAAGTTCTTCATCGGTTGTGGGCCCTCCTTCGAGTCCTTCTCGCGCAAATAGTAGTCTCTGTACTTCTGCAAGCCGTAAACGCGGGCGAACTTACGGTAACGGTCACGCCAACTCGAAGACGAGTGCTGTGGGTGAAGGCGTGCATACTCATCGAAGAATACTATCAGCACACTGAACTTGTTTTCGTTCAAAGGATACTCGTAGGAGCCGTCTGTGACTTTGAGCTGGTCTGCGTCCTGATTGGCCAAAACGTGGTCGATGATATCACGGCACAAGTTGTAGTCGTCCTCGGCAGTGAACCGGTTTTTGATTGTTTTTGCCGAGTTGGTGGGGATAGCAATCTGGCGACCCTCATGGTCAAGCACCAAGTTGTCGTATTCGTCTGTTTTCCAAACGTAATCCAAGCGATGCTCCAAATGCGCCCGGAACCGACTTCTCACAGAGTTTCCCGTGTGGCCCCGCAACAATTCGTGATGTGACAACTCTTCGAAAAACTTGTGTGACGTTCTGAACCGTGGCTTCAACCGCACCTGCTCCAAAATGTACTTGTCAGCCTCGGGCGTGAACTTTGTGGTTGTTTTGCTCATCTTCAGCTTCTTGGCTAAAGCATGTGCTACAGCATCGGCTGCCTCCATGCTCTCTTCGTATGGACTCATGCGTTTCTTGATCAAGCCCGGCATGATCCGGTACTGGTCCATGAAACACATGGAGCCCTTTTTCAACGAGTCGTCGATAAAGCTAAACGACACAGTGGTACGGTCGTCCCACGCAAAAGAGCTCAACTGCACCACCAGGCGGTTTTCCAAGACGCGCTCATCTGTTTCCACTAAACCTCCGGCAGAATGGATAAGCTTGATGTATTTATCTCGGTTTGGGTCCAACTGGTCAATGTAAAATACCATGGGTTGGCCATTTGCCTCTGTGAAAATAGACAGGAGCACGCCTGGTGGTGCCATGACTTGGTTGTGGTCGGCCATGGTGTGTGGATGTTTTGATTTTTGGAATGTTCGGATGTTCAACTGATGAGTTCTGGGGGTGTGGGTTTTCGGGTGTTAGGAGGTTTTTATTGAGTGTTGACTTTGTTTTTTTTTCTCCATCGCGGGGGGGAACACAGAAAACCGTGCTGCATGCTGCACTTGCGGTGTGTACATCTGAGCACAGAGCTTTCTGGAAAAGTATAAGACAGTTACAGATCCTCCATTTTGTTGAGTTTGAGTGAAGCATTTTTATGAATTGAGCATTTCGTGAGCGGAGGTTCGACTGGAGTTTACTCAACACAAATGCTCATGCTTTTGCTGACAACATGATCCAATTATAGTTGGTAGTTATAATCTTCGGTGTAGTACTCCATTTTCCGAGAGTGTCATGCTTTTTGATTGGCCATTCGAGACTCCTCTGTGGCGAAAAGTTAAAATCTTCATCATTAGGTGCCCTCCGTTTGCCACTGCGGACTTAACAGCGGAGAAAACCCTCTTTTGGCAATGACGGAATCGAGAAGCCTATCATATGCAAGCTGGGCCCGTTCACAATAAGAGTTGCTGCACCTAGAACTTTACCATAGGGGTATAAAGAGACTGCTCCTCTTCCCAATTTTTGTTCTCATTACATCAATTGCTCAGTCTATACCTCACTCAATCATGTCTTTAAAACCTGTTTCAATCCCTGGCACTTTCGGTTTCGGAACCATGTCTTTGACATGGACACCCAACCCCAAGCCATTCGAGGAAGCTTTCGAGTCAATCAAGTATTCCATGGATAAGTACAACATCCGTTTTCTTAACGGAGGTGACTTTTACGGACCAGACAACATCAACTTGAAACTCTTGCTGGAGTTCTGGAAGAAGTATGCTAAGGATTATCCCGACTTGGTCATCTCCATCAAGGGTGCCATCAACCCCACCACTTTGGCTCCTGACGGAAGCAAGGAGTCAATTTCCAAATCCGTTGAAAACATGATTTCCTTTTTCCCTAAAGAGAAGTCCAAGAGACCTGTTCTAATTTTTGAAATTGCCAGAGTTGACACGAATGTCCCATACGAAGAGACTATTGGCTATATCAAGGAGTATGTGGAAAAAGGTGCCATTGACGGAATTTCGCTTTCCGAAGTTGGTGTTGGTTCCATTGCCAAGGCTGTCAAAGTTGCACCGATCTCCTGTGTCGAGGTGGAGGTTTCTCTTATGTGCCAGGATGTCTTTGAAAACGGTGTTTTAAAGGAGCTTTCCGAAAAACAGATTCCAATCGTGGCTTACTCGCCATTGTGCAGAGGCTTCTTGACAGACAGAACCGCCAATGACTTGGATGCCTTTTTCAAATTGTGCCAAACGCCTGGAGATATTAGGGGCCACTTGGACCGTTTCTCTGCCGAAAACTTCCCCACAAACCTGAAAGTTGTCAAGAAGTTGCAGGAGTTTGCTCACAGTAAGAACACTACCTTGGAGTCCTTGGCCTTGTCATGGCTTGTTAGTGTCAGTGAACAAGAGGACTATGAGGGCATCAAGAAGGTTTGCAAGATTATCCCAATTCCAAGTGGTTCCACTGCCGACAAGATTGACAAGAACTTGGGCAACATCAACAAGTTATCTAAAGCTGACTTGAAGGAGATCAAAAACATCACCGACACAAACAAAGTTGTTGGCTACAGATACAACAAACATGCGGAGCACATGAATTTTGCTTGAGTGATCACACTGATGGCGATATTCGGCTGTGCCAAATACGTCCAAATGTTTTGTCCTTTATATCATGTTTGAAAAACAAGCAATAACTTTTTAACAATTGTAGCTATATTCTGTACTGTGTGTAATATCGGACAGATTGAAGAGCCTAATGCATATTATTTATATAGTGAGCATGTCAAGATATTTTTGCAGCCATAGTTTCTCGCGCATATATAAATGTGCCCATGCCCACTCTTTTGAAAAGAAAATTATAAGCGGGAAGAAAAAAATGACTACTCATTTTTGCAAACAGCGTATCTACGTTAAATGTCATGATAATGTACCGACACAAATAAATTAAATAAACACCTAGTGTATGTTGCAATTAGGGCACACAGCGAAAATCAATCAGCAATCGACAGAAACAACCTGCTCTTTATATAATACATGTCCCTTTGGTGTTTTTTCTTGCCAAATGACCATGGCTGAAAGTTGGTCGCCACGCACACAGCCAGAATCTAAGCCCTTGGCCCATTTCTTCAACTTGACTCCTCTGCGGGCATCGTGCCCATAGTATACAATGTACTCATGGTCCAAGGAACCCTCTTTCTGCTTTGCATTCCAGACTTTGGACCAAGAAACGGCGTTCTTCTCATGGGGATCGTCGGTTGTTTCGTTGAAGTGAGGCGCCAAGTAGGATCTCATTTCTAAACAGTCCATCGGCTCTTGCTCATTGAGATTGTCCAAAGCATCTAGCCTCAATCCGGCGTGCACAGCAAGACCATCTGCGTGCTTCCTTTTTCCATTGTTCCTTGAAGAGTGCAAAGGTACAGGACCAAGCTTTTTGATCAACAGACATTTGTTGATGTATGCAATGTGTTCTGGCTGCAACTTCTTGGCCAATAAGTACTCAGGGTCCTCAATAAAACCTGATGGAGACACCAGAAGGCTCCGGAAAGGAACTGTCGAGTTTTCCGCAACGAAGAATGGGCTATCCAAACCGTGAAACCTGGCATAGTTGTTCAAAACATAATACTCGTGGTTGCCCAAAATGCAGTCTGCGTTGTATTCGTCAAGCAATTCGAGAACACCAATCGAGTCTCTTCCTTTGGTGATGAAATCGCCCAACACAAGAAGATGATCTTTCTCTTGGTTATACTTAACTTTGCCGAGGAGTTTCTTGAATTCTTTCAACTGGCCGTGAATATCGCCAACGAGAATAAGTCTCTCTCTTAACTTTCCAATCTTCTTTCTCGAAGTTGTGGCCTCTGGTTCCTCTTCATCGTCACTTTCCTCATCGCCATTATCTGCGACTTTCCAGTCCCCTAGGTTCCATTCGGCGGCTGTTTGCGGATCCACTGGATCTAACGAGACTGGCAAGTCTTGAACCATGACAATTCCCTCAAGGGGCCTCAGCTCGGGGATGAACATTTTCGGCAATAAAACGCAAAAGAGATAGACGAAAAATATACTTGCAATGACGCTGATGGCTATAATCACACGCTTTGTCCTTTGAGAGAACAGCCATTCCTCCTCATATACAATATCACCGTACTCGCTATCCCTTGCCGACGCATAGTTCGCCTCGTTTCTCGACTTGAGAGGGTCACTCATGGCGAATTGTGGAAGAAAATAATAAAAGCCGGATAACTTGAACGGTTAAATAATACAATGCAGTATGCAATGCATGTCTGCGTACAGGCGGTTTTTGATGGCTCTAGTAGTTATTAATGCCTCGTGCGTACTTAAATTTCATATGTCCTACATACGGCTCATATGAATGGCATATGTACTATTTTAGTGCATCCACTATATTACTTGTCTCAAAAGAGTAACCACGACCGACACCACGAATGGCATTATGAAAAGCTTAACCGTTTACATTTAAAAATTCCTAAATAACCCATGTGTTTGAACTAGCCGCCACCAACTCCTTCAGGCCGCTCCACCTCCTTCTGGACCACAACTTCCTTTGAAAGAAGTTGCCGCAAATCGGGGTTCACCCTCACTTCGTAGAGGTCTTCTGTTTTACTCATGTTCTTCCGATCGATGAGGTCAATCATGCGTCTGAACCGCAAGAAAAGTAATTCTGCTCGTACTAGTAAGTCATGGAGGTTCAATTTGCCCAGCAAATCGTTCATGTACTTCAAAACCTCATCGAACCTCTGCAAATTCTGGATGATAATGCGTTGGTTATCGCTTAAAACAGCTAGCGCGACAAAGAGGTGGTACTGACTAGAAAAATAGTCTGTCCATAAAACCTCCCAAAGTGTATTCACGTTTTCCCAGTCAAACTCACGCTTAAACCACACCAAAAGCATGCGGAAAAAGAAAAACAAGTCAGTTGATTCACACTTATCCAAATGACGGAAGAGATCTGGAAGCATAAACTGCACAAGCTCGTTAAGCACAAGCATCTGCTTTTTCATCCCACTCTGATCTCTTACGAAATTTCTCTCCATTCTTTCCATGAAACCAGCAAAGGCCCAGAACGAGAGTACCTCATCCTGGAAAACAACGTAGATGGGCGAAAGCAAGTCTGTCATTCCCTGGACGTAGCCCAAATTGACATTGTATTCGTTAAAAGTAAGAAGAATCTCGCGCATCCGGAACAAGTGAACGTTTGTGATGTTGGCTAAGTCCCACTCTTCGTCCTCCTCGTCTGGTGTTTCTGGAGATGATTCTCTGCCCTGTGTGGATGTGTTACGCTTCTTTTCGCTCTTAAAAATATCCAAGTGTCTGTCGTTGCGGTGGATGTCCTTCTCGATACGCACTTTCTGGTCCTTCCAAAATTCTGTCTGCCTCTTGTCATCGTCCTCAATCCAGCGTCGCTTATAATCGGCGTAGCTTGATTGCAAACTTTCGAAAGCAACCTCGCGTTCTTTCAAAGACGAATCCCACTCGAAAACCCCAAGTAAAAAGGGCCACGCAGACTTCCGCACATCCGGTTCAAGTCCACCATGGAATACACGGCTTTTGACCTCTTCCACAGTTAAGATAAGGCGCCCGTTATGGTCAAAGAAACCGTCCCACTCTACTTGCGACACGGGTTTTCTCCGGGAAGCATTGCTAATTTCTTCGGGAGTCAAGAGATGATCATCGGGACCGAGTTCTTCGTTGATTCTGGCATATACCGCATCTTCAAGCATGAAATTACGTTGAGACTGCTCTGCTTCTTCCTTAACCTGTGCTGCCCACTTTGCCAAATACACTCTGGCACTTTCAAAATCGTTGCTAATTTTTTGCACTTCTGGCTTGTTCAAAATCAGCTTGACAACAACCTGTGGGACGTGTTCATCCACGATATCCCGCACCTGGTTTTTAGTACGCAGCCCAAATGTGGCCACAGTTTCCAAAACCTTCCATTTGGCTGTGGCCAATAACTTCCCTACGTCGGGCAATTTGAAGGGCTCAGTAGCCGGAACATTTCTTTCCGAGGATTTATCCTTGAGTGGAGCAAAATTACGGAGATCAGCCAGAGTGGGGTCCACTAAGTACACTGAAGGTTCTACCGTAGACTGTTCCACATTGATAAGTTTTCCGAGCGCCAGTAAAAAATCCTGGCCACCCCAGTACATTGCGCCATCCTCTCCAAAGGGATCGAACTTTTGATTCTTAAGTTTCTGTCTCTTCAATGTCAGAGGAGACTCGTCATCGTGGAAAAAAACCACCGGTAACTTTTCGCCAGACCTCATGTGGACCACAATTGATCCATACCACCAACCTAACGATGGCTTCCGAAACTGGATCAGATAAAGCGACGCAATTGGCACAGAAAAGGAGAACCCACCGGCGTAAGGCTTGCTAACTATCACTGCCTTTTTGGTCTTTTTCGAACTTTGGCCCGAAACCAGCAATGCTTCTAAGCCTGAAATCAAATCATCTGCCATATCAATCTCCTGGTACAGTTTAGTGTCTTCGTTGGAAATCACAGACTCGGGCGAAAACGAAAGCAAGTAATCTTTCTTTGTGGAGGCGCTCCCAGGACGAGAAATCGAAAGGTAACCCGGGATATTGTCCCTTTTGGAGCTCGAAGGGTGTAGGTATGTCTTTGACTTCACATAGAGAAGTTCTGCCTGTGACAGAGACAACGAAGTCCTTCTGTCCATATCTTTGGATTTGTAGCGATATTGAGGAGTTTGAGATGTGCCTGTGCTATTGCAAAGTATGCGCCCCCGCACATGACGCAGAGAAGCGAAGATGCAGAACACAAGAACTGATTCCCATGGCGCAGAACGCAAGAATGAAAGAGGATTCAGAATTGCGTCAGAAACTTTGAAATGTTCGCCACAATTGGTAAGATTTCTCGCTAGGCCATTATGATGTCAAAAGATGGCACACATTTCAAAGTTGTAGGTGATTGCATTCTCCGTTTAATTGCAAAGATAGCAATCAGAATACCAGAGACTTGGGACTAATATCTACTCTACAGTGACCAGCCTTAGATGACATGATAGGTGAACCTTTAAAGAAAAGTCTATTGCACGTATGGCAGATTAATCCTGAGCTTGAACATGCCAAGTAGGAACAGTACAAGGCTCTTTAACCATGCAAGCTTAGGATCCAATTCTGCAATCTCTCATCTCACAGTTGTTCATCGGCATTTGCCAGTCTTGTTGCCTCGCAAATCGCTAGATTATGCGTTGTTGGGGTTTTCGCATCTATTTGAAAATTACTATACAAGTGTCAATACCCAGACGTTAAACAGAGCAGGTCTGTCATATGCCATCAGCCTATAAGTACAACGAGCCAGCAGAAACAATGTCTCTGTGCACCAACTCAGCGGCTTTCTCCATCTTCTCCTGCAACTCGACGTTTCCAATCGTCTTGGCCGCAGCCTCCATCTGGCGGATCATCTCCTCCAATCTTCTGAAGGTTCTGATGAGCGAACCTTCATATACATCGGTCATTTTGCAAATTTGTGTAAAGCTGGCACCTTTACACCAGGCATATGTCACTTCCATAAGCTCGGGCCGGAACAGCTCCACATAGTCCTTCTCCACTACTTCGATCTTGCAATCCTTATACGTTTTCGCCAAGCGTGTGGCCATGTCTTGCATTGCCTTCAAAGGTTCCGCCAACTCAGGCTTGAGGCGCGGCACCTCTTTCGCCCGTTCTTGGAAAACAAAGCACGACAAGAGAGCTGCGCATTGTTCAGGGCCCAAGTTGTTGAAAGTACCGTTGAAGATGAGCTCCGTGAGCAAGAGCTCATCGCCTGTAGAGATCTCACATGCAACACGGCCTTTCAACTCGATAATGTCGTTTGCCGTAACAAACGCAAGCTTACGCAAGACACGTTTGCGGTGACGCAAATCGTCAAGCTGGATCACTGCCTGCGCCTGGAGAATCTTCTCTTTGGTTTCTCTGATTTTGGCGTCAATATCCATCTTCTGCGAAAACTTGGCGTACAAGTCGGTGATGCGGTCCGACTCATGCAATGGGTTGCTGGCCAACTTTCCTTCCAACACGTCGATCTTGCGCAAGAGCATTTTGAAGTCTGGATCGTCGATTTTCATGCTGTCGACGGGATTCATCAACGGAATTCCGTCTGGCAATTTCTTGGGCAAATCTTTCAACGTCCGAACCATGCTGCGCTTTGCCAGCGAGCTCTTAAAGTCTTCAGGGATTTTCAACCGCACGCTTGAGATCGCTTGAATGGAGTCCAATGTGATGGGGATGTATTCGGCCCTAGCCTTCTCGCCTTCTTGGGCTGGGCGGATTCCCTCAGGAAGATCAGGATTGAACGGCTTGATCAACCCCACAGGCGAATCCACAAACATTGTGCATACGAAAACACTCACAACGTACGATTCGTGATCCGTATACGTCTGCGATGGGTTTCTTTTGTTTGTTCTCTTCGAGAACGAAGCCACCATACCCCAACCATAATCGTGCTCTCCCACACGGATTTTTATCACACGGCCCGGTTGCAAGAAGGGTAAGATGTGGCCTGGATGGGTCACCACCAGCCGCACATCTTCTTCATATGTCTTCAACTGCTTCTTCAAGTCGTAGTATTCTTTCACAAGGTACTCGTCGTCAACCTTGGTGCTGTTGTATTCCAAAGTCAATTTCTGGAGCTGCTGTTCTAACACCGGCACAGCAGAGGCATTCTGGAACTGGTAGAACGAGCTTTCCAACATGAACTCGGGAGAAATACCCTCCACACGCATCAAGTTCAAAATCATGTTGTAGCCCAAGTGAAACGCCGAGTCCAAGCGGTCAGCCTGGCCCTTGACCATGCCCTTGGCCACCTGCGGCTCCATTTTCTCGTCGATCATCATAATGACAATTCCACGGTCATCCAAACCTCTCCGACCAGCACGTCCAGACATTTGAATATACTCACCACCGGAAACCCAACGGAACCCTTTGCCGTCCCATTTACGCACAGAGGTGAACACGACAGTCTTAGCCGGCATGTTGAGACCGATGGAAAATGTTTCTGTGGCGAAAAGAACCTTGAGAAGACCCTCTTGGAACAAAATCTCGATGATCTCCTTGAGAATAGGCAAGAGGCCCGAGTGATGAATGCCGATACCACGGCGCAACAATGGCAAGATGTTCTTGATTTGAGGGAGTTCGCGATCCCCCTCCGGGAGCAAGCTGATGGCATTGTCGAAGATCTTAGTAAGCGCACTGCGCTCGTCGTCGTTGTTGAAGTCCAATTTGGACATTTTGAGGGCAAGCGACTCGCAGTCACGCTTGGAAAACGAAAACACAATCACTGGGTTGTATCTCTTCATGTAGATCATTTTGACGATTTTATAAATGTCACTTTTGCCGTCCTTGTTGCCTCCTTTGAAAGTCTGGCCGTTTTTCTTTCCCCGCAGCTCTGTCGCTGCTGGATCGTCACCGATATTGTTGGAAATAGACGACATGGCCTTTTGAAAGTTTTCTTCACGGAAAGTGCCCATTTCGTCAACCACCAAGTGGATTCCGTCTCCCGCAGCTGGGAACAAATAGTGCTGCAACGGTGTGGGCCGGAAATCAGTGTACACAACGTGACACGGCTGGTTGTGGATTTTCACTATCCACTCGGCAAACTCCATCGCGTTGGGAATTGTCGCCGACAAAAAGACATGGTGCACCTTATCTGGGAGCAAGATGATGGTCTCTTCCCACACGACACCTCTGGACTTGTCTCGCATGTAATGGACCTCGTCGAAAATGACCCACGCCACTTCTCGCATCACCTCGGAACCACGGTACAACATGGATCTCAAAATCTCGGTGGTCATCACAAGACAACCGGCATCCGGGTTGATGGTGACATCTCCAGTCATCAAACCGACATCGCCGAACTCGGCCAAAAGCTCTCTGTACTTCTGGTTACTCAACGCCTTGATGGGCGAAGTGTAGATGACTCTCTGCTTGTCTCGAAGCGACTGGGCAATGGCGTATTCGGCCACCACGGTTTTTCCTGCCGACGTGTGGGCAGAGACCAACACAGACTCGTCCCTGTCGATGCACGAGATGGCCGTATCCTGGAACGGATCCAACGTGAACGGATACGTTCTGGCCTCGCTTTTCCTCTTGTGTTCTCCAATAGGAATGTATGGGTAATCAGGCGGGATGGCCACCTGGTGACGCACCTGGTGCTTCAACTTGAGCCCGGTCTTCTCGGTGTTTTCTGAAGGCGCCAACAATCCGCTCGACGGCGCCACCTCTCGCGATGCTTCGATTTCAGATGCATCTCGAACAACTGGAACCACTTTGGCGGGGGCGGTCGTTTGCTTTTTTATCGTCGGCTCGGGGTTGGGGGACGCAGCTCTTTTTCTTGTTTCCTTTTCCTGCTTAGGAGCTTCCGGCACCAGGGCTGGTGCCTCGGAAAAGACATCGAAAAGGTCGTCTCCGTCCATGGTTTGTGGTTGTGAAGAGTGAATTTTTCGAGTGTGGAAGTGATGAGATGCACACCCGTACCTCCGGAACATGGTGATTGTCTGGGATCTTAAAAAACGGTGTCAAAGCAAACGATGAGAAGGGAAAACAGAAGGGAAGAAGAGAATGAGCTTTTTATCCGCAGACGAAGTAAGCAAGGTCGGAAATGGGACCGTGGTGGATTGGAGTGGGGATGATGTTGGTGCTTTCTGCAGGAAGAAGGTCTGTAGATGTTGAATCTTAGTTTTATTCAGCAATCCGTCTCTTTTAGTGTTAGTTTGGAGCCCATCCTAGTCTTTTGCTTCCATATAGCGAGATACGGGTGGTCAAGCTGCAAACAACAAAACGAACGAATTTTCTTCTTGTCTTTGCGCACCCAAAGTGCACATTTGTGCAGAAATGCAATTATTATCTCAGATACTTGACTGGCCAAAAAGTGAAGAGAAATACCACATGCTGATAATAAATACAAAGGGTGGAATCGAAAATAAATCAGCTACACCTCTTAACTAGTGTACAAAATGATTTACGAAAGTAATATCCTTCTCCATTGTTGTACAAGCAATTATGCAGTTTGATCCGGAGGTCTTTACTTGTCACATCCACTACGATTTTCTCTTGTCATTTTTGCCATCCCAAGTTTTGGGTTCAAATCATCGTTGGGTCATTGGTTACAAACTCAAGAGTCTATCGGACTCTGTATTTGAGCCAATCGTCAATAAATCCAGTCCGCAGAGTTGGATGAATTATTAGCATTCGTCTGATTTGTTGTAGCACCCAGAATGCCAGGGTATGAATGAATTCCTAAAAACTTCTGATGATCTGGTTTTTTAAAAATTTTTCCCAAACGTAAGAAACAGGATAGTAAACCTCAAGTAAGGAATGGGATGGATAGAACAAATTTCAGCAGAGAAAGCAGAAAAAGTAATTGGTTCCAACGTTTCTACAAATACAATGTCTGAACCAGCCTACGGATATAATTCATAATTACTTCAACCAATTCAATAACCTTTTGTTCCGACGTCTGTGAAATTTGCTTCTTTGGCCAGTCACTCATAACAACTTCCTACACGAATTAAACAAAGAGTATACCAGCAGATTTTCAAGTATGTCCAAAAGTGTGAGAGCCAGAGGCTTAAAAATATTTTCTCAATCAATTCACAAATCTCCACGTCTTGAATAAAGTAGTTGCGATTGGCCATTCTACACTGGAGTTCAAATTAGATGTCTGATATGAAATAAATGAATGCTTTGATGTGGGGTCAGCCTCTCCCAGGAGACCTTCGCTCCCACATCAAATGGTTTGAAATGCTGTATTATGCTAGGGTATCTGTGCGAGCTGGGTGCGGGCTCAGGGTGCGGCGCTCCAATTCTTTGAGCGTGCGCCACTTTTCCTTGTCGTACTCCCCCACAACCGACGTGGGGAAACTGCTCACGCGCGAGCGGTCCAGGGCGCCTGCAGTTTCCGCATCCCAATTGTCTTCGAAAGCCGGGAGCAACTGCGGTTCTGGCGGCGGCGCCAACATGAACGTGGGAGGCGGGTCACGGGCCAAGAAAGACTTGGGCTCCGTGAGAAGTGCCTTTAGCGCTTTGCGCGGAGATCCAGAACGGGACGATTTGGCCGACGCTAAAGAAACCAGGAACGACGCGAGCGACGCAGAGTGCCGGTGGCGCCGTGCCAGCAGCGCAGAGGCCGAGTGTTTGTGCGAACGCTGCGGCAGCGCCAGCAGCAGACGGAACATGCCAAAAACCTTTTTGAGTGGCGACGTTGAAGCCGCACAAGGGGTTCCTGGAGGAGTGGAGGGCGGCGGGGTTTCGGGCGACTCACGCGGCGTTAGCGGCGGCGGCGAGTCTTGGCGGTACGTGTGGAGAGACGGCGCCGCAGACAAGCGGGGCGAGGGCGACTTGAGTGACGCATGCGATGCACGCGAAGATGGCACGACGGGCTGCGAGTAATTTTCTGGACCTGCGTCAGTGACATTGAGGTCACTGGTCGACTCGCAATCGGCCGAGTCGTACATGTTTGGCTTGGTTGCAAAACCCAGGGCTGCAAACTCGGTGCTAAATTGCAGGGTTGCAAAATCCGGAGATGACTTTGCAGACGCAAGACGTGATGCCTCGGCTGCAAAATGCGCCCTGGCTGCAAATGCATCTGCACTTAGCGCATACTTGTCCGACAGTCCAGGGTACAAGAGTGGCCCGGGGGCGCGCGGCCAAGCGGATTGCCAAGCTCGATTGTTTTCCCACTCGTGGAGCGATACGTGACGCACTGCGCCGCCGCCCCAGCGGGGTGCAGCAATAGGAATCAGCAATTCTGCGGCGTCCAGCGCCTCCTCAGCGTGTTCCAAGATTGTCGAAGGTGCGGAATCCGACGAGCGGCGGGGCGAGCGCTTGCGCGGGCTGGCGTCAGTGCGAAGAGCTTCTGGCCGGAGACTGTCTTCGGAATGCGGCGTGACTGGCGTTGGCATGTACGGGGTGACTGGCATTGTCGGGTATGGGGCAGCGTCGATGGGCGGATTGGCATCTTTAGGGCGATGTGCGCGGTCCCAGCACTCAAGCGTTCGGGATTCGAGGTTCTGGACCGAGCGCGCGCTGCGCAACGTGTTGGCGCTAGGCGTTGGCGCGTCTAAGCTTGGGGCGCCAGCGTCGATGCTGCGGCGCGGCACAGGGAAAGTGTCCAAGCTCCGAGCACGAGCGGGAGCACGCACTTTGGCCAATACCGCCGGCGGCGCCATCCAGTTTTCGCCGTCGTCCCACGTGCTAGGAGCCATAGACGCCTGGACAAGCCACAGAAGCAGATCGTCCACCAATGTGCGCTCGCTGGCTTTTGCTGAGAGCTCCTTGCGGGGAAGGTTTTCTGTCGATGTGCCCGCAGTGGAGTGGAATTCAGGGGCAGGGTGAAGCGTGTCGGCAAAGTGGTTGGGTGGATGGCGAATGGTGGAATCTTGCGAGTGATTGGAAGCGTGCCAACTGTAGGTACTGAAGTGTTTTTCTGTGGCCCTTGACGCTGTGTCTGCTGCATTGGCAGCGTTGGCGTCTCTGGCGTCATTGGCATTGGCATTGGCATTTTTGGCATTTTTGGCATTTTTGGCCGCTTTCGTGTCTTCCCTTGCGGTGTCTCGCCCCAAGTGCGCCAAGTCCGAGCACATGTCGCTCACAGTGCGGCTGCTGTTTTTCTGGCTAGGGGCGTCGCTCGCATGAAGGCTTTGCTGGGGCCACATTTCCTCATCCAGGGCGGCTCCGCGGTCCTGTTCTAGTGTGAGCGCCATGCCCATACTGAACGCAGCCGCCATCGAAAGCGCCTGGAGCGCCGCAGTTTCGCCCCCAGGAGAAACCTTGGCGGCTAGCCACATTGCCACAGCCAAGTAAAGTGGCGACAAAAGCCCCCAAACTGCCCTTTCTTTCGCTGGCAGTGGAGGCGCCGCCCATAAAAACGCCAGCCCAGAGGCACACAAGAAGGCCACAATGGAAAAAACCAAGAGCACAGGGTGGCGTCGGCGAACGTAAGCATGGGCGCCAAGCAGGCCTTGCACCACTAATAGAGCCACGAGCCACGGACTGAGAAAAAGACGGAGGCCGGGCATGTGGAGAAAGAAGAGAGGAACGGCGAGAAGTTTTGTGGGTGTTTATGGAACGTCCCAAAGAGGCAGGTTGGGTGCAAAAACTTGTTCTGTGTGCAGGCATGTTGATATCAGTGCGCTTGAAACTGAGACATGTGATGGTTCAATAAGAATCAGTTGGCGTTTTTGCCTGGGCGCTTTCTTTTCTTGCTTTTACATGCGGTTTGCTTTTGTTTTTTTTCTTGTGGTTTGTGGTTTGTTTTTGTATTTTGTGATTTTGGCCCTTTATTGCGCTCGGTGGCCTGGTGTTGAACGGCTGATACTTGGATGGGCTATACTCCAGAAAAGCAGTTGGCACTCTTCAACTTTGAAAATTGCAAGACGGCAGGTGTAGAAATATCCATAGTGCTTGAATTGGACAGATCTGGGCGAGATTTACTAACTACTGGACAGATGATATGAGCTCCATTTGTTCGCGAATTCAACTAATGCATCAGATTCAACTGAATTTCACTAACTAATGCATCAGGCTCAACCGAATTTCACTAAAGGTCCACTTGAGTTCTGAAACATCCTCTAGAATGAAATTGGCAGCTCATCACTGATAATGCAATGCGCGAAGCCGATGATTCTTTCCTGGATCGTAGTCTGGTATTTATAATATGGCGCTCAGCTTTCTGGAAATTAAGCATTCGATGATTATCGAGCAAAACCGGCGATGATATTGTGGTTTCTTGTCATGTGTTTTATTCAGTCAAACTATACAAATTCTTTCTGAGATGTGTGATGTATTCAAACTTTTCATGAAATGCCTTCCAGTGAAACTCACAGAGCGCTTTAGTCCATCGCACACAGAGCTGTTACACTCCTTCTCAAAACCAGTCAACTCTCTAGTTGTACACAAAGTCACCACCAACCCATCTGTTGATCATCTCCAACGAGTTTTCTGGCTGGTCGTATGGCACCATGTGGCCAGCGCCAAACACACGCAAAAATGTGAAATGCTTATAGTTCTTCACCTCACCGGCGGCGTGCTTGCCGACAGTCCATTTGCGGATTGGCTGGGCCTCGAACTTCTCGTGGTGGGACCATGGCAATCTGTCGGCCCACGCCTGGTTACCCAACCAGTTACAGATAAAGTCCTTGTCTCCAGCATAGATAAGAACAGGAACATCTTTTTCTAACAAGTCGATGACGTTCTTGTGGTAAGGCTGCATCCAGTCACCAGCAAACATGAAGTTGCGGTTGACATCAAAGTTGCACGACTTGTACTCTTCCACTTCCACACCCAACTTTTCCTTGACTTCTGGCAAGTTCAAGTACTCGTCAATGTACTCCAAGTCCTTGTAGCACAAGCTGGAGCCTTCACACATGGTTCTAATGTCATACACGTTACGACCAGTCTTTTGGTAAGGACCCATTTGCGCATTGTTACAGTAGATGGTTGCTGGGACACATGACCAGACAGAACCGGAGTTGTAGCAAGACTCAATCAAGGACAAGCACCGTGGGATGGAGCTGGCCATATTGTCACATTCCTCTGGCTCCAAAACAGAAGGCTCGCCACCTTCGCCGCAAGCCATAGGCTGGTAGTACTCGTATTGAGTCAAAGGATCGGTCAAGCCATTTCCAATCATCACCGAGGTCAAGTTGAAGGAGCGGTCCTCGTGGCTCAAGATCTCAGACGAGAAGACAGGAATGTAGTGGCCACCGTAGGACTCGCCTGCAATGTGGAAGTCCTGGTGGTTGTACTCGGGGAATTGCTTGAAGAACAACTCCAAAAAGGCGTAAACGTCCTTTCCGGCATTGACGGTGTTGGTAACAGAGTCCGAGGAGTACGAGTAGCCCACATTGACAGGCTGGTCCAAGAAAATGACCGTGGCATTGTTGTTCCACGAGTATGGGTTGTGCACAGGCTTCAAGCTCTTGCTGATGGAAGCAGGACCCAACTCAAAGAACAAACCAGTCAAGGACGAGCAGCCAGGGCCACCGTTCAACCACAAAATAACGGGGTCGTTTTTGGGGTCGTTACGCGACTCAAACAACCAGAAGAAAAAGTGCTTGTCTTCATCCTCCACATCCAAATAACCGGTGTACTGCTTGACCGAGTCCACGCCCAAATCCTCGGGAGTGGACTTGGCACGGACCTTGTGGTTGGGGAAGCGGGTGTCGGTCACATGGAAGTCGAACTGGGACTTTCCTGGAGTAGCCTTTTTCGGAGCTGTCTTGAGCTTCAATTGGCCCACAGTTTCAGGGAACTTGGCGAACATTTCTGCCCACAATTGCGCGGTCCCAGCAGGAAGCGCTTCCGCAGGGTTGTTTACGTACTGGGCAATCTTGGCAAAGATGTCGCCCTTCTTTTCGTCCAAGGCCGAAACCACCTGGGAATAACGGGAAGAGACATAGTCAATGTTGGAGGACATCACGTGCTGGAGATTCTGCAAGTTGGGCAGGCCAAACTGGGGCACCGCAAGAGCATTGGCGCTGGCGGCGCAAGCTATAGTTGCGGCTTTGGCGAACTTCATACTTTTTGTGGAGAAAGAGAAGGATGGGGGCAAACAGAGGCTATATATAGGGGAGCGCCTTTATGCAGGAGGCAACCATCGAGGTGCTTATCGAGTGACGTTTGAGCATGTTGAAAAAGTGCGGGTTCGGGCTGTTTTGGGCAAATGAGCTGGGAGGCACGGGTGCGCCTTTTGCCTAATCCGCACCGCGATAAGGCTTGAATGGAAGTGCAGGAAGAAGACTAGTAGACATGCAGAACCCTTAACGGTTTCAGGTGGAATTGACCAAGTGGTGAGTAAACAGTTGCCGGATATGGTATAGCAGAATGTCACTCCGTCTGAATCAATAGAGTTGACGTCAATCAGAAGTGGCCAGCTAGCGTATTATTTACTGGTGATTTGGAAAATGTGATCATAATTTGCAGTTTTTTCTTAGTTTCTGGGATGGTTGATAATTCTTGACTTCTTTGCTTCGCCCATCTTGTTAGTATTGCTGACTCTTCATTTACTCGCTTGATTCTTTGATTTTGTTGACTGTGTTGAGTCTTTTCATCATTACACCTCTCTTTAATTTTATGAAGTCTCCAAGTGCAGACATATTCTTATTTTAAACGAATGTCCTATCTCATGCGGCGATGCTAATCAAATAAAAAAACAACGAGTCGGATTTATCGGAGGAGACAAAGCAGAGATACAGAAAAAGGGGATAGAGCTCAAAAACCTTCTAACAAGAGAGAAGCTTTGATAACTAAGACAGTCCAATGTAGCCCCGCTCCTAGACTAATGATAACTATACTATGACTTATTGCAGACGCCAAAAAGTTGGCTCTTTTTTTTTATCCACTCCATTCCATTTTTTCAGTTTTCTCTTCCATTTTTTCATCCACTTTATTCATTTTTTTCAGGCTTTTCATTGTTTCATCCATGTTTATCTTTAACGTCCCATGCACGCCGGCGTGGGTCTCAGTATGTGAGTACTAAATTCTATTCATTCCAGACAAGAAAAATTAATTAAACCATTAATCATTCCAACCAAACGAGAAAACCATTCAGACCGCCAAAGACTGTTTGAACAAAAAGACAAAAGTTAAATCACCTAGTATGGAAACTTGAAGATGGTTGCAACTGTGCAAGAAACCGCTTGTTCACCTAAAAAGACAGTAATGGCAGCCCACGGCGAGGATTCTTGCTTCTCTGATTCAGATCATCAAGCTAAAATGAAAAGAGGGAAGATTGCATGGTTTCTTGTACAATTGAATGTGTACGACTTTTCACACGTATAGGAAAATCAAAAGATAAACCAAAGAACAAATAACAACTCGATCTCAAATAGAACGAAAATTGAACCAACTCCCTTACACACCATATTCAACCTGAACAGAATGTCCATAATTATGACATGAATACACTGATCATCCAGTCTCCCCACATTAGACTTCCAGTCGCCCCATTTCGCACCCCTCTCCAGTCTCGCCATTTTCGCACCCGTCTTCCTGTCTCGCCCGAACCGTCCTTCTGCCTCGCCCTTTTATGCACTGCCGCCCCTTTCGCCCGCCCTCGTTTTTGCGCTCTCGCCTTCTCTGCACCTTTTCGCACCACCTACCCCCATCTTCGCACCACCTACCCCCATCTTCGCATCACCTTCCCCCATCTTCGCATCACCTTCTCACATCCTCGCACCTTCTCCATGTTTGGCCTCTTCTCCCGCGCCAAAGTTTCCCGCTTGGGCGACGGGGTCTCTGGAGTCGTGGATCTTGTCGAGTCGTCCGGCAAGGTCTGTGCGGTGAAAACATACCATTCCCGCGAGGCGCACGAGTCTCGCCTGGAGTTTGTGGAGCGAGTGGCCCACGAGTACCAGGTGCTCTCGAAACTCCACCACGGCAACATCATCCAGCCGTTACGCCTTCTCGTACTGTTTGGAACGGTCAAGATGCAGATGGAGCTCGGCTCGCCCAACTTGTATGTGCTCCTACGAGAAAGAACTGCCACCGACGAGACTTTGAAGACAGAGAAACATCTCCAGAAGGGCGACGTTCGCGTGGAATGCCGTGTGCCAGGGAAGCACCGTGCCCGCCCGCTGCTGCGGGAAGTGTTTTGTCTCTGGCGCCAGCTTTGCCTGGGAATCGCCTATCTCCACAGCCACAACTGGTGCCATCGCGACTTGAAGCTCGAGAACTTGGTGTTGGTGGGCCACACGCTCAAAATCGTTGATTTCCAGACGGCGGCGCCAACAGACCGCAAAGTGCTGGGGCTTGTGGGCTCGCCGAGCTACGTGGCGCCCGAAACGGTGGCCAGCATCCACTATTTCGGCGCGGCCGCCGATATCTGGGCCATGGGCATTGTCTTGTACTACATGGCTACTGGGAGGTTCCCCTGGAAAAGCGCAGTGTGGAACGATGCCCGGTATGCGGGCTACATCAAAGACAAGACGAGTATGCTTGCGAAGCTTCCACAGGAATGCGTGGCTTTGGTTGCGGCGGTGCTTGACCTGGACCCGGAAAAAAGGCCGTCGGCGCAGGAGATCCTTGTGGACCCGTGGGTGTCGAGCATAAAGTGGTGCCACGGAGAGGAAGAATGCGGGCTGCATGTCTTGGGAGCGGAAACGAAAACCGATGGTCGGTAGAGTCGATCAGTCGGAGGAAACACACCGGCAGGAAACACACCGGCTGGTAGGACTCTGCGCTTTAAGCCTGAGATCGTTACTTTCCTCATCATTACCCCACCTCAGCAAAGCATGAAGCACGCAGTCGAGAAGCCATTGAGATTTAGATCATAATGGGACTACGAGTGCCAGTACCCTTGTATTGTGGAGTTTTAAAATCTCCAAAGCTCTATGGAAACTGAAACTCGAGCTCTATGATTGTACACTCTATGATTATTGCACAAGTCGGAGCTACAATAGAAATTCGCAACTCGGACGAGTCAAGTGAATGACACTCAGGTTAGACGGCAGCTTAGTGAAGACTTTGCATAGCAGCCTACCGTACACTTCAAATATGATACATAATGCTATAACGAACGATATGAATGAAACTACCCAAAGTGAACGTAAAAATGTCTTAGCGATGACAATATCTATCCAGCTAAATCCATTGCTGTAAACATCATTTTGAACAACAATCCGATGATGCCTTAAAATACTCTTCACTATGTTTAGGGGACTTGATTCGATTGGAGCCTAATAAAACCAAACTGGAAAATGCTGATAATTGCAATTGCACTTCATATCAGCTTAAAGGGCAGTAATACGGAGGATAGACTGTAGCTACTAAAAATGATACTAAATCTGCCCAAAACCGAAGTTGATTTTTCTACACCTTTTCACTTTCGAATACGCTACTTACCAAGCTTCAGCCTTTCTACTAGGCTGTCTTCAATCTCCCTGCATACACAACTTCCGACCACAGACGCTGATGTTGGCACGACCAGTCTCTTGTCCAATCAGAAGAGTCGAGCCTCTGCTATGAGTCATCTCCAGGCCACTAAGCCAGAAACCAAGCAGAGGGGCACTCACTTGAAGAAAAGTTCCGAGGGACAAAGCAAACATGAGAAATGTCGTCCCGACCCTCGGAGAACCGAAATTGGCCCCTCGTGCATATTTTAGGACCGAAGGGACGCCGTGTGACTCCGGCTCTCCGCTTTTGACTCGGCCAGGGGGCTGACTCGGCCTCGCGACTCGGACACACTGCCCTCGGAATAAGATGCATCAAGTACGACACGAGCACGTGACACACATTTCCGGGCCCTCGGCATCTCAGTCGGGTGCGAAAAAAACCATGGCTCCAACTCCACTTTCCATAGACATCTTTACCAAGAACACAAATATGCTTTCCCGTTCTGTCCGTGCATTGAAGCACGTGCCTTCTAAGCCCTTTGCCAGAAGCTATGCCCTTTCTGCCAAAGCACAAGCTCTCATCTCAAAGCCTGTTCAGGAAGTGGACCCGGAAATGGCCCTGATCTTGCAGCAGGAGAAGGACAGACAGAGAAACTCCATCACGTTGATCCCATCGGAGAATTTCACCTCCAAGGCCGTCATGGACTTGTTGGGCTCGGAAATGCAAAACAAGTACTCCGAGGGATACCCAGGCGAGAGATACTATGGTGGAAATGAGATCATCGACAAAGCTGAGTCATTGTGCAGACAGAGAGCTTTGGAGGCGTTTGATTTGTCTCCAGAAGAATGGGGTGTCAACGTCCAGCCTTTGTCTGGAGCCCCAGCCAACTTGTACGCCTACTCTGCTGTTTTGGAAGTGGGTGACCGTATTATGGGATTGGACTTGCCTCATGGAGGACATTTGTCTCACGGTTACCAGACTCCATCGGCCAAGATCTCGTACATCTCCAAGTACTTCCAGACCATGCCATACCGCTTGGACGAGTCGACTGGTTTGATCGACTACGACACATTGGAGAAGAATGCCGTTTTGTTCAGACCAAAGGTCATTGTTGCCGGTGCCTCGGCCTACTCGAGAGTCATTGACTACAAGAGAATGCGTGCCATTGCCGACAAGGTTGGTGCCTACCTTTTGTCCGACATGGCACACATTTCCGGCTTGGTTTCTGCCGGTGTCACACCTTCGCCATTCCCATACTCGGACATTGTCACCACCACCACCCACAAGTCGTTGCGTGGCCCCCGTGGTGCCATGATCTTCTTCAGAAAGGGCATCAGAAAGGTCACCAAGAAGGGCAAGGAGATTCCGTACGACTTGGAGCGTAAAATCAACTTTTCTGTTTTCCCTGCGCACCAAGGTGGCCCCCACAACCACACCATTTCTGCTTTGGCCGTTGCTTTGAAGCAATGCAGCTATCCCGAGTACAAACAGTACCAACAGGAAGTCGTGGACAACGCCAAGGCTTTTGCCGATGCCTTGAAAGGAAAAGGCTTTGATCTTGTCTCCGACGGCACCGACACCCACTTGATTCTTGTGGACTTGCGCTCCAAGAAAATCGACGGTGCTCGTGTGGAGGCCGTTTTGGAAAGAGCCAACATCGCCGCCAACAAAAACACCGTTCCTGGTGACAAGTCTGCGTTGTTCCCAAGTGGTTTGAGAGTGGGCACTCCAGCCATGACCACACGTGGTTTTGGCCCAGAAGAATTCGCCAAGGTGGCTGAATATTTCCAGAGAGCCGTGGAGATTGCCATTTCCTTAAAGGAAAAGGAGGAAGGAGCTGTGGCCAAGGAGTTGTTGGCAAGCTTCAAGAAGTTGGCAGATGAAAGTGCGGAAGTCAAGGCTTTGGACGAGGAAGTCAAGGCTTGGGCTGCCCAGTACCCTGTTCCAGGCGATCTTTAGTTGCATATATGAGGAGAATCCAAGCGTATAGGATTAAAAAACGTTTCAGAGATTAGAAGGTATTATTGAAGTAGATGGGGACGAGTCCTACCGAAGACCAGCTTCACATTAACATAGATGTTCTTTTCGTCCCTTTTCGTCTGGACGAAAAGATGTCTTGTTGTATAAAGTGCCAAAATTAGCGAAAAGACCAATCGAACTGAATAAAGGGAAATTCAATTAAATGAGCCAAATGTTCGATGAATTAAATGAGCCAAATGCTTGTAGAATACAGCATCTCAACCCCAAGATCCTAGTTTGATGACGCAGCAAAACTATTTAAGAACGAGGCACATCCTTTTTTTTATTTTTGAAACAAAACACCAAAAACTTCCCGTCCGCCAGTACAATATGCGGCTAGATTGTTTCTCTAATTCTCTGGGATTTTCGAAAACCACTGCTAGATTTCGCTCTCAAAATCGCTATATAGGAAAAAGAATAATATGAGTAGATGAGCTTAAGTTCGTTGTAACCAGAACATCACTGTTGTTTTCCAATGATAATTTTGGAATGAGTCTTTTGGGAAAAACCGATGACATTCAACATCACATATCAGTTCAGGTTGCAAGTTGTACACCCATGCAACGAAGAGGTAAGTTCGTACATTCATTTTACCAACACAGTCAATGGACATGCTCAACTTCTTTTTTTCGCCTGTCCATCCCAAAGATGTGTCCTCATTTCATCATCAAGCAAAAGATTATAACATATTATGATATAATAGAGGGGATACTCTATCACATCATAGATGAGAGCCTTCGAATTCATAACAAGATTGATGGCCTGAAGACTTTTTTTTTGGCCAACGTTATGACGGACATTATTCTCATGTAGTTTCCTGCTAATGAGCTCGCTAACATATTAGCATTAATTACACCCTTTCTACCAGATCAGAGAGACCAATCCAAGGAGTCTCTTAAGGAGCTTGAGTGAGTATCCTCTGTAGAAACATTTGGATTGGATATTCTGGTAAGTAACCTCTACTTAGAATGGATGGGGATAATCCTAAAGAACCCATCCTAGAGAATAAGAGTGATCGTATAAACTAAATCGAATCCAAAGTCGGATAGAACATCCCGAAAGAAAAGTCGGTAATCGCTGACTTCAAAAATGCTGGTAAGATAAATCGGCGTGCATATGCATCACGTGGAATTATTCTCAGATCTTATCAGTCAATCCCTATTTTTCTAGCGACCATGTCTGCAAGAGAATCTCTGGACACACTTTTGGAGTTGCAAGAAGTTAATGAAAGCTCAAAGTCTTCCGCTCAATGGGAAGATTCGCGCATGGCTGTTGATGTGGTATTTAAGATCTGGAATAATCAAGAAAAGTTTCCTGACCGCCCTGTTCGGTACTTCTTTGACAAAAATGTGACTGTGATAGAGGCTGGCAGATTGGCGTTTGAAGAGCTTGTGGATGACTTTCGAGGGAAATTTTATGCGTCTATTGCAGGGAACACTGTGTTGGTAGTCGGAGATAACAGCGAAAAACTTTCTACATTCATCCAAAATGGGGAGCAGTTGATTCTTTCAGATGTCCCTGACTACAATCGGAGGAGAGAGACGAGAGAAACTAAGTTGTTTATTATAGTCGTGGGAATTTTCGTTTTTGCAGCAGCTATGTTTGTTGTGATACAACATTATTCTTAATGCCGATGTGATATTACTGAAGGCTCCAGAGGAGGAGCTTGAACATCATTAGTAGGGACATTGGGTTGGAAATTTTGATAAGTGAGATTTTGGGTTCCGGGAACATCTTGTAATAATTTCACTTATCAATCCATCCCTATTCAAAAGAGAAGAAAAATGAAAACGGAAGTTTGAAAAGTGAATTCTGGCGAGATAACTGTAACCATCAAGCTCAAAAGTGAAAGGGCCAAACCCAATGCAGAACAATATGTCGACAACAACATGGAAATTCATAGTGTTTTTTATGTCCAAAGCAGATATGTTCAGTAAATTTACGTTTTCCAATCTTATTCATTCACTAATTGAACTCCAGAGAGAACATTTTATAACATCGTCTCTCAACTTATTAAATTCTAATTCAGTGACACGTCTAACCTAGTGAAGAAGAATCCGCATCTGTTCCTTTAAACAATAAACCAACAACCTGTCGGCCAGTGAAATATGCGGCTTGTTTTCTTGCTCTAAGTTTCTGAAAAAAATTGGCAATCCAGTGACTCTGAATTTCGATCTTAAAGTAGCTCTGGTGAAAAATAAAAGAAGGACATAATCGAATGATGTTAAGCTTGAATATCTCCAGAACTTCAGCTCTTTCGTACTCTGTAGTAACTGATGAAGATGAAACTTGGGAAAAAGGGACAAATTTTGACGTCAGAAATCAAAGTGCAAAACAACATCCAAACGTACAGACTCTCAGGTAGTAATGCAGCAATAAAAACGAAACAACCCGTCCTCCAATTTTCTTTGACAACAGAATTTTACTAAAGTGCCACCACTAAAATGCTGATATAAGGTTCATCTCTCAGAAAGACCGGGAAACAGCGTCTACCACTGCAATACTGTAAAAAAACCACACAAACTTTTTTTCCACTTTTGCTTGTTAACAAACATGGCCATGATCAACTTCTTTAACTCGACTATTTCCCTTCTCACATGTCTGTATTTCAATTGAGCCAAAACAAAACGGATTGGTTCATGAATTAGTCCAAAGACTGCGATTCCTTCCATTACTCGATGGACTGAAGATTCTACGATTTACTTACGTTATCCATGTTCCTCTGGTATCGTAAACACAATACGTCTCGTTTAGGGCCAAAGCAGAGTCAGATGTAGTCTATACATTCGCGCCGTTTTCCGGTGTATGAACTGAACCCTTGTATAACTGAACCCTTGTAGAAAAACCATGTAATGAAGCCCACATGATTCAATGAAAAAAAAGAAAAAAAAGAGATGTAAAGAAAGAAAGCAAGATGTTGGTTCAGAACAAATGCTACGTATACACATGCAAATTATTTCCATCTGTATAGTTTCAGTGATCAATCTCCGTTGCTTCTCCCGCACCCAGACACCACGGATCAGGCCTTTCTTGGAGTATGTGCTCACGTGCGCGGAACATCACCAACCACCTACTTCTTTCCACCAATGTCCGCTGGCGCCGTTTCCTGGTCCAAAAACGGCTTTGTGTGCTATGTGCTGCGTGGCCCGGCCCACAACTTGGCCCTCACGTACTTGGAAAACACCAATGGCCGCCGCTGGCAACTTGCGCTGCTGCAACGGCTCTGTGTGAAACCGCTGGATGATAGTGCGATGCCGCTGGTGGAACTAGTGCTGTGGAGCAATCTTCTGACGGACTTGGCGGTTTTCGACGAGAACGGCCATTTCTACGTCTTGCTTGCTGGCGTGGGGCTTTTGCTGGAGGAAAATGGCGGCAACAGTTCCAACGGGGCGGCTACAAACACCGCCGCGGCAAACGGAGGCGCGGCTAATGGCGAAAAAGGGGACGGGGTGAAAGGGGCTGCGGGCGCCAATGGCGCGGTGGCTGCAAACGGCCCGCACTCGAACGGCAGCGCCAAGACTGCGGCGGCCGGAGGCGCTGCCGCCAGCAAGCCAGGCGACGCGGCTGCAAAAGCCACCGACACGCCCTCGTACGAGCTCACGCTGTACAACCACACGGAAATGATTTTCCGCGACAGGACGCCCGGCCGGTGCGTGGCGTTCCGCTGGCTCGGCGTCGACAAGGCGCAGATGCGGCCAAAAGCAGCCGCGCGCAGCGCCGCGGGCGAATATTCCTACGACGTGGGCCAGCACGGGCCCACACACCCCGCACACCCGATTGCGTCGAAACAGGCGTGTGTGGCGCTCCGCCAGAATGGCCTCTTCACCTTGTATTACCAGGGCGAGCACAAGGTGGAGTACCACAAGCTTTCGGTGTCGTTGGGTGGCGGCGTGCACTTTTCGCACGCCTCCATTGGGTTCTGCGACCGCCGAATTGTGGTGGCGGCGTACGACGCCTTGACGCGCCGCGTGAGTGTATTTGTGCTCGCAGTCGACTGGGGCTACTTGGTCGAGCTGGCGGCGCGTCAGCGCTCCGACCCGCACCACCACACGCCCTTAAACATGCAAACGCTGCCGCGCCTCTCGTGCACGTTGGTGCAAGAAATCCGCGTGCCGGCGGGCGCCATGGGCGGCGACACAGAACATGGCCAAAGCGGCCAAGAACTTAAACGAAACCACGATGCCGGAAATGAGAACCAAATCGCCCAAAGCGAAGCTCAGTTCTTGCAAAACACCACTACCACCGACAATGGGCCGAACATGACCACCCTGGCCTCCGACTCCGAAATTGTTTCCTCCGAGATCAAGCTGATCGACATCATAGGGCCCGACGTGTTGGTGACATACCATGCCGTCAACTCCTCAGCTGCTACATCATCTGCCATACACCGCTACCGCTTGCGTCACATTGACCCACTCCATTCCTTGGGCCCTGAATTGAACGGTATCTTTTCTGACTCGAAAATGCAGTTTCCTGAATTGGTGCTCTTCGATGTCTTGCGCGTGCCTGGCAAAATCAACCAGATTACTCCTTGCTTGGACGATCTGCTTGTGTTATTTTTCCGCAGTGACGGCGCCGTGTACATGCTCCGTGAATGGAATGCGCCGCTTGTTCGCATAGACGTGGGTGCACAACTATCCCCATTCGAACCACCATCCTCAGTTGCCTCTGCTCTTGATTGTGGCTATCGCGTACCTTGTGTGACAGGTAATGTCGCTCTATCTCCCAACATGGCTGCGCTTGTACATTTACCACCAGGTGCTGACACAGTGAGCTTTTCGCTCTTTCAGCCTGCGCCAAACTCGGAGGCGATTCCCACCGAAACGACAGCCGTGGCCATCGCCCACGCGCACGCCCATGCGTGTTACACAAACAGCTGCTCGGATGACGTGGTTGCATTGGCTACAGCGGAAGTGCTGCGTGGTACCCACAACGATGACCTCATTGAGCGCACAGTAGTGGAGGCACACAAGTCCATTTCCTTTCATTTGAACAGCTATAGCAAGGAGTCCGTTGACAAGCTTTTGCTGAATCCGGCACTACAAAAGCTTCTCTCATTACAGTTGGCGCTTGGCGAGCTCCACTCATCCAACAGCACTATACGTGATGTGGCTTGGATAGTTCTCAACCTACGCTCTACCAGCTTCGCCATCATGTTCTCTCTATCCAGTATTTACAGACAAATCTCGAGAAAGAAACCAGCAAACGACAGTTTAGAGGATTCCACTGTTCGTGCAGAAAGTATTGTGCTGTTGGTCGGAAGTGTCAAGTGGCTTATTGATTTGATTGTCTATTTGAATCAAGAGCTTTTACAAATCAGTCTATCGAAGGATAATCCCGACAATAGTTCAGTCACTGTGCACAATTCGGTAACGTTACCTCTTATTATGAGTAAAGTACCTCGTTTATTCCTCATGTACGCAATATCTTCCATTGCCAAAACTCATGAAATCTTGAAGAAGATCCACAAAGATTTAACAGAAGCTAATAAGCTCTTCACACCTATGCAAGAAGCACTTATGCGATTTTTTGGCACTTGCGGGTCTCTGCCATTGAACTTAAATGTATTTGAGAACTTCTTAAGAGACTGTGATACTTCAACGTCTAAAGACTTGGCAGCACGTGCTGCTGCAGAAAACATATCTCCGCTTCAATTAGAACATCAATTGTTTTGCATTGGGAAAATCCCTAGTCCACTTATATCAGTGGCTATCACGATGACAGACCATCACTATGCTATCATCAGTCGCGATTCAAAGCTATCTGAATTGTTCTTCTATAACACTGACTGGATAGACGCTGGTGTTGGCAGATCGAACCGTGTCTTTACGGAGTCATCGCCAAATGAGCAATTCATGCCTACACAGGTGCGGCTTCAATATTCGGAAAACGAAGTAGTTGATGCTCTCCGAAAGATCATCATTCGAGCACCGTCGACGTTGCGCTCCGGTGGGGTATCTACGATGGGCCAAGGGTATGTGTCGAACAACAAGATCCGTAAATGCACTCGGTGCCGTGCGGTTTCTCTAATAGCAGATCCATTGGTGTTTGGAACCCCTAAAACAATCAGTCTTTGGACAATGGTGTTTCAGAGAACATGCATTTGCGGTAGCGCATGGGTGAACTGTCTATAATATAAAAAACGAATGCTAATCCTATATGAAAACCGAACTCTGACACTAAGACGTTTTCTCTTTAGCCGCAGCGGCTTTCTGTGCCATCTTCTTGGCGGTCCAGCCCATGACAAACGGCATTCCTGAGTTCGTAATAATGATCCATGCCACAAGGATACCGATGTTTCTGCCCATATGGCCTTTATATGCGTCAAAGAAAGCAACCATCATCAACTGATAGGAGTTGAAGACGGGCAACGCATATCCATAACGATAGAAAGTTGGACAAAGAACAATTGGGGATATAGTCGGAGCCAAATTGGTCACAGCAACAAGCAAGAGGACTAGGCCAATCATTGCGGGCTTAGTAGCAATGCAAACCAAGACCATCATCTCAATAAGCGATCCAATGGAGGACATTGTTAAATAGGCAAAAGCCCAGATAACCAAGAAACCCAGGTTTCCAAAGGCTTTGGTGAAACTCACCTGGAACGCAGTGTTCAACAAAACATATGCAAAACCGAGACCGATATAAGCGAGCTGAGCAGCGGTGATACGGTAAGCGACATAACGAAGTCCCTTAAGTTTGGTCGACATGTACATGTGGATTGGGGCCGAGAACACAAACTGGAAAAAAGTGAAGATACACAAGTAAATCAAACCAACTTGCAAAGGTGCCTGAATGACCTGGGGTATCACTGGAATGCCATCGACTATTCTGAACTGAGGCAAGCTTGTGAGGAGTTCTGGTGCACGATCCAAAATGGTCTCGGCATGGGATGTATTCACCATCTGCAACACAGCTGCAGCCCATGGCACCTGCTCCATGAAAGAGGCATGGGAAGCCACCACCAGTTGCACCATGGATGAGAAATAGTTGTTGACCCCATTATAGTCACTGCCGGTCTCATAGTAAGCCATGAGCAAATCATTGGCAGGATTGAACGAAGTGTTGAGAGAGTTGAGAGCAACTGCAAGTTCTGTTGTAGCGTTAGGCCTCACAAAATAAGCCGCACGGTACTTCTCTCGGTGCACCTCGTGGCGCATGAAGTCGTACGCCGACATTCCAAGCTTGCTTGCCGTTGCTTGGATCGATGAAGCGTTCCACACATGGAAGTCGCCGGCCGCTTTAAGTGCGGGCAAGGCGAAGAAGCGACTGGTCATTTCTCCTACTAGGCCGTCATCGGCAATCATCACGCCAAAGTGCACGTTCTTATAGCGGGAGCTTCGGTCATAGTATGCGCCCCAGTAGATGCACAAGGCTATAAGGAACCCTACAATCAAGAAGACATAGTTGGTGAGCATGGTCACAATGATGGTGATACGCTGTGCATGGAACTCGCTGTCCCAGTAGCCAAACTTACGCGTGATGTTTTGGATCGTCGACGTCACCGTGCTTCGGCGTCGCTGGAGCGGAGGCTGCTCTCCACCTTGTGTTGGGCCATTGCCCGTCAAGGACAGGTTGGTCAAGGACCGAGTGAGAATCCGTGCACCGATGAAATCTTCTTCCGCAATGCCATCGACCCGCAAAGACCGCAACGTGAGGTCGTCAGTCAGAAGCGACCCCATCGAGTCGGGCGTGGAAGGCGTCAGGTCGAGCGACGATGTTGATTCTAGCGAAACTCTATCTGCACCCGATAACATTTCTTCTGCAGGGCGGGGAGCAGAACCGGTGGAGTTGGATGCACTAGCCATATCTTGATTATTGGAAGAATCTGGCTTCGGCCGCGAGCCGCCCGTTTGTGCCGTGGACAGTCTCCGGATGGACATGTGTGGGAATATTAGTTAATGCTGGTCTCATGACCCCGCTTGTGTTTAAGTCAGTTGATGGGGGCACGTGCAGGACAAGCAGGATGCATATGCACTTATCTCCACACACAACAAATGGAAGGGAACATTCTCCAGTGACTCAGAAGGAAACATGAGCGATAGTACCAACCAGTCTCCGACACAAGGGAAAGAGGAAATTGGGCATTCGGACTCACACTCGAACTACTCCACTGCCGATTCTCTAGTCGGGCTAGAAGACGCTGTGTCTCCCGACATTCTCTCTGACGAGGACCCTCTCTCAGGCCATGCAAACGCAGGTGAAGCGGGTGCTCAGGAAATGGTGACGGGCGGTGTGAAAACCCCGACGACAGACTGGAAAAAGCAAAAAGAGGCCGAGGAAGAGCCAACGTTCGATATTCGCAAAGACGCATGGCCTTTAGTGCTCCGTCTTGTGCGGGTCAACATCACGCTTCTCACGGTCTTTCTTGGCTTGTTATCCATCTACTGGGGTGCCTTATACAAGCGTGAAAACCGTGTGCGCAACATGCCGATGCTTGTGGTTATAGAGGACGAGAGCTTTGTGTTGACAAACGGGACACGGGCAGATGCGGTTTTGGGCCCAGCACTCCAGAATCTTTTGGAGGGTCTGAAGCAGTATGGCCGTTTTGAGAAAGCAAATTTGACGGCTCTCCGCATCGAAGCTGAGCGGACCAATACCACTATTTTGGGCAGGACGATTCACTACGTGCATCACCAAAAGTATTGGGCTGCACTTTATGTCAACGCCACGGCAACCCAGACAGTGTATGACATGCTAGCCAAGAACACCACTGCACAACCGCAGTATCTTATACTGGCAGTGTACGAGTCAGGACGGCACTACCTGGCCTTAGCGCAATACGTGACGAAAAACTTGCACTCGATGGGCTCACAGTGGCTCCAGTTCGAGGCGGGAAAAGCTTATTCTAGCTTAATACAATACTACCTCACCGAGAAGGAGCGACAGGCGCTTTTGAAAACCATAGCTCAAAGCATACCTATACCTCTTCCGAATTTCAATTTGGTTGATGAGCGGCCCTCGCGGTCAGCAGCAGTGCTTGGCCCCTCGGAGTTGGGTTTGGTATACGCCCAGATTTTCTCATTCCACCAATTCAATTTCTCAAACGACTTGCATACATCTATCAGCACACAACTTCGCTTCCGCCACTACTTGTGGTATCGTGTGCTCTTCTCTCAAATCAACCATTTGGTACTCAGTCTAGTTTATGGCCTCATGACGTTGGCATTCCAGGTGCCTGTCACCCCAGCGTACGGCCACAGCGGTTTCCTCGTTCTATGGATGACTATGTTCTTGTTCATCAGTGCCAGTGGAGGACTCAACGAAGCCGGTGTCACATGCATTTTGGTCTGGGGTTCTAAAGCCTTGTTGGCCCCGTGGATGATTTTTAATATTGTCATCAATATTTCACCCACATTTGCCCCATTGGTTCTTTCTCCCGGTTTCTATCGTTATGGATATGCAATGCCTATGTTCAATGCTTACGAAGCATTGCGTGTTGTATTTTTCAACACTTGGAAAGGGACTTTGGGCCGCAACTATGGTATTCTCGCTGCTTGGATTGTCGTGACCAATATCCTCTTGTGCTACATTTTGAAGATCGTCAACGACCGGAGGAAAAAAGAAATTGAGGCTAGGCAACTAAAGAGAGAGAAAACTCGGCGTGCAAAATTGTTGCACAGGAAGAAAAAGAAGGAAAAGGAATCACTGGCCGTGTAATGCCGAATTTCTCAGTACTTCAAAAGTAGAATAGATAGGAACATACGCTTAAGGGACAAAATATGATTTAAATCACATATAAAAAATTCATGTATTAGGAAATGTCTGAAAGGTTGAGAGAGTATAGAATGTAAACGTTGTTGCTCACGTTCGTATCCGGTAAGTGAACTATGTATGGAATTGTTGTAGTGATGCGATCTTTGTATCAATTCAGTTTCAATTGACTGTCACCCTTTCATTTTATTCCTTGGCTGTCTTTTGTAGTGAGTGTATAAATTACAATGCATGCGCAAAATCAGAAATTGACGAGAGGAAGAATTGATTAATGTTCGATCGAAAAGAGAAGCGAAACAGTCACAGTTGACTCAAGCAAATCGTGACTCGACAGCAACCTGGGGATCTATCGCCCTCACCTTACGTCCGTTCACCATTTCCAGATATGAAGCGGTCAAGGGCTGGCGCCAGGCCCCCAAGTCCAAGCTGCGATTGAATAATAGGTGGTGTAATGCGTCTCGCTTCAAGCTCCACAAATCCGGATTGACAAGCGAGCGGTCAGGTTGTGCCAAGTATGTATCAACAGCGAGCGGAAGCTTCTCAAGCATGACAGACGCCGAATGGTCGTATAATGCTAGGCGTGCGACAAGCTCGTATACACGAGGAGGCGCAAGAGCGGCCACAATGGCATCTGAAAGCCACGCATTTGCAAACAAGGCGAAAAAGTCCACATTGTCTATGAGATGAAGTAAGCAATGAAAGCGTGGATAAGGAACACGCGCGAGGTGCCATGCAGAAAAATGGTCATTGAAGTACGTATTTTTGTCCGGAATAACTGCCAAGTCAAGCAAACAAAAGGCAAGCACATCGTGATGGGCGGAAAAATCAAAGTCTGCCAATGCGGGGAGACGGTTGAGGAAAGCGCGAGATACTGGGACAGTGGATCCACATGCCGACAAAGATGAAAAAAGTGCAGATAATGGAGGATCAAGAGCGGCGTTGTAACAACGCACTTGACGGCGATGTGCTAAGTGCACCATACAACGAGCCACTGGATGGCGAATGCCGTAAAGGGGTATGCGGCGCACAAGACGAGCGTAGAAGTCTATTACAATTGGAGCAAGTAGAGGATCAACGAGATGGGAATCATCGTCCTCCGAACCTTGTACGGTTGGCTTGCTGGGATTGTCAATTTTGTCACCGACTGCATCTGTTTCATCTTCATGAGGGAGTATTTCCTCGCATGACTTGACAAGCTCCACCACCTCAGCATCCACGGCAGTCTTACTTGCTGCCTCTGTTTGAATTTCGTCTTCGAAAAACTTCTCCACATCGAATGCGCAAAGCTTCTCCACAGCCGCAAGCGGAACCACATCGCTCCGAGCAGCAAGCGGCTCGATGATTCCTACATACCGTGCCGCCACTGCTGCGTCCGTGTTCACTGCACTAGGGCGCTCTAACAAAAATTGCCAAGGCTCCCAGGTAAAATCCTGTGACGCTGCATGCACGCGAACAGCAGCCTCAACATCAGCCACTACTGCGACAGGCAACAAAGGCTCAGCAAGCACGCGGCGCACCACGATAGGCAAAAAGTCCAGGGTGCGCACAAACTCCTCCGCATCAGTATCATGGCGTTCCAAGGCGGCACGAACGACGTGCACCGCGAGCGCCATGACAGGGTGCAGAGGCAGTTGCGCAGCGGCCTCGACGTGGTCGCGCGAGAAAAACTTGAGGGTGTCTGCGAAAGGCAACGGCGCAAGCAATGCCGAGAGAAGGCGGGCGTAGCAGGCATCGGGCGGGGCGTGCAAGACGCGCGCTAGGAGCGGCGCAAGGGCAATGAGCACGGGCAGGTCGAGCACGCGGCCCGAAACCACAGCGTCTGGGTGCGCAGAGACATGCGCGGCGTAGTCGTCGACAAGCAGCGGGTCCGGCGCCGCGCCGTCCGCCACAAGTTCCTGGAGGTGCGCGAGCACACGCGACGCCTGCGGGTCGAGAGTGGTAGCGCGCATTGGTTGTAAAATGAACAGCAGATATGCGAAGAGCTCAAAAAGTAATGGAAGGGAGGGGGGTTTGCAGCCACAACTAAAGGAGCGAGAGAAGAAAGCGCGCTAAACTTTATCAAGTGTCCAAGGCAAACACAAAAAGAGATAGTCAAAGTATGCTTGGGCACAAGTGAGGAACGGACAATTGTAAGTGAAACCTAGACTGCGATAGGGATTGGAGACAGGGAAATAACGGCAGCCAGCATATATTGAGGAAACTTGAGTACAAGCAAGAATCCGCCTTTTCCGTTCCGCTTGGTTAAACAGTTATCCACTATAAGTTCACAAAAAGCGGTCAATGTTTTCCCACACCGAGGATATTCAAATGACTGACCGTGTGTTTGACTGCGGTATAGAAAAATCACCTGTGTTGGCAGTTGATTGGAGAAGGACTGTTCTCGACCAACTGAAGTAGTTGCAACTTTGTCGGTTCCTTGGGCCTTGAGAAAATTCCAACAGGAGCACGGTCTAACTGTGTCTCTGGTGGTTGGGGAGACTTCCGGATTGGTGCAAAAGCTGGCCCAGATATGACTGCTAGCCACGTATTGGGGGGCAAATAAAGAACTAGATGTTGGAAAGGACAATATGGAGGAAGTCTCGTGCGACAAGTCTGGTTCTAGACAGGCCAAGAAAGCCAGGAGGAAAACAAAATGGGGAAAAAAGAATGGAAACGACAAGATAGAGTGGTAGAATGCAAAAACGATAGAGTGGTAGATGAAACGATAGTATGATGAATTGACTATGACAGTAGAAAAAAAATAGGGTGCTAAAAAGTTGAAACCACGAACACTGGCCACTATTAAAGCATGCGAACAGCAAGAATAAAGTGCAGAAAGATAGAACGATCAATGCCTTTCTTGAAGTTCAATCTTGTAGGCGAACCGAACCGTCTATTTTGTTTTTGAGCTTGAAGATAAGATCGCAATTCCTTCTCGTGCTCTTTGAACATAGGAAGTATTAGGAGATCTGCAAGACAGTGCAATAAAGGGTATTCAAGAGACAGTCGAGACTCCGTATCATTATCCAGTCCACTTGAAGAGCTTATGCGAAAGCAAATTAATGATTTTCGGCTGGTCTGTTCTAGACATGCCATTTCAAAGGCATGACAAAAAAGCACACCTTTACCTAGCTGAGGTTTACAAAAGACTAAGCCATTTCGGGAAATGACTGATCCCAAAAGAGCCAACTGTCCATACCCACCATATGGCGGACATTCCAACTTTAAAGTTAAGCGACTAAGTTCAAGTAAATTGGACAAAAGTACATTGGGAATTTGCAAAACATAGGTAGACTAAAGTTTATGGCCACCGGCCAGTGAAAAACCAAGACTGTTGATCTTGTAATAGGAGTTTTGACTCTTCGTATCGGCAATGCCAGATCGGCCACGGTCAATGAAATTCCGAGATGAAACTAAAGCTTATATCAGCAGACAACAACAACAACAACAACAACAAAAACACCAATTGCCAGAAAAGGAAAGAATGCAATGTCTTAACCTTTCCATGCATCGACCATAGATTACTCTATCATGTTAGCCTGTTACCACATTGGGATGTATTACCATAGATCAGGTTTCACTAGATCACAGAAGCATGCTACTTTTGGCCAAAGCTAAAATTCTTAACTTGCTGAGATAGCACGCCCCATGAATTTCCAACACGCTGTTTCCACCGCGCCAGTTTAACTTTCCAGTGTCCCTGAAATTAAGCTACTGGCAAAGCGGGCCAGTAGACTGCATGAACCTATTATGAGTAACTTTTTAGACTGTATGGTCGCAGTAGTTGTGGCCGCAGTAATTGCTGTTGTGGCCGCAGAATTTGCTGTTGTGGCGGCAGAATTTGCTGTTGTGACGGCAGAATTTGCTCTTTGGCCACAGCTGGGAGTATTTTCTTGATTGTTGACCGGTTCTGTTTGGCCGTTGGATATTCTGCATGGTTTCTGCGCCTTCCCCTTTCCTTTTTTCGCCCGCAGTGGTTCGCGCTGTTCAGTCTGACCTGACTGCAATACTACGGTTAGTGATGTTCAAATGTCCTTATCTCATCCAATGTTAAGTATCTGTCTATTTGTTCACAACTTGCCTCTATTTGTCCACCTACTTGTCCCTATTATGTCCACTAGTTAATTTGTCTGTCCACTAGTTCATTTGTGTGTCCACTAATTTCTCGTTTGTCTGCAGCTTGTTTTCTATCTGTCTGCAGCTTGTCTTCTATCTGTCTCTCCACTGAGTTCACTTGTCTCTGTCTCTATGTCTGTCCATTTCTATGTCTTCTGATTGTTCTTTGCCCTTTTGTTCGGTCTAGTGCAGCGGCTCTTATCAGCGCCAGCCGGGCTCAAACGCCATGTGGAATTGCCGGCGCAAGGCTAAAAAATACTGACGACCCGAGCATTTTACGCAGGCGAGCACGGCTCAAACTCACATGCGGGCGGCGCGGCGCAGGCCTGGCTGCAGGACTGACCTTTCGTCTAGTGTGCAATCGGCTAACGCGACGCTTTTTTCCACTCCCCGTTTATCTGTGGTTCTAATTGTTGATTGTCGCCTGAGCCGCCTGATTGTTTCCCAGGTTCGGATTGTCTCGAGCACGATTGTCTGGAGCTGCCCCGATTGTGCTAATATTTCCCGCACGTGATTTCCCCGGTTAAGTTTTTCCTCCTAGAGTCTTGTCGTGGTGTTCCCAGTGACAATATCATAAAATCGCTTTCAGATCTCCATCTCACTTCATCTCTCATTTGCCGGTGAAACGCCAAGTTCGCCTTTGCTCCTGTTTTTTATTCTCTTTCCTTCGATCCCTCTTACTCCAGACCGGATCAACTTTTGTTTCTGTTTTTGCTTGAGATGCCGCCAGTCAAAATGGAGGAGATCCGCCCTGACGACGAAACCCTCACAAGCAAAGACCCGCCCCTGCCTCCGCCAGCAGACTACAAAGACATTGCAGCCAAGTTGTTTCGAGAAGAGTTTGTGCTGATTGAACCAGAAGAGTACACGCAGTTTTTGGCGGCGCTGGACAACGAAAGCGCCGTGATCCGCGAGCACTACATGGATATGTTCACCTGGGACGCCAACTTGTTGGCGCTGACGCGAATGTTGTGCCTGAAGCTCTACTTGAAGGGCGAGTCGCAGGAAATCGACCGCATCCTTTCCGCCTTCACCAAGCTGTATCTTAAGCAGCACCCGTCCAATGTTTTCAGCACGGGCGACTTTGAGCAGATCTACATTGTCTTGTACAGTCTCATCTTGTTGAACACGGCGTTGCACAATGGCGAGCTTGCGAAAACGCTGAAGATTTCGCAGACAGACTACATCCGCAACACCGTTTCCACGTTCCAGCAGAGCAAAAAGGGCGCCCGCGCGTTGCTGGTGCGGCAGAAAATCCGCATCGAGCGCGAGCTTCAGCACTACTACGAGGACTTGGCGCGCCATGAACTTTACTTGAAGCGCGCCGACACCCCGCGCCGCACCAACAAGCGCTATTCGGTGGCCGAGACCATCATGTCGCACGAAAGCCGGCCCGAAGGCCGCCCTGAAAGACACGGCGACGAAGCGCGCCGCGCCAACACCAGCGCGAGACACGCCAGCACAGACCCAAGTGGAAACACAGGCACCACAAACAACACGAGTGCAAGCACAAACAATACAAACACAAACAACACAAACACAAACAACACAAACACAAACAACACAAATAACACAGACAACACAAACGCAAACACAAACGCAAATGCAAACACTACAAACATACCCCATGATACCGCCTCCACAGACGCCCGAGACCCCAACGGCTTGCCGCCCTACTCGGTGCACGAAGCGCCCAGTCACATGCATGCGAACCACCACGCCAATTTGGATGCGCATCTTTTGGGCGAGTACGCCTCCAGCATTACGCCCAGTGGCTCCAGCGACAACGATTTTGGCCGCCCGTCCCTTGCAGTCCTGCGCACGGCGTCGGCGATGTCAGGCGCGTCCGCCCTGTCCACGCCACGTGCTCGGTTTGGGTTTACGCGCGCGCTTCACTCGGAGGCCACGCCCGCCGGCCTGCTTCGCAACTACCGCTCGCTCGACCATTTGGGCGCGCTGCGCACTGTATCGCGCCGCACCTCGCGCACGCTGATGGTGACCGCCGAAACGGCGCCCGGCGACTCTGTGTCCACAGTTTCCGCCGAAGATTTCCCTCTTTGGGACTTGCCGTCCCCAGGCGGCGACAAGCTCCTCCCAGACGACTTTGATGCGGCCGATTACCAGGACCAAGTCGACTTGAAGCTTGAGTTGCAAGGTGCGCCGTACTTGAAAGAAGGCTTGCTTCGATTGCGCATTTTGCACAACGACTTGGCAGACCTGAGCACCACTGCAGACCAGGCGGTTGTCCAGGCTGTCAACCCGGCGCCAGGCCGTTTCTTTTCCTTCTTCAATCGATCCTTCCGCGCCTCCGAGCAGCAGTCGCCCATGGGCACAGGTGGCCTTTTCTCGGGCCGCCCAACAGAATACTTTGTTGTGGTTTCCAAGGGCGAACTCCGGCTCTACCTGTTTGACCCAAAAGTGGTGAAGAAGCAGCATGCACGGAGGAAGAAATTGCACAAGCATGCAGACGCGGACGAAGAAGACGAGGAGGAGTCAGAGCGGGGCGATGGTAATTGGCTCAAGAACGCTGCTAATGTCGGCAACTACAACTTGTGTGCCACTGCTGCGCGCCATGAAAAGCCTGATGCTGGCTCCGGCCGCTTCGCTTGGTCCTTGACGTTTCCTAAAGTCAGCAAGCATCAGCCCAAGAAATTCATCTTTGAAGCCGGCACATCAGAGGTAGCGGCCGAGTTTGTCGACACATGCAACTTTTGGGCAGCCAAGATTTCTGCCATTCCTGCGTTGGAGGAAAGTGTCTCGTCGATCGAGTACGGCTGGAACGATGTGGATGCCCTCTTGGCCATGGGCGATTCTTTCAAGCGCACAAAGCGGCTTCTGCGCTACGAGCCTATTCCAAAGGGTGTTTATCTCAGCAGCTACGTTGTTCAGGATTCCTTCAGCCACGATGGAATGCTGCAGCAGTTTATGCTGACCTTACGCTATTACAACAATTTGAAGCACGTTTACGCAACTTTCAGCCAAACTAAGGCACGTTTCATGGCTGGCTTGCGCAAACAAGCGCGCTGTTCCAATTACAAGCTTGCAGTCACTAACTTCGACACTCGTGCTTCAGAGTACAAGGCTGAACTCGGCCGTTATAAGAATTACTTGCAGATGCTTGCACAAGGCTTGCGGCTTCGGTTCAATTCCGAGGCAGAAGAGGACATCGAATCGTGGAAGGCAGAGCTCGCCCAAAGCGAACCCCCGTTGACCGAGGATCAGATCTCTACTGAAATACAACGCCGGCTTGCCGAACGCCTCGACACTGAGTCCGATTTGACTCGTGCGGTACGAAACGAGATTGCCAAAAGAATGGCAACAGAAGATGAACACGCGCGTGAAGAGCTTACACCATTGGTCAAATCGCCGAAGACGTTTAGCTTTACTAATATCAAGGACTCGGACGTAAGTCCCATCGGCCAGCTTCTTAGTGTGGACGGCAAACCTGACGGGGAGCTTCACCAAGTGAAAAAAGAACTCATCTTGAGCTTCAGCACCAACACTATAACGGAGGAGGAAGAACCAGAGGACGAACGGACTGGATAAATTTTTCTACTCGGGATGATGTTATGAAGGCTCTTGACGGGTTTGTTTACTCAGTCATGAATGATACTTTTGTGATTTCCTACCATTATTGGTTTGGTTCCGACTCATTATTGTGGCTGAGCACCTAATGGCTCGATATTCTCGTTAGCTTTAACGAAGGTCTATATTTTTTTGTTTCCGCAGCTGGATGGCATGAGTGCTGCGATTCATTTCTTCTGTATTTCCTATGTTGAGGATTTGTCTTACTATAATTGTTAATCATTTTAAAATTCTGATGTAGTTTGTGCACCCTCCAATCATTTTGCTCATCAAACCATCTAGGAGTTTCGATACCTTAACATATGGCAAAATTGAATCGATAACCGAAGGAAAGTGAGAAAATCAAACAAAAGTGAGATACTCGAAGAAAGTAAGAAGAAAGTGAGAAAATCAAAGAGTAACACATCTGTCACCGATACATAAGAACTGGCTCGACAAGGATAAACTTTGAAGAAACTCATTAGTACTTTAAGTAGAACCATACTGCAAACCGAGCATAGTAATCCCAACTCCACCAGCCAGTTGCGAAACAGAAATCATTTATTGCAACAAAGTACAGACCCTTTTCTTATTTCAGCTCCACAAACCTATCTTCAAACTTTTCCATCGACTTTTTTGCCATCATTTTAGTCACTACTCTTGTTCTGCCTGCCTTATCACCCAAGAAATAAGTCACGTGACCTCGCACTCATGTAACAGACGCCACCAAAGGTTCCAAGGTTACTTCCAACTATACACAATGTCCGACCCAAGCTCGATCAACGGTATGTGAACCACGTCGCTTATCACTGAGATAAGTGGATGAGAAAGAATTGCAAAATTGGGTGCCATCTAATGACCAAACAATGAAGCGGTGAAAGTAACAGAGGAACACATCCATCCAGAATCCGATTTATTTAAGACTCCTCGTCATCGATATGTTCAATCTCATTCCGTATATTTCCGGCTCGTTGTCCAACTCGTGTTTCCAGTACCATCTTCAGTTCCATTTTTAGTTTCATTTTCAGTTTTATTCCCAGTTCCATTTTCAATCTTATTTTCAGTTCCATGTCAGCTCCATTTGCATTTCCATTTCCATTCAGTTCCAATTCAGTTCCAATTCAGTTGCATTCAGTTGCATTCAGTTCCATTCAGTTACATTCAGTTACATTCAGTTCCGTTTCTTGTCCAGTATCATTTCTCTCCAGTAACATGTGCCCTTTTAACCCACCCTTCCCAAATTCTTCATACCCTTCCATTTACTAACAAACAGGAGGTGCTGCCGTCGCCATGGTTGGTAAAGAATGCATAGCCATAGCATGTGATTTGCGTTTAGGTAATCAATCGCTTGGTGTGGCCAACAACTTTGAGAAAATCTTCCAGTTTGGAGACAAGACGTTTTTGGGGTTGACTGGTTTGGCAACCGACGTTCTTACGTTGAAAGAGGATTTCCGTTTGAAGCACAACTTGTACAAATTGCGAGAGGAGAGAGAAATCGAGCCTCGGACTTTGGCCAACTTAGTCAGCTCTTCTTTGTACGAAAAGAGATTTGGACCATACTTTGTGGGTCCTATTGTGGCGGGATTGGAATCGAAAACAAACAAGCCTTTCATTTGCGGCTTTGACTTGATTGGGTGCATCGATTTTGCCAAAGACTTTATTGTCTCGGGAACAGCCTCCGACCAATTGTATGGTATGTGTGAGTCGTTGTACGAGCCCAACTTGGAACCGGAAGATTTGTTTGAGACAATCAGCCAGGCCTTGTTGAACGCCGTGGATAGAGATGCCTTGTCCGGCTGGGGAGCCGTTGTCTACATTGTCACAAAGGACAAGGTTGTCAAGCGAGTGTTGAAAACCCGTCAAGACTAGTAACGTCCGTACCATTTCATATATACAAGTTCCGAATCCTTTTTCTCAGTAGCTTAATTTTGCTTCTTAGCCTCCATCTCAATGACCTTGCGCAAATAGCCATTCTTGCCATAAGTCTCCTCTTCCGCACGCTTGCGTTTTTCCTCCACGGCCTTCTGCTTCTCTCTGCTAATACGAATACGCTCCTTTGCGTCTTCCACTCGGGTAAGATGTAAGCATTTCGTCAACTCGTTCTTCTCAAAGTTGCACAAGCCCATTGCTTGCTTCAAGAACTCCTTCCTGTGGCACTCCTCGAGGGCGTCCATCAACTTCTCGCATGTGTCAAATCTGTTCTTGTCCAACTGGGGATGCATCTCTGGTGTGCTGATGTACTCAAGTAAATCTTATGGCGAGATATCTTTGGCGGATCATTCACGTGACACATCACGTGAAAGTTATAGGAATCGTCATTTTTTCAATATATATGGCTTTTGGTGTTGAAGTAGCCGTTAACTCCACATTCATAATAGCAAGACGCTACAGTATCTTCTTCTGTATTGGTTTATGAACTTTGGGAGAATTGTTTTTTCCTCGAAAATCAGCAAACTGCTTCTATTTATGCTTTGTTCTAATTGCAGCCACTTTTTGAGGTAATATATAAATATGAATTAGTTCCGCTGCTCTTATCATTTGCAGTCTTATCTTTTTTTCTTATTTTTGCTACTAGTAGAATATTTTTTCGCTGCCATGCTTTTGACTCTTCGCTTGCTTTGAAACTCTTTGCTTGCCTTGTATTTGAAAATATTTTGGAATGGATCCTAACTTCATGATGTATATTTCAGCTATCCTATTCTTTTCATTTCAGCTATCCTGTTCTTTTCATTTCAGTTTTCTTGTTGTTTTCATTTCAGTTATCAATACTATTTGCAACCAAAGTGGTACACGTGACCAACTTTTTGTTGTGCGGATGTTGTCTTCGAAAGTGGCACACCCGTGCATTCCTGGCCCGGAGGTACAACCCCGGCGGATGTCTTCCTCCCGTGAGGTGCGTACGAAGAAACGGAAAAAGATACGCACGGCCTTTTCCACACGACATCTTCTTTTCATCCACAAACATGATTCGTACTGGTGTTATCAACCCATTGCCACGTGTTTTGGCCACTGGAGCCAAGAGAAACTTGGCTGTTGCTGCCAGTGACTTGGTGACAATTGACTTACCCGCTTCTTCCTTTGAGACATACAACATCGATGCTCCTGAATTGACCTTCGAGACCGAAAAGGAAACCTTGTTGCAAATGTACAAGGACATGATTGTCATCAGAAGAATGGAGATGGCCGCCGACGCTTTGTACAAGGCCAAGAAAATTAGAGGTTTCTGTCACTTGTCTGTGGGTCAGGAAGCCATCGCTGTTGGTATTGAAAATGCCATTGCCCCAACCGACACTGTCATCACTTCCTACAGATGTCACGGTTTCGCCCACATGAGAGGTGCCTCTGTCAAGAGTGTCTTGGGTGAGTTGATGGGTAAGAGATCTGGTGTTTCTTACGGTAAGGGTGGTTCCATGCACATGTTTGCTCCAGGCTTCTACGGTGGTAACGGTATTGTCGGTGCTCAGGTTCCATTGGGCGCTGGTTTGTCCTTTGCCCACAAGTACAGAAACGACAAGGGTGCCACTTTCGCCTTGTACGGTGACGGTGCTTCCAACCAAGGTCAAGTTTTCGAATCTTACAACATGGCTAAGTTGTGGGACTTGCCATGTGTCTTTGCTTGTGAGAACAACAAGTACGGTATGGGTACTTCTGCTTCCAGATCCTCTGCCATGACCGAGTACTACAAGAGAGGTCAATACATTCCAGGTTTGAAGGTTAACGGTATGGACATCTTGGCCTGCTACCAGGCCTCCAAGTTCGCCAAGGACTGGTGTTCGAGCGGTAACGGTCCATTGGTTTTGGAGTACGAGACCTACAGATACGGTGGTCACTCCATGTCCGACCCAGGTACCACTTACAGAACCAGAGAGGAAGTTCAACACATGAGATCCAGAAACGACCCTATTGCCGGTTTGAAGGCCATCCTCTTGGACAAGAACATTGCCACTGAAGAGGAAATCAAGTCTTACGACAAGGCTGCTAGAAAGTACGTTGACGAGCAAACCGCCGAGGCTGAGGCCGATGCCCCACCAGAAGCCAAGATGGAGATCTTGTTCGAGGACGTCTACGTCAAGGGCACCGAAATTCCAGAATTGAGAGGCAGAATCTCCGATGACACCTGGAACTTCGAGAAGAACGACTTCTCCAACCACGTCTACTAAGCGAGGGGATGGAAAATACATAGCAAATTCAAGTCTAAATTAGTATATGCATGTAGAGATGAAGCGCGGGAAGCATCGCTTTAGTTGTGCACGTGACTGCGCACGTGACACACCAACCACCACCTGCATCATCAGCGATGTCTCTCTTATGTCTTTTTAACCATGTCCGGACACATTGAAGGCGGGTCATTGGATTCAGTGGCACAGGGAAAAAGCCAAAAAGATGAAAATGAGATCGATTATAATCCAACGTCTTTAGCTGGACAAATTTCTGTCAAGGAAATGGGCACCCGAGCGAAATCGGAGCCTGAAGGCCAAAAAAGCCAACCCCCAACAACAGAACAAACAAACCAAAGTACAAATACCGACAGCTTTTCAGAAGACTATGCGCTCGAAAACATGGCGTACCGACCCACAACAGCGCAGAACAGCGACATATTCGAACAACTTATAGTTTGTGTCAGAAAACATATTCCAGATGAGCTGCACAGCGTGATTCTTTCGGCGGCAGATGCAATCCTAGAGGTGCTCAAAGGCGACACAGGCATGACGCAGCAAAAAGCTGAGATCGAAAAGCTTCTATCGTTGACCTTAGATGAGGAACAGTTCACGGAACTATCAGGGTACGCCAGTCAGATTACTGATTTTGGAGAACGAGAAGAGGAGGAAGAGAGCGGCGATATCGTTGCGGTGGAGTTTGAAGAGGATGGGGCCCAGGACCAGTTTGCTGACACTGGTATGGCAGACGATATAATACCCGACAATTTGGAAGCGGCAGAAGATACAAAAGCAGAAAGCGTGCCCGAAGGCGAAGACATGCCACACGCCATTGTTGTTGCGCCAGGTCAAGAGAAGGAGGGAGAAGAAGAAAATGGGGGAAAAGAAGCTGAAGGTTCTGCGCTCAATTTGGGCGATATTACGCCCGATTTTCTTTTCTCGCGCCTCAGTGCGGCGGCGCCCGAAACCGACGCGGACGAAATCCGTGAAACGTGCAAGAAAATCTCGCGGGTGCTCAACGACAGCGAAATTGCGGGCGAAAATTTGGAGCAGCGGCTCATGGCGGCGACCGATTTCCGTTACCTCGACTTTGTACATATGTGCATGGAGCAACGATGGCGCATTGTTTTTGGGGTGAAGTTGAAGCAGAACCGGGCCAAGGCGCTCGAACAGATGCGGGCGATGGGGCTCGAGGAGTTGGAGCGCGAAGCCAGCGGGGCGAAAAAACGGGCAGCCACAGAAGTGGCGGGCGAGCGAAAAAGAGCGCGCACAGAAGAGACCAGAGACATAGAGGAGACAAGTACCGAAGATGTCATAAACACCAAGGACATCCCAGAAGACACATCCGATACTTCAGAAAACACCACCACAGACAAATCCACAGAGCTCCGAGTAGTGGATCTCGGTGCGCTCGCGTTCGACCAGGGCGCCCATCTTATGGCGAGCGCGAAAATCTCGCTCCCCAAAGGCTCGTACCAGCAGAACAAAAAGCAGTACGACATCATCAGCGTGCCGGCGCCCACGCCCACGCCGCCGCCGCCTGCCGCAGAGCCGCTTGTGTCGGTTGCAGAGATGCCCGAGTGGGCGCAGGCGGCCTTCCCTGCGGGCGAAACCGCCACGTTGAACCGCATCCAGTCGCAGATATATCCCAAGGCGTTTTTGTCGGACGAAAACCTTCTTCTCTGCGCGCCCACGGGCGCGGGAAAAACCAACGTGGCCATGTTGGCGCTTCTTCGAGTTTTGGGCAACAACCGCGACGCCAGCGGGCGCGTGATGGTGAAAAAATTCAAGTGTGTCTACATTGCGCCGCTCAAGGCGTTGGTGGCGGAACAGACGCGCGAGTTTCTGCGGCGCCTCACGCTGTTTGGCGTGGTGGTGAAGGAGCTTACGGGCGACCTGGCGTTGAGCGCGCGCGAGATCCGCGAGGCGCAGGTGTTGGTGACCACGCCCGAAAAATGGGACGTGGTGACGCGCAAGGAGCCGCACTTTGCGCGCTTGGTGCAGTTGGTGGTGCTCGACGAGATCCATCTTTTGCACGACGAACGAGGGCCGGTGCTCGAGAGCATTGTTGTGCGGGCGAAAAGGGCTGCGCACGCGCGCCTCGTGGGTCTTTCGGCCACCTTGCCCAACTACGAGGACGTGGCGCTGTTTTTGGGCGTGCGCGCGGCGGGGCTTTTCTACTTCGACGCCAGTTTCAGGCCGTGCCCGTTGCAGCAGGAGTACATTGGCATCAAGGAAAAGAAGGCGATCCGCAAAGTGGCGGCCATGAACGACGCGTGTTTCGAAAAAGTGGCCTCAAGTGTGGCCCAGGGCCACCAGGTGATTGTGTTTGTGCATCTGCGTAAAGACACCGTGCGCACGGCGCAGTTTCTTGCGGCGCGAGCAGAGGCCGAAGGCGTTCGAACCGTGCGGTCGGACGGCGCGCGCGAGATCTTGGCCCAGGAGGCGGCGGCCGCGAAAAACAAAAACTTGGCGGAGATCTTGCCCTCGGGCTTCGCCGTGCACCACGCCGGTCTTGCGCGGCCCGACCGGTCTGCTGTCGAAGACCTCTTTGCCCAGGGCCATGTGCAAGTGTTGGTGTCCACGGCCACGTTGGCGTGGGGTGTCAATTTGCCGGCGCACACGGTCATCATCAAGGGCACCGACACGTACTCGCCAGAAAAGGGCAGCTGGGTGCAGTTGCTGCCGCAGGACATATTGCAGATGCTTGGGCGTGCCGGGCGGCCGCGCTACGACAAGTCGGGCGAGGGTGTGATCATCACCGCGCACGACGAGCTCCAGTACTATTTGGCGGTGCTCAACCAGCAGCTTCCGATCGAGTCGCAGCTCATGGCACGGCTCGCCGACTGCATCAACGCCGAGGTGGCGCTGGGCGCAGTGGACTGCCGCGCCGCAGCCTGCGACTGGTTGGCCCAGACGTACTTGTACATCCGCATGTTGCGGTCGCCGCGCCTCTACCAGGTGGGCGCGGAGTACGCGGGCGACACGGCGCTCGAGCGCAAACGGGCGGACCTTGCGCACTCGGCGCTAGTTTTGCTCGCGCAACATCGCTTGGTCGACTACGACCCGCAGACGGGGAAAACCGCCGCGACCGAATTGGGCCGCATCGCCGCCAACTTCTACATTTCCTACACCACCGCCGCTGCCTACCACTCGGCGCTCCGGCCGTGGATGTCTGAGATCGACCTTCTTGGCGTTTTCGCCCGCGCCGACGAGTTCCGCTTTGTGCCTGTCCGCGCCGAGGAGAAGGTGGAGGTGGCGCGGTTGGCCGACCAGGTGCCGATTCCGTTGAAAGAGGCGCCCGACCGGCCGCGCGCCAAGATCGGCGTGCTTCTTCAGGCGCACGTTTCGCGCTTGCGCTTGGACGGCTTTGCCTTGCTCGCAGACATGGTGTACGTGACGCAGTCGGGCGGGCGGCTTTTGCGCGCGCTCTTTGAAATGTGCCGCTCGCGGCGCTGGGCGCAGCTTGCCCACGCGGCGCTTTCCTTGTGCAAGCTGGTGGAGCTGCGCATGTGGCAGGCCGCATCGCCTTTCCGGCAGTTTGGCGACTTGGCGCCCGACCAAGTTGTGCGTGCCGCGGAGGCGTCGCATCTTCCCTTCTCCAGCTACTTTGACTTGTCGCCGGCCGAACTTGCCGAGGCCATCAACTTCCGCGGCCACAGCGCGCAGGCGCACCAGCTTCTTGCGCAGTACCCGCGCTTCGAGTTGGAGGCGCGCGCGCACCCTGTCTCGGCCGACCTCGTGCGGGTGCTGGTGCGCCTCGCGCCAAACTGGACCTGGAATGCGAAAGTGCACGCGCGCACCGAACGGTTTTGGTTGACTGTGGAAGACGGCGACGGCGAGCGCATTTTGCACGACGAGGAAGTGCGGGTCTCGCAGGACACCGTGGGCCGCGATCTTTTCGTCGACTGCGTGGTGGCGGTGTCGGAGCCGCTTGCGCCGGCGCTTTTCGTGTGCGTGGCCAGCGAGTCGTGGCTCCACTCGCAGTGGCGCGCGCCCGTGCAGTTTTTCGACGTTCGCATGCCCAAGGCGCCACTGGCGCCCACCAAGTTGGCTGATGCCACAGTGCCGCTTTCTGCGCTCGACTTGGAAGTTAAGGACCTCGGTATCCCGCACCTCAACCGCATGCAAACACAGTGCCTCCATTCGGTGTTCCGCACCAACGAAAACGTGTTTGTGGGCGCGCCCAAGGGCACGGGCAAGACGGTGTTGGCGCAGTTGGCGCTTCTTGCGTGCTGGCGCCAGAACAAACAGCGCGCCGTGTACATCCAGCCGACACAGGCGCTCGTGGACGCGCGCGCGCGCGAGTGGGCGGCGCTTTTCGCGCCTCTCACCGACCCGCCCAAAAACGTGGCGCGGCTCACGGGCGACGCCGCTGCCGACGCGCGCATCTTGGCGCTCAACCACTTGGTGCTTGCAACGCCCGAGCAGTTTGACGCCGTGTCGCGCCGCTGGCGTCTGCGCCGCGCGCTCCAGGACTTGGGCGTGGTCATTGCAGACGATGTGCACTTGTTGGGCGCGCGCCCGGCGTACGAGGCTGTGCTTGCGCGGCTTCGCCTCATGGCGGGCCAGGGCGTCAACGTGCGCGTGGTGGCGCTCGGCCTGCCGGTGTTGTATGGGCGCGAAATGGCGCTGTGGCTCGGGTGTGCGAAGGAGCACACGTACAACTTTGTGGATGCGCCCGACGGCGCGCGCGAAGTGCGCCTCGAGCCTTTGGGCGCGCGCGCCGACGCCGCTGCGTGCGCCAAGTTTGTCGCCGCAAGCCGCCAGTGCGTGGCGTTTGCCCCAACGCATGTGGCCGCGGCCGAACTAGTGGCGGCTATAGTCGAGGTGGTGGAAGAGAATGGCAAGAGTGACAAAAACGGCAAGAATGGCGAAAACGGCAAGAATGACAAAAACGACACAAACGACAAAAACGACAAAAACGGCTCCAACGACCAGGCTCTGCCCGATCTCTCTGCCGGCAATATTGCCGACGGCGCAGCGCGGCGCGCGCTCGGTCGCGGCGTGGGCTTGCTCCATGAAAACCTAGTGCCGGCGGACAGAGCACACATTGTTCGGCTCTTTTCAAAGGGACAGCTCCGTGTCTTGGTGGCCACACGGCCAACGGCAGCGTACGCGCCGCCTTCGCGCGACGTGGCTGTCTTTGGAACTCTGGCCCTGGAGCTCACTCATCTGGGCGCTTACTTTCTTAGCGACGTGGCGGAAATGGTGGGCTGTGCTCGCGGCGGCCGCGCTCTCATATTCGCGCCCGCGCCGCAGCTCGCCTACTACGCGCGCTTCGTGGCCGCGCCTCTCCCGGTCGAAAGTGCGCTCGACGGCTCGCTCGCCGCGCCATTCGCGTACGAAGTGGCTGTGCGCACGTTCCGCTCGAAACAGGACGCTGTCGACTGGCTCACTTACACGTGGTTGTACCGGCGGTTGGCGCAGAATCCAAGCTTCTACGGCCTCAAAGACGTGTCGCACCTTGGCGTGTCGGAATTTCTTTCCGAGCTTGTCGAGTCGACGTTGGAGTCGTTGGCTGAGGGCGGCTTGCTTGAGGTGAACGAAGACGACGACGAAGACGAGGACAGAAGCGACGATGAGGACGATGAGGAGCTTTCTCCATTGAACGGAGCCATGATCGCGTCGCATTACAACGTTTCGCCGCAGGCCGTTGCGGCCTTTGCTGCTTTGTCGGCCAAAGATCGCTTGCGGGGCATATTTTCGGCCGTGGTTTCCGCCCCGGAATTCGAGTCCTTGCCTGTTCGTGCCGACGAGTTGCCAATTCTCACGCGGCTTTCGTCTGCTGTTCCGCTCAAACTCGCGCCAGAATCAGATCTTGGTCTGCCCCACACAAAAGCATTTTTACTCTTGCAAGCGTACTTGTCCCGGATTTCTGTTTCAGGAGACTTGGCCAGCGACCAGCGCACAGTCCTTGAGAAGTCGTTGCCTCTTGTCTTTGCATGCACAGATACACTTTCGTCCGAGGGCCATTTGAACGCTTTGCAGGCAATGGACCTTGCGCAAATGCTCGTGCAAGGAATGTGGAACAGTGAAAGCCCGCTTCGGCAGTTGCCCCACGTCACACAGGAGACTTTAGCTCGGGCGAAAAAGTACAACGTCGAATCTGTGTATGACATCATGGCTTTGGAGGACAAAGAAAGAGACGATGTTTTGCAGTTGCAGGAGGAGAAGCTCAATGATGTTGCCTGTTTCGTCAACAAGTACCCTAACATTGACATTCTGTATGAAATGGATGTGGCTGAACCTCTCACCGCAGGCGAACAGAAACAGATTACAATTACCGTGGAAAGAGATGAGGAAATGGAAGATTTGCTCGTGGAGTCGGCCACGTTTCCTTTTCCAAAGCAAGAAGGTTGGTGGCTTGTGGTTGGCGATGCAACTCTGCGCCAATTGTATGCAATCAAGAAGATTTCTGTGGCTCACGAAACCCAGCTGGTGACGATGCTGTTTTCTGTTCCTACTCCTGGAAAACACAAATTAACCGTGTGGTGTATGTGCGATTCGTACATCGACGCAGACAAGGAGATGGAGGTGGAAGTGGAGGTGGTTTAAAGAAAACCTAATAATGAGTAGACAATACATAAGGAATACGTTAATCATAGAGAAAGTAGAAGTACATGACCTAGCGAGTAACATAGACACTGCAATTCTTGCTGCCCTAAGATATGGTCTCTATTGGCAATCTAAGATCGCTTGTCTAACAGAAGACGCAACAGTCTTTAATTGTCTAAAAATCGGGCCATTGCATGGCCATTGATAAATTAAAACACATAATTTGCAAGAATAGCTCGGTGATTAGAGTTATTTTTCATTTCTTACTTGAATATGAGAGACATGGCAAAATGGACAGGCATACAATGTCATTTAACGGTATGACTACGACTCACTGATGGTGTACGGGTGCGGTAACAATGACTCATTTCGTCCACCAACCTTCTTTCAGATTCACCGGCTACACCAACCCTCTTCCGATATCTAAGTTGCTGGCAACAGTTTGGAAATCGTGGTAAAAATAGTAATTGGTGTTGAGAATCTGCACAAAGTATTGAACAATTACTGATCCTGCAGATAATCACACCTTGTACTTACCTGAACCCGTGCTGTCTTACTCCACCCGATCAAGATAAAGATCCACTAAGAGTTCGAGACGACAAGAAACAGAGCATGCAACACCCCCACCAACTTCCACCGTCGTTTCTCTGCCATTTTCCCGTTTTTGTAGGCCCCATTTTGGCTGACGTATTGCGGTGCACGGGTGTTACTTATCTTCGTTCTCGCTCTCTTAACCTACTCCACACCATGACTTCTAACGTGCTTACCCCGTACATCAAGCTGCTCTTTTTAGAGCCGCCCAATCTCACGCCCAGCGATCTTGCGACCGTGCTCCGGTCGATTTTCAAAGGAATCCCCTCGGAAGTCCAGACCGCCGCATTTCTCACCGCGCTAAGAATGCGTGGTTTGGACCACGAACCCGAGTACATAGCGGCAGCTGTGGGGACGGTGTTGGAGTTTTCCGAGATGATTCCGCCGGCAGAAGTTGACCTGCGTGGGTTTGTGGATATTGTGGGCACCGGTGGCGACGGCCAAAACACATTCAACGTTTCCACCTCGGCGGCTATCGTGGCGGGCGGAATGGGAATCAAAGTGTGCAAGCATGGCGGCAAGGCGTCGACACTGGTGTCTGGCTCGGGCGACTTGCTCCGGAGCCTTGGCGTGGACCTATCTGTGGTGACACGTGCCACAGCGCCTGGGATCACCGAAAAGCTGGACTTCTGCTTCTTGTTTGCGCCTGCCTTCCACCCGGGCATGGCTGCTGTTGCGTCGACACGGGCCCAGTTGGGTGTGCCGACGATCTTCAATATTTTGGGGCCACTCATGAACCCAATGCCGTTGCGGGCACGGGTTTTGGGCGTATATTCCGAAAAATTGGGCGAGTCTTATGCATTGGCTGCGTTGCAGTTGGCACAGCAGTCGCCTGTTCACGAGCGCACGATGGTTGTTTTCGGCGAAGTCGGTCTCGACGAGATTTCGCCCACGGGCCTGACCAAATGCTGGACCGTAGACAAAAACGGAATCGAGCGGCTGTCCATTTCGCCCCGAGACTTTGGTTTGCCCGAGCACAGCCTAGGGCAAGTGCGCAGTGGTACGCCCGAAGAGAATGCCGAGATTTTGTTCCATATTTTGAGACAGGATGCTCCGGAGTTCATGATCCGAAGCGCAGGAAACCATCCGTTGGTGGACTATATCACCATGAACGCAGCTGCAGTGGCCGTGGTTGCTGGTGTTGCATCCGATTGGAAAGACGGTGTGGCCAAGGCCAGGGAGGCAATCATTTCGGGACAGGCATTGGCGGCTCTCGAGGACTTCAAAAGGGCCGTGGACGAAGCAAAGAACAGATCTTGAAGATGATGACCTGGAGACCACAGGAGAAGGAAAACAAAGTGCTTGAGCAAGAAGAAAGAAAAGAACAACCGCAAAATAGATGCAAGTGTTATACGGCACGACTAGGCGGGAAGCCAAAAAGTGCTCCCAATAATACTGAGTAACGTGTAAACGATGTAGTTTTATGAAAATAGAAATGTAATCGCTACAACATTATCTGAACTAACAGCGGCCAATTTTTGTGCACGTTAAGAAAGAACAGGATAGCATATGAAGTACAACGATAAACTAACAACCTTTACGAAAAGAAAGTGTCAAACCTAAAACCAAATAAATGGCTCTTCCGAGGACCGAATACCTTATCATCAAGCATGTATTCAAAACAAGGATACACATCCAAATTGGTCCAAAGCTTCTGCCCAAAAGGTAATTATTCAAATGAGTTGATCTGAAATATTTTGACCGCATGGCAATTTTCCAACAAGAACTAAGCTTTAAGTTTCGTTACCTCAAACTTCAATTCCAGAATTTCCATCGTGCTTTTACTTCTGCAATACTGTGGAAATCTTCTTCATCACCTATATTCGGTAACCTCATTGTCCGCAACTTGAGATTTGCGAATTCTGTCTTCTCTAATAATTCTACATTTGCACCACTCATTTCAATGCTCCTTTTAAAATGATTTATATCCGACTCCGGCCCATTTCCCTCTAGATTGGCCTCTATTGATGCTGTTCCTAGTCTTCTTGGGCCATCGTTGCACGTGACGCTTCACGTGTGCCGACGCGCTTCTTTACATTCGAGTACACAAACAATCTCTTTTGTTTATACATGTTCAGCATATCCAACTTGGTTGGAACTCCTAAATTGGGAGGCTCGAAGCTTGAATTTACGCCCATCGGAAAAAGGCGAAACCAAAATGAACAGCTGCGCCCGTCTCCACGCATGGCCCTTAACACAGAAAAAGTTACAAACGCAACTTTTGATTCCACCTATGATGATTCCTCAGACCATAATGACACTCTCCAGTCGCTAATACCGGAAGAGGAAACACAGGGAACTCACTTCCAGCGCGGAACACTGCTTCGTTCACGAGAGCGGATTGTTTCCGACGGGTCTAGTTCAATCAAGGATCTTCAGAGGGAAAACAAAGATCTCCAAGCAGAAAACTATAGCCTCAAAATTGAAGTTGCAACGTTGACAAAGTTTCTCAAGCAAACTCCGGAGGAAAGCCGTGATATGGCGTATGAAAATGTCGAGCTCAAGCAACAGTTGGCTAGATTGCTACAGCGCGAGAAAAACGGCCTGGCAGATTCGCATGACCAATCGGCTGCCTTCGAGTCATTGAAGACGCTGTATAAAGAGGCATTGGCTGACCATGAAGCCGAGAAACGCAACCTTGAGCGGCAAATTACAGAACTACAACAAGAAGTTGAAGAATCTCGACATCTGGCCGCAAGCCGCTCACCTCTGGTACCCAACGAAATACTAGAACGTTTGGAATTCTTACAGTCTGAAAATCAGTCACTTCGGCGGCGCCTAGAAGATGCTTCCAGTCATGATCTCGATTACTCCTCTCTACAGCACGAAAACAATGAATTGAAAACAGAGTTGCATAAACTTCAAATGCGCCTTACACAGATCCCAGAAGATGCACCTGGCCGTTTGGAGTCTTTGAGCGAAAATAATTCCACCTTAGAGAGAAAGCTAGAGTCTGCAAAACGGGATTTGGATCAGGTCGAGCGAGAACGGGATAATCTCGAAACAAACTTGAGAGCAGCGCGTCTTGAACTTCAAAATAGTGATGCAGAAATTGAGCGTTTGCGCCTGCAATGTGACGAGTATAAGTCGCGATTTAGCGATTCACGGAACGAATCTAACAAGGTGGAAGAAGCTAGGAGAGAAGTGAATGACTTGAGAGCCAAGTTGGGACGCTTAGAATCGCAAAAAACACTAGATTTAGAGAGCAAGGACTCCGAAATTAGTCGCTTGCAAAGAAAGTTAGACGCTCTACAAAAAGAGCTCAAGGAGAAAGATAAAGACGAGTACAATTTGCGGAGCCAGGTACGTTCGCTCATGGAAGAGCGGAACTCTGCCTTTGGTCTTGAAAGCACAGTCAAGCATTACCAAGAACAATTAGAAACTCTGCGCGCCAAAGAAGAGTCGCTCAGTCGGAAAAACAGAGAGTTGAAGGAAGAAATCGCCAAGCTTCAAGACGATCTTTACTCAGTGAATACCGATGCGAGCCGTATGAACAAAATGAGGGAAGAACTAGGACAACTTCAGGATAAACTCGAATTTTACGAACAAGAGTACACTCTTCTTCAGGATGCAATCGAAAGCGCTGAATCTGAGCTTGACAGTTACCGTGAGAAAGAACGCAGAGCGGAAGACAGAGACACGGAGCTTTTGAAGGAAATCGAGGAGCTCCGTGCTCGTCTTAAGCGCGCAGAACTAATGGAGTCACAGAAGTACAATGAATCTGCGTTGTATGAGCTTGATTCGGTTCACAAAAAGAGAGAGGAATCGGAAAGACGTCGATTGGAAACTCAGATTGAAGCGTTGAAGCTCCAGATCAGAAGTTTGGAACGCGAGTTGGAAACGGCCAAGACGAAGGGTAATAGTGTGCTGGACGCAGATTACCATAGATTGCTCAGCGAACGCAGCAAACTACAGATGGATTTGGATGAGAAAGAGTTGAAGATTCGTGAGCAGGAAAGGAGATATTCCAAACTTGAAAACTTGGCGAAGGACAAAGACGCTGTTGTCGAGGCCTTGGAGGCTAGAATCCGCGAACTCAACAGAGAATACAATTCAAGCATGTTGAATGAGACTAGCAAAAGTGAAATCCTTAAGATGAAATCCGACTATGAATATCAGATTCGCACACTCAGGCTTGACAGTGAAAGGTTACAGAAAGACTTGGAAGACCAAATTCGTTTCTACAAAACAAAACTCGACGTGATGATGGACAGAGAAAGGTTTGCAAACCAACAGCCGAACGGTTCTTCCGCCATAGTGACTTTGCTCGAAAGCCAATTGGAAGAGTCGCGGAATTTAAACCGGGACTTGACAGAAAAGTTGTCTGCTATGGAGAGAGTTAGTCAGGACATTCCTCGCCGAACAGAAGAGGAACACCGTGCGAAGATACAGAATTTGGAATCCAAGTTGGCGAAAACGCAAGAAGAATATCTTGTGAAGCTAAACGATTTGGAAACAAAATTACTGAAAGCACAAGAAGAAAGAATTCGTTTGGAAGAGTCACGGAAGCTGAATAAGGAGCTCTCGGAACGCATTGATGCAATGGAACGTGCAAAAGAACAAAACATTGATCGTTATAACGAAGATCATCGTGGAAAGATAAAAGAGTTGAATCTGAAGTTGGCTAAAACACAAGAGGAGAAGATGACACTCGAAGAGACCGTTGATTCTCTAGAGACTGACATCAGGCTCCTTCAATCTGAGAAAATGCGCTTAGAAACGAGGTCTGCCAACCTATCTCAGGAATTGAGCAAAACTTCTAGACATTGTGCCAAACTAGCAAGCAAAATCAACGAAATGGACCTTCAAGAGTACAAAAACTCCTACAGAAATGTCGACGAAGCATTTAAATCCAAGAAAATGAATGCGCAACTACAGCACGAGGTGGATATACTTAACAACAAACTTGCTAGTGCTACACTTGGCGACTCGGGAAATGAAAGTGTGGAAACACGGCTCTTACGCAACGAAGTCCAGTACTTTAAAGCCAAGTTGTACGATCTCAACATGCGTGCCAATGACCTTGCACTTATGAACTCTTTTGTCATGTCATCGATCAAAAATTCTAACCAAATGATCAAAAATGATATTGTCAAGCTCGCGCAATGCGGTGTCTACCCTGACTACTCAGAAATGGGTAGAAGGCATGGAGGAAAATTGACTTTGAAGAAGTTGGCTCTCTTTGTTCTCAGTATGGTGCGGCTTCAGAGACGAAGCGCCAAAGCTGAACAAAGACGCATAAAGTTGATGCTGTTGCGCGGAGACATTGATCGTGACAGAATTACGTTGTTGGCTGAATAAACTATGTATATTAATGGGGAAGGATATTAGATGGCCTGCATCTGTAGTAGATCCTAGCGAAGAATCCGCGTGATGGGAGTTTGGAATTTATCGTGAGAGGGCTGGCGAGTTCGACCCATTCTTGGCGTTTGCACTGGTGGGGCTGGCTGCGTATTGACATGGTTAGTGCTGTTCGACCGTGATTTCATGTGGCTGAATGTATGGTTGTGGCCAAATTCTGACGTGGTATGTAGCCAAATGTCGTCGTGAGAAACATTTGCAAAAGTTAGGTCTGCATTGAGCACTGAAGATTCGGAGTTGTAGCCATTCGAGAGAAAGTCGTTGAGACTTACATCTGTTGCGTCAGATTTGGCGAAATGAAGCGATTTCAAGATCGTTTTATCAGGAAGCTTTTGTGTGGTTGAATCGCTTCGAAGCGGGTCCAAGTTCAAGTCAGTCCATACTTTCCGCTGGAGCAAGCTGCGGCTCTTCGAAACCTTGGCACCGAAAACGGAAAAGTTGATTGGAATGGCTCCATCTTCCTCTTCGTCAAGCAAAAACTGCGGGAAGATGTTAGCGGTAGCTTCAAATAGATGGGTGGTATCGATATCATCGTAAGGAAGCGGATATTCTTTCCAGTTTTCCATAAAAGTGGACTGGTTTGAGTGTGTAAAGTGCACGTATGAATACAGAGAATCTGACATGGAAAAAAAGTGGAGAGAAGGTACTAGTACTACTTTGAAGTTAGCGCTAGTGTTGATGTAGAGGTTTGTGCACGACCACACACAAGCATGCAGAAGATCGAAACTATCCTAAAGGGTTTTTCGCAAATTAACTTTATTTCCATATTTACAAAACCATTCCCCGGTTGCTCTTATGCCATCGCAGAGACTTCGCAGAGACCTTCGAACAAGCAAGGTTTTGGTTTCAAATGCTTTTCTTCGAAGTGCGATGTCTTCACCAATTTGAATGCACCGGTTCCTATGCTCATAGTCTGGCCCAAAATAATACACTCCGACACACCTTCGATCTTGTCGTTTTTCATGAAAAACGCTGCGTCAAACAAATGGTCGGTGGTTTTTTCGAACGATGCCAACTGCAACACCGAGTCTCTCATTTTGCTCAAACCGAATCTCGTGATACCTAAAACTTCTCCCTTGTATGTCATCACGTCACCCAACAACTGGATGTGACGAGGATCCACACTCATACCGTGCTTACTCATTGTGTAGTCGATTTCGCCAATGATGGATGCACGAGCCGCCTCAATACCCAAAACTTCATACACTTCTAGCACGTGGTTTGTGCTTGTTTTGGTTCCGACAATACCGTCGGTACTCATGACATCCTTTAATCCGTAGCCTTCAACTAACAACTCCTTTTTGCTATCGTCTCTGATATTAATCACGGCACGAGAGATATTCGGAAGTCCTTTGATGACCACGTCTGGCAAAGCTCGTTTCAAATGCTGCATGCGGAAGAACAAGCTGTTGTTCACATCAGAAGCTTTGTAGTCCGACGCTGCTGTACGGGCCAAAGATTCGGATTTGGATTCACGCAACGTGACAAGAACATTTATGCGGTCCTTACCATAAACCGACACTTCGGAGTTCAAGATCTTCAACTTTGGTGCGTTGGCGATGGCTTGACGGATATTATCCATAGTCAACTCTAACTGCAACTTTTCGATTGTTTTCAAGTCGATCTTGATCGACAAGTATGCCATGTCGTTCTTGTAAACGTCCTCCACGAAAAATGCAACGTCTCGTAAAAGAGTCTTCTCTATTCTACCCTTCACCACACGAGCAGCAACTTCGTCTTCGTCATTCACCAACACTGTGTTAATGATCGGCGTCGAAATCACCTTGGCCGCATTGATAATTTCCTTAATACGCGGAACACCCAATGTCACGTTCATCGAAGCCACACCAGCAAAGTGGAAAGTCTTCAACGTCATCTGGGTACCTGGCTCACCGATAGAATGAGCACCAATAGCTCCAACTGCAGTTCCAGGCTCCACACGTGCACGTAGATATTTGTAAAGACACTGCTTCAAAAATTCCTCCACGCATGTTTGTGAAATCTTCATCAATTGGTTGATTGCATTGATGCTAACGGGGTCTTCGTCTAGCACCATATCACCGTCGTCTTCGAGTTTGGTGAGGAAAGGTCTCAACTTCTTTTGCTGCCGGAGCCGGGCAAGTTGAGTGGCCTTTTTCTGAACATAAGTTCGGATCGACTGATAAAATGCCCGCTCGGCATCCTTTTGGTCAATGTACTCAATGCGGTCGCCAATCTCACCTTCAATGAGATTGCCCAAGTTATCGTACCGCACTAATTTGTTTTCCAAAGGAGCCAAAATTGAATTGACCACATCCATGATCTGGAATGGAAGTAAGTTGGCCTCTTTTTGGTTGTATGTGATGTTGTATGCATGGTCCCATTGACGGTTGAAGTTCACTGGCTGGGCGTCACCTTCCATATCCAAAGGATCCAAACCATCACCTCCATAAGTGAACTGCACGATACCGTTGGACGAGTTTCTGACGGTGTTGTCGTACAGCGAAGACAAATCTTCAAGGGACTTCATAAGACGACGCGACATGTAACCAGTCTCGGCAGTCTTGACAGCGGTATCAACCAAACCTTCTCTTCCGGAAATAGCGTGGAACAAGAATTCTGGCGGAGACAAACCACTGAAAAAAGAATTTCTAACAAAACCCTTGGACTGCGGCGTTTTGGACATTTTGGTGAAATGCGGTAATGATCTATCCTGAAATCCATCAGGCACACGGTTACCCGAGATAATCTGTTGACCCACGACAGCCACCATTTGAGAAACGTTCAAAGTGGAACCTTTAGAACCACATGTAGCCATGATCAATGGCGCATTAAGCGAATCCAACTCTCGAATACAAACTTCACCCACCTCTTCTCTGACTTTCGAAAGCAAACCACCAATTTTCGCCTCCAAAGTTTGTTCTTCATTACAACCCGGTTGCGTTTCCAATTTTCCCTTAGTGTACAAGTCAATCAACTCGTCACACTTGGCATACGCAGCCTCTACCATCCTCTCCTTTTTTGCCTTCAAGTCTGCACCTGGAGTCACATCATTGATACCAATGGAGAAACCACGGTTTCCTAAGTATCTGGCACAGAGTTTAGCCATTCTATTCATGGCCTTAGCAGCCTCATCTGGTCCGTAATCTCGCAATATAGTGTAGAACACAGAGTGTTTTTTGCCGTCTCCCAACGTAGACTTATCCATGACTCCCGACAAGATTTGAGACCCACGGATCACCACAAACCCGTCATTTGGCGACATTTCATTTGGCAAGTGCTTTGGTGGTGGAATAAACGTTTTGTTTTTCGCATCCACGTTGATCACAACATTGGACTTCTTGTTTGGGCGGATGAGCATGGAAAACACCTGTTTTCCAGTCCACAACATGACTGGCTTGAAGACAGTAGGTGGAGGAATGTCAAACTGCATGTCTGCATCCGACATCATACACAAAAGCTGCACCAACGAAGCCCGGTCGAAAAACGAGTCTTTATGAGAAATTAAGTATGAGCCAGTAATGAAATCTTGCGTGGCAGCAATGATGGGCTCACCTGATTTCGGCGTAAGCAAATTGTTCTTCACACCCATCAAATTGATTGCCTCGGCACGGGCTTCTTCTGTTTGAGGAACATGCAAATTCATTTCATCTCCGTCGAAATCGGCATTGTAAGGTGTACACACACATTCGTTAAGACGGAATGTACGCCATGGACGGATTTTAGCGTAATGCGACAAGATGGACAAACGATGCAACGATGGCTGTCTGTTGAAAAGAACAACATCACCATCTTCGATGTGTCTTTCGACGATATCGCCAATGCGCAAAGTTTTTGCAAGCTTGACTCTATCACCGAACTTCAAGTTTCTTTTTGCCACTTCGTTCTGTTTCAAGACGTAGTTCGCACCTGGATGCACAGTAGGTCCGTTCAAGATCAATTTTTGAAGCTTCTGTCTATTGTAGCGTGTACACTTTTCAGGATAGGTCAAGATTTTCGCCACACGATCTGGCACGGCCACTTCATCAATACGCAAGTTTGGATCGGGAGAAATAACTGTACGGCCCGAAAAATCCACTCTTTTACCAGACAAGTTACCACGGAAACGACCCTGTTTACCTTTCAATCTCTGGCAAAAACCACGGATCGGCTTACTGCTTTTCGAGCCCGACCCTCCCATTCCACCGGGAAGCAACGCCGGGTTGGCCGAGTCGGAGTTGATGTACATGGCCACAGACAACTGCAAGTAGTCCCACTGTTCCATCATGTTGTTGATGGAAATACCTTTTTCGATACCGGCCTTGATAAGTGACGACGTCCACACAATCTCGGTTAATTTCACAGTGAGATCATCCTCGTTCGACTGATTGTCCATCATCACCGAAGGACGGATACACACTGGCGGCGCAGGCAAGTATCTCCAGATGTACATTTCCGGTCTTCCGCCGCGGGCGGCGTCAATGCCAAAAAGCTCGCAGTCCTGCGGTGTGATCTGGCGAAACAAGTTGAGCACTTTGAGCGGATTCAAGTCCTCGTGCACACGTTTGGCGAATTTTTCGAGCTCTGGGTTGCGGTGGAACACCTCGTCGAACTCGCGGTCCCACAAGTCTTTCTCCGGCGCAGACTTTTTGCCCACGTACCGGAAGGTGTCGTGCAAGATTTTCAAGGCAGCAGGGCCGGCACCGGAAGCGGCCTTTTTCACCACACCGTTGACGTGGTGGCACTTCAAGCAGCGTCTTTGCTTTTTGCACTGCTCCACAACCTTCTTGAGCACCTTCATGCGGCGCAAGTTGTCGATGTTGGGCCGGCGCAAGTCCAGCAAAAACGCCCGCTTTGTCTGCTCGTCTAAAAGCACCGCCGCACAGTTCTTGCAGATGCACTGAAGCACCAGGATGATGGCCTTGAAGTAGCCCACGTGGAAAACGGGCAAGGCCAATCTCACATGGCCAAAGTGGCCGTGGCACGTGGCCAAGTTGCCGTGGCATGTACTACACTCGACAGCGTTGGTGGAGGTACCCATTTTTGTGTCCAAAGCGCCGCCTTCTCGCACACTTCTGCCCTTTTCCAAATCGTACAAGTCTCGCGTGGTGATTTCGACTTCGGACTGGGCGACAATGTCGCGCGCCGACAACGCAGAAAACTCGAGCCCTTTAATGCATTTGGGCGCCACGTCGACAACCACCTCCTTCATTGAAAAGTGGAGTTGGATCAGAGCGATGGGAAAGATTTTGGTGCGGGAAGAGGCGCGGTCACGTGGCCGTACTGCAGGACGGCGTCTGGCAGATGTCATGAAAGCTGAAGTAGAAGGAAGTAGAAGGAAGGAGAAGGACGTTGTAGTTTAGGAAATAGTTATCAATGTTGAAGATGAATCGATGTAATCGAAGATGATGTTGTGTTGAATTGATGTTGACGTTGAATTTATGTTGAAGTGGAAATTTGACAATGGGTGCGAAGTTTGAGACAGTGATTGAAGAAAATGGAGAGGTCTTATGGGTTTTCGATGCTTCCAGTGCTGAGTCGATTCTGATTATAAGTGAGTTGTTATAAGTGACTTGTTATAAGTGAGTTTAAGTGATTTTCAGTTTGAATTCCACAGTGGAAATCTCACACATGTATTCCTGGTCGATTTGCAGAATTCGCACAAATTGGACAATGACGTCCAGCAATACCTTACTATGGCCGATACATTGAAGCATGGCAATAAACGAATAAAAACATAATAGCAAAGCTCCTTAAAGAAAAATACAGCACCTTACAATTCTATGTGGTCCCATGTCCATTCTCTCTTGATTGGCATGTGTGGGTTCTGACGTGCACATAAAACCATTCACCTATCTTCACTGTGTTGCGAACCAACATTCAAACGCCACCATGTCCGATAAAGAAGAAAAAATCATCAAGACCTTGGAGGAAGACGACGAGTTTGAGGATTTTCCCGAAGACTCGCATTGGTCAAGCGAACCCAACCCACACTTGAATGCGGCCAACCTCTGGGAGGAAGATTGGGACGACGATGACGCCAAAGATGATTTCAGCGAGAAGTTGCGCCAGGAGTTGAAGCGGACACAGAAGAATTAGAAATACACGCACGAGAAAGACGGTGTAGCATGGAGGGTCGACAAGTATTCGAGAGGTTGATATCGAGAGGGTGAACTAGAATGGAAACGAAAGAACTGGAGACCGAATGCCTCAATGGAGGCGGAAGAGCTGATTGAAGGAGATTAAACGAATAGGCATGTGAAATGTCTGATGTATTGGAATCAGGCTGGCCTTATGCATTGAGCTGCAACATTGTGGCCAAAAAGAAGACTGGCAGAGTTGGTAGACAAATCAGAAGAGCAGTTGGGATCGTCTCTAGAATGATAGACACGGGAACTCAATCGCTCAAAGATGTGCTACTGGACGGAGATGTGTGTCTAATAGTCGAGACTTTCGGTCACAGAGACCGTATGCCCATTCCTAAGATTACATCAAAATAATAAACTGATTTTTCATTGTCACCAGAAAACCATACCAATACACTCCCCTTAGTAATAGTAGACAATCGATGATCAAAAACATTTACAAGCAGACACCAAAAAAAATTTGTAGACCGAGAAGTGATATTGAGGCTTCTGCAGTGTTCAACCAAATTGCGATGAAGGATTCGTCGTACGGAGTTTATCCTGATAAAGCTCGTATTTAGCTTCTTATGTGTCCTTCACTAAAGTTGGACATCTGACATCAATCATACCTATCTTTTCTTTAGTCGTCTTTTTTTTTCCTGACTTCGAAACTACGTTGATGAGGATTTTCGTTCTTGTTTGTACAATTGTGGGGTTTCTCTTCTATGATGATTCTCACACCTTACTGCTCTTTACAATCGATCAGTCGTCGGCTCATAAGTCTATTAGTAGTCTTGAGGGCGTGATTCTCATTGTATCAACTATAGCCATACCTACTCGCGTAAATGTCCATCAGACATCAGAAAGAAAGACATAATCAAGATGTAGCACATGATCATGCCAGAGTCATAGCAGATTAGTATACACGGGACTTGACGTCAGATTGCAAAAGCCACCCATGATGATGATCATGTACATGCAAGCACAACAAAGGCATTCAATAGCTTTCGTTGCAACAGTCCTCATGAATGCTCTAATGGTTTCATTTGCCAAAAATCTTATCTTCGCTCTAGGCGTAGAAGTTGACGGACTTGGACTTGCGTGCTTGCACTTCACCAATAGCTTCAACGAAATCCTCGTGGCGAATGATGGATTTTCCATTCCGCAATGCAATCATTCCGGCCTCGACAGTGACAGCCTTCAACTGCGCACCGTTGAATTCGTCTGTGGACCGCGCCAATTCTCTCCAGTTCACGGAGGTGTGGTCACAGTTCAATTTACGGGCGTGGATCTTCAACACCGACTCACGTGCTTCTTCAGTCGGCAATGGGAACTCGATTTTTCTGTCCAACCGACCAGAACGCAACAACGCAGGATCCAACGTGTCCACTCTGTTGGTTGCAGCCAAAACCTTCACACGATCGTCAGAACCGAATCCATCTAGCTGGTTCAAAAGCTCCAACATCGTCCGCTGAACTTCACGGTCACCACTCTTGTCGGAATCGAACCGCTTTGTTCCGATCGCGTCCAACTCGTCAATGAAAATAATCGTTGGTGCCTTTTCCTTGGCCAAGGCAAATGCATCTCGAACCAACTTGGCTCCATCTCCAATGAACATCTGCACCAACTGTGGGGCAGCCAACTTAAGGAAAGTGGCACCCGACTGTGCTGCACAAGCACGCGCAAGAAGCGTTTTACCTGTTCCCGGTGGCCCATACATCAAAGCACCTTTGGGTGGTTTGACACCAAGCGCCTTGAACTTGTCTGCTTGCTTCATGGGCAAAACGACAGCCTCGATCAATTCTTCAATCTGCTTGTCCAAACCACCAATGTCCGAGTAGTTTTCTGTGGGTTTCTCGTCCACTTCCATTGCCTTCACTCTGGAGTCGTATTCGGAGGGCAAAGTGTCCAAAATCAAGTAGGAATCCTTATTGACACCAATCAAGTCGTTTGGCTTCAATTGTGCCTCGTCAACAAGCCCAATAAGCGGCAAGAAAATCGTTTGCCTCGTTGACGTTTTGATAACCGCCAGTTTACCCAGTCGAGCTGCATCCACATCGACATTGGCACCTTGCTCAAGCGCTTCCTTCTCCGCATCTAAGTCCAAAAGCTCCACCACATTACTGACCAAATACGGTAACTGCTTGTTGTTGTTGATTTTCTCCTGGTTATCCTTGATTCTCTCTGTCATAACCGCCTTTTCGTGTGAAAGTCGCTGCGACTCGGAAAACATCACCTGGATGTCATTGTGAAGAAGCTTTGTGCGGTTGATGATGTCCTGCGTGGACGAAGATGCAATTTCTTGGTCGATGAGTTCGTCCTGCTCCAATTCTTCTAACGTAGACATTCTTGTGGTTGGTTAGACTTAAGAGTGAGAATCAACTGAACCAAATCTCGCCCGCCACCGGTGCGCGCACGACCTTTCAGGCTAAACGCCAAAGCACTGTGGCACATGGACTGGGATGTCAAGTTAGGAATTTACGTTATCAATGACTTGAGCAACAGCTACAAATGTACCTCTTAAACTGTTGTGTTCCGGGCGTAGCTGTGGTGTAGTTTGTTCTCAGCATGGTGATATCCTGCACATAGACAAACAACTTGTTCATGGGTCCTTGACATTTACAGAGTTAAATCGATTGGGGCTTTTTGTAATAAAATAGCAACAGAAGATCTATAGGGGGTCCCATGGAGAATTTGGTTTTGCATTGGAGAAACTGAACTGATTGCTGTTGTGCGTACCCCTCCTAACAGAATATCACTAATGGTTCATGTTACAACCCTCTTATCAGGATACCACTAGTAAATGACAAACCGAAGTACTACTTTGTTGCAACCTATCTAATCGACTGAGCAAGTTAATGGGGGCCAAACCTTTTTTTTCTACAAGTATGTTTTTCTTCTTAATGGGCCGGAGATTTTTTTATAGCACACTGCTGAAAATGGAACTTAGTGTTAACCCTAAGTGGGTTTTACAATACTTCTCATTCAGAACGCATATTACTTTCAACATAGGAATAGCCTTTATGGCGTCTCCAAAACTTCTTTAACCATAACCATGTTTACAGTCTTGCTCATCGTTGAAAGACACTTATTCTCATCGTCTTCTAACATCTTCTTACAAATTGGTTTCTGGTAAGACATTTTTCTAATTTCATTATAACAGACATTGAAAAGCAAGGGCGGAGCAAAAGTCTTTCTCGGGCTCATAATACAGCATATGTAATTATGGTACACACTGAATTGTTCAATTTCTTTGAAAATCAGAGCTAGCTTACAATATGAATTGTAAATAGAAAACCGACTAAGAAACCAAAGGAAGAGGTTTTGTAAATCTATTCACAACAAAATATATTCAGAATAATCGGAACAAGTAACTCCTGATATGTATGTCACTGTTCGTCCTATGATAATCTTTGACATACGGAAGGAGTTCTGCCACAAAGAAAAAAACCAAATCGTTCGTGGCTCGTTCAACTAGCTATAGGTCCTAGACTATTATTAAGAAACGGAACATTCTACTTTAAAGGGAACACTATCGACTAGCATAAATACGCGTTACCACATAAGTCTCAAATACGTTCAAGCCGCTAAACCCGCATGTAACAAAACAGTTTATAGGAAACAAAAGGACGGTCAAATACAAGAGAGCCAACAAATAGCCGGAAAAGATATCAACTACTTGCGCCGGATCAACCATTAGGAACGCCCCTCTACTTTAAATATAATCATTACGTCATGCGCGTGTCTTGTTTTTGCGTTCCAGGCACCGTAAGAAAACACATCGGCCAATAGATAAAAGAACCAACAAAGCAGGCTAAGGTGAAGATACCACCTATATCCTCTGCCAAAAAAAAAAAATTACCAAGTCCGTCCCAGCAAAATCGCCGACTCTGCTGGATATTGTCTCAGAGGTACGGGTCTGGCGATAACCATATACGTCTCGGTTAGTCCAGATACGTTTCTTTCTCCAAAGCGATGGAATACTTTTCTTCGGGCACTGAAGCAGAAGCGCCGCCCGGCCCAGCTCCGCAGGAAAGTCGCCCGACGCCGCTTCAAACCATACCTTCGGGGTTGCCTTTGCTCAGTCCTTTTCTTGGTCCGCCGAAAAGCCAAAATGACCGGAATGTGCCTCTGCCGCCCACTATCCCGGCTACCAATTTCCAAGGCACGTTGCCTGTGCTAGTGGGACTTTCTTTGCTTGTCGTCACCAGCAAATTTGTTGTCTATCTGTCGGAAGAATCGGTGATGCCGGCGCAAATCGTCACGCTGGTTTTTCAGGCTTGCATGGCGCTTTTGGTAGCGCTGGCGTTCGCCCGGAAAAGAGAAAACGGAACCAACGCTCTGGCTGGATCAACCGCCCAAGTGTTGGCGGCGTTGGTTCTATTTTTTGGCGCGTGCCGTGTTTTGTCTCCGGCTCGAGTGGCTGGTGTGTTTTTCTGCTTGTTTTTGAATGCCTGGAACCCATACACGGCGCTAGCATTTTTCTTTGACTTCTACAGACTGTACCAAGACTCACTTGCCTCCGTTCTGCTTGTCCTTGTTGGCTATACAGCACTTTTGGCCGCGTATCACACGTTGCACAAAACGGTGATGAAAAGAGCAATATCGCGGCCTAATCTCACTGTCGTGGGCCCAGCAATGGCTTTATCGGTCGTTTCAGCAGTACTTTTCTTTCCCTCCTTGGTCAATGTGCCCCTTCTACTTATCAATTCGGCAGTTCTTGTGCTTCTTGTCTTTTCTTTGCCAGAAGCGTACATACGTACCAAGATCAACATTCTTGTTGTGTGCGCATTCACGTATCTGCTCGAGGCACTTGTTCTTCGCAGTGCTGAGGTGTCTTTTGTTGAAATTTTGGTGTCGGTGATGCTCCCGCTCATGATTCGTATTGATTACTCTGAAGTTTTCAAGCCTACAACAGATACAGAAACAACCCACTCGCCCATCATCAAAGATTTGCTTAGCCATTCCGATACAAGGGCAATCTTCCATTTTCTCTTGTTGAACTCGGCGTTTATGTTGGTGCAGCTCCTCTACTCTTTCCGGTCAAAATCCTTGGGGTTGTTATCAGACTCTCTCCATATGGCGTTGGACTGTTCGTCTTTGGCCTTGGGTCTCGTGGCTGGAATTATGCTGAAACACCCAATTAATCCTAATGGCAAATATCCGTTTGGTCTTCGTCACTTTGAGATTTTGGCTGGTTTTGCCAATGGTGCTTTACTTGTGGGAATTTCCGGCAGTATCATTTTTGAAGCCATTGGTCGTTTGTTTGTGCCTGTTGCCTTGGAAAAGACGACAGAGCTTATAGTTGTGTCCATATTGGGGCTCTTGGTCAACATCGTGGGTATCTTTGCTTTCAACCACGGCCACTCTCATTCACATTCCCATTCCCATTCCCATTCCCATTCACACGCTCATTCACACGGTCATTCTGATGCCCACTCAGAACACTCACAATCGCATTCTGAACATTTACATCCACAACCACATACAGATACCCATTCTCATTCTCACACTTCTACCTCACAGCCCGATAACCACATTGAATCTGGGTCTTGTGATTCTAGCATGAACGACAACATGAGAGGCATATTCCTACACATTCTCGCCGACACGCTAGGTTCTGTCGGCGTTGTCATTCTGACCATTCTCACTCGTTTCTTTTCGTGGCAGGGATTCGACCCGGTGGCTTCTATCATCATTGCCCTTCTTATTTTTTTCAGTGCACTTCCTCTCATGAAGTCAACGGCATCTACATTATTATTGAAACTTGACACCACCAAAGAAGCCACTATTCGCAGCGCTTTGAACGATATTGCCTCTATCAAAGGTGTCAAGTCCTTTTCAACACCCCGTTTCTGGTCTTCGGAAAACACTCTACAAGGCTATCTTCACGTGCAGATCTACAGAGGCGAAAACAGCGTCTACCTCCGAAGACAATGCGTTGATGTTTTCCGCAAACATAAAGTGGAGGCCATGATCCAGATGGAAAACGACTACGATCCTTGCTGGTGCAGAAAACAGGATGGTGTTTAAGTGGCATTTCACCAGTTCCTGTGGATGTTAGTGCTATTTTGGTGCGCGCGCGACTCATCCAGAAAATTCATCTCAAGTGAGATTCTCAAACCTACCCATCTTGATTATGTCGCGTGTTGGAGTTCTAGTTTTGGGTCCCGCAGGCGTGGGAAAGTCCACTTTCTGCAATTCCATCATTGCCCACATGCAATCGATAGGAAGAAGAGCTCATATCGTCAACTTGGATCCCGCAGCAGAAGCCACCGAATATGAATTCACCATTGATATCAGAGACTTGATTTCGCTTCAAGATGTTATGGAAGAAATGGATATGGGCCCGAACGGTGGGCTAGTTTATTGTTTCGAGTACCTCTTAAACAATTTAGACTGGTTGGACGAAGAAATCGGTGACTACAATGATGAGTACTTGATATTCGATTGTCCCGGCCAGATCGAGCTCTACACCCACGTACCTGTATTGCCTACTATTGTTCGCCATCTCCAAACATCGTTGAACTTCAATTTGTGCGCCACGTATTTGTTGGAGGCTCCGTTTGTCATTGACCGCTCCAAGTTCTTCTCTGGAGCTTTGAGTGCCATGTCGGCTATGATCTTACTCGAATTGCCACATATCAATATTTTATCCAAGACAGATTTGATCAAGAATGAAGTTTCCAAAAAGCAGCTCAAGCGATTCCTAAATCCAGATCCGCTAGTCTTGGAGTCTGATCCCGACAAACAGCTCAACCCCAGATTCACTCGTTTAAACAAAGCCATTGCTCAATTGGTGGATGACTTCGGCATGGTTCAATTTCTTCCTTTGGATTGTTCAAAGGATAGCACGTCCGTTGCGACAATTTTGAGTTACATCGATGATGTTACCCAATGGTCGGAAAGTCAAGAACCGAAAGAGCCAGTGGACGAGCTCGAAATTGAAGATGATGATTAAATTTGTTTATGGAACGGGATGCAGCTTTTATCGTGCGCATGATTGGAAAGGCCTAGATTGGGCGATTTTCTTTTCTGGTGGTATGGCTTCTTTGTCCAGTACCACTAATAATATGACCAATGGTGACGTTCATTTTCTTTTCATGCATCATTCTACTCACAAAGCGCTACCTTATGCATTCAGCCTGGTTGTAACCATCACGATATGGGCAATTGAGATTTATGACAAATTTCCAAAAACTAAGGCAGGTGGGCGATCCCACAGGGACAGTGCAGGACCCTACATTTGCTGCTTGAGGCAAGGGGTGAAGAAAATAAAATGTACATGCTCTTCTCCTCGAGTATGTGGAGCAAGAAACTTGAGTATTTGTGAAGTACTAAAAACCACCCTGTTAGAAAGCCATGGTCTACTGTATATTAGTAGGAGACATAAGCAATGTTAGTGTGACCTCGAAGAATCTAATGTAAATCGTAAAAAGAGGCATAAAGAACTCGCCAGCACCCTGCATTAGTCGCATCTGCAGGTCGCGTATTATTTTTTGCTTCATGTACGATTAGTCAAACTTACAGGAGAAACACAGTTCCGCTTTGGGATCCTGCATGCATCTGTAAGAAGTACAGCGTGTAAAACAACTCTACTTCAAGATTCTACAAGCTTCAAGTGGCGATAGCTGCAAAATGACAAGACATGAATCCTACGTACATACAGTTCGGAGTTGACAGTCCGACGTTTTAGTTTAGTACAAGGGAAGAACTATTTGCCACGCGAGATTCCAATTTGTGTGCTGCGACATTGTTTTGCCCCTCCGCCTTAGGCGAAATGTCGTGCAGCTTACAACAGAAGCTTATCATACATTTACTCGTTCCACATGGTAGGTTTCTGCGCGACATGCAGTAAGCTAAGCCCAGTGTGAACCCCTTTAATACTTGAATCTCTTGTGTCACTCACATCAAGATTTTAGAGTATTTGTAAAAGTTTTGGTAATGGAACTTGGTGTGTAAAATCATCGTGGATATGACTGTAGCATTTCAGAATGGGCTTTAATGTTTTCCAGGAAATACGCTGTATTTATTTCCGCCTCAAATTTTTTTTTTTGGAAGACGCCCACTACGTTCCTGTAATCAAATTCCAGTGGCACTGAAAACACGGGCATGGTACGTGAATGTGGTATCCATTTCTTCTTGGCTCTGCCGGTTAATGCGGAAGACATACGATAGGCAAGAGCTAAAATCTAAAGGGTGATTATTCCTCTAGTCCAAGAAAAGATTGTTTTTTTTTTTGAAAAAAAAAAAAGTGGTCTTCCTTGGATTACTGCTCCATAGGAGAACATACATTCCTTCTTTTCAAGATTCTACAATAATTCACGGAAAAGGGAGTTCTGGTCCATGAATCTTGTGAATTTTGAAAGAAACAAATACCACTTGATGATATTGCAAGTCATGTAATCGTCCTTACTAATGTGGTTGGACATTCGGAATAGTTTCGGACAGTAATGGAAAATTGCTAAGCGAATATCCTAGTCAAGTAATCCAATGAAGACATATGATCAATTATGGCATGGTCCAAACGCAAATATGGAAAAAGTGTCGAGTCATTTCAGAATGTCAGTTGGTGAAGATGGACAAACTCAGATTTATGCTTATATACAACGCTATCGAAAAATGTACTGGATCAGTTAAGGCCTTTAATGAACATCTTTTAGGTTGAAACGGAAAAGTGCATGGCACTTTGACGGAGCATCATGAATATTCATCAGTTTTGTTTACTTCCATTTCGTTTGACTAATTTTTCTTTTTTCTTCCTCCGTACCAGATGCCACATACGACACACTATCTCACTCTGACAAACTATATGCTCAAGTGAGTTGTGTTGTTGGAAGACATGGTATGACGATATCTCTGAACTGGTTGCTGTGTTTGACTCGGATCTGTCTACGTCAGATAGGGGCTATAGATAGGGATTCACATTTCGTTTTACCACGTACCTCTTCCATCTATTGGCTTATCCTCGAGTTCCCCACCGCTCTTCCATTCTTGATTTCCCTTTCAGTGCTTATTCAGGCCTCAATCAAGAGACGGAAGAGCTCAGGACTGATGTAAGTGTCCGTAGACTAGGAATCAATTCTTTCTATGGCCTTTTAGATTCTGTAATGTAGACAATTCTCAGCATATCTGGTCTGGCCTTGGCTAATACTGATCAACATAAACCGAAGTTGACAAGCAGCACTATCAACTTTCATTCACTGATAACGATGGTACTGTGAATCTAGGTCCTTCATCTTACAAACCAATCCTTTTGAAAGATGCGTTTAAAGTTGACTAATCAGTTTTAACCAGCCAAATGCAAGTTTGTATACAGCAAAAAAATACAGAGGTTTGATGCAGCTGCCTGATTGTATGGAAGCAATCAACGAGCTAGTTAAAAATATCATCGTTTCCAGAAGTTTTCCTTATGTATGAAGGACAAACAAACAATCATGGAAAGAAATGTCGCCACCATGTACCATTCCGTTCAAGAAGCTGTGCATGCGAGGATGGGTAGCTGTATTTAGACGCGCAGCGGCTAACGGACTCAATCACATTCTTCATTTAGGCCGTATCGCTGGAGAGACACTGCCTCAAACATTACCATCTCTGGTTTAAAATTCCAATGGGAATATACGATGAAGCTATCGTCTACAATACCGGAGGTTAATGACCGAGTAGCGTTATTCAGTTGCCGGGGCAGACGTTGGAGAATTGAGCATGAATGTTGTTGGTAACAGTTCTAGCCCCGCCTGTGCTGACTAGTGAGGTATTGCCTCAGGGAATATAGGACAATCTTGCGATTGATTACTCTATGGGATCGCATTTGGTGCATGACAACAGTGCCAGGATATCCATATTCCATAACTGGCCAAGTCATTAAAGGTGACAATTGATTCTCTGTTCTCAAATTCTATGCTAATTGATTCTATATTCTAATTGGTTCTTTAACTACACTTTGGCTTCAAGCGTATCCACGCTATTCTGACACTGGTGACAAAAAGTGTCAAGTTAGTAAAATTGGTGACATGGCGTCATTGGCCCATTTGCTGGCTGCTGGACGCTTGACGTTACATGCGACATAGATGGCCTACCATGCACACTTTACTGGTCTCGCATGAGGTTGGGCTGTGACGCAAGTCGCTGGACGCAAGGAAATGTCCACCCGTACCTCTGCTGAAGCCTTTAATAGCGACAACCTGTCGCAGGTGTCTGGAGTAGTAAGTCGCGAGATGTACGGGTGTCAACTCATCTATCGTTCTCAGCCTTTCGAGAGAAAACCATTTCGCTACGACTGAGCATGGTTGAAATTAACGAAGTCAAAGAATCCACAGAGAGAGACACGAGGACTGCAGCCCATACTCATATCAAAGGCTTGGGTTTGGATGAACATGGAATCGCCAAAAAGATAGATGGCGGTTTTGTTGGCCAAACTTCCGCCAGAGAAGCATGTGGTGTTATTGTTGATTTAATCAAAACGAAAAGAATGAGCGGCAAGGCGATTTTGTTGGCCGGCGCCCCTGGAACGGGAAAGACCGCTTTGGCCTTGGCAATTTCGCAGGAGTTGGGCCCCAAAGTTCCCTTTTGCCCAATTGTCGGTTCGGAGTTGTATAGTGCGGAGGTTAAAAAGACGGCAGCGTTGATGGAAAACTTCCGCAAGGCCATTGGTTTGCGTATCAAGGAAACAAAGGAGGTGTACGAGGGAGAGGTGATTGAGTTGAGTCCGGAAGAGGCCGAAAACCCGTTGGGGGGTTACGGTAAAACTATTTCCCACGTCATTGTCGGATTGAAAACAGCAAAGGGAACGAAAAACTTGCGTCTAGACCCTAGCATCTACGAGAGCATTCAGAAGGAACGCGTTGTTGTGGGTGATGTCATTTACATCGAAGCCAACACCGGTTCTGTTAAGAGAGTCGGCAGATCGGACGCTTATGCGACAGAATTCGACTTGGAGGCAGAAGAGTATGTGCCATTGCCAAAGGGCGAGGTTCATAAGAAGAAAGAAATTGTACAAGAGGTGACTTTGCATGATTTGGATGTGGCAAATGCCAGACCACAAGGCGGCCAAGATGTTCTTTCGATGATGGGACAGTTGTTGAAGCCCAAAAAGACAGAGATCACAGACAAATTGCGTGCTGAAGTCAACAAGGTGGTGGCAAAATATATCGACCAAGGCGTGGCTGAGTTGATTCCGGGTGTCCTCTTTATTGACGAGGTGAACATGTTGGACATTGAGATTTTCACCTACTTGAACCGTGCTTTGGAAAGCTCCATGGCTCCTGTTGTTGTTTTAGCTTCGAATCGGGGCATGACCACCATCCGTGGAACAGAAGATGCAACCAAGTACCCTCACGGTTGTCCACCGGATTTGATTGACAGATTGTTGATTGTCAAGACCTTGCCTTACAACGAAGAGGAAATCAAGGTGATTATTTCCAAGCGTGCGACATTGGAAAACCTAAATGTGTCTGGCGATGCATTAAGCAAGTTGGCACAGCACGGCGTGCAAAGTTCTTTGCGTTATGCGTTGCAGTTGTTGGCGCCCGCAGGAATCTTGGCCAAAACTGCAAACCGCTCCGAAATTGGCGTCAGCGACATTGAGGAATGCGAGCTTTTGTTTTTGGACTCTCACCGCTCGATGCAAATTTTGGAGTCTACAAAGGGCTACCTTTAGTGTACAATAAATGATGTCTTATTTAGAGAGCGTAGAAACGAACACCTTCTGGATCAACCTTTTCCAGCACTTCTCTCATGTATTACATGCTCAAGCTTCCAACTTCCCAAGTTCAGAAACCTCGCTTAAAAACTCCTTAGCCGTAACAATCTCTGTGCTACCGTACACAATGCGCTTTTCTGTTTTATTAGGCTGGTGTGCCCACTCGGTCAAGTTCTGGTACTCCAAATAGTTGCCGCCGCCAACCACAAAAACAATGCCTTCCTCGTACGACTGTCTTTTAGGTGGCTTAGAGTGGCCGCCTCTTGATCTTGGATCCAAGTACAAGTAATCGTCTGTGAGCTGCATCAAGTTATTCGAAGCGTTGCTTGGCTCCATTATAGCTTCCACGATATTGGTTATGGCAAGGTTTTTCTTGTCAGGTAAAAGTTTCTTCAATCCTGTGGCCAAGGAGGAAATACCTTCCGAAATACGGCCTTCGGTGAAACCATACAACTTGGACGACAAGCCGTTGAACAACGCAGAATTGTTTTCGCCAAGCGACGATTTACCAGAAGCGGAAGAATCATGCAAAGCAGCATTCTTCGACAAATTCAAAATCTGCTTGAATTTCTGGATGTAGCGGAACGCGTTCATGTCGATATCCGGGTATTTCTGGGCGAAAACCTGCTCGCACTCCGTGTTGAAACTGGCCGAAACGTTTGCCAACAAATTCAAAATCAAAAACGTCCGGAACTTGTCCACAGAATTGTCACGCTTCGAGTCCGACCGCAACAAGTCCAAGAACTCGCTCTGCACCTTTGGGTTGGCAAAGTTCTGTTCAATTTCGAAAAATTTATCCAACGACCGCGCCTCTAATTCTTTTAGTAATGAGGCCAAAACGTCCATGTGCATATCCAAAGTGACTTTGCGGGCAGTCAATTCGGGCAATGCCTCCACTGCTTGCTGGATTAAAGAGGTGTCGACATTTGCATTGGGATCGATGTCGCTCAAAGACGTAATGCCTGTTTTGTTGGTCAATTCTTGAGCCTCGCGTTTATACAAGTTCAATTCGACATCTGCATTCTCAACCACATCTGGAAACGGCAACTGGGCGTTCTTGTTCCAGAAAAAATCCTTCGGGTCCACATCGTAGCTGCGGACTTTAGGGGTGGCGGACGAGTCGTCATACTTGGCCACCCTAATGGTATTTCGACGCAATTCAAAAACGTCACTCACCATACACTGGTAGATCCAAGAGTGCGAGAACATGGAAGCTAAATCAATGTTCCGATCCAAGAGAATCAACACGGGTCTCAGCTGAACCGTATGGTTGGCCATGCTTCGGGAGCTGCTGAGATAGTCACGCAACTTCAAGTCTAACTGCGTAGCCACAAGCTCAGCCGGCCCGCTCTTTGGGCACCGGATAATGGGAACCGAACCCATTGTTATCAAGTTGGCTAGCATACCATCAGCAACTCTGTTTGCGAGCTGGTGGATCTCGTCCTCGCTGGTGGAGGGGCTGTTGAACTTAGCAAAAGTGCGAGGGATGCCAAGCGAGAACAAGTTGGGCTCTGTCACGACAAAATCCAAGTACTGGTCAAACACCTGCTTGATCTTGCTTCCCTTCCCGCACAAGGAGACTTTCTTGGCGAAATCCTCCAAAAGCTCGCGGGCGATCGACAGAGTGAAGTTGATGTAGAAGGAGTCGTACTTGTCGCTCTGCAAGTCCTCTATAATGGCAGAAACGTTTTCCACCGTGGGCTCGACAAAGTAAATCACAGGAACATCGGGCAACGGCGATCTTTGCGCCGTAATCAACGCGTGCACGGTGATTCCACAGCGGAGTAAGTCATTGACACGCAACACAGACGATACCACAGCCTGCGATTTGCGGTCCATCACCAAAACTTTCCACACGATTTCCTCGCTTTTCGACGCTAAAGTCAAGTCGGTGGTTCCGTCTTTGTTGAGATGGAGCATGCGCTCCAAAGCGGCTGGATGGGTTAGTACACGGGACAGCACGTCAGTATCAAAACGAAAAACATACCTATTTGGCGGTCTCGCAAATTCAGCGCTTCAGCGGACATTGGGGCGTAATATGGGGACAACAGAGCGTTCTCGAGATAGAGAGAAGAGGCACGGGTGTGGTCTTCAGGCCCAGGAGGCACGGGTGCATGGGCTTACGCCTACCGATTGAAAGGACACTGAGTAAGTTGAGTAATAAGGATAGGCATAGTGTGGCTCTGCTAGTTGGTGAGTTTACGAATTTACGGGTTTACGAGGTTCCGAATGTTGTGAGTTGAAGATAGACGTCGTGGCAGGTACATTCGTCATTCTTAGTGACCAGCTTAGGATATACTGAGCAAGCTTAAGAAAGTGAGTCGAGGAAGCTTCACGGTAGCTTTAATAGACTGATAAATTGAGGAACCTTCACAGTAATCTAAACCAGGCCTTTCTGTGTTGATGCGCGCATTGGCTTATCATGATGTTGTTTCTGCAGAATAATAAGCTACCTGTTGATCGCGAAAATTGGAATGGCTAAAACTCATACGGACTATCAAAAATAGATGGAGAAGGCGTTTTTCACTGTCATTAACTATTGTGCAAGCTTGATCAACGGAACAGAGTACCGAAGCATTGGAAAAATTCAAAGAAGAAAATAATTCACTTACTGAGCATGTGGAGAAACTACAAAGTCAAAAGATACAGCTTGAGGCTGAAAAAGGTGAGCTTGAAAAGACTGTTTCCCAGAATAGCAGAGATTTGGCAACGAAAAACGAAGAAATTGAAAACTTAAGAGACCTGTTGCGCGATATAGGTGATGACAGTATATGTGATGACAGTATATGTATGTCCATGGGGCCAAAGGATTTCCTTTTGTTGAAGATGATCTTCCCATGTTCAAGTTTCACATCAAGCTAAACGAGCACCAAGCTAAGACAGAAACAGGCTTTGTGGAAGAGATTCTTGTAGGATGATTTTTGGCACACGTCCTTCTCAACGATAGGAGTACTGACCATAAACTCAGTTTATGTGATCTTAACTTCATCTCCACGCTAAGAGAGGTTAGCATATTGGATAGATCAAATCGTATTAAAAGTCAATCTTGGTAAGGACATACGAATAATAACACAAACAAGACAAGACTGTTTGAGAAGAATGAGATGGAAAATACAATATTGCAAGTTAAGGAAGAACACCATACTTACTGGAAGACGGTTGCACCATTGGGAAGGGGTAGAAAACCACATCGGGTATTCATACTGATGTGAAAAGAAGCAAATCACGCAGTGTGGTCGTTCTTTTTTTTTTTTGTTTTCTTCGTTGACGGAGTTTATGTTCTTCAGTTTTTCAATGTCTGGTCTAAATCTCTGATAGCAATACGAGACAATACATTTCTTCTGAAGATGTCGCCATGCCCGTCCATAGAGCACTATCCTTATAGGTTATAGTTAATGTCGGAAAACAGAACAAAAATCCGTGGAGACAAAAATCAGTCACAGCCATTATTTGTGCTTGCTGTTCTTTGAACTCATGTTCGGTTACAGACCACGGAGTATTTACGTTACACTAAAAGATTTATACTTGAATACTAGAGTTTTCACCTTTTCCACGCATCATGTAAGGTGACCAAACATTCATAGTTTCCAGTGTTGGTATCACGTGCAATTAAACTACATCCAACAAGTTGGTATACTAAAGATACGGAAATCCGTTCTCGGGCGGCAGCAAGGACACTGGAGTATGCGAGTCTAGGACATGCGTGCATTGCATCCTGCGACCACTTCTCCGAAACGTGCAGGCGGATACGTTCATGGCAGGACGGAATGCGGAGTATCTTTCTTTTGGGAAAGGTTGGGCGTCGGAAAAAGTCGCAATGCACATTACAGGGTCCATATGCATTGGTTAGGACTCATTTCAGATCTTGGAAGCCCCTGGAAAACTCGGAATCCAATCAGCCGCGCAAGCAAAAAGAATGGGCAATAATGTAAACAGTGCAGAATAATAGAAGACGGCGTCTCGGTAATAATGCGACATGGAAGGAAGAATGGAAGCAACGAGCAAGCAAGACGAAGAATAAGAAAAAGAGGTGGATGGCCAGAGGTGGATGGCCAGAGGTGCAGGGAACGTTCGGAGTCAATCAAATCAAGCTCGGTCGGAGTTACCGTCTAGTGTCGGTGCAACCGAAATACATTAAGCTGGAAAGCAAGCACAACATACCATCGGGTGGAATACATCTTGGCTACCAAGAAGGGCGTGCGACATGCACTACTGTATGCAATTGCGTTCCATACACATGTATGCACTCCAAGTTGCATGCTTCTTCTGGTTAAGGGCGTCAGCGACACGCACGTGCACAGTACACTGTTGATACGATGCAGGAGGAACCATGTCCGTTAGTTGCGGACTACTCGTTTGGTATTGCTGCAAAGTAGGAAGCATATGTGGCTCTAAGCCACGAAATGGTGGCTACATGCGTAGGCGGCCAAAAAGCGCCACCCAGGGTTTGGCAAAACATGCGCTGTGCAGCTGTCATGATGTTTAGTTTCCGAGCCCAGGTTGCATGTGCAGCGCCCCCGAGATGCACCATTACATATTGGTCGCATTGCAGCAAGTCAACCTCCTTGCAAATTCATGTGCGTGGGCGTCTCTTAGATCTCATAATAGATGAAAAATGAAAGGCTCATCACTTTACCATAATGCTTCTTCACATGAATGCGAGGCATGTGGAAACAGTCACTAATCTGCCGCACAAACAGCATGTTGTAATCAAGCAGGTGCGCAGTGCGCGAGGGCTTATGCGTAGGTTTATGCGTAGGCACTGGGGCATTATGCTTGCAAAAAACAAAAAAAAAAAAAAAAGAAAGAAAGTGCGCATACACATGTATATGCGGATGCAGGATCGGGCCGAGCTGTCGGTCGGCTATGCACCTTTTTCCGCAAGTCCGTCTACCTCTACTCATGGGCCCTTTTCTCCACCAAGAAAGTGCGGCTGCGCCGCCGTGCATTAAAACTATAGTACATTAGTCGCTGCGATACTCCACAATACCGCGAAGAACACGAATCTTGCCGTACACATCGTGGTCAATCATGTTCTCCTGGTTCTTCACCTCCTTGGGCTTGTTCTTGTGCTCTGTGCCCGGCTTGGGCCACACGCAATTGAGCCTTAGCCGCAGGCACTCTTTGCATTTGGGGCGCGTCTCGCAGCACCGTTTCTTGCGCTGGCGGCATGTTAGACACCCCATGCGCGACCGCTTGGCCACCTTGCCTGCGCGCCCGCTGGCGCTTTGCGCGCGCGCCCTGCTGGCGCCTTCTTCGGCCTCCTCCTCGTGCGCCAGCGTGTCACTTGCATCGAGCGACTTGGCGCGAGGCTTGGTGCGCCCGCCTTCACTGTGCTGCTGCCGCACGCCTAGAGCCAATTGATCCCACTGGTCGGCATGCATGTGGAACTGGGCGTTGGTGTTGTTGCTGCTGCTGTTTGTGCTGTTATTGGGATTGTTGCTGCTATTGTTGCTGTTGAGATTGTTGTTGTTGTTGTTGTTGCTGTTGATATTGTTGCTGGGTGTGGCGCCTTGCACAAGAGTGTTCACGGCCCCCGAAGTGGGGCTGGCGTATTTCGGCGGCGCTGCTGCCGCAGGGTATTGTTGCATTGACTGTACCGCCTGGACTGACTGCACCGACATGGGTGTGTATTGGAGCTGCTGGCCACCGTATGCGCTGCGGCCAACCGCATCCATCATGGGCTGCATGGGTATTGCGCCCTGATATGCGACGCCCGGCGGCACGCCTGGCCCAGTCGCTGGCGCTTGCGCCTCCGACTGGAATACTCGCAGGTACTTGTTCCCGGGCAGCGTATACTGGTAATCGTTTTTGGCTGGTTTGACAAAGTTGCTGGGCGCGGGCGGTTCGGGCCACGCCGGATTAGACCACTGGCTCATGGGGATGCTGCAAAGTTAGCAATGAACGAAAGGATGGATGCGGACGTAATGTGGATTGTGGATTTTGTTCTCTGGATCGCGTTCCTGATCAATGGTTTATGTTACGTTTGATTGGTGTTTTCTGGTGTTTCGTTCGTGTGGATGGAGGAAGTATATCTGTAGATCTTTTGGGGAAAGTGGCGAGAGAAACACGGACGTGAATCGAATGGGCTGTGGGAATGCTGGCTATGGGACGATGGAATTGGTTGGATCTGCACCACCAACTCAACTGGAGGATAAGGACTTTGGCAAAGAAACGCGTCGATAAACAGGAACAGTTGGGAGAAATCGGAGCTGGGAGACTGACGCTGACGCCGCTAGAGTGTTGTGTACGTACTCGGACTAAGCATTAACTAAAATAAACGGTCTGGCAAGAAACAGAACCGCAGACAAGGAAAGGAAATTCAGGAAATAGGCCCACCTGCAACACGATGCGAATTATGGTTGTTGGGAAGGAGTCGGGGCGAGATGCGGATGGAGAAACAAATAAATAGATGCACGGAAATAGGGTCAGCTATATTGGAGTAAGAAAGAATCGTGATATATGTCGTATGCAATACCATACCAAGTTTACACCGAAGTTTAAATCAGCAATGTCATGCGGGCAGCATTGTGTTGCCGCGCATGCACCGGTTACGAGTAAAGTCGTGCATCCCTGCAGCTGCACCTGTACTGCAGCAGGCGCGACATTTTCTGCCTCCACGAGCAACTATCCAACGGAGACGACAAGCCTACAAGAAAAAAATCATGGAAACATACCACATGTGGAAATCGCCACCGTACAATGACACCATTCTATTTTCCTCCTCTAGCCTCGCCAACTTGCGCTCTCTACGAAAGATTCTCTCGCGCCCCTTTTGGGCACCGTGCGTCCTCTAACGACCTGCAAGTAGCCTTGACCCTAACATGCATGCTCACTTATACTTGTGGCGCCCTTTGACATTGATCGATAAGACTGGGAACGTGAAAATGCCCCACAGGAGGCTGCGGGAAGAAAAAGCCCGAGTGGCGCAGCGCCAATGCTACTTGATTCTACAAGATGTGCCAAAAAAAGACATCCCAAGTATCAAATCTCACGGGACCACATTTGCTTCCGAGCCGAAACCGTAGCTCCACCATCGCTAGCCAAAAAATCTTGTACCGGTGGCATTGCCTCACCTGTTTTTTTTTTCCCACTTCTGCAGGCAGCCGGCGAAACATTGGGGCAAGATTTCGGATTCTGGGAAGATTTCCGGCACCTGGCTCCCAGACGACAAGCATGCACTGCAAATTCAATGTCGCCCGCTTGTCGATTCTTTGATGCGGCCTGGGCTAATGCGCTCGCACAATAGCGCCCCAAGTGGGACACTGTCGGATTGGCCGACGTACGCCGGCTTAGATAACATACCCAGTCGCGCGACATGGGCTCTACAGAGCACATACATAGCGTTGATTAAGTAAGAACACCACGAGAGCGGAGAGGCAAGCGAAGAAGAAGAATGGCGAGAAGAAAGAGGAAGCAAAGGAGAAGTGGGAGCGAATTCGAGTCGCCGAAAGTATATTTCAGCCTCCAATCATCTGTTCTATTAGTTATTTCTTGTCAAGTTCGTGTTTTCGTCCTCTTCGCCATGGTCTTCGTCGTCTTCAGGTTTGCGTGTTCATGTTTTCGTGTTCATGTCTTGGTCGTGTTCCTGATCTTCTGTCTTCTACTTCTTCTTCATGCTAGGTCTCTCCAACGTTCTCCTTCTGCATTTCATCTCTCTTTTTCTTTCTCTCTCTCTCTCTCATACTCATGCAATCGCATTCTCTACATGGTTCTTGGTCTCTGGCTTCACTCTCGTGTATATCTCATCCTCTTTTTGTTCACATTCCCGGCATGCCCGGCATTCCCTGCGGCATTCCCTGTGGCATTCCTTGCGGCATTCCCTGCTGTCCCTGGCCCGCCCGCAACGACGACTTACCCGCCTTCAAAAGCTCGTCACAGAGCAAAAGGTTCGACGCTATGCCCGTTGCGGCCAGAATAGCGTTGCGGACCACCCTGACGGAGTCCCACACGCCTTCGAGCGCCGGGTCCATGGGCTCGCCCGACCGCAAATCAATGCCCACTACGTGGCCGTCGGCAACCTCGTCCTGGCACGCCGAAAGAGACTCCAACGAGTCCAAGCCTGCGTTGGTACACAAGGTTTTGGGCACCACGAGGAGCGCCTCGGCAAACGCGCGGATGCCAGGCTTGTGGCGGCCACGGAGCGTCTTGGACTCTTGCAACTGGGCGTGGGCGCTCATGAAAAACGCACCGGCGCCAGGAACGACAGCGCCATCTTTGAGCACATTGGCCACGGCCCGCAAGCCGTCACGGACAGCGTCCTTTGTCTGTTGCAACGCATGGCTGGCCAGGCCCTTGATGAGAATCGTTGCCGCTTTTGCGTGTGGACATTCGGTGATGTATGTGAATTTATCTTCGCCAATGCTCTCTTCGTAGACAAGCCCCGAGCGGCCCAAGACGGCCGGAGACAAGTCGTCGACGGCGTTCTGTGCTTCGCCGCCCACGATCAACTGCAACCGCTCCATGTTTCTGCGCTTGGCTCTGCGCAACGCCAAGATGCCGTGCTTGGCCAAAACGTCAAGCGACATCGGGTCAATACCCTTCTGGTTGATGATCACAAAGCCCGCGTCGTCGCCGAGGCCACACACCTCGTTCTTCAAGTCCACAATCTTCTTCAACTTGGCGTCGACAAACTGTCTCTCCGATGCCACCAACTTCTCGCGCTGTTCCGCCGTAGAGTAGAAAAAGCCCAGGTTGACCTCGGTCTTCTCGTACTCCAAGGACACGTTCAAAATCAACACGTAGGCGTTCTTGACGCGGCGAGGCATGTCCGGGTGCCGGGCGCCGTGGTCCAACACCAATCCCTTCACCAAAGTGGTGTCGGTGGCATTTCCGTGCTGCATGGTCATGATCTCCACCATGTGCAAGTCCAACTGGTTCTGCTCGTCGCCCTGGACCGCCAAAACGGCGTCGGTGACAATGGGCGCCAACACACTCGTCAATTCGGGCGTCACTTTGGTCGCCACAGAACTGCGGGCCACCTGGAGCAAAAACTCGCGGTCAAACGAGTCGGGCACCGTCTGGAATGCCTTCAAGTGGTCCAACACTGCCTCGCGCGCCGTCTCGAAGCCGTCCACCAATACGCGTGGATGGACGCCCTCGCTGATAAACCGTTCAGCCTGCTTCAACAACTCGCCCACCAAAAGAACCACGGTGGTTGTTCCATCTCCGGTGATCTCGTCTTGCGCAGTGGCCGCACGTGCAATCATCACGGCCGTTGGGTGCTGGATCTGCATTTCCGAAAGCAAAACCTTGCCGTCTTTGGTCAATTTGAGCGACCCTGATCCGTCCACCAAGAGCTTCAATGTGCCTTTGGGGCCCAAGTTGGAGGCCAAAACATTCTGCAAGCCTTGTGCGGCCGCAATGTTTACCTGGAGCGCCTGGTCACGTCTCAAGGATTCTGCTTTGGGATTCAAAAGCTGGATGGACGACATTTGGTGTTGGAGAAGATTCGGGTCTTTTTTTTTGTTAGAGTGAGCGCCGCGGCGAGGTCACGTGCACCACCCACCTCCATCTCCAAAGCCACTGTGGGCATACAGAAGCGGCGTCTGGATGGCTTGAGCAATACTAAGGAGCAAGAGTCATGGACGAGTATGTGGTTTCTTATCTCTGATGACAGTTTTTGGGAATAGTGGAAAGATGACATAATCCACGTTGTATGCAGGTCGTGATGTGGTGGATACGTTTCAACGTCAGAAAACGGTGTATTAGTTGTATTTTGGGCTACCGAATGTCAAAGTGGCAGCTGGGGGTACTTTCTGTGATACATAAACTTTTTTCCCGGAAAGGACTGATTTTGTGCTCCGAAAAGGATGAATTTATGTGCAAGGAAATGGCTAATTTATATGGCTGATTTCGGTGCAGATCAACTTCCCGTTTTACTAGGAGCCAGAACATCCAGAAGGAGGACTGTTTTTAGTAGTGATATTGCAAAATTGTGAGGTTGTTCATGTTTTTAATGAATTTTACAGCGATCCTTAAAGCCGTCGTTCATATTTAATGATGTGTTGCATCCGTATTTGGGAAATTACATGTGCAATGAGTAACAAAGCATTTTTGAATTTCATCAGCACAATAGAATAGTATTGGATCGTTTTGTTGGTGCTTGTTTCGATTCTCTATTTGCAGTTATGCTTTATCATTCAAATCGTGTCCGATGGTCCATTTTTTATGTATGTTTACGGAATAAGAATTTACTCATTCTATCGCTAGTACTAGGCTTTGACTAAAGCGGCCAAGCATAATGGATTGCCTTAAATTCAATTTACCAATTTTACTACAAACATCTTTTTTCTACTTCTTGACAATGGCACAGTCCCAAAAGTCCTATAAGCAATTGTATGCGCATTCTTATACTCTAATGTTTCTTGTGCGGTGGTCAAGTCCAATGACAGCTATTTAAAGAGCAGGCTGTATGTCCGAGGACCAAACCCCGACCAAATGCCGACTAGACAACTTCAGTTCCCGGGATTGCACACTGAGGTTATTGTTCAGATTACTAAGATCTGCGGGACGTTGCATATTGTTTGTGACGTCATGTTGGAGGAAATAAGCGATTTTGAACCTTCAGCGGTGAATCGGACGATGATCTGCAAAATAAGCGATCGTAATTCCCATGCATAGATGTTCATTTTCGAAGATCTTCCATACGTCGCTGTCTGGGGTCACATGGTGTTTTCCAAATTCCACGACATTTGGAAGGCATGAAACACGATTGTTCCAACAACTTCGTCGTATTGTCTATTTAGCATGGTCTGGATGACTGACCTCCATTGTTTTCTCCTAGGATGAGTTGAGTCAATTTACAGGCTGATTATTTTTCTCGAGCGGCTCTATCCATTATGTAGCTTTTCGACGTTCCGTGGTGGTTGAGAGCCAACATCGCCTAAAATACGATACTCTCGAATATGAGCACTGGCTGCTTGAGCGATCCATTGTCTACACAGTGATGCAACCATGACATCATGTTGGGGACGGCGTAGCGTTGCGTTATGATTTTCTATTCGTATTTTGTCTCGTTGTTTCTCTGGGCGTGACAAGACCAAAGTCTTGGATCGCACATATTTTTCTTTACTCGATTCTTTTGACGGCGCCTCCTGGCGAGTTGTCTAGTCTGGCAGTCAAGACCTCGCAACCTGTTTCGGTCACTAGCAACATGTGCTCAAACTGGGCAGACTTTTTTCCGTCCTGAGTCGCCGCAGTCCAGTTGTCGGGCCATGTGATGTCTTTATACGTGCCTAGACAAAGCATGGGCTCGATTGTAAACACCATGCCGGGTTTAGCCACACCAATCGCCTTGTTCTTGGCATAGTGCGGAATGTTGGGCTGGCAGTGGAACAAGCTGTTGATACCGTGGCCGCAGTAGGTTCTGACAACGGAACAGCCATTTTTCAGCGCATGTCCTTCGATAACGCTGCCCAAGTCACGGAAAACCAAGCCAGGCTTGACCATGTCAATGGCCATGTCCAAGCACTCACGTGTGGTCTCGACCAAGCGCACTGTGTCTGGGTCACATTTGGCCTTGTCGCCCACGTAGTAAGTTTCGTTGAGATCGGAGTGGTATCCACTAAGATAGATGGTCACATCCAAATTGATAATGTCTCCGTCCTGCAAAACAGTCTGGTCGGGGATACCGTGGCAAATGACCTCGTTCACAGACGTGCACAAGGATTTCGGGAAGTTGTAGTAGTTTAGTGGCAGCGGGTATGCGTTGTGTGCCATGCACTGTTTATGCAAAATGGCATCGAGTTCGTCGGTGGTAATGCCTGGTTTGATGTAGGAAGCGGTTTTGTCCAAGATTTCCCGCGAGATCCGCGCCACACGGCGCATTTTCTTGATCTGGCTCTCGGTCAAAATGGTGATTTTGCCCGTTCTGTCGTTTTTCAACTCGCTCACTGGCTTTCCATTCTGCGCATAGTCTGGTTTGGCAATGTTGGCCGGAACCGTGCGCCGGGGACTGAGCGGATAGGAAGCTCTCAAGTCGCCTGAATACTGGAAATTGGGGAAAGGATCAAACGGCTTGTTGTCTTCAGCTGGGTGGACAGCTTTGTGGATGGCCCAGCCGGAGCGGAAACAGATTTGGTTGCAGAAAACTGCAGAGATGCCGTTTTTCAAGCACACGGGACATTTGAGTCCCGAGTCGGTCGTCTTGCCGCATTGCGGCGAGCAGCATACTGAAGCCATTTTTCTTGTAAGATGGGAAGAGAGTTTTTTCAGTGGGAAGATGTGATATGAGGCGCGCACCTCTGGTATCGGGACAAATACAGTAGACAATAGGTTGGGTACTGTGATTACAGGAGGTCACAAGGTACTTCAGTAACTTTTAGCAAGAGGGAAGTGGTGGTGTTCTGCTAGAGGTAGATGGACAAAAGTCGTATTCTGTGTTTTCGTCTCGTGTGATGGCTCCCTCTCCTATCCGGATGGCGCATGGAAGCCTTCCATGGCAGTATGCATGCTCTAAAGTTATTCTTGAAGGTTGCAAGGAAGAGAGCTAAGTAAATTTGGAAAAGACAGAAGATGTTCATGCCTTTAAGTACTAACATACCGCTTTAAAATTCGCCTAGCTACTGATTTTGAGAGATCACATGGAAAAGCAGTTCTGAAATCTTTCATCCACAATTGAGATGCCCAAAGTATTTCCATCCCTTGGAAAGATCGGCTGCTATATTGTAACAAGAGCATCTGAATTCTTCTCGTGTTTGAATTAGTTAGGATGTCAAATGTCCCTTAGTTCATGTCCCTATTCATCTGCATACTCATTTCACCTCCCACTTGTATCGTAATTAACATACTCTTGTCCATGCATCCACTCATGTTCTTACATCCGCTCATCTCCTTACATCCTCTCATATATCTATCGTTAATGTGTATCATCTATCATCATACTCATGCCCCACAGTATGTTCCATCTCTTCATCATGTTATGTATTCAACATCTCTATAATATCCAGTCTCACATTTGTAAACCAATTCCTCTCAAATCACACGCCCAAGTTCTCGGGGCCGAAGCTATGAGGCAAAAGCTCGTCCAATGTCAAACAAAGAACCTTCTCCCCGTCATTCGAATACATGTATACGGGCACCGTAGCACCAAACTCGCGAATGACTTGGCGGCAAATACCACAGGGGCTAATTGGCTCCGCCTGGTCACTGGAAATGGCAATGGCTTGAATCTTGCGATGTCCTTCCATCACCATTCTCGTTATAGCCGTTCTTTCAGCGCAAATGGCGGCGCCATACAGAGCATTTTCAACGTTGGCTCCTGTAATGACCTGGTCGCCGTCAACAAGCAAAGCACAGCCAACACTGCCGGTTAGTAAATGTCAAAAACACGTTTTTAAAGAAGACTTAAATTGAAACATACCGGAACTTGGAGTATGGCGAGTATGAAAAGTTGCGCGCTGGTGTTAGATGGGCGGTTAAAGGAAAAATCACAAACACGTGTGTTTTTTGGAACGGCAGACATACCTTCTAATGCCTTCTCTTTAAGAATATCAACTTGTTTTGGTGCTAAGGACATTGTTGGTAAGAAGAAGCAGTAGATCGGAATAGATGCGGTGCAAGACCCGTACCGCTCAGCCGTTAGAAAAGTTGTCATGATGCAAGTGTCAAAGAATCCTTTCTGATTTTGTTTTCTTATTTGAGTGTTGTAAACTGTGGAGACTGGAAACTTGGGCTAAAGACGATACTCCTAATCCTGAAAAAGGCTAAAAAGGGTTTCCTATTGCCAATCGGTAAGGTAAAAAAAACCAATGCTCCTACTGTAGTCTTAATCACATTTTGTTGGTGTTACATTGCTCGATAGTTTCATCAGTATTCGAATGTGATTCGTTTTCAAACGCTGAATTGGATTTTTGTCATACGAACTTATGCACTGGCTGCTGAAACAAGACTATGCAAAGAATTTAATACCAGTGTTAGGGTTTGTCTTTTGCCAAGTTATGAATTCTATCGGATTTCTGCCCAAATGTTTGAATTTAGAGCCATAATGCCCAGAATGCCTACCTCTGCTATTACTATAAAAATGGATGCTTTGTAACTCCACTAGGACGAAGCAAAAGGCATTGTTCCGTTGGTAACGAGGAATAGACTTATATATCATGTGGAATTGATATAAATATCTAAGGCTTTTCTCTGTATTACATGGTATTTGACACTTTTCAAGCACGACCTATTCACACAATAAACCATCAGTAGGAAATCTAGGTTCAAACAGTTGTACAGTTGAAAGGCGACAATCATGGAGTTTAATTCAGACAGCTCAGTTCTCGACATTTCCAATAGAATTACAAGAGGTGGGTTTCAAGAGGCTGAAAAGCCAATGTGATAATATCACAATTATAGACAGGTGGGAATTATCTTCAAGATTCTCCCAGTCACCCTATGATCAAAGCTATCAATTAATACAGAGTTTGGGTGACAGTAGTAATAATTTTGGCTTTCCAAACCATTTCGGTCGAGATAAGAGGCCGCAACTGCTTGAATATCGCCTTCGTTATTACTGTATCTAGATAGGAACACTTAGCCATTTGGTGGAGATCCTATATATTCATACACATAGTCTTGCTGCTTCGGTCTTGTGAATAATAGTCTACTTGCCCATTTTCTGTCTTCTTTTCTTCCTACTTGCAGTGTCAAAGACTAATCTTTCAACAATGGACATTGTCTTGTTTCTAAAGTTGGTCCATTGTTCCACTGCGACATGGGCCCTCCTAAATGCTATTTCGCCCTCCAAAATGCAATCTCGCTCTCCTAGTGCAATAATTTCTAATGTCTCGAAGACCTATCCAAACAGAAAACTGATGTAGCAACGGCCAAATATTGGTTGGACAGGTGACTTCAGCTTCCCCACCTGACCCCGCCACTTTCCTCTTGTGGCAAATTCTCAGCCTCATCTAATTTTCCGTGATACGCCATCACGACCAAATAGCGCACCCGTACCTCCCCTATACACCCGTACACCACAAAACCCCTTGCCCATTTCACCACCGGCCCGTAGGACCAGCACTTCCAGCCCGAGCAATCGCCATGACCTCCGCCCAGTTTCAATCGTACGTACAGCCAAAAACTGCTGCCGCCACCGGTCTTCTCCTTCGGCCCTGTGCAATCGAGGTGTGGGTCACGTGCGCATTGTTTCACGTGCCGTGCTACTCCATGACATCATCCAAAGTTCGACTCTTTCCAACCCCATGGCCACGCTTTTCTTCTTGCGACACGGCACCCGTGCAGACCACGCGCCGGCGTCGGACCCGCCGCTTGTCGAAAACGTGCCCGACTACGATCCGCTGGTTGCCCGCAGCGCCCAGGACCAGATGAAAGGCGCCGCCCAACAGATCGCCGGCCATCTTTCCGAGTCTCCACAGGTGTTTATCCACTTCAGCCCGTACCTCCGGTGCTGCCAGTCGGCGGATCTTTTGGCGCTGGCGCTTTTGGGAGCGGCGCCGGCCGCCAAGATCCAGCTTCTCTGCGACTTTGGCCTCTCGGAATGGCTTCACGACAAGATGAAGCACCCGCCGCCGTTTGCGGACTCGACCGAGGCATACAAGATGTACGTGCCCAACGTGCGGCGTCTCCAGAACAAGCGCATGTGTCTGAACTTCCGGCCCACGACCCAGTTGGGACCCTGGAACGAGGCAGGTTTGCTGTATTCCGAGTACCGGGAACGGTGCCAGCGGTACTTTGAGCGCTTGATAGCCACATACGACGCCCAGCCGAACGCTACCATTGTGGTGGTGGGCCATGGTTACGGCGTGACCAACTTTTTGGCATTTTTCCTCCTGCGGCCCGTTTTCGCCGAGTTCCCTGAAGGCGGGATGTGCTGGGCCGCACGAGAAGACGGCGAGTGGCGCTTGAAAGGCGACTGCTTGGGTCTTTTGTCGCCGGACGAGGACGCTGCGCTCAACTTGCATCTGGACATCGTCTACTACAAGACAAACTTTGTCAAGAAAGAAGAGGCCGATGAAGAACGCCAGTTCCCGGCCATTGGCTTTGGCGGGCTCCGGCGCCTGTTTCGTGTTCTGCCGGCGCCTGAAAACGCCCCGAAAAGACCGGGCATCAACCCGCTTTGTCCGTCAGCTCTGTCTTGGACTCCGCAGCAGGCCAATACTTTCCGCATCAAGAGTGAGTTCCGCCTCAAGGCCATGCATGACGACGTTTTCAAACAAGCATTTGACATCACAAACCCGCCCAGCCACCCGGTGACGCCTGAAGTTTCGCCGCTGCTGGCTCCTGCCCGTACAAACTCCACTATTGACTTGGCCAAACTTAACTCGAACGAGGAGATTTTCCGTCCGCTCCGCTTGCGCTACCTGCTGGCGCTGGACATCCCAGTGCACTACTTGAACTACAAGGCCAACCTGAGTGGATCTGTCAATTCCATCAGCTCTGTGTTGAATTCCCGAACCAATTCTGCTTTCAACTCGCATGTCAGTTCTCACGTGAATTTGACCGAAACAGGCTCCGCCTCTCCCGAGGACGTGGGCGAGCTTCCAAATATTAACGATGTCATCAGCAGCTTGGCCCGTGTACGGCTGCTTCAGCGGCGCCGTGCGCTTCTGCCCCAGTTTGGGAAAATCGTTGAACAAGGCGAGGCTGAGGCGAAAAACGAGAGGCTTGACAAGACAGACAAGACAGACAAGACCGAAAAGAATGAAAAGCCCGAAAAGAGGGACAAAAGCGATGGTCGTCTGGAATTTCCACGTTTTGGTTCGCCTGGAAGGCTGGACGTATCTTCGCCTGGCCGTGTCGAAAACCGGCCACGGCGTACGAGCAGCTCTCTTCGGTTTATTCCGACGCTTGAAAAAGCTAAGGTGTTCAACCTTGAATCTGAGTCAAGTGATTCTGAAGATGACAGGCCCGATCTCACGTGGTTCGGCAAAAACCTCGACGGCAGTAATTAGCATCTGGGTTACGCCAATCTTATTCGTGAGGTGCCGAAATAGCACTTCTTTATCTTGTCGCCCCACTAACGGAACATGCATTCGTCTTTGTTGACGTTCGTTCCTTCACCATGCTCTCGCCTATCAATGTTTGTTATCATGGACTTGCTGTCATGATCCCATTCTACTCCTATAAATGTTTCCTTTCATCGCTTACCATGCGCTCAGTCCCTTTGTCTAGCTGCTCGACAGTTTTGGTATTTTTGGGAGAACTGTCACGTTGTCTTACTACAAGTCCGACAGCAAGATACCTCGAGAGTATCCGCTCTGCATCTTAGTACAAGCTGACATTACCGATAGTATCCACTTTGTATGAAGAGGAGTATCTGCTCTGTATCACGTTTGTTCTCCTATGACTGAGAGTATTCACTCTGCATCTTTATCCATTCCACATCATTCCACGCCCTGAATGTAAAGGCCAAACTATTCAACGTCCGTTCTCGCAACGCTTTCATCCAAGATGTTGAATGGGCTAGCCCACACATCAGTTTCATCATATAAGGCTCACATGCCTCCATACCCATTTCTAGAAATACCATGCAATCTGCCCCTCAGTGGGAGGTTTTGCACCGTCGTTGTCTTTTCATGACCAATATACGCATACCATATTTAATACTTTTTCCTCTCTGTCTTCCTTTAACTTTTCAGTATTCTTAGACCATCTTTCATATCTTGGGCTTATCGTCCCACCTGCAGATAAACCCCAAGCTCTATCACTCAAACCACATCAACCAGAAGCCATTCTCCTCTTTTTGGGCCAGCCATGTCTCTTGTTGACTCTTCGGCGCCTATCAGTGAAAGTGTGTCGCATCTGTCAAACACAGCCAATTTTGGTCTTTCCAAGCATCTTACCGTACCAATTTCCATCAAGGTATGCTATCTTCATCCATCAAACACAAACTCGCATAGCGTTGCCTCCAGCTCGCAGAAATACAAGGATGCCTTCGTGTTCCAGAAACTTCTGAACATCAGCATCAATTCAGACTTGTTTTTGCGTGTGCAAGTCTTTGACGAAAACCACAATGCGCTTTCTTTGCCCGTTCAAACACCCTACAAGGCATTTTCCAACAATAAGCGCATATGGGACAGTTCCTTAAAACTTCCCGTCAACTTCAACCAGGTGAGTTACGGGTCATATCTTGAGTTCACGCTTTTGGAGATTGTGCAAACGAAGGAGTGTGTTTTCGGCATGGGCCGATTGTCTTTGTTCAATCATGCGAATAGCACTCTCCGAAAGGGCTCCTACAAGATTGCAATCGGCCCTGAGCCAGGAAAAGTGGACTATTTCGATTCCGAGAGCACCACGGAGCTCGAACGCAGCATTGTCCGCCACGAAAATGGCGATTTTCCTCGTAGTGCTTGGCTAGACTCTCTTACGTTGCCTGTTGTGGATAAATTGAGATCAGAATCTACACCAGCACAAACACAAAACGTTTCAGCTAACAAGGTCGCGCCATACTACCTATACATTGAGCTTCCCAACTTCTCCTTACCCATCGTGTACCTGGACATCACGTATTCTCGGCCGAATGTGTTTTTCCTGACTGATTACATGGACGGGGCCATTCCTGGCACCCCAGGCGTAACGGTTGTCATCAACAGCATAGAAATTAACTCGCCCGGCGGTCTGGATTTTGCCAAAGTTTACGATCCAGACTTCGAGACGGGCACGATCCAGAAATTCAACCATATCGAGCTAGAACAGACCCTGTCGGCCACACCCCGCGGATCGGGTGTGGCAGGGCCCTCTATGGCCGAGATGGATCCAATCGAGCGAAAGTTCCAGACTTTGGCGACAAACATCAACAATACTTCGCTTCTAGATAAAGAGGTCAAACCTTCGCCGCACATGCGAGACGAGCTCTGGAAAATCTTGAAAATGCCATCCAGCGCTGTACTAAGCGACCATGAGAAAAAGCTATTGTGGAAATTCCGCTTCTACTTTTCCAAAAACACTCTTGCTGATGATCTGGGTGCAGCGGCGCCCCTGCAAACAACAAAACATTTCTTGACCAAGTTTCTCAAGTGCTTCAACTGGGAGAACGAGTACGAGCTCGATCACGCATTCCAGGAGATATTTCCTCTTTGGACTGTTGACAAAATTGAGATTGGCGATGCCCTAGAGCTTTTGAGCAACAACTTCGACCCTTACACATTGACCGCAGCCTTGCGGAGGAGAATGGTGGCCACAGTAAACTCCAATGCAAAAGATGTTAATACCAATGAGGAAAAGAAAATTGAGAAGATATTCAAGTATTCCAAACAGCTCCGAATGTTCGCTGTGGACAGAATTCGCTTGGCCAGTCCCGATGAGTTGCTTTTGTACTTGCTTCAGCTTGTGCAAGCGCTCAAATACGAGTCTCTTCTGACTTCGAAAGAAACGCTATTGAGTGAAGCTCCTCTTGCCCAGTTTTTGATAGAGCGATCCGTTGAAAATGGCCACCTAGGCAACTTCTTCTATTGGTATGTCAAAGTGGAAAACGAGGATCAACTTAACAGGACGGGCACACAAAAACCACCGGACAACTCCATCTATTCTGTGGTATTGAACACTTACATTGAGCGCCTCAAGAACCATTGTATCGCCACGAAAAAACCAGAGTACAAGTACTTAAAGAGGCAGATTGCGTTTATTAAGAAGCTCACGAGTCTTGTGGAGTTACTTCGGTCTACATTTAAGAAAAACGAAGCTACAGCAAAGAAAAAACAATTTCTTCAGGAGTACTTGGCGGATAGCTCCAATGAAATGCTCAAGTTTCCTGACCCTTTCCCTCTTCCTTTGGATCCTTCCGTGATGGTTTGCGGATGCTACCCGGCAGACTCTTCTGTTTTTAAAAGTTCCTTGGCTCCGTTGAAGATTGCCCTTAAAACTGTGACAAACCACAAAGAAACCCCACAAGTGTCACAGATCTTTGGCACAAAGAAGAACAAGTACGGAAAGTACTCTCTCATGTTCAAGATTGGCGATGATCTTCGCCAGGACCAGTTGGTGATCCAAATTATCACTTTGATGGACCAGTTGCTCAAAAACGAGAACTTGAACTTGAAGCTTACCCCCTACAAGATTTTGGCCACAAGCCCCATCGCCGGCCTTATTCAGTTTGTACCGAACGAAACGCTTGATGAAGTGCTCTCCAATAATTATCCGGAGCTCGGTCCTCTTTCCAACATTAACTCAAATGGAATCTTGAACTATCTCCGTGTTCATAGTCGCCGGAAAGAAGAAGACGAGCCAGAACAGGGAAGTGCTCCAGATGTAAACAACACAGCCACTAGCTTCCTTCAGCAAAAGTCGACAGTCACTTCCGATTTGGGAGTCTCGCCTACAATAATGGATAATTACGTCAAGTCTTGTGCTGGGTACTGTGTCATCACATACATACTTGGAGTTGGTGACCGGCATTTGGATAATTTGCTTCTTTCACCAAACGGGAAGTTCTGGCACGCCGATTTTGGTTACATTTTAGGGCGTGATCCTAAACCTTTTCCTCCGCTCATGAAATTGCCCATTCAGGTTATTGACGGAATGGGAGGAATGAACCATGAGAATTTCAATATCTTCAAAAGTTACTGTTTCATCACATACACCACTCTCCGCAAAAACAGCAATTTGATTCTTAATTTGTTCCAGTTGATGCTCAACGCCAACATTCCTGATATCCAGATTGATCCAAAGCGGGCTGTGGAAAAGGTTCAGGAGAAGTTTGCCCTTGACATGACAGAAGAAGAAGCCATCTTGCATTTTCAGAATCTCATTATTGACAGTGTCAACGCATTTTTGCCTGTTGTTATTGATACACTTCACAGCTTGGCACAGTATTGGCGAGCATAAAGGGTTCCATATAGTATACATCATAATACAATACAAGATTCCCTGGTGAGATCAAGAAAGTAACCGATCTAGTACGTACAGTTTTAAAAGGCGATTTTTTGGAGAAAAAACGAAGATACTATTATTTGTTTTCCCCTTAGACCAAGCATACCAATGCCTTTAACTCACATAACAATAGGCACCTTAACTAAGGCTTTCTAGCAACTCTTGCCCCAAATGTAGTAGAGTAAGGATCGCATAAAACATTAGTACCGACATTATCACCAGAACATGTCCTTAGGTCCTCGCTCTTATTCAATGGCAACTTTCATACCACAATTATATCTAGCTATCCTTCTTCAAATCTTTTTGTCTTGACCAATCGCGGACGGCACGAACGGCCACGGTAAAAGCAGCGGAAGCCATTGCCCACGGTGGGAAAAGAGCCAATATATGCCACATGGGATGCGGCAATACATCATCAACAGCCTTGTGTACCTCAGTTTTCAACTCCTCAAGAGTTCCATTGTTATAAATTACATAGTCTGCTCTTGCGTCTCGTTCACGAGTTGAAAGCTGACTAGCGACCCTTTTGGCCGCATCCTCCTCGGACAATTCTGGGTTCCGTTTCAAAAGCCTCTCCATCTGAATGTCGTCATTGCATGACACGGTTAATGTCACTCCGCAAATACGATGAAGCCCGGCCTCAAACAAAAGCGGTACGTCAAGAACTGCCGCTCGATATCCCGAAAAGTATAGCCGCAAGATCTGCCAGGCCATCTCACGCTTGACTGCTGCATGGACGATTTTGTTTAGGCGACCTAATCGTTCGGGGTTTCCAAAAACAGCACGGCCAAGTGCCGGACGGTTCAAGGTAGTGTCTTCATTGAGTAAGTCTGGAACATCAGAAAATGCTGAAACCACTTCACGGTAAGCTTTCCGCCCAGGCTCCACAACCTGGCGGGCAATTAGATCAGCATCAATTATGGGGATTCCCAAAGAGGAGATTTCTGACGAAACAGTCGATTTGCCGCTGGCGATACCGCCTGTAAGACCGATAAGAAGCATGGGGTTAAAATGGTTGGGACTGCACAATGTCACACAGTGTACTAATCATCAACGACGGAGTGAAGAAGACAAAGCGACCCAAGGAGAAAAAAAAAATCATGTAGAAGAATGTAAATTAGTCGGAATACTAGCACATTTAAACTGGTTGTCACTCTAGTATGTCAGTCAGTTGTTCTATTCAGCATGACATACTCATGATACCGACATTGTGAAGAGACGCCAATTTTGACTCCTTTTTGGTTGACGAAACTTTCTTCAGGGTAATTTCAATTTCAGCGTTCTGCAAGTCTGGAAGCCATGCCTTGTTTCCCATAAACAAACCAAAAACTCTAGTCTGTGTGGTTTGCATATAAACTGGAATCTCAAGATTCACAGTACATGAGTCCAGAGAATCTTGATTGAGCGGCGCCTACCATCCAAAGTATATCTTCGAAATACCGTACAGCGCTCTATCCATAAGCGTTCAACTTTCTTTACTTAGTCTGTTGCTGTGGCTGTTTCTGGTCCGTCATTTTTCCACCTCAAATCCATCAGCCGATCGAATCACAATTCCAGCTACTCTTCCGACCGCTGCTCTATCCACTGGAACTTCAGTACAACCATTATCCCAGCCTTAACTGATTTCATCTAACGCATCCTTGAGCCATTTGGAAGTCTCCATTGAGTCATCTCTAGGCCATCCTTATATCATTCATAAGTCCATTTTACAGTTCTGATTATCGTTACCCTTCCATGTCTGTTCACATTCTCGGCGCAGGCGCCATGGGCATGCTCGTAGCTCACGAGCTCGCTGTTGCCCGTCAAATGACGCCCACTCTTCTTCTTCGTTCGCGTTCTCGGCTCGAAGCATATAAACTGGCAGGTCTGGCTGTGTCTGTGCTTCGGCGCGACGACTCTGGCGTCTCCACATCCAAAATGGAAATGGGCGCCATATGTAGCCCGCCGCTTGACACTCAGGGTAAACCTGTCCATATCGATAACCTCATTTTGTCGACCAAGGCGCACGTGGCGGTCGATGCTGTGCGGCCCTATGTTCAGAATCTTTCAAGCTCCAGCACGCTTCTTCTTCTCCAGAATGGAATGGGCGTATCTGCTGCGCTCCAGGATGCTCTTTGGCCTCTGCGGCTCAACATGCCGTCTTTTTTCCAAGCAATCAGTACCCACGGAGCATATAAGCCCAACCCAACCACTGTTCATCATGTGGGTCTAGGTTCGCTTGTTATGGCGCCATTGGGGACCGCCCCCGATTCTGCTTCTCCACCGCCTCTTCTTCGTGCGCTTGAGGCATGTCTGGCCCTCCAGGCGCAGTGCATGGCGTTCGAGCCGTTTCTTCTCCGCCAGATGGAGAAGCTCGTGGCCAACGCATGCATAAATCCCCTCACAGCAGTGTTGGACTGCCTAAACGGCGACCTCCTTTATGGCACCAAAATCCCTCCCATCATGAAACGTGTCATTCGCGAGTGTGTGGACTGTTTCCGGGCCGAGTATGCGGTGCTCTCTCGAATCCCAAACGCTCGAACCTATTTGGACCGAGACCGTCTCCTTGCGTCTGTGGTGGAATTGTGTAAAAACACTTCACAAAACAGTCTGTCCATGCGGGAAGACGTACGTCATCTACACCGCACAGAGATTGACTGGATCAACGGGTACATTGTCACATTAGGGTACCGCCATGGGATCCCAACGCCAACAAACCGCATGTTGGTGGAAATGGTCAAAAATAAAGTGGCCATTGAGCAGGCTAAGGAGAATTTGGCGCTCAAGCGTGATCGCTTTTGAGTATAGACACAGAAAGTTAGCATAGTTGTTTGACATGAAGCCGTATTGGCAGAAGTCAGACAGGAAGACCACAATTTCAACGGTTGAGAATTTAGCGGTGTTAACCCACTATTTATAACGACTTTCGTTCAACAGCATTGGTGAAGCATGCAAGGGCTTAATACATTGGCAGGAAACAGCGGATAATAGTGCTGGAAAATGCTGGCGACGCTATCAGGATCATTTCTAATCTGGTCGCCTTCTGTTACCTCGAACATTATTGAGATATAATACACCCAAGAGAAATGGCCACATCTTTATTATGTATCAAGCAATGCTTCTAAGTCATATTCTAACAATGGATAGTTACTTCTATAGCGTCTTCACTCCTTCAAAATAGTCTCAGCGATGGAAACAATGTTTTTGTGCAAAACATTCACAGCCTCTATTCTTCTCGTCGTCTCAGGGTCGTAATTATCTGCTCTATGTAGCCTTCGGCCACTGTCACTTGCCATTTTGTCCAATAATCTCCGTAGTAATACCTTCAGTTGTTTCTCGAAAACCGCTCCATCACTCATTCCTTCCACCAAAGCCTTGAGTTTACGTGATTGTTGAGGTTCGCTTTCTTGAAGGGTGGCTAAAGCAATTTCTGTACGGAATGACATTCCTTCAGTATTGACGGTGTAGTCTCCATAGTATCCCATATCCTTGAGGAACGACACTTGCTCAGGGCGAAGGAGCGGGAGAATGAAATCCGTGATGTCAATATAATTCCATTTGTTATGTGGCAATGTGAAACCATACTCACAGAGAAGAAACTCGTTTGAATGCGGCCCATAACTAAAGTACAATTCTTCTTGCGGCTTGTAGGCTGAAGATGTAAGCACGTGAAATCCATGTGGATCTATCTTGATGCCACATTGGTCCTCATTCAGATGATTTAGGAAATCCACATACGGAGCCATGGTGAAATTGTCACTTGTGTCTTTTGCCTGGGGCATCAGCATATACAAGCAACGGGAGTTAATACACATCCATGCCCAAAGAAAGCTCAGACGCTCAAATGCGGGCACAGATGGTAAATCACAAACAACAGCATAATCTTTCTCAAATCGAGCCACGACTGACTCAGCATGCTTACGAGCAGACCGTGATAGCATTCGCCAAAGATCATCGCAGTGAGGAACTTGCAAAACTTTCCAAACAACGGGGGCTAAGCTCAATTCTTCAATTGATGGGAGCATATCTATGAAGGGCTTCCAGAACGAGGCAGCACCTCGCTCTTTTTCAAGAACCAAATAGATGGCAAGGAGCTGAAAGGACGAGAGTCCAAGTAAGATGTCGAGATCTAATTGTGCATACCAATCGGTGATCTTGTCGGAGGCTGTGCTTGGCACATGGATATGCTGGTAATGAGGCTCGACTAAAGTCACCAGTGGGTTGTGTTTAGTGATATGTGCCACTGCTGTAGTAAAATTTAGAAGGAACGAAACAGGAATCCGAACAAGCTCTTCTTGTGTACCAATATCCGATTCGGCGTAGATACCACGTCCCGAGCCTGGAACATCCCTCACACTAATCTTCGGAGATATAAACGCTCCCGAACCCAGGTTTTCGGTAACATTACCTCCAAGCCATTTAACTAGCGCATCTAGTTTCAAGTCTATATTCTCCATGGTGTGGAGTAAAGTGAAGAGAAGTGTGCAGTTCCTTTTAGCGCGGAGAGGCACCGAACATGGAAGCGGCTGAGATATTCAAGAGTAAAGTAAATCCAGAGGTGAAAGAATTGAAAAAGTTGAAGAGAGAAAATTGGGTTAGTAATGCGGTACTCTTTCAAAGACGGGAATTCTGTGGTTTTAAATACGCGCACGTTTGATTCGTTTTTGCAGCCACAATCTTCTTGAAGAACATAAATAGAGGCGGCTTGCACCGTTTTCGCATTTTTTTTCTTCGTGTCCTTGGCACTGACTGTGCGCACTTAGAAAGGCGCCGCACTAATGCGCACTGATTCTGCGCACTGTTGTTTATAGATTTGGTCGCATTGTTTACCTGCTTCAGCGCGCGTTGACTCTACGCCCTTGGCTTCCCCAGAAGAGACATCTGCGCGCGCGTCCTTAGGCTTACAACACGCATCTCATCCCATCCACAGCATGAAAGTGCTTTGCGTGGCGGAGAAGAACTCCATTGCCAAAGAAGTGGCCAACATTCTCTCTGGCGGCAGCCTGCGCACGCGTGATTCAACATACAAGTTTGTCAAGAACTACGATTTTGTGTACACTTTCCCAGCACTTGGCCGCTGCAATGTCACCATGACCGCAGTCTCGGGCCATATTCTTGGTACAGACTTTGGGCCCGAGTATGCTTGGGGCAAGTGCCCGCCGGGACGCTTGTTTGACGCCCCATTTATCACAAAAGTCTCTCAGGACAAAGACAAGCGCAGTCAGAGAATCCACGATAACATCATCAAAGAAGCGCGTTCCGCAGATCGCTTGATGATCTGGACTGATTGTGATCGTGAAGGTGAGTATATCGGCTGGGAGATCATGCATGTGGCTCAACAACGCAATCCCAGTATCACTTTGGCGAACACATGGCGAGCCCAGTTCTCACATTTGGAGCCATCGCATGTTGTTCACGCCGCTTGCAATCCACTTCAGCTTGACATGAAGCTCGTCGAAGCTGTTGACTGCCGTAAGGAGTTCGATTTACGTGTGGGTACTTCTTTTACGCGTTTTCTTACCAATTTGTACAAAAGCAAAAGCTTGGTAGGCGATAAAGACGTCGTTTCGTATGGTACATGCCAGTTCCCCACACTTAGTTTTGTCGTTGACCGATACTTGCGCGTGCGCAAGTTCAGGCCAGAGCCTTTTTGGTTCATTGATCTAGTTGTGGATCAAAAGAATCAGAAAGTCAGCTTCAGTTGGTCTCGTGGTCACCTTTTCGATAAGGCGTTCGTGTATTTACTTTACGCCCAAATAATGCGTTCAAACTCGCCACCCATTGTGAGCCTGGTTGGAACAAAGCCGACGTCTCACTACCGACCTTTTCCCCTTACTACTGTTGAACTTCAAAAGTGTTGCTCTAGATATTTCCGTATGTCTGCGAAACAGGCTCTAGACGCCGCTGAGCTGCTTTATACGGCTGGATTCATTTCCTATCCAAGAACAGAGACAGACAGTTTCCCTGAAAATATGGACCTCAAATCATACATTACCAAGCAGGCTCAAGATGCACGGTGGGGTCTGTACGCAAATATGCTTACTTCGGAAAACCGCTATCGTCATCCTCGTGGGGGTAAACATGACGATAAGGCGCATCCACCTATTTACCCTGTCAAATACGCTAACATTGACCTGTTACGCGGCGATCAAAAAAAAGTCTATGAGTTTGTGGTCAGACGATTTCTTGCGTGCTGTTCCGATGACGCGAGAGGTTTCCAGACTAAAGTGGAAGTTCAGTGGACCTCCGAAAAATTTTCGGCTAGTGGAGTGCAAGTGACTGAACGCAATTTTCTAGATGTGTACCCGTATACCGACTGGAAGTCATCGGTGCAGCTTCCTGAGTTTCGCAATGGAGAGACGTTGAAAGCACATAGCTGTAAGTTGAAAGAGGGAAAGACTACAGCGCCAAATTACATGACTGAGACAGAACTTATTGCACTTATGGACGCGAATGGCATTGGCACAGATGCTACTATCGCGGAGCATATTGATAAAATCATCACTCGTAATTATATTAGCAGACGAAAACAAGGGAAAAATGAAATTTTCATTCCTACATCACTAGGAATTTCTTTGATCCAAGCCTTTGATGCCATTCTAATTGACCGCATCTCCCTTTCCAAACCATTTTTACGACGCGCCCTCGAAGGTTTTCTACAAAGAATTGCACGAGGAGAAACAACTAAAAACTTGGTTATCCAACAACTCCTCCCGTTGTACAAAGAAGCTTTTCTTGAAAGTAATCAAAAAAGTCGCGTTATACTTGATACCTTCACAGAGACAAATCGCCAGTTGGATAGCGGTGCTCTATGAGGCTAAACTATTACACCTGTACCTCCCATGTGACCATCGTATTTTGTTGACTCGCTGAGTTACTTCACGAGCTAACTTTCGGGCCACATTTAACTATGCTGTCGGGCACGGTGTGCAAATTTTATCAGAAGGGCAACTGTAAGTTCGGATCCAGATGCAAATTTCTTCATGTGGACAATAACAACGGCGCTTCGAACAGAAATGCTTTCAATTCTGGCCCGAGTGGAGGTGGATTAGATACTGAGGAGTACTACCAAATCCGGCTTGATCCAGCTCTCACGGTCTTTAGCAAGGGTGGAAAAGATGGTGCTAATCTCATCTCGGGAAGAGATATGTCGCCAGAGGAGCTAAGGTTACAGTATTTGGAAGCTGCAAGTACCAACAAACTAGAGGAGTATAATCGCATGATTGACCTCCGAAAAAGGGACATGGCCTACTGTTTTGACTACTTAAAGAGCCATTCTAACGAAGCCCTGATGTATCTGCAAGGAAATGCAAACCCATTCATTCCACTCACGGTGGAAGCCAGCATGCAACAATTAGCGAATCAGAATACCGGTTTTTCCAACTCTGCCAATGGCTTCGGGTCGAGCGGGTTCGGATCTAGCGCATTTGGAGCTAACAACGCATCTCCCTTCGGAAATTCTGGTACTTCCGCATTTGGAGCACCTTCAAAATCTGCCTTTGGCACAAATGGAAGCTCCTCATTTGGTGCTGCTAACAGCTCTCCATTTGGCAACGCTACTAATTCTGCATTCGGCAATTCCACTAATTCTGCATTTGGGAATTCATCTAATTCTGCATTTGGCAACTCCACTAATTCTGCATTTGGGGGCTCCAACAACTCTGCATTTGGCGCATCCAACAACTCTGCATTCGGTTCGGCAAGCGGATCCAATTCTACCTCTGCATTTGGTTCAGCTGGATTCGGAGGAAACACCAACGCAAATTCTAACTCTGCGTTTGGGTCCACTGGCTTTGGTTCTAAGGCGACTGGTGGTGCTTTTGGAGGACAACTGGGCTTCGGATCTGCGGGCTTTGGTCTGGGGAACAACCTGTCTTCAACACCACTGACTCTTAATACAGGAACTGGAGCAGCATCAGCATTTGGTTCTACTGGGTTTGGTTCTTCAGGATTTGGTTCTGCACCCAAGGCAAGCACTGGGTTTGGATCCAGCGGTTTCGGTTCCAGTGGTTTTGGCTCGAGTGGCTTTGGTCAAAGTGGTTTTGGTCAGAGTAGTTTTGGCCAAAGCAATCCCCAAAATGCCGCTCTGGGCACATTTGGTCAAAATTCAAGCACAGGGCAAAGTGGATCAGCCTTTGGTTCGAGCGGCTTTGGGGCCGCCAACCAAAGTGCGTCGCAGAATCCATTTGGCTCCAGCGGAAATTCATTTGGCCAGTCTACCGTGTTTGGTCAAAACAACTCCGCTCAAACCACATCATCTGCATTTGGTCAGAACATTTCGTCCGGTCAGAACAATACATCTGCATTCGGTCAGAATACGTCCGGCCAGAGTGGTACCTCTACGTTTGGCCAAAATGGTGCATCTGCATTCGGTCAGAGTACATCTACGTTTGGTCAGAACACAACAGCGTCGCCGTTTGGAGGCACCTCTTTTGGTTCGCAAAGTAATGGAAACACGTTTGGAGCTAACAATAACACGACTGGCTTTGGGGCAAGTGGGCTTGGTAATCAGGGCACGCAAAGTTCGGGCCCTGGTTTAAACAGTGCAGCCGCAGACTTGAAGGAGCTTGAACAGTATGACCCAGAAGTTTCAAAAGCATTCCTAGCAACACAATTCACCTTGGGAAAAGTCCCCGATGTGCCACCTCCTCCACAATGCTGCTAAAAGGGCGGCACTGCTGTATTGTGTGGGCAATAACATTTAATATAATGCCAAACACGCCTAGTATATATATTTCCTGCATCGAATATAAGACTTACATCTCGATGCCACTCTTCTTCCTCTAGTGGCATGATTTGCGTCGAGTGCAATAATCCCGGAATCGACTGTCTCTACTCCGAGTTCAAAAGCAAATATATTAAGCTAACAATATGCCCGAAATGTGGACAGTTGGCCGACAAGTATATCGAGTTTGATAACGTGATCATTTTTTTGGACGTGTTACTTCTCGAAAAACAAGCATACAGACACTTGGCGTACAATAAGGTGGAGACTGCCATTTTCGGCCAGGATCCTCCTCAATACAGAAAGATCGTGCGCTATGTCGTTCTTCTGGTCCTTTTCGAGGTGTATCTAACGTGGGCCTACGAAGAAAAGAAAGAGCACTCGAGCATGCTCATGTCTCGGGTTTTATCCATGCCCGTGGCATTGCAATACGCTTTTTTCATAATCCACCAGATGATCGAACAAGGAATGATGTTTTTCATGCTATACATTATTTTCACCAAGTTATTCCTGTGGGGAAACACACGCAACCAAAACTTGACTGACGCTCACCAAAAACCATATTACATGTGTGTTTTGCTAGTCACATTTCTTTTGTCGACTGCCGTGCGCTGCTTGCCCATCATTATGTTGATCTGGCCCTACGACAATGCGCTGGTCGCATCTGGCGCAGTCAATATCTTGGTGTTTTTTTGCATGGTGGAGGGTTTGCGAATTAACACTGGCCGGTCTTATCTGGCCGTTTTCTTTGCTGTTGCAGCTGCCCTTACTCTTCTGGTCACGGCAAAGGAGACTTCAATGTGTTTTTGGGTTTCTTTAGCGTCTCTGACCCCAGTAAAGACTCTATTAAAAAGTGAATGGAGCTTGTATGTGGAGAAGGTATTCAATGGGTGGAGCCTAATCCAAGCTGCATTAAATCCTTGAGTTTTGGTTGATCCGATAATCCAAGCTGCACTAAATCCTTGGGTATGGGTTGAACCGATTTTATATCTGTTGGTTCATCGATATTCTCGCGCTAGGAGCCTTTGAACTAGACATATTTAGTGCAGATCTTGTCATTCACATTGCGATTAAATATTAAATGCTTTACCGTACTTGGCTAATTAATTCCGCAATCTATCCTGATTATCTGTAACGAGTGTTTTTTTTTCTTTCTCTCTAATCTTTCTTAGTTTCAAACTCTTTACTCAAACATCGGAACTTGCTTTCGAACAGTGGTTCCATCAGGCCCCATGAGCAAAACCTCGTCGTGATCAATAGCCAACATGGGTCCATCCAAATCTTTGACCAAGTTAGGATACTCGTACGTTTGATTGTTTTCACGGCGCTCATCTAGCGTTTGCTGGCGAGTTGCTGTAGACATTGGAAGCAAACCTTCCTCGTCGTCTGTGGTGAAAGGAAGTTCGTTATTGTCGATGGAACGCAAGGCAATGAAAGTGGAAAGTGGAATGTAGTGTTCATGGAAGTACCAGAGCACGAACACGGTTAGAAGAGGAAGCGGTATCACGGCCAGCGCACAAGCGTATGCCTTTTCTGAAGCCAAAGTTCCAAACATGGTGATGTGGAAAATCACTAGTCCAAGCGTAACTCTACGCACCACCAATGGCCAAACTTTACCTGTGTTATGGGGAGGGTGTACACACGCATAGAGAAGCTGGTACTTGAACACAAAATAACCTATGAGAAAGTAAAGAAGACCGGCGGTGAGAATTTTTGTGGAGATGACCGAGTATGTTATGGTGATGATCAAAATGAGAATGGGCTGTGGAAGCTGGAGACCAAAGTTGAAGACAGGCGGCTTGTAGAGACCAAGATAATCTCTTGGTGTTTTACACCAGAACCAATTGCCAATAGAATACTTTAAGAGATTTCCAAGGAGCAAGAGTTTGTATGGAAAAATGCCTATGCCTTGAAGGATGATCAAGTCGACGTAGAACAAACTGAGTTCCTTGAGCGATTTGGCCAATTGATATGCCAATTGGGTCGTATCACTGAGGGAAGCTGTTCCGAAAAGCGTAAACACCAAAAACAAGTTGACGAAAATGTAGAAAAAATTCTTTGACACTGATGACAATTCCTCGTCTCCATGTGACGTGTAGCCCTGTCGTTTAGTGATCCATATGTAAAAGTATGGCATCACAATATTAAAAATGGTAAACACGTATGGGGGTAAGATGCCTGTAATTAAGTTTTCGGCCCATTTGTGGTCTTTCAAAAACGCTCCGAGCCGTGGGGATACTTTGGATATGGTTTTGATGTTGAGGAAATTTGTCAAGAAAATGACAGGAAAAACCAACAACACCGAAACAAGTCCGATGAACACCATGACCATGAAAATGCGCAGGTTTCTTTCTTTCCTCGTCAAACACAAGTTTTTCCATATGATATCATGTGGCGCAGGTGCCAAGCTTGTGATTAGATGGTTTACCTTCGGATCAAGGACAGCTTGCGCTAACATCTGCGCTTGAGCAACGGAATGCATGGTAATAAACGCTGTAGAGCTGGGTGGAAACTCTCGAAGCCTTTGTTTTCGAATTTCTGCATCTATAGTCTCGAGTTTTTCATTGTAGAAGTTGATGGCATCAACTTGCGGTCCGCAGAAGCCAAACCAGCCCTTTCGTATTTGCGGCCGTAAGCTCACATCGTCCATAAGTGGAGGCAGGCTCGATGACTCTCGGTATGGCTCAAAGCGCTCGGATATCTCGTCAATGATAGAGGCTGAAGTCGATCGTGGAGGACTAACCTGGTCACCCCAATTTGGCTCGTCAGAATAAGCATCCAAAGGGCTTGCAAAGAAATTTTGAGCGTCGCTCTCTCTGAACACGTTTTCTGACCTATCCTGTCTTTCTATTTCGTCGTCGCCTCCTTCTTGCTCTCTTCCAGCTCGCTCTCCCATGTGAAAAGAATCACCGACCGACGATCGGAGCCGGGACGTGCTCATATCCACAACGTTATCCATGCCAAGACGGGCAAAATACTTCATCCACAGCTTCTCCAATTCCCGAAGAACCCGCCGCCGCATGCGGAAAAGGCGATTAAGCATATTCCATTCCTTCACCACAATCACACTATCCACCTGGCCCACGCCAAGTGAGTTGATGTGCCTTTTCAAGGCTTCTTCTTCGCGAAGATATGGCGGGATACCCAGAAGCTTTATCGTTCTGTCTGTGATGGAGTTCTGTTGGCCCAAGTACCGCTGGCGCATATCAATAATCTTTGCCAGCTGGCGGAAAAGAAAATAGAGCACAACAAACGTGAACACATATGTGAAGACCGTGTACATCCAGAGAAAGGGCTCGAACTTGCGATGGTCCTTGCTCAGCAGACCGTATTGTGCAACTTCTGCCTCGTCTGGGAAATCCACCCGGCCCGTGAACTTGTAACGAACGGGAGAAATCACCGTAAGCGCAAAGAGAACACACACGGCCAAGGCCCGAATGGACATTTTGAAAAACCCAAGCACAACCACAGCGTCTAGCCCAGCAAGTTCCAACACCTGGGCTTCGTTTATTCGGAAAACGACAGGAATCCAGCCCAACAACGAGTTCGGGAGGGGCGGAAGCTTTTGGCGCAGAAAGCTGTGTACGTATTTCAGGTTGGCATGCGTGGTATTGGCGGAATAGATCCTGGGATACTTTTTCCGAAGAACACAGAAGACAGAGAAGGCAGCAAGACCTAGAAAAAGGGCGATTGCAACCTGGACACGTGCGATCCGGGTTCCGACTCTGTACCCGTGGCCGTTTTTTATGGGATCGTAAACGGGCTGCAGCCCGTTGGTAGAAAATCCGTCCATGAGTTAGAAGTGTAGTAGTATCGTATAGATAGCCGGTATCTGAGATGTAAGGGTGTGGGGCATGGGCCTCTATAGATAAGAGAACGCAGAGGTGAACAAATAAACAAGGTAGATAACGGAAAGGAAGGATTTAGGGGAAGATTTTGGGCAGGTAATTGGGGAGGAATGATAAATTTCTGGCACTTTCGTTTCAAATTGAAAGAATGGTGATTATATGGAAGCGCGGTCTTATCTGCCTACGGTGATAGTATGCTACCAAAGCACCAGATGATGCTTTTTCGCCTTTTTGCTTCAAGATTTTAGGCGTTGAATGTCATGGGAAGAAGATACCTATATTTGTCATTCAAGTTAGTGTGCTTGACGTTGTTATTTACATTGTGAGCATTTTGGCAATTTGAAATTGCTTTGTAACTCAAAGTTCTTGCTATAAAGAGATGGGTACTTGACCTCTGTTGGAGTACAGAGGTGGTTGGACAAACTTGGACATAACCATTGCAATCTTGGGCGATTGTACTTCGTTTGAATCAAACGAGTGATAAAATATGCAAATTTTTCAATGTTCGTGGTTCAATGCTGTTTCACGGGCTGTTTTCTGCTTGGATTTGACTCACGCTATAGATTTTTGTAGCTACACTTGATTAGCATTTTTATTGGAAGACCTTTGTACGGATGTGTTTGGGATCAACTTCACGCAAATATAGCCAAAAATCATAAACTGCGAAACCAAAGTGAACCCAAATTGTGAAGACAGATTATGAACACAAGTTTGCGTGACAATATTGTAAACTTGAGAAGATTCTCTTGCTGGTTTAAGTAAGCATCTATTAAAGAGTTGCTTTCTTTCTTTTCTATACATAGTGTGGTCTTGGGTGCAACTTCTCTCCTGCACACTTACTCACATACATATCTAAACACACTTTGATCTTCATGTCTGCCACTTACATCGAAATCAAAAAGTTCATAGATGACCAGATCAAGATCCTAAATACACCGCTTCGATTGGACGATGAAATGCGCTCGATTGCGGCGCGGCATAATCTCAGTGAGGAGAAAGTCTCTAGTCTATTGTTCAAGTGCAACCTTCGCCTCAAGAGACATTATCGAAGCGCCTTTAACAAGCAGGTGGTGCACCAAATCGTGCAGCAGATCGTGAAAAGCGAAAACGAGAAGCTTCTTGAAGTCAATGAGCGTTTGTCTCGGATCCAGAGCTTGGTTCAGCCCATTATCCTTCCAGATTTCCAGAAAGTGGGAAGTGTCAAGGATAGAGTTCGTTTGGCCAACGAGTTGGCTCATGAACTACCTGAACCAGCATACTTGTTTGCAATCTATGACTCTGCAGCCGCAAATGATTCCAGGACCCCGGAGACTGAAAACCTCCGAACAGAATCTGGTTTAGTACGAGATAATGAAGAGATGGTGGGTGAAACTCCAGGCTCAGAAATTCCAGCTGCAAGTGAGGAAAGTACAAACGAAGCTTCAAGGCAAAACGATGCTGGTGAAAATGTTGAATTCACAGAGACACACCAAGCGGTGTTGAACGAGATCAGTAATAACGCGATGACCCAAGACTTGAAAGAAAAATACACTCGTCTCCGAGCTGAATTGCTCCAGATCAACGGCGAGCTCATGTACAAGTTGCAAAAGACAGACTATCTTGAGAAACTCGAGCGAAAAATGAACTTTTTGGGCCCAACCAAAGCGGAAGAATATCTTGACAGCGACGTGGAGGAAACAGAAACCATTTCAGAGGAAAAGGGCGAGTTACTGGCCCAGATCTCTCGGTTTAACATACTAGTCGAGAAATTGGAGTTTGTGATGGGCTAAAAGAGTAGACTGCTATTCAACCTCATTGAAAAACTATTTATCCAGAGATATGTTGGGCTCCTTTGAACGTGCCTTATGCGGCGCCATGGATCTGCCAACAGGATTTAATAACTTTTTAAACGTTAATGCCAAAAAAGTAATTGCATTTGGTGGTTGGGATTTTTCTACTGACCCTACTTACGAATTGAAGTTTCATTACTTGAGCTCCGATATCGGAGGATCACTATAAGCACATCCTATTAATCAGCCATAAAAGGCTGTCTGTGAGTTGAATTGCGAGATGGCTAATAAGCTGTACACAACACCACAAAGCTGTTAAGTGTCTTCGGTTATGACGGAGTGAGAAACTATACATAGATGAATAATGAACGAAAGATGAACGAAAGATGAACGAAAGGAAACCATCGTCAAGTACGCAAACAGTCAAACACAAATTGTGAATTCCGAGTACTCTAGATATGCCAGTCGACTCTGCGTGGATGTGTCTTCCCTCTTCCACATTTCGTTGAAACATTCAGTGTCCTCCATTTTAAGCTTACTCATTACTCTTTCGAGCACTACAATCATTGATTAGGAAGTGTATTATACTACAGGCAGAGCCTGGATGAGCTAACTTTTGACAGAATGCAGAAACACGTTTAGTCGAACAAACCGAAACCCATGTCGTCGTCAGACTCTTCCTTGGCCTCTTCCTCCTTCTCCTCAGCAGCAGCCTCGGTAGAACCAGAAGCAGCAGCAGCAGAACCGGAAGAAGCAGCAGCAGCACCGCCAGTTGGAACGGAAGCCAACTTGGTGTTACCTTCAGCAATCAACTCTTCGATGGTCTTGTCCTTCAATTCACCCAACAAGGTGGAGATTCTAGACTCTTCAACTTCAACACCAACGGTCTCCAACAAAGCGGAGATGTCAGAAGCAGATGGGGAGGTGTTACCACCTTGAACCAACAACAAGTAAGCAGCCAAGTACTTCATTTCAGAATAATCAGTTTAAGCGGAAAAGTGCAGACTATCCTTTGGAGATAAAAAGAAGAAAAAGGTGTCTACGCGCAGCCGAAAATTTTTTTGCACGAGGACAGTTGATGATGGTGTACGGGTGTAGTTGCAAAATGTTCTCTCCACAGACAGAAATGGTCACAGACAGAACGGATGCTAAACCGGATGGTTGATTTCCTTTCATTAAGGAGAGAATACGTTTCTAGCTGCTCCAGAGTACATCGAAGAGCTTGTGGGGGGAAGTAGTGGCCGGTACCAGTCACTACTAGATCACGTGACTTAGGGTTCCAGACATACGCCCGATCCCACTGCCACCAGGCTAGCTGCTACCGGGGACCGGCTCCACCTTCTAGCTCTCTCAGTGAGAGTAGGCTAATAGACCGAAAACTCTCCTTCCATTGCTGAGCGTGTGCATTGAAGATTGGGTGCTGAAAAACAGCCGTCACATTGAGCACGTGACCTCTGGCCATCTTCTACTGGAGACGTGTAGGTGAGAGGCGCACACCCGTGCCTCCTAAGCCATTTAGCTTCTATTGCTTGTTAAATGCGCAGTCTCATCACGTGCGCAGTAAATGCACTATCTGCAGTGCTTGCACCGTTCCCTCCGCGCAGTCTCTCCTCTGGCAAAATTTTCACCACAAAAAAAAACTCGATTGAATATTCTTTACAAGTACAAACCATATACAACCATGGCTGAGACTGCTGACAAGAGAAAGAGAACTTTCAAGACTTTCTCCTTCAAGGGTGTTGACCTCCAAAAATTGTTGGAGTTGGAGACTGAAGAATTCACCAAGCTCTGTGGTGCTAGAGTCAGAAGAAGATTCTCCAGAGGTTTGGGCTCCAAGCCAATGGGTTTGATTGCCAAGTTGAGAGCTGCTAAGTTGGCTGCTCCAGCTAACGAGAAGCCTGCTGTTGTCAAGACCCACTTGAGAAACATGATTGTTGTTCCAGAAATGATTGGTTCTTTGGTTGGTGTCTACAACGGTAAGGTTTTCAACACCGTTGAGATCAAGCCAGAGATGGTTGGCCACTACTTGGGTGAGTTCTCCATCACTTACACTCCTGTCAGACACGGTAGAGCCGGTAACGCTTCTTCCAGATTCATTCCATTGAAATAAGCGGGTTCCGATCATACATAGTATAATAATATTGCTACGAACATGGTGTAGGCAATGGCGCAATCAGCGTGACGATTGGGTTGAGGTTTACTGATTGTTGTCTCTTATTTCTGTCTATAATATTTGAGTCTCTTGATGCCCTGGAATTTAAGATGGCTGGACTTTTGTCCCGAGATCTATGACGGGTCTGTCTAGTCTGTCTAGAGTCTGTATGGTCTGCCTAGGGTCCGTATTAGAGCCTGCCTAGGGTCCGTATTAGAGTCTGTCTAGAGTCTGTCTAGAGTCTTCTAGTCTGTCTAGTATGTGTCTGTCTAGTCTTCTAGTCTGTCGACTCTGTCTAAGTCTGTCTAGTCTGTCTTCCGTAGTCTGTCTAAGTCATTTGAGAAGTATCTTTGACAAACTCGAGCAACAGTGTTCCAATGCCTTCGGTACTCATTATACAAGGCAAGCAGGATCTCACAAAGCTAACTGTGGTCACTATATATTCCGCCGGAATGCAAAGCGAATCATTAACAAACCAAAGTAGTATCTGCACAAAAACCCGCACACAGATGGTTGAAAAAAACCGCACCAAAGAGTCATAGTTCATATCTGTCAACCACAGCATGGCCAAACCATAAACTCAATCGTGCCGTCTCGTTGCTAAGCCCCTTGACACAAAAAAGATCATAAAAAAAAAAAGAAACAAAAATAAACAAAAAGCGCTCACCGAAAACAACTCAAGCAAACTTCCCTTGAATTATTGCCCGCAAGCCCGCATCTCGAGCCAGCTATATAAATACCGCGCGGCCCCCACAGAATTTCGCACCGTTTTCTATGGACCCCGCCAGAGAAGTGGCATACGGCGCCGCCGCAGGTTGTCTAGGCAAACTAGTGGAGTTCCCGTTCGACACGGTCAAGGTGCGGCTCCAGGCCAGCGTCTCGAGCCACGCCACGCTTGCCACCATCGCCAACATCTACCGCCACGAAGGCATTTCGGGCGGGTTTTACAAAGGTGTGCGTGCGCCGCTTGTGGGCGCCTGCGCGGAAAGCGCGGTGCTTTTTTGCGGCTTCCTGTGGGCGCAGAAGATGCTCGCCGCGCACACGCTGCTCGAGCGCGACTCGGTGCTTTCGGCGGCCGCCGCAGGCCTGTTTGCAGGTTTCGCCGCGGCCTTTGTGTTGACGCCCGTGGAGTTGGTCAAGTGCCGCCTCCAGGTGGCCAACGTGCAGCCGCAAAACGCACAGAATGCCCACGTGGCCCCGACCATGGGCCTGGCGCATTTGCAGCCACATTTGCAGCCAAATCTGGCGCTGGTAACCTCGGCTGCACACGGCGCCAAGCCCGCGTCCTACGGCTCCGTGTTGCTTCTGGTGGTGCGCCGCCACGGCGTGCGCGGCCTCTGGCACGGGCTTGGGTCGACGCTCGCGCGAGAAATGGTCGGCACCGCCGTGTGGTTTGCCAGTTTTGAGGCGGCCGCCCGCGCGTTGCGCCAGCTCCGCCCGCAAGCCGAGAAAACCAACTTGCTTATCAGCGGAGCCACCGCCGGCGTGGCCTTCCATCTTGTGGTGTATCCGGTCGACACCATCAAGCTGAACATACAGACGCATGAAGGCGAGCGCCTTTCGACGCGCGCGGCTGCGGCCCAAATATTGGCGCGCCCAGGCGGCGCCTCCAACTTGTACCGCGGCCTCGGCATCACCTTGTGCCGCTCGATTCCAGCGAACGCGGCCATTTTCTTCACCTACGAGTGGTTGAAGCAGAATTATTAGAGGCATGAGGTGAGATTATGCGTGCAATGTGCATCTTCTGACTCCGTGCCATCCTCGCATTTGGTTTATTTATTTGGCAATCTTTACTTTTTTTATAGTGAACAACGCATGTCCCACAACTACTGTAATTCTTTACATCATCATAATATAACTTTTATTTGCTGATCAGCCCGTATTGTTTATTCTTTGTGTGTGTTATTCGTTTGGTTCGTTTGTTGTATCGTTTGATTCCTGAATCGTTTGGTTTGGTTCTGGTTTGTTCGTCGTTCGCTATTTCGTCATTCGTTCGTTGTTGTTGATCTTTCCATCTCCTAAAACACGTTGGCTGCCGCTGCAAGATCATCTGCATTGATCAAGTCGCATCCTAGCTCCCAAAGTACCTGCCAGTGGTTATCGCGTACATGAATAGGCCAATCAACTCCACCCCAGATTCTCGTTTTTATGCCCACACTATGCGCACGTTCAAAATACTTCTTTAACGTTTCGCCTTGGCTCTTGTTCAAACCCAGCCTTTCCGCACGCAGCCGCTCCTCCTTTCCGAGAAGCTGTTCCAAAGATGCGCTGGCAAATACACATTGGCGTGCATACTTGGCCATATCTTCGTCACTAGCGTCGAGCATTTTGTGAAGCGGGCAGTCTCCGTAAACGTATCTTTTGGTTTTTTCTGCCTCGAGAAGTTCCCACGGAACGTTGCCCGTTAAAGTAATCACCAATGGTCCCGGTTTATGTTGGCCCGCTTCATTGTCATAATACCCCAAGTACGAGTGTTTAATAAACCGCTCGAGTCGCTTCTGCACCTGGACATAAAGGTCGCGGCCCTCGGTTTTGAAGTCTAGCCAGAAGTACAACGGTATCTCTGGCGCATTGTAGAAGACGCTGAAAGGAACATCCTTGGAGACTGGATCTGAGAATTTCTTGTTGGCACTTTCCATAAACTTGTAGATGGGATCAAAGTATAAATGCTCAAGTGTATTCTCAGGGTGCAAAAATATCCGGTTATGACCAACATACACCTCTGACTTGCGGAATTGCGCCGTTGTAGATGTTGTTGTATCTGTCACAGTGTAGTCGTGGTCAAAATGCCAAATGTCTCCTTCCACACTGACACATCCATGCAGCAAAGCATCAAGAAGCGGCCGTTGGCGCCAATAATCATTGTGCGAGTGTATTGGTTTCAAGTGAACATCTCGCGTGAGGCTCTCGATTGTGGGAGGAGGTTCAGGCTTATCATAATGAGGCCTAAAAACGTTAATCATAGTATTGTTTGGGAAATCAATGAGCGTTTAGAAAGAATCGTGTTCGTTCATAAAGTCGCATGTACTACACATGGCCGTACCCCACGTGAATGAGTCAATACATCACGTTTTCAGGTACGGATTCAGACTCCGGTACATCTCTGTGTTCATGTGCAACTATAAGTTGCGCATAACTTCTCCCAATAGATCGCGGACTTTCTCGAGGTTCAGAATGGTATTGGGATCTAGGCCTCTGTGACGGTCAGCCAGAAAACGGAAGCGGAGGAATTCGCCAACTCTCTCAAAATCACGTAGGAGCTCTTCTTGTGAAAAGTGATCACTCACACGAGGAGGCACTTTGAAAGGTAAGACCTTTAAGACATTGCTATGCCGTATTCTCACCTCCAATTTGTCCTCTTTACTTTTCATTTCCACCAACATACTTAAAACCACCAAGCTCGGTAATACACAGACAAGGAGATAAGCAATTTTAACGCTGAAATCACTTGCCTTAAGCCACGCTGTTTCACCCTTCGTTATGAGATCAGGATTATCAAACCAATCACATGTGTTGTCTGTAGATGTCACTCCAAAAAGAACTGAATATCGCTTTCCTGGTGCACTAGGTAATATTCCGGCGTAGACATTGATGAGGTCAAGTACGCATATGGCGTTCCTAACCAACTCGCTAAGACATAACCAAGAGAATTCATCTAACTCTTCGATGCGCGAGGAGATATCTTCCGGACGGATCAAAGTGTTGAGAGCAATCGATTTAACTCTTGGGATAAAGTCATTTCCATCATCCCCAAACGGCTTCTGTCTAGTTCCAGATCCCATCAAGTCATCGAAAGCGAGAACATCCCGAAGAATAAAGCAGCGCTGCATTATATTCAGATAGAGGACCATAAAAGTAGAAATATGGAAACTTGAGTTCAAGATGACCACATCTTCTTTTATAAAATGGCACCTAGTTTTCAAGAAGTTTTCAAACTCCTTATCCTCAATCAACTGAGGTCGCTTAGAATCGCTGGACGCAATGCTATCCATTGACCTTTCTAAAATCAGCGCTGCTTTGATCACAGAAACTGAATCCTCGCAGACACCTTTCGTAAGGTCGCTCCATGTTAACCGAGTCTGTGTACATCCCTTCAAGTAACACTCATTGGAGATGGGGAAAGGAAGCCTCGAATTTGAAAAGCCATAAATTTTCGACGCAGTGAATAGGTTGTTACTTCTCATCATTTGAATGTTAGAATAAGGTCTGCCTTGATGTAAGCGGAAAACGACCATTCCAACCCAGTAGATCCAGACCATGCGAATGGTGGACTCAATTTCAAACCTTTTTCTCTCGTTCAAGTTTGTGCTACTCAGAAGGGTTTCCAAGTAGTGGTTACTCTGAATCAACTCATGGATTTTGTCACGAATATCCACAGAGTGTTTCTGGCTTGTTTTTATCACCGTGGTTTCACGAATAAGCGTGTAACACAAGAGCATACCGAAGTCATTCAAGTTGTCCCAATACTGGTACATTTTTTCCACCCAGTAAGACTCATTCTGCTCAAAGGGCCAGTCTCCACGTAGACATACGTTAGCAATTATGGCGTGAATGATGGAGCTATCCAATTTGAGCGATAAGCGCTTCAAAAAGAACTGTTTTCCGGGCAAAACCTGCTGGTTGGGCTGCACATACTCGTAGTACACGTCAAGAACACGGTTCAATACTGGCCAAGGCGGAAGACCAAAGTTTTCGAGCTCAGCTGCTGAGAAATAAGCCACAGGATCTGGTGACGACCTTTCCAAAACTAGCTTACGTACGGACAGCAGCTGCTTTGCCATAGGGTCTGGTAACTGTGGTGTGTGTTTCGCTTCTGGGGCCAGATTCAGCCACAGCCGCGATGAGAGGCGATCGAACGAGCGGTAGTCAGGTGCTCGTAGTCCCATCGATGAGTGTGACAGCCCCAGGCTGTGCGAGTAAGGTAACCTGCGAGAGTAAAGGTCATTCTGCGGTGGATACAACGGCTGCGGGATTTGCAGAGCAGAAATCACCAGTGCAGGTGCTGGCGGAGGAGGCATTGTATGTGGGCCATAGTAATACCCCATTTGCGGTGTAGGCGAGCCTTGCAAATGTGCTCCTGGCAGAGGAGCCGCTCCTGGCGGGGAATAATACATTGGCGGGCCGTAGTGACCCGCATAGGGCGGCGTATAAATAACTGGTTGAGAGGGCAAGTGGGGCGGTGCCAACTGCAGTTCCCGGGCACGGCGAGCGTGGAGGTCAAAGTAGTCGTTGCTGTGGGGTGCCCGTCTGTACGGATCTGCAAAAGACACCAGCAGAAGCGTGGGTGACGGAAGACGCGTACGAGCCGGATCCTCGAATGACAGACGCAGCAGGAAGCTGGGCGATGCGGGCGTGGCCGTGGTACAAGGGGCTGTAGTAAACGGAGTCTGTTCTTGCAGCACGGCTGGCACCGTTCGCTGCGGCTTGGGTGGTTCTGCGTCTTCAGGTTTGGACTGGCCGTTTGGCAGCCATTCGGCTTCGCTAGGCGCCAGAGGCCGTAGCGGCCGTTGTTTCTCGGAAGTAGCGACAGACGATCTTTTCTTGCGGCGTCCGCCCCGCATACTCTGGACAAATTTGCATCTCGTGCCGGCCATGCGGCAGTTGGAGCATATCACTGAGCGGTTGCCAGTGTCATGAGCCTGAAGCCGAAGAGCTTCGCCGTCGCACTTGATTTTTTTCTCACGGCACGAAAGACATGCCCGTCGAGCCACAAGTCTTTTGGACTCTGTGTCGTTTTCTGATTGGCTCTTGAGCATAGTTCACTGTCTTATGGTGTTTATCAGCAGACTTTGAGGTGGAGTTTGTGGCACGACTTGCTTATTCTGGGTCTGCTTCTGGATGTAGCTGGCGTTTGTACTTGTGAGTGGTGTGTTTGTACTTGTGAGAGGTGGGAATAGCTCGAGTTGTTTGTCTTGGGATCGCGGGGAGAATACGCCACCTCTTTGTTGGAATATGTTCAAGATTCTATCGAGGCGTTGCTAACCTTAGTGGCTTTTATTTGGATTCTCCGCTTGCTTTGGTGTAGTAAACCTGCCAATGGAGGTCGCCTGGATGCTGATACTCAGTCTGGTAATGTTCACTATCGGAGCTCAGGTGGCCCACTGCTAGAACAATATGATATCTGTGAATCGGGTGTTACCTTGCAGAAGTCTCGTCAAAGAAGCAGACAGCGGCTCTTGTACGAAACTATATAGAAAACAAGAAAGAACGGCGGAACAGAAAATAAGCGAAGATGGTGCATTTAAAAGGGCGCACCGCCGCATCTCGCGAAAAATTACGAGTAAGGGCCCTTAATCCATGCGGTTCAACAAGAGGAAATAAAACCGACAAGTCTCGATTGATTGGGGTTACAGGCTGAAAATCGATTCTTTGACAGAAGTTGGCTGGAGAGATATCTTTTATAAAAAAGATTTCTGTTCATTACTGCGTGAGAGACGTTGGAGGCGCAAAGTTCTACATGGAAGTGCCCCGCCCACAATGGTTTTAGATTGACAGGATTATCTTAAGATCCCAGCTCTTGTAAAAGCACCTGATTTGGGGCAAAAATGTACCAGATGGTATTTCCGAGAGAGTAAAGCAAAAGAGAAATCTTGCCTGGGTGCCCGGTCCATCATAGCCTAGACCCTGTTCAGAATAGATTCCGGCGAGAATAAAAAAATCTAAAAATAAAAATGCAAAAACTAAAAGTAGGAACATCAAAAGAAAAAAGTTTGCACGTTTGCCAAGCACATCTGAGTGTCCACAGTACTGACGTGGTGGGCTGGTGGACCGATTTTCTACGGTAATGACTTCCTTAAAACATCGACTAGCAAAACATTCGTGACAGGAAATGGTTCGGCCATGGGTCAAGAAGCAGTGTTGTGCTAAATGATAGGCCATCAGTAGCAAAGATCTTTACGTCATTTGAAGACCAGAATACATTACATCTATATTCAAATCCACCGAAGCATGACCTCCACAGTGTGCTATTCTACACATGCCTCACACGCTTAGACACGAAGCTTCCGTCTCAAGCGGACACCTTGGAGAAGTTGCACTAATCTCACACTTCCACCAAACAACTGTTCCTTGAAGTAAAACAAAAAGGCCGCCATCAAAATGGACTGCGACAACTTGACACCAAGACCACGGTACAAGCCGTCAACGCCTTCCTCGGCCACAATCTTACGGAGCTGTTGCACCATCGAAAGCGAGCGGCCGCTTTGTTGAGCGTCATTCTTTTTCACGTGCATCCGTGACTTCAACGTGATGTATGGGTAGGTGATGGTGGTGGCCACCAACTTCCCCAACGCACCAATGAAGAACGCCTTTGTGGCTGTAAAAGCCTTGATGCCTTGTGTGGCCACCACCACGTTTTTCACCTGCTCGAAAATCGTGTACTGGATGATCGGGTTGATCACCAATACGAGCGCCGGCAAAACGCCAGCGAACAACGTCTTGACCCCGTCCTTTTCGGCAATTTCCAAAATGGTGCGCAACGTCAGCTGGCTCTTGCTATCCTGGTCCTTGGCCTTAACCAACAGTCTCGTGTTGGCGACCCAGACCGGATTGGTGAGGCATACAGTGATGGCCCCAGCAACGGCGCCTGTAGCCATCGATTGAAGAGTGGTTAATCCCTTCTTCTTGCGTCCTCCGCTGGCCCGGAGGAAAGCGTTGGAGGTGAACTCGTAAAAATAGTAGTAAATGAAATTGCTGAACGTGACACCATACACAGCGCTTTCAAGCCCCGAGTAGAAGCCTGCAACACCTTTTGTCCGCAAGATTTCCTTCGCCGCCTCCAAAGTGCTGGCGTTTCCGCTTTCGGCAAGCTTTGCCTTGACCGCTTTCACGATTTCATCTTCGTTCTCATTGGCCGTTTTCAGTTCTGTCTGTTGGCCCAGCTCGCTTTCGTCGCTGCCTTTCTCTTCCACTTCTTTCTCCTTCAACTTCTGCGTGGTTTGGGCCAAAGTCGCCAATGTCACCAAGGGATACGATACTATCATAGATAAGGCGCCTCCTCCAGCGCCCGAAAGGGCGTGGGCAAATTCACTATTAGACATGGGTCTCGGTTGAAGAAGAATAGATTTGAGAGAGGAAAACAAACGGAGCTCTGATAATTCACGTGGATTGTGGGGTGCATAGGGTGATCCGAGGCCGAGACTCCATGTAGGAGGGGTGCGGGACGCATGAAGATGCCGAACCGTCCATTGTTATCGTACTCTGAGTCGGAGTGTCTTTTCTCTCGAGCTTGAAATGGAAGAGAAATGAGACTGGTTCTTACGGTTGCACTAGTATTTTTAGGCTCGATCGCGGCGGCTCAAACTGTGGAATTCAGGTTTCGTTTGGTCCAATAAGACTGATATCTATCATGTTGGAAGATGGTGCGATTATTCAATATGCACTTTAGATCGACTTTTATTTAGGTTTGTTTGTTTGTTGTGGTTCTGTTGTACGTTCGTGGTTCGTTTGTTCGTTTGTTCGTTAGTTGTAAAGTTTGTCTGATGAGCGATCCATTTGATTAGGATGCATTCTATCGATGTGTAAAAAGATGTCTCAGAACAAGGGTATCTCGCTTCACCTGAAGGGAGTTACATATATGTAACCGAACAATGGAAGATTACACTAAGTATAAAGACCCTTAGATGTAGTGATCACTGGTTTCGACTAAATGAGTAGCATCCAGACTCAATGTAACATGTTGAAGATCAGTCGCAAGAGATGAAACAAAGTACTCACTAAATGTGAATTGAGCCACTATGACAAGCTAATGCCATTCCTCGGGAGAGATGCTAGTGTGTTTTTGCGTCGCTATAATGGTGGTGAGAGAAATGGCCTTCAGGCATGAGTTACAAGGAGGTTCGGCAAACTGATGTTCTGGGCTATGCGTTGTTCCTTAAGTTAGAGCCGTGGCATCATCTCTACCTTCCAATGTTCATGCGAGTTTCCGTTGCTTCAATGCTCGTTTCTCCAACCTCGATCTCATACATTCAGTCAATCACACTAGGCTGGCCACCTGGTTGTGTTCATGATCTATAATCCTACCTTTGTAGTAATCCTTCTCTTTCTACCTTTGCAGTAATCCTTCTCTTTCATGCCCTGCCTTTCCGCCTACGCTTTCTTCCTCATTCTTGTATTCTCCCGCTGATTCTATGTACATGCTAAGCTACAAGCTCTGCCGTGATCGCTTCGAGCGAGCGGCTGCCCAGAAGCAACTTCTCCCGGATAAACTCCTCGGCCTTTTTCTTGCCGTGGGCAAATGCCACAGCACCCACCAACGCATACATGACCTGTGCGCTGACTTTCAACTCGCCGCTCTTTTCGAAGCTCAACAGCGAGTTGTACGACTTCCAGAACATCACCGAGTTCAACTTGGAGCTCTGGGCAAAAACGCCAAGCGCCATGCGGCCAGAAAGCTCCTTGGCCATGGGGCTGCCCAAAACATCCAAGTTCTTGCCTGCCACCGCTAGTTCGTTGGTCGTAGGTCCCTCAACCACATGTTTGGCCAAGAACAAATTGAGCACTTTTGCGCCCATAGCACTCAACTTTTCGTTGTAAGGTTTGATTCCGTTGGCAAACGACTTGTGTGTGAGCACCTGCAACGCCATCTCGTCGGGAATGGCATACTTGGCGTCCAAAAAGTTTTTCACGGGCGCCAAGTTCTCTTTACTTGCGCCGTAACTGTGGCCAGAAGACGACTTCAAGACCTCTTCCGGACTTCTGCGGATACCGGCGATGCGCGGGCCCGTGTGAAGATAGATGGATCTGGAAAAAATCCGGGCCGGAGGCATTTTCATGGTGGAGTTGGAAGTTGGAGACTTAAAAAATTTGTGCGCGCGTGCAGTTCTTTGCACTAGTACTTTTTTGCTTCATCTCATCTGACGCCAGACATCATGGACATTTTCCGAATCTTGTCGCGGGGAGCGGCGCTTAAAACAAGCAAAAAGGCCACCTCTGACTTTGGTGGCCAGAAAGAACAAAAGAAAGATATCAAGGCCGAGGTGGATCGGGAAACCAACTTCTTTCGCCATAGAAGCGATGCGCGAGCAGAGGATAAAGACAGAGACAGTGAGAAAGAACAAAAGAGCGGGATCGATGGTAAAAAGGACGCCTCAGCTAAGAGCGAAAACAATAACGACAGTGACAGCGAAGAGGAGAACGAGGGCGAAAGCGAAGGCAGTGTCACCATTTCTACACCTGCGGAAGCGGCTGCGTTCCGTCGTCGGAGCCATTCGAAAGTCTCTGGACACGATGTTCCGCTTCCCATTGGTCTGTTTCACGACTTGCAGCTGCGGTTTTCCATGAATAAACATCTCTTGCGAAACCTTCTTGAGGCGGACTTTATCGAACCTACAGTGGTGCAATGTGAGGCTATCCCTATAGCTTTGCATCGCCGCGACTTAATTGCATGTGCCCCTACGGGTCTGGGAAAAACAGTGGCGTTTTTGCTTCCAATGGTCCAACTTCTAGTAGAGGCAAATCTCAGCAAGAACCCTGGCGTGCGTGGGCTTGTTCTTGCTCCCACAAACGAGTTGGCGCTGCAGATCCATGTCCAGTTGCAACAGCTCACTCGGGGATTCAAGAGTGTTACGCTGGCTCTCTTGTCTCGCCAATTGGCCACTCGTTTGTCCGATAAAATTGTGTCTGGAGAAAAATATTCCGTTATTGTTTCTACGCCGCTCCGGCTTCTTGACATGGTTCAAGGCGGCCACTTAGATCTTTCGACGGTGGAGCAGCTTGTGATCGATGAGGCTGACCGTATGTTCGACCGAGGCTTTGTTGAGCAGACAGATGCGCTTTTGGCTGCGCTCTCCAACGCTAAGTTGCGCACATCCATCTTCTCTGCTACAATCCCAGCCAAGGTGGAAGAGTTAGCCAACTCCATCATGCGTGACCCTGTGAGGGTTATTGTGGGCCACAAGGAAGCTGCATCGTCTCTGATTGACCAAAAGTTAGTGTTTACTGGATCGGAGGACGGTAAGCTTCTTGCAGTGCGTCAGATGATCCAACAGGGTGAGTTTAAGCCACCGGTGATCATTTTCTTGCAGTCGATTACCCGTGCTAAGGCCTTATTCCATGAGTTGGTCTATGACCGGTTGAATGTGGATGTTATCCATGCGGAAAGAACGCCCGCACAAAGGGATGAAGTGATTCGCCGGTTCAAAAACGGTGACATTTGGGTTTTGATCACCACAGACGTACTCGCAAGAGGTGTGGATTTTAAAGGTGTTAATCTAGTCATTAATTATGACGTGCCCCAAACTGCCCAAGCATATGTGCATCGTATTGGACGTACGGGTCGTGGTGGAAAACCGGGAAAAGCAGTGACGTTTTTCACGAAAGAGGATACTTTGGCTGTGAGGCCTGTGGTCAATGTCATGAAACAATCTGGATGTGAAGCGGGCTACGGTTCTTGGATGGAACACTTGAGTCGTTTGTCAGCTTCCGACAGACGCCATCTTCGGAGAAGTGAGCCAGAGCGGGCGCAGATCAGTACCGTTCCCAAGGTTGTGAAACAGAAGAGAAAGAGAAAGCAAGAAATGATTGAGGCGTCGAAACGGAGAAACGGGCAGCAGTGAGCAAGCATGGGCTAATAGACTGGGTAATACATGACAAAAGTAAGTTAATGTGAGAGCAGACTGCCAAATATAGACAAAAATGTAGAGAAAGAGGAACCACCATGCGTGTGACGCAAGAAGAACAAGATTCGACTACAAAGAGCGGATCAGAAGCATGAGGAAAGCCGCAACGTCAAAAGGAATGTTCAACATCTGACATCAATGTGTTGGTACCAAGCTCCGTCGAGAGTTCAAACCGTCTACAAACTGAGTTCTGTTCACTCAATCCAGTATACATTTTATTCACAGTAGTTGTACACTTTCCGGGAGAATATATAACGTACGTCCTTCGTATGCAAGCGCACACACGTCTAGTGGTGCTCGGCGTGGCCAACGGCTGGGTAGCCGAAGATGGATCTTCTGCCGATGATTTCACCCACAGAGAAAAAGGCCAAACAGTGGATACCGTAGACAGCAGCCTTGGTGACGGTAGCCTTGTCAGCTTGCACGCCACTCAACTTCTTGAGGAGCTGCTTCTGCTCGTTAGTGCTCTTCAACACATTGAACCACGACTGGTAGGTCTGCTTGAATTGCGCTTGCGATGGTGGAGCCAAACCTTCAGACTTGTAAACGGTCTTGGCAATCTCACCAGTAACCTTTCCCCAGTAGACGGCGCAGTTGGCGAGTTGTGTAGATTTGGCAACGGCAGAGTTGACGAGACCGGTGGCCTTGTTGATGATGGCAGACATGGTTAAGTTTGTGAACTGGGTTTTTTTCAGAAATTTCGGTGCGGAAGTGGGTGTGTGAGCCAATGGGCGCGCTACTTTATGGTGTGTGCAGGTATGAGCACCCAGAACCAGTATAGCCTAGACAAGAATAGTGAGTTGGTGAATGTGGAGAACAATAGAGTTGACGAGAAATTTTTGTGTAAATTTTAGATTCGAAATAAAAAGTCCAGCGAGTTTGAGGTACCCAGGCTGGCAAAAACTTTGCTATAGAAACCCGAGTTAATTTCTCGTGTCTGGCCCTCGCAGTACTTGGTAGTGCAATCACGTTCTACCAAAAGGATCGTAGAGGTGGATACATAGTGAATATTTTGCAAAGCGCTAGATAAACCAAACTTCGGCATTCCACGTAACCGCTATTCAAAGCACTCTTCTTGCATGTTCTTACACTTCACTTTGGCTACTTTCTTGTAATTGTCCTTCGCTAACCATAGTAATAGTTCACCGAAGGACAGGTGTTTTTGGTCAGGTCTAGTGCTCCTGGTCTGCTCTCTAAAGGTGCATCGCGCTGAACCGGTCCGGCCAGATCATGGGCGCAACAAGGCTCCAGCCATAAAGCACATAGCACACCCAGGAGCTGATGATCTTGACCCAACTCGAAAAATAAGTCCGGCCTACCGGTATAAAGTCGCCCACATCGTCCTGCTTGACGTTAATTGTCAAAAGCGTGGATATGTACTGGGTGGCCAAGAAAAAGATAATATGGAATATCGTGTAGTTGTACGATTCCAGCTCTTTTTCTTTGCCTCGCAGTTCATCTTCGTCGTACAAGGAAACCTGGTTGAGTGCGCTCTGTGGCAACAGTCCTTCGTCAACCGCTTGTTTGATTGCCTGGTATCTCATTTGTGCTCTTTCACTCGGCTGTGCATCTATTTTCGGCGCCTGTTCCTCCTCAAAAAACGTCAGGTTGGCTGCGCGTGTCGTAGTGTATGCCAATGCCACAAACGTGAACAATGCACCCATGATCACACTCAACGTACGTGTTCCGCGGGAACGTACTAGAGGATTGCACATCTTATCATCTGGCTCCGAAACAACAGCACTAAGCACCAAGTAAGTACAATACAACACGACCATGGACGCCTGCGCCAAGCCAGCGTTTGGATTCAGTTCTTGGATGCTTTGATTGACAGACGCTACCGAAATCACAACTGCGAGCACCAAGTTGATGGAGATTGCGGTCTGGTTCATAGAGCAGCCCTTGGCAGCAAAGAAAATGTACATGATGACTGTCAACACAATGCTGCACACGTACATGGCCAACGTGCCTCCCACGAGTAGTTTTTTCCACAAGCCCGCATTGTACTCGCCTTCTCCTGTCAACTCTTCCAATTCGATTTTCTCGAGGCACGTTTCGGCCCAAGCGTGGGCAAAATCCACTAATAAGATCAAGCCAACACCAAGGAAGGCAGTCGAAAATATGAGCGCGATATGGTTGCCGTAGAAAATGAAAAAGCTATCGGGAATCACCACAAAGTTTATGGCCAAAAGAGCGGCCCACGCAAAAAGCTTCACTTTCCAGCATCCGTTCTGGACAACAAGCCGCACATGACTGGCCGGCCGCTTATAAATAAACATCGCCGCCAAGATGAGGTGGACTGTTCCTAGTGCCAAGTTTATACGATGCACAGAGCTGAAGCCGATACAGTTTTTTCCGTCGGGACCACACAGGTAGTTTATAAATCCGAAGGACATCTTTTCGATCTTGTGCACGATGAATGGTGACATGGCGACCCACAGCATAAGGGAGTTGACCATCAAAACAAAAGCGTATGTCAAGCGGGTCATGATGGCTGAAGGAATCGTCCCGTCGATTGAGTTGCAGAAATGGAAGCAAGTGATTGCGCCGCAAATAGATGTAATTGCGCCCGTGCTCACACAAGGCAAGGAAATTAGAGCTCCCATAGTCTAGCTTTGTGATTGTCGAGTTTTAGGGAAGGATCGATGTACGGGTGTATTGGGCGCAAGCACACCCGTACATCAGGAATCAAATCGTATCTGGAGAATGTGTGTATGTAGGTCTGTTTATCTTGAAACTGTACCAGTAAATTAGGCTGATACGTTTCGGACCTTTCTAAGAGTATTCTTGTTCTGAAGTCCATTGCTCCTAGATATTTGGTGGCTGTATTGGACTTTGCGCCATAACGTTCGGGTTGAAGCCGACAATTATAAAGAGTATATTTCACAGACCTAGAGGCTGTCAGCGAACAAAAGGTCTAATATTGTAGTGATATGCTACGTTCATTGAGCGATAGTCATGTGAAGCTATGCACTTTCTGTCTTCGAAGGTGATAAGGCTTGAAAAGACTTGTCTTCAGTCAAGACAAACACTTTCAAAACTTAGTATTCTTTATTGTAGGTTGATGAAACACGTAGGTCATTTACCTTCTTCTCTGACTAGTGTTTAGTAATTTGCAAAGACACATTTTGTGAAATTCGCCAAGTCTGACTTGCGCACTACAATATTCACAATCCGAGAGAGATTCAGACTCAGAACTCTAGCGCAAATCGCAAATAAAAAATCAACCAAACACGTACACACATAAATCTCTTTGTATCCCGATGAATCTTTACCTAATATCCTCTGACAGCCCACTAAAAATGCAAACTTTCCCTAAATCTTTACTTGTATTGACGTATGCCATGGGTGTGCATATACGACAATACTCCATCGCTCTGATACATCTTCATCTATAGTCTGTGAAATCTAGGTTTCTTGCCAACTTGTCATTTTGCACGAAAACAGAAAACCAAATGTCATTTCGGAAAAGAAACGAAATTGTTGGGCGGGCACCCACTACGCGGCCTCTCACGCGTGCTCCAGCACGTTCTCCTGTTCCAACATCCGTTTCGCCAAAACCACAAAAACCTGAACTGACTGTAGGCGTGATTCCATCTCCTGTGACATCTCAGCCCACAGTTTCTACCGGGTGTGCTGATTTGGACAAGATCTTGCACCACATGGGGCTTCCTTTGGGAAACACTTTGTTATTGGAAGAGTCGGGGACTACAGACTTCACGTCAGTCTTGCTACGAGGATTTGCTGCGCAAGGAGTGATGCACAACCGCGTGGAAAAGGGCAAGCTAGCATGTCACGTGGTGGTCGTCGGCCCTCCTGCTGCTTGGGCTGTCGATCTTCCCGGAGAGTACAAGGGCCTGTCGAAAGAACAGAAGCAAGCACGCATAGCCGCCGAAAAGGCTCGTGTCAGCGTGGCAAACATGGCAGATAGCGACTTGAAGATCGCATGGAGGTACGGTCTCCGCCCGCAAGGCGAGAGTACGTCGGAGACTGAAAACGGCGTCAATGAACATTATTCCACACAGTTTGACATCACACATCGGCTTGTGCCCGCGGCCAGCAGTACTGACATATCGTTTGTGCCGCTTTCGGGATCGTATGGCTCTGTGATGGCGCAGATTTCACACATTGTCGAGAGCCACCTGCGACAGCAAAAAGTGGTTCGAATTGTTCTTCCTGGCTTTCTCAATCCGCTGATGTATCTGGCCTCTTGGTCGTCACCCAGCGTGGTGATCCCTTTTTTCCATCTGTTGCGAGCACTTGTGACAAACCTGCCTCGCGTCGTTCTCGCCGCTTCACTTCCTCTTGACTTGTATCCACGACATGGAATCCTCACGCAAGTGTTTGAGAGTTTGGCAGACGGAGTCATTCACTTGCAGCCTTTCAATGCTGAATTGGCAGCTTTGGTCGAGCGGGCATACAAAAACCAGCCGGCAAAGATCCAGCAAGGTTTGGTGCATGTGATCAAGGTGCCTGTGCTATCTGCTCGGGGTATGATGATGGTCCGGAACGGAGAGTATGCGTTCAAGAATGGGCGGAAGAAATTTGAAATCGAAGAGTGGGGCATTCCGGTGGAGGACGAAGAGCCAGAGAAGGAGATGGACTTCTGAGCATATTTGTGAATTTCAAGGTTGTTGGAACTCTCGCATGTAACTTTGATTGTTTCACACTTTTGCATAATGACTACAACTAACCATGCTTTCTACATATGGACACGACTGAAGAAACAATTAACATATTTAATGCTCTACAGTAGACAGCAATTTTCGCCACTCCAACGTAAACGAACAACAGGCGCTATTTCACTTTTTGTCTTTTGCTTGTTCTATAAGCCACGCAACGTCTTTCTGCAACGACTGAATGCTTCTCCGCATTTGAGCCATTTCATCTGCCAATTCTTGTTGCAGAAGCTTCATGTCACGGAGTGACGTCGCTGTTGATGCAAATGTACTAGCCACTCTATCCACCAGCTCAACTAAAGTATGTAAGGTCAGATCGGCCAGCTCCGGCGGCAGGTTCTCGAATCGAGCCATTTTGTGCGGCAGAAGACTTCGCCGAGAGCTTGTAGAACCTTCAAGGTCTGTCCGGGACGCCCTTGGGCTCACCAGCCGGGGTCTTTTTGCGCTCTCAAGCTCGCTGATTTGCTTTCTTCGGAGCGGCGAGCCTGAACGACGAACAGGAGAGAGGCGCAAAAGATCTGGCGCTCCCTCCGGCGCAAGGCGGCCAGCACCTTGTATTGTGGGGTCTGGAGCGGAGATTTGGGCCATGGAAGAAATGTGGTGTATGTTAAAACAGATGCAGGCAAATCAACATACGACAATGGAGAGGCTGACACTCAAATTGGCTGAGACACTCAAATTGGCTGAGGAAAAGAGCCAATGCTTTCGCTTTGGTGGTACAATAATCAAAGAGACAAGTATTGAAGGATAATGTTGGAATCGAGTAAAAAGCACCGAACAAGTTCTGCAGTCCAAGCCTTAAGCACCAAGTAGTCAAGAATGAATGCAGGGCCAACAGCGACTTCGAAGATTGAATGTGGGTTTCCAATTGTTTTCTATAACCCACTGCCAAACATCGAGCACGAATAGATCGCTCCGTCCCAAAAAGGCTAGCAAGACCACTGGACTAGACGATCACAATTTTACGTATGATCGGGGAGGCTAGATCACATTGCAGTCGCTTGCGTCATTGTCAAAGGAGATTATTGTTTTCAAAACCGCCATGGCTAACTGTGTTTCTGATGACTTGTGTGTTTCTGATTACTTGTTGTGTTTCTCATTACTTATTGTGTTCGCCATTTATACTGTTTGTCTATTCAAGCTGCTCTGTATTCTCAGGTCGCAGAAACACTCGATTTGGCAGATTCGACTTGGGTAAATAGAGCCCGCATCAGCGCGTTATCCTGCACGCTGCACATAATTTACCGCATTGGGCACCGCGCACTACACTAACGTTTTCTTCTTCCTTTTCTCGTTCCTTCTTCTACTTCTTTTCCAGCTTTCACCTTCTCCATCTTTTGTCATGTCGCTGTCCCCCGTACGCAGTCTGCGTGACTCTGCGTCGCAGTCGCAGTCGCAGCCGGTGCCTTCGTCGCCGCTTTTCTTCGCTCTGTCGTCCGATCCCCCATCAGAATCTTCCAAAAGAGAAATCTCGTCTCCGCTCCATTACACGCTGTCCAGCCGTGCTGCTGGCCTGTCCAGGGGCCACTTGGGCCTGTCGCAGCCTGACCTCCCTTCAGAAGACCGGATCACGCGCCGGCCCGCGCGGTCCGACTTGAACTCTGACGTGTTGGCTACTCCAGTGAAGCGGCGTATGTTTGCCACGTCGCTGGATCCAGTGGAGGGAGACGCCGACGCCGAACCCGTGCGGGTCATTTGGGGTACAAACGTGTCGATCCAGGACTGCAGCAACGCGTTCAGGGACTTTTTGATGTCCTTCAAAATGAAGCACCGTCGTATCATGGACGGCCAGCCTGTAGAGCCAGAGGACCTGCAGCTCTACTATGTGGGCCAGCTTACGGCCATGAAAGACTTGGGAACGACAAACTTGAATTTGGACGCTGCCAATTTGTTGGCCTACCCGCCCACGAAAAAGTTATATTACCAGCTCATCAATTACCCACAGGAAGTGATTCCCATTATGGACCAGACAGTCAAGGACTGCTTGGTTTCGCTTTTCCTGGAGCTGGCAGCTGTGGTTGCTGTGGACGCCATTGAGACCAACATCTACACCATTCGGCCTTACAACATCAATGCCGTGAAAAAGGGCATGCGTGAGCTCAATCCCAACGACATTGACAAGCTTGTGTCGGTCAAAGGTCTTGTTTTACGTGCTAGTGCCATTGTTCCCGACATGAAAGTGGCCTTCTTCAAATGCAGCGCCTGTGATCATACTCTAGCTGTGGAAATAGACCGCGGTGTGATCTCCGAACCTACAAAGTGCCCGCGTGCGGTTTGTGGCCAGGTCAATTCCATGGCCTTGGTGCATAACCGTCTGTCTTTCGCTGACAAGCAGGTCGTCAAGTTGCAAGAGACTCCCGACATGGTTCCTGCGGGTCAGACACCACATTCCGTCAATTTGTGCGTATACGATGAGTTGGTGGACACTTGCCGTGCTGGTGACCGTGTCGAAGTGTGTGGAATTTTCCGTTCGTTGCCTGTTCGTGTCAATGCTCGGCAAAGAGCAGTCAAGAGTTTGTACAAGACATACTTGGACGTTGTTCATGTTCAGAAAATCGATGCCCGCCGTTTGGGCGTTGACCTGCTGACGGCTCCACCGCAAGACGCCCATGAAGTTGAACAGCGTCGTGTTTTAAGCCCCGAGGATATTGAGCGTGTGCGTGAGATCTCTCAACGGGACGACTTGTACGAGGTCTTGGCCCGTTCTCTTGCGCCATCCGTGTACGAGATGGACGATGTGAAGAAGGGCATTTTACTTCAGTTGTTTGGCGGAACAAACAAACAGTTCCGCAACGGTGGCCGTTATAGAGGCGATATCAATGTCCTTCTTTGTGGTGACCCATCCACGTCGAAATCGCAGATTTTACAGTACGTGCACAAGATTGCTCCGCGAGGAATCTACACGTCGGGTAAAGGTTCGTCTGCCGTCGGTTTGACCGCTTATATTACCCGTGACATTGACACAAAACAGCTAGTGTTGGAGTCTGGGGCCTTGGTTTTGTCCGATGGTGGTGTATGTTGTATCGACGAGTTTGACAAGATGAGTGATGCCACCCGGTCTGTCTTGCACGAAGTGATGGAGCAACAGACTATTTCCATTGCCAAAGCAGGAATTATCACCACATTGAATGCTCGTACGGCCATTTTAGCCCTGGCGAACCCAATCAACTCTCGTTATGATCCCCGCTTGCCTGTCACAGCCAACATTGATCTCCCGCCCCCATTGTTATCTCGTTTTGATCTTGTCTACTTGATCTTAGACAAAGTGGATGAATCTATTGATCGTCACCTCGCGCGCCATATCACGGACATGTACTTGGAGGACGAGCCTGAGTCTGTTTCTGCACACGCCGTTTTACCTGTAGAGACTTTGAGCATCTACATTCAATATGCTAAGGAGAATGTTCACCCACAAATCACAGCCGAAAGTAAAGCTGAGTTGGTGCGGGCTTACGTGGATATGAGGCGTTTGGGTGATGACGCTCGTGCAGCCGACAAGCGCATTACTGCTACTACAAGACAACTCGAGTCGATGATCCGTTTATCTGAAGCCCATGCGAAAATGCGTCTTTCTCCACGTGTGGAACTCGTTGATGTAAAAGAGGCGGTACGTTTGATCAAATCAGCCATCAAAGATTATGCCACGGACCCTATCACCGGCCGCATTGATATGGATATGGTCCAAACAGGTACAACCATGGCACAGCGGCGTATGCAAGAAGATTTGGCACATGAGGTGCTTGCGTTGCTCGACTCTCCAATTCGCTTTTCCGATTTGGTTACGCGAATCAACGAAAAGCTGTCTGTCCGTGTTGAGAATGCTGATCTTAATGAGTGTCTCCGGAGATTACAACAGGAGGGCAAGATTGTTGAATCAGGTGATACGAACCGGCGAACCATCCGCAAGCTTGCGGTGATTTAGTGGGTATATTGGGGAACTGATGTAATATATGGTAAGATAAATTTATTTTTAATAGAGCCTGCAATAGCTTGTTCGAGTACCGTAGTTTGTAAGGTTAGAAGCGACCAACAAACGATCATAAAGTTACTTGAAGCTGGATATAAGGATAAAGGACGTGTATTATTTGAGACATCAACACTAGTGTGATTTTTGTAACCAAGATAGTTAAACAGAGGGAAAAAGCCCCAATAATCTCGCTAATCCAATTTAACTCGTCATTCGTTTATTATACTGAAGTATGGCATATGAATTACTTACACTTGAGTGAAATTACGAGAAGCTGCTTTTTAAAAGCAAGTTCATGTTCAATAGCCAAAGGAGTCACATTGAAGATTCAAGAGCCATTTCAAGAGAAACCAAACTCGATTTAAATATTGGGCAGTGCAATGAACTTCAGAAGCAATTCCCCCTTTTGAAATCGGCGACATTCCTCCAAGGCGAAGATATGTGCAACTTGTGCTACAAGAACTCTGCCTTTCGTTTCAATCTTTCTTGATCCGCCACGGTCTCTGGTACATGAGTCTCAGGCTCTTCATCAACCTCCTCTGCCATTTGCAAGAACTCCTCAAACTGCTCGTCCAACTCCACATCTGTTACCGAATTATATTTGTTCCTTGTGATAGCATTGGCGATTCTGAGCTCCTGTGCCACATCCACAGGCTCCTTGTTACGTATTTTGGAGGTCACTTCCCGTAGAATGCGAAATTTGGCTTCATATGCGCTGCGTAAAGCTTCTGTTTCCTTGCGGTTTCTTGTGGTTTCCACCACCATCGACCCGAAAAGAAGTGTGAGCAATATGGACTTGAGAACAGGTGTTGCTAGAAGATCTCTGTAAGAGGGTTTCTTTCGTGGTTGGATCGAATACGCCCTGCGTATACTGAGTGGAACTGCTCTAAACATGAAAAGAAGTAGTAGTAGGTTTGGTGATATTAAAGCATGCAGGTCCATACAGATGGATATGGGTACGACAAGAGTCTATTCTGAAACACTCGCTAGAAGAAGTTGACTATCGTACGGATCAGTTCGGATCACAAAACGAGCAGGTTCCAGGGTTTTTCTCTTCGTATTTCCTTCAAAATCTGTCTTGATGTCAGTCCCATAGGAAGTTATCATCGGCAAACTGGTCTGGTTAACATTTCCTACAAAGTGAACAGTATACAATTGGAAGCGGAATTTACCAGAGTGACATAAGGGAATTAACTACTTTGGTGGTTGATGTAGAGTGATGTAGAGCTCTTACACTTTTCAATCAAAAGAGCTTAACAAAGTGCGATGCGATCAAGACAAGAAGCATTCAGTAAAATTGAAAAACTGAAATAAAATTAAAATGCTGGCTTGAATCAACAAAAAGAAATCAACTGCAAATGTTGAACGTTCTAGCACATCAATGCTGATGACTTGGAGCAAACCCAGTAGTTCGCTGCACCTTTACCCTACTTATCTAACAATACTATATAAAGACAGTCCAATTGGGTCGATCAAACTTATCAAACAAACTGGGGCCATAAAAGGTACTTGGGTACCTTACCTCTAACTGGTAGTCTTACCCCAGTTCCAATAGCTTATATATTACGAATTCAATTAGCATGCCACTTTGAAGATAGCGGAGACATTAAACCAAGATGCTCGCAGTCTCATTTTGAAAACTTTGTAGAGTAGAAGTAACATGATGCAGCCTCGGCCTTACAGTAATGAAATACAGACTAACGGAAAAGCCATCTGTCAAATAGCCTCATACACTTTCGCACAGACATATACCTTTAGGTCAAAGCTAACCCACAAACTCCGAAGCAACACCCTTCAATCAGCAATGAATTTTTCGGAAAAATTGCATCCGCTCGTCCTTACCCTCTTTTTCGTCAAATTGTCCGTGGTATTCTTGCCTTCAATCTAGACCCTGGCATCTCGCGTGCAGGCTTGCATCGCTTGACATATTGCGAAGAAGTTCGCTTGGCCAGAAAGAAGCTTCGCTATTCCCCCTCTATGGTATGAGCACGCCAAAAGTCACCTCCATTCTTCTGGTTGCGCTCATCCTGCTTTCGGCGCTCAACTTTATTCTCATATACTACCACTACTTCCTTTTGGTGGTCAAGTCCAATGAGCTGCCCGAAGAACCTCAGATGGAAAACATGCTGGGCCCAGATGGGTTCCACATCCCGCTTCTTACATTTATTCCAGGGGTATCGCCCGTGCTACTGCAACCATGGGTGTTTGCAACGTCAGCATTGATTGAACGCTCCATGCTAGTGCCTGCTGTTTTGGCGATTTTCTCGCTCGGGTCGTTTTTGGAGCTGAGATGGGGGCCGAAAGAGCTCTTGAAGTACATTGCTGTGGTTGGATGCGGGTCCAACATTGTTCTTTATGCATACTACATGGCGAGAATTTGCATCACTGATTTGCAAGGTGAAATTCCGCCCATCAGTTCTTCTGCGGGCATCATAATGGGCTTGCTTGTTGGACTTAAGCAGCGCATCTCCAGTCATTATGTGATTCTTTTCTCGGGCCGTTTCCGCATAAAAGTGGCGTACTTCCCCTTTCTCTTGACCATGGCTTCAGGCTTTTGCGGCTTGTTTTCACGCCACGCCCACATTGTCTTCATGCTCTGCATCACAAGCTTTTTCCTCAGTTGGCTGTACTTGCGGTACTTCAAGTCTTCCTCTAATGAGCGCCACTCATATATTCTCCCAATGCGAAGGACACCAAGTGCCACGCTTGAGTTCGAAGAAAAGACCGTTCGGGGCGATCGGTCAAATCTGTTTGCGCTCGAAACTTTCTTCCCGCGCCCGCTTTCACTTCTCGTGGCCAAAGTTGGCACTTTAGTTTTTCTGTTTATGGTGCAGCGTCACTGGGTGGAGTCCAAAGATTATTTGCTGAGCGAAGAACCCGAGGACGAAATGGCGACGTTGCAGTCTGGTTTATTCAGTTTATCGCCTCTCAAAGGCGCCAAAAACGTGTCGGTTTTTTCCGGTGGCGGATGGTTTTGGGCATGGATTTCTCCCAAAAAGACAGATAGCATCAATGCCAGACGCAAGCTTGCTCTCCGCGAGTTCGAATAACTTGCTCACTCTGCATTTTCCTTTGTGGGTCGTATCGGATCAGATGGTCACATTTCTTTCAAAACGACAATCCTTTCAAAGTGACAGTACTTGGCATTTTCTTCTCTAGCTTTGTCAGGCTGGATGGCTTATATATTATATAGATGCATAGAATTGATAGATGTTGGTGGATACCATTCAAATGTAATAAGAGGGTTGAGGTCAATACTCTATGGATACTCGATTGATACTTATCAACTATAGAAAGCGTTCACTAATTCAGGAAGAAAGTAAAGGGATAGAAGGAGATAATTGTGCGGTACAGTTACAGACTGAAAATACACCTTCTTCATAAATATAGTTATTAGTCCAGAATTGCTACAATTGGCGAAGAAGAATAGTTTCAGTTGTCACCAGAAACTCGGTTTTCATCATTTATTGCGTTGAAGTAGAAACAACCTCAACCTGTTGAGTTACGTGTGCTACTATTGAGATAGATACAAAAAAAAGAAGTGTACTAAATTAGCTTTTCTCATCACTTAGTTTCTTGAAGCCCTTCCCATTACTTCTTTTCAAAGTTCTTGTTCATGATTAATTCTGGCTGATGAAGTCTTATTTCTCAATGATGTTTGTCGTATGCTTTGTGGATTTTACACATGCATTCATCTTCATCATCTATTAATGTGTAGTCGCTATTCACTGGATGCTTATGACACTACCTAAACCTATTTGGCCCCGAATCAGTCATTGGACACAACGGGAATTTGCAGCCTGGCCTTGATGTGAGCCAAAATTAAATCTTCTCGATCATACCAATTGGCTGTATTGCTTGAAATATCATACTTCTCTTCAATGCTGCGTAGTAAGCGCTCAATCTGACGATTATTGTTGAGTAAGAGCCATTCTCGCATGGAAAGTATATACCAAAGTGCACTTTTGCGCTTTCGGGTGAGCCCCTTGAAGCTGGTGTCTGCTTCGCAAGGCAATTTATTTTGGTTGATGTACTCGTCTGACTTTGTGCTCTCTGAAACAGATGTAGTCTCAGTCTTTTCAGTTTCAGATGAGAACGATTTCTTTGTTTCCCCTGCCAGCACTGTTTGCATCGTTTCAACAGCGTCTCTGTATCCATCGGGAACAAAAACGGCTCGGGCTGTTGAATATCCAAGGCGTTCATATAAAATAGCCCTCGACACATGCGGAGAGTCAGAAGAGGCAAGGTAAGCGTCTATCTCTGCCATACATGTGAGAAAGTACCGTTCAATGAGATCTGCCCACCAGTGTGAGAGATTGAACATGACGCTCATATTGAGAAGTAGCTCTGCCACCACCAAATAAGTTTTAATGGCGTATGTGGTCACATTGAACCGCGACTTGAACGTGTATGTCAAGTTGTCAATGTACGGCTCAATAATATCATGACGGATTTTGCGCAAGGTGTTCCTGCTGGGAACTTGAGGCATGACATCAGATGCAAGGGGCTGAGTCTGAGCGAGTAAAAGCGAGATAATGCACATTTCCTGTGCTGCCGCAACATAGAGCCACGCCTTATCATTAGTGTAGTCTTTTTTGATGAGATCATAAGTGGAATAGGCGTACTTGAAATCTTTAAGCATTAGTGACCAATCTGCTAGTTTTCTAATGGACTGCTCAGGTGACAGCCGATAGTAGTAGTTCCCATTATGGTTGTAAGAGCCTGCCAAATGCTGGTCAGCCAGCTCATTGGCGTTGAAGATCTTCCGTGAGACAGAAAAGAAACGGCCCGTGATAGACTTTTTAGGCGCCAACACCAGATCATCCCAAAGCCGGATTTTGCGTTCCATGTGGGGCACCAAAGTTCGCGAGATGAACTCGTGTAGCTTGCTTCGAAGCGTCGAGTCGAGCGTTTTGGGGAGAGTGAGATACTCGTCTTCAGGCATGGAGATGCGCTGCACATCTTCCTCTACGGTAGCATTTTCCACCTTGGACATACGTACATTCTCAGAACAGGCCTGGAACATAGGGATTGTCGATGCAGAAACCGAGAGTGTCAGTCTTATCGCCGCAAGCATGGGAGCCACCAGGTTTTCGTCCGTTGTACGAGTATCATACAACACTATGACATGGACTAGAAGATCGGCCGTCTGGAAATACCGCGGGAAATTGAAGTTGCGGAACTCCACTATAGCCAGCCGAAGCGATTCGACCGAGTCTGTAGCAGCATCGATCACGAAAAGCTGTGCCACGGGATGGTTGAGCGTGTCAAACAGAACTATTCTGTTTGAGGTGATGACTTTCCGAAACATACTCGTGTACAAGTTTTCCGGCGCCTGCGCCTGGTCCTGAGCTCTGTGCTTCATGAGAAGCTCTAATGACGAGAGACTGAAGAGCCCTCGAAGCTTATCGTCTGCCTGATGATGCACCGTCAACAATTCAGACAACAGCGGTTCAAACCGCACAGGAAACAGCCCATACGTGCGTGTAACTAGCTGGGTGTTTGTAATTTTGTATCCCTGGTTCGGGATGCCGTACTTGGCGTTGTTGCCGTAGGGTCTGAAAACCTGGAGCACGGAGGTCAGAGCTGACTGGCATTCGCTCTGGAAAAGCGCATCGGCGCTGTGGGTAGAATGGATCGAGACAAGCGGCAGAAACGTATGCTGGAGCAAAAGTTGCCGAACCGTGGAAGGGTCAACGCCCGGGAACATAGAGACAAGGTGAAAGCGTGAGTCTGAGGTGAGAAATGAAAGTGATGGAGAGACTCGAGTTGGAGTTGGAGAATCGCAAGAAAAAATAAGGACGAGGACACGAGGGAATGGCGTAGTCGTATATGTTCTGGGATGTCCGATTGCCCTTGTTTTCCGGTGACTCTCTTGTCTTTGTCGCCTAGGATTCTCGATCTGATGCGCGAGCCTGCTCTATGCCAGTCTTGGATCAGGAAAGGAAGAGGGCGTGGAGAAAAAAAGAAGCAGTTGGCAAAAGGGGTGTGAAAGAAGCAGAAACGTAATACCAAAGTGAAGAACGGTAAGCTGGCGATAAATGAAAAATTGAGAACCTTTGTTTGCTCGCTATCATGAACTCTACATACTTGTCTGAGGGACACCCTTTGTCTACTTTCTGCTAGAATTGTCCAGTCGTACAGGTAATAGTAGCTAAAAGGTGCGTTCAACGTACTGGTCTGTTAATTACTGTTGAGAAAGTGTACAATGGCATTTCGACAAAGCCCGACAAGGTTTTAGACGCAGTCAGATCGTCAGATTGGCAGACTTGGTTGCCTGCAACCTAAAACTACAAGTAGGATTCAATTGATGTTTCGACTTGCAAAAACATATTTCTCGGCCGTTTAGATAACGGTTGCAAGTAGTCCTCATATATAAATACGCTGTAACCAGTTAGGACTCACTGGAATATTTGGCCGCAACAAAGAAGGCAGAACTTCGTATAATTGGTGTATGTTCGAGTTCATTTGTCTTCCTTCTGTCATGCTAGCAAATTTCCTCAACATCTTTTTCAGATTAGTTCGTCGCCAGCTTGTTCGGAAAGAATGTGTCTTTATGTCCATGTTGGAATTGAAAAATTAAGTTGCTGCGTAGTGACTCTAGACTAAGACGGCCCAGTATCGTCCCGTGTAGCAATCTTTTTCAATTCAATATGCTCGTCACTACTAGCCCATCATTAAGATCTTATAAGATACCTAGAGTACATAATCACTCGTTTGGCCCTATAATTAAGGCTAATAAAAAATGCTTATGGCCATCGTCAATTACGTGAAAATATTCGTATCAGATAACGGCGAAAACTTCGTTCCATTTATGCTGGCCGTGAAGGAGACAATTGCAGTTCAATGACAAAACAGAAGATATGATGTACAACGCAATAGAATCTCCTTACTGATCAACTACTTTGAATACAGTAAGCTTCTTCTTTGACATATGGATCACATACTTCGATGTTCTTGTTCTTAATGTGCTTCCTAACTCTGTAGTGCAATGTCTCTATTAACTGTGTTGACGAACTAACAAACTGTAACTAAAGCATGTGTATTCAGTTGTTGAGTTGGGTTGATATTTGCACAGCTTGAGTCTCTTTAAGAAGTTCATTAAGCTGGTCACATTATGAGTATGTGTAGATCATTGCAAAACGCTTTTTCAAAGATCTGGGCCCAGACGCAATTAGTACTCCACTTTCTCGTAATCAAACCCCCATCAGCTCTGTTCCATTAAACACTGTCGTCATTCATTTCATTGCCTGTGGCTATCGCCGTAAATACAACACTCCAAATTCTGATGCCACTTGTCAAATCATGGCAATTCGAAGAATAAAGAAAAAAGGCAACATTGACTCCGGTAGTGGCCCGCCTCTACAATTTATCTTTGGCTTAAAATGCAGAAGTATTATTGGCTTCAGCGCAAAAGCTTAACGCAGAAAAGTGGGCAGAGTCCAGCTCTACTCTGCTCATCCATTTGCCTACGTGCTTCCAATCACCAGCCTTGGGAGGCATATAACCAAGGTAAGCGGAACAGAAAAGTAGAATGTAACTCGCCAGCTAGGGTCCGACCAACTTAGACCAAAATTAGTGCGCTCGAAGCACACATTGCGTTTCCAGTCCCCGATCAATGCAGCTCCAAACCCAACTTACCCAACTCTATACTTTTTCACGAATGCTACAAACCACGGTTCTCCACGTATTGTTTCAGCAAAGACCGTCATCCGGCTGAAACGCGAAACGGGCCGTGTCTTGTTTTCTTCTTTTTGATCTCGCGTCTTTGTTCCCGCCTCTTATTCGACGTTAGACACTTAACCGTTGAACAAATACAAGAGTGGGTCTAGAAATAGACTCGTGAAACGGGATTATGTACCGGCACCAGTGGTTTGTTTACCTTTTTCCTCTATAGGAGCGAATTCGCTAAGCCGCGCGAGAATGTCACCAGAAACAGCCGAGCGTTGAAGGAATTTCAGAGAAATTTCCTCTGGGCTACACCTGAACAGCCTCAATGGCATTTTATTGTAGAAACACTAGTGGAATCCACTTGGCCCGAGGTCTGTATATGTTTGCCGGTTAATTCTATTGTTGGCTCATGCGCACAATCTGAATCGGGTGCGAAAAAAATACATGGAAGACCTGTGCATTTTTTTTTCTCGTGGCTTTCGCTTCTCGTTCCTCCACTATTCTCGCATTTGCATTTGTTCATTTCAATCCACCGGCCATTCGTTCTTTTAATCCTTTTTTTATTACTTAATCTTGCAACTTTGCCTTTTCTTCCCGTGGCTCGTCCCGTCTCTGCTTTTCTCCAAGCGCATTTCGAACGACCTTCTTCCCCCCGTTTCCTTTTCCCTTTTTCCCCCGGGCGCTATCCTCCTAATACACAACAAAAAGAAAACTGTGTCCGGCCATGCGATTTAAAACCGCCTCACTACTACTACTCGCGTCGAAATTCTGCTTGGCTGATGACCAGATATCACATCCGCTGCTTGACTTTGCTGACTTTGGCGGCCAGATTGGTGTTTTTGGCTCCTTTTCCAGCCTATCGTTCTACGACTATGCCAACGCCTCCGCTTTTCTTAGCCCGAGTGACAGCTCGCAGTCATTGTATCTCCGCAACATCAGCTCAGGCGCCAGCTCGAAAATTGCATCTGTCTCAGGTGGATCCGTCTCCCTGCTACAGCAAATTGGAGTAGATTCTGTTCTCGTGTCGGGCGATTTTTCCACATTCAACGACGAGGACTACACGCCTCCAATCATCTACAATGTCTCTTCTGGCGACGTTGTTGCCATCTTCTCTAGTCTGGCTAAAAGAGACCAAACCATTTCGGGATCGGTCAAGACAACTTTAGTCGACGGAGAACTCATTTACATGGGTGGAGATTTCGAGTACAACAATACATACGGCGCCGCAGTTTACAACATCACGTCCAAAACTGTCTCGTCGCTTCCCTTCCGTGGCTTTGGCCAGAATTCCTCGGTCAATGCCATTGCGAAATACTCGGACGACAACTCCGCCGAATCCATTATTTTTGGCGGCTCGTTCGACTCTTTGGGCTTGCCAGAGCTTTTAATGCATAACATTACACTCAATTCTACGTCACAGAATCATACAAATTCAACAAACACCTCGCTTATCTCGGCAGAGCAAGTTATTTCTTTGAAACACGCTTCTTTCACCAACATTAATGCCGCTAGCAATGGTGCTGATCTTACTTGCCCTGGCCTGTCTATTTGGAGCCTTCAACCGGCCTCTGGGGGGCAATGGGTGGCTTCTCTTCCATTAGAAATGAGAGGTCTTTACCCTACTAAAGTAAGACTCACGGTCCCAGACTCGGGAGAAGATGGGGTCAAAACCTTCCGGATCTACACTTATCCAAATAATGGTATAATGAACTTGACTTATGTGGATCCTGAAACCAATGAACTTGCATACTGTGACTCAGCATGTCCACTTCTTCAAGCATCGACGTTGAAAGAACACGTCAATAACAATATCGAGGATGAAGAGGACATTACGGATCCAGAAGGAGGCATATTTGTCAATAAGGATGGCTCGTTCGCCATGTACTTCGATGAATCCACCAATTCAAAGAACTTGGGCTATGGCAGTAACTACCAAGAATTTGCCTTCATAAATCAAGTGGGAGTGGACCTGGTTGGTCTCACTGTAACTGACTGGTACGGATCTAAAGGTGCACTTGCTGGTTTTGAGTTGTATCTGAACTCTATCCGTGTGTATGGAAATGACACCTTAAACGAGTCCAATTGCGGCGATCAGTCCACTCACGACCTGAACGCGGCAGAAATTATTAGCGGGGACTGGAAATCTGTCCAGGACTTGACTGATGGCGTTACGGATACTAGCTACATGGTTTCTATTGGCAACTCATCGCAAGAAATCGTGTTGTATCCTAACATTTCCTACTCGGGAGACTACTCCGTTCTCTTGTACACGCCGGGGTGCTCTGCTGATGGCTCTTGTCAAAAAAGATCAATTGTAAATGTCACCTTCAGTGATGTCAATGATACTGTCCTTGCATCCTCTCTCATCTACCAGAACAATCTTGAGCAAAAATTTGATTACTTGTTTTATGGCCACCTTGAAGGTTCTTCCACAAATGAGGGACGCAACAAGATCAAGATCCAGTACCACTCACCTATTGATCCAAGCGTGTCTGACCCCTGGATGGTAATTGATAAAGTTGTGGCAAACATTGTCTCTTTGGACGACTACTACAGTTCAAACTCCACGAATTCTACGCATAATTCTAATGTGACTAAGCATAACATTGAGAAGATTTACTTGAATGGTTTGTTTGAGTACTCGATAGCGAACTTCTCCGATTTTGAAGAGAGCTTGGTGTACTCCAAATCAGGGGACGGCATTGAGATAAAGAAAACGAATGTTTTTGTTGGCAACTCCTCTCTCAACGAATTAAGTGGTAAGCTCTCTTCTGACACAAACATAACGCAGATGATTTTGCAGAACTCGTCGGACAGCTCCAATCTTTTATTGCTTGGAAAGCTCGAGTCAAAGAATGTATCATTGCTGAATGATAATTTGATTACTTTACAAATCAAAGGATATAATTCCACCTCCAATTCAACTGAAGCAACCTTGAAGACAAGACTGTTGATGAGAAGAGATGTTGAAATCTCCGGTCTCAAATTCAACAATACTATCTCCTCGATTAGCGACACGAATACTGGATACGTGGCACTAGGAAGCTTTAGTGCAACTGGTGAAAACATCAAGGATTTGTCAAACAGTAACAAAACTGTATCCAGTGCAAATAATTTTGCTCTTAACATTAACGGCGAGTGGTACTCCTTTGGAAATGAGTACATCAGCAAAGACTACACTCAATTTGCATCTGTTGAGCTCGATGGCCACGAATATTTTGTATTTTCAACTTCAGACGGTGATTACAAAGTTTGGGACAATACCGACATGGAATGGCCTATGGAATCAAATTTAGACATTTCCACCTCTCTCACACTTGAAAAAAGGAATCAGCAAATTTTGGGAGGATCTTCATTTGGTACAATGGATTACGAGGGCAAGAATCAGGCATATTTCACAAACAATAGTGACTTTAGCAGTTTGGGATTTAACTTTACCGATGGTCAAGTATCTACCTCGTTCTTTGTCAATGACACTTTTAGCGTTATTGGGGGCAAGTTCCAAGCCAATCTGTCCATTAAAAACATGGCAATGGTCAAAAAGAATATTGGTTATCCTATCGGTGATTTCAAATGGGATGATGATGCAGGAGTGAGTGTTCTTTACGTTGATAACAATGCTGAGTTTTTGTTCATAGGAACGAACGGCAGTGTGGATACATCTTCGTCGAATGTCACTGGCCTTCTTGTTTTTGATTTGAACAATTCGACTGCTGCTTCGGTGCAACCAGCTAGTCTTTCCACAAACGATGATAAGAACTTACTGGTAAATGCCATGGTGTTTTATGACAACAACAATCAGCTTCTTGTTGGTGGAAATTTTGCTACGGCTGGATCATTAGATTGTGCAGCTGCCTGCATTTATGATATTCCAAATACAAGGTGGGTGAACCCAGCAACGAATGATAATTCACTTTCCATTGGTGGATCAATCAATGACGCCAAATTCATGAGCTCACGCGAAGTTCTTTTAGCGGGTAACATCACATTGAATGGAAACGGTGCCAATTTTGCCATATACGACTTCGGGACTGGTTCTTTTGAAGATGCTGGCAAGACCGTGAACGATATTGGAATATCCAACGATGCTATCAAAAAGTTCATCATCAATGATAGAGTTGACAATGACTTGGACTTCAGAATGGTAGCATTTGGAAGCGGTTTCGTTGCCGGATTTGATGGCAATAAATGGGCGAAGGTCGACAGTGCCATTGACTACAGTGATGAAACTGATTTTCAAGACTTGAAGCTTGTCGAGCTCAAAAACCCGATTTCAAGTAATTCTCGCCAGAGTTATTTTGACAAAGATAAGGCAGTAGTCTTGTCGGGAACCTTTAACATCAGCAAGTATGGGTTGGTCAATGCTGCCATATATGACGGAAACTCGTGGATCCCGTACATATTTTCACAGGACCTGAATGCAAAAGTGGGGTCCATAAATACGTTGCTATTGGAGGAGGTTTACCGTTTTCAATCATCGAGTGACTTGAAGAAAGGCAAGAGCAAATTGTCCACAGGAAAAGTTGTCGGAATTTCGCTTGCATGTGCCATTGGATCTACATTTTTCCTTGGACTTTTGTACTTCATTCCATTGCTCTACTTGTTCAAAAGCTCTGAAAAATCAGAGAATGTCAACCAAAGAATTCACGAGGATGAGATGATGCATGCTGTTAGGCCAGAAGACTTGTTCCACGAGATAGACTTGCACAGAAACACTTAGGCACAAATTAAAATCATGACGGATACCGTCACCATATATGGGATGTATAATAGGAATAGATATTTATCGACGTATTATTGTAGAAAAGAGGAAAAATATGAAAAACAGATCTCGTATCAGTATTGGCATACTTAATATTCACTCCCAAATAAAAATGACCAGAAAATGATGCGGTGGCTCAATGGCAGAGCTTTTGATTCCAAATCAAAGGGTTGCAGGTTCGATTCCTGTCCGTGTCATTTCTTTTTTTTGCCCTCTTTTGATGGTAATTTTACTTTACTTGTGATCTCTATTTTACAAGCAAATCAAGTTTATAATAGTTATACGTGCATTTCTAATCTATTCATGCGTACTTTCAGGTTCTGGATGTTCTGCAGAGACTGCATCATCCTCGGATTGATCATCAATATCAAATAGTCTTTCATCGACATTCGCGGGCTCGGCAGTTAGTTCCGTGAATTCTTCTGGCTCTTCGTCGACGTTAAAATCCACATCTGCCGCCTCATTTAGCTCGTCCTCGTAGTTTTCGTCAAACGTACCGAAAAGCTCATCCTCGTCATCGGGTACACGTACGTAATTTCTTTGACCAGGACGGCGACCAAACAAAAGGGAGGTGACTTTATCAAACATTGCCCGGTCGATTTTCCGGATAGTTTTAAACACGGCGAAAGTTCCAGCAGCGACGACAATTGCGCCACGTACAGTCTTGTTGACTACCACATCAACAATGTTTTCCTCTATCGGATTGAAATCATCGTCGCCATCGTCCAACCTGATCTGTCCCAATTTTTGGAATCCACCATTACGGCGAATGCCTCTGTCGTACACGAAGAACACTGCAGAAAAGAAGACAAGTAGCGGAATGAAAATGAGGATGAAGATCTTACTTCCACCAACATCTCGGCCGTGTGCTTCATTAAACTCTTTTTCATGGCCAGGACATGCGCGGGGCTTCAACGCATCAAATTGTTTTCCCCCAACACACGTTGACAATGGGATCTTTCTGTAACCCGTGGGCTCAAAATATTCGAACACACCAGGTTTTCTGCACATCTCTGCCATGCGGTTTGCAGCGTTCATACCCTTGACCAATTTACACGTTCCATCATTGTCCCTAAAGTAATTGTAGTCACACTCGTAGTCATTTCTTGTGCATGTGCAGTTCCTGACCATCTTATATCCTTGATCCAATGGGGTGGAACCAATGAAGCAATCGTCATGACCGGCAGCACGGCGCAAATACATAGCCTCATGTCCAAACAAACATCTTTCTGTAGACTCTGGGTGCATAGGCGTCCAGTACTCGAAATCATCGCTTTCCGGATTCTCCAAATCCACCTGGCATTGCCTTGGGAAGAATTGTGAGAAATCAACAGCGAAAAGTTGAGTCGAGCTCTGGCTTTGATGCGACCCGGCGAAAATGACAAACTTCAAGGATGTATCTGAGGGCACTGTAGCAAGGTCGAGAACCTTCACTGGACTACTAGCAAATTTCATTGTTTCCCACGTAGCGCCTTCGTCCTTTGAGAAAATAAATTCATCAGTGTCTTTTGCTGCATCCACCAATAGTAATATCGTCCCCTGGTCACCAAAATCCCAATGGTAAACTCCCTTTTTGATCTCCTTCCACGTCAATCCGCCATCTGCAGACATGAATGCTGCCGTTTGATCATCGGTGACCGGTTTAAGATATTCTCCAACATTCCCCATTCCGATCAAAAGACCTACAGCAGACCCCGATGAAAAAGTGTCTCTATAATCTGGTCTTTCTGTGAATCCGTGCAAATGGAGAGAGCATTTTGATAAAGGTTGTCCCTTGCATGCGTACTCTTTTCCGTCGCTGTCTACTGCAGGAGGTGCAATGTAGTTCCACTGGCTTCCGTCATTAAACGAAATCTGCGTTTTCTTGTTTTTGCCTTCTTTTGAATCTGTAGCGGTGTTTGCAATCAAAACACCCTCGAGAAGACCCAATCTGTCGTAATCAACGTAACCCACTTCGTTTCTATTGACATCAGATAATGATAAAACGTAGTAGGTTCCGTTTGAGTTAGATTTGAGAATAGCGCCCTTTTCGTGTCCCAGGGTAGAGTCTGTTGTTACGTGCATGAAAATCGAATGAGGACTAGATTCCAAGATTGTAAAGGCCGTTTGAGCTTCAATTTTAAAATCGCTTGGGAAGTCGACGTCAGCGAAGACAAATCCATCTGCAGTAACTTTAGCCTTCAACATTGTATGAGCTTCATCAAGAGTGGCCACAACAACAAAATTTGATTTAATGGCGTACGCAACAATATCGTCAAGTACGTATTCGATTTCGGCCTCTTTGAAATAGTTTGTTGAGGAGGCCAATTTCTTTTTGTTGCCGTCAACAACTGTACAATAAATCAATTCAGTTGAAGTAATGTCAAGAACAGGAGAAACGTAATCACACGCCATTGCATTATCAATAAGCTTTTCGAAAGAGCGACCAAAGTCTTCTGTATGATACGCAACACAGGTGGAAGATCCAACAGCACAATTACCCGAGAGCCAAATAAACCTTGACTCGTCAGTTGGATGGAAAGATATTGTGACATCTCCATTGGAGGCGGAAGTTGGCACTTTATACTTATAGAATGTATTTGCGCCATTGTTAGATGCATAAAATACATCACCGTCAGTTATCATGATAACTCTGCCCAAGGAAGGCCCCACGTAAAAGCCTCTAATTTTTTCTTTGAAAGGAACCCTCACAAAACTTGTACCTCCATTGTTGGAAGCATATATAAGTCCCGTGTCGGTTTTAACAATCAAATTGTCTGAAAGGTCAGGGCCTGTTGCAACATACGAATACTGCGAGAGGAATCCATCAAATTCAGACTGACCGATAGTAATCAGCAGAGGCACATTTTCTCCTGTGAAATCCTTGCATTTGAACTCTGTTTCCGTAACAAAAGATGAATCTGACTTCTGTTCGCATTTGTTTTCAGCCACAATCTGCATATCTGGAAGTTTCAAGGTGTCCTTAGATTCAGACTTGCATTTTTCTGCAATTTTCTTTGGATCTGGAACACATACGCCTTTTTCAGAGAGCTTAAAGTATGGTGAGCACTCATAGTCCTGTTGTGTGCATGGGCATTGCTCTACGTCGACTTTAACATCCTCAAAAGTACGATCAATGAAGCATCTAGCGTCTGCCTTTCTTCTCATGAAACTCTCCTTAAATCCGTAGATACAGTTCGGTTGCCCATCTTTGGGTGATACTCTAGCGTAAACTTTTTCCATATCGCTGTCCTTGCATTTGTTTCCATCAAAAGCCTTGCTGAAATCAAACGCATACAAAACCTCTGACATTTGCTGATGCTCGACGATACCACTGAGAACAAATTTAGTATTAGTTCCATCGGTAGTGGTAATCAATTCCTGAGGGAAGCAAGGTTCTTTCAACTTATATGTACCCCAAGATCTTCCCTGGTTCAAAGAGTATCTTACCTCGGTGGCAGGCCCGTGGTTTCTGCCTGAAAAAGGAACGTACATGATGACATTACCTTGATCACCAAAAGCATGGATACCAGGACCCAGGAACACATTAGTCCATGTGAGACCTCCATCACGAGAAATGTAGGTTTTGGCCTTGAAGAAGTTGTCAGTGTTCCCCGTGATTCCAAATCCCATAAGAATGTTTGGCGTTGGCCCCGTGACGTATTTATTTTTGTCTTCAATGGCATCGAATCTCAACAAGTTGAGAGAGCATCCATCTTTCAACTTGCACGAATCATCATTCAAAATTTCCAACTTGTTCCATGTCAATCCATTATCAATTGAGATGTGGCTCGATGTCTTTGCAATAGGGGAGCCGAAGTAGTCATCGTTGGGTTCGACGATAGGATCTTCTTCGAAGGTTTTGGCCAACCAAACACCATGCACATATTCAACACGAGCCGAGTATCCTAGGTCTACATTATCGAGGAGCTTTTTGAAATGTAATCCTGAGGAATCGGAGGAATAAAGGGTTCCTTGTGGTCTAGTGTCCTTTGATGTGGATGCGGCAACTGTCAAGAATAGAGATTGTGGGTCTGAAGGAAGGAAGCGAATGGCACCATACGCCATTTGGAACGCAAGGTCTGCAGTATCGAAAGTTTTGCCGTCTTTGGAAACGGAAATGGAAATCAGCGAAAGCTCGTTGAATCGATCCTTCTGGGTTACCACGACCAAAAAGGACAGTTCCAAACGCACATCAATAATGCGGCCAGAGTCAAAACCAGGGTGTTTGATGCTTTCTGACGTTTTGAATAAGTCTTTGGACGAGACCAATTCCGACTTCACCACATGTCCGAAGGAATTGCGCGTATCTTTGACACAGAGAATGGTAGGCTCATCAAGCAAAGTGTTCACCACACATACCTTAGCGTCAATTGGTAAAAGTTGAGGATCAGATTTTAGAGAGTTGCTCGAGTAGAAATACGAAACGTCACAGTCGTCGGCCTCTGGGTACTGCTTGCAGTATTCTAGTTTTATGAGAACCAGGTCATCCTTGAAGTTGAATACGTGGTGCATGCCCAATTCTCTGTCCTTGAGAGACTTTTTTGGTTGCACTTTGAAACTGCGCCAGGTCTTGCCCTTATCATCGGTGACGAAATGCGTATCGCCAATCCTTGAGAATACAAATGCCCTGTTAACGTTGATAGGGTCAAACTTCACGAGGATGTCGGAACTTTTGCCAATGGTTTCGATTTCCGTCCATGTCACACCGTCGTCGTACGACATTTCAACCATCTTTTCGCCCACATGAATGACATTCAGCGAATCTTCAAAGTACAGAATATCCCACCCAATGCCTTTAACTATGCGATGAGTCACTTCAGGCGAGAAATCTGCTGCACAAAGCTGCACTAGCAAGCAAAGAAATGCTGCTATACAACTGGCACGCAAATTCATTTTTAAACGGACGGCGAAAGATTGGGTCTAGTTATAAGGAGTAGAATGTGGAGATACGTCAAGTGGTCAAATGCAGGCGGCGGCACTGCGGCATGCAGGCATCTTGAGTAGTTCCCCAATATACCAATTCCAGCTAAACGTCACTTGTCGAAAGCCCAACCCATCTGTCCCTACAAAATACTCATGCAATTCCCTCTCTGTCTGGATGCTCTTAGAGTCTGCAGATTGGAATCTGTTTAACCAGCAAGAAGGAAGATGTACATAAAGCGGTCTCTACTGCGGACTCTACTGCACAAGCCACTTCACAGTGAGGCTGCAGTTGGGACTATGGACTGATGCTGATATTCTATGATTTTTCTTTGGGAATCGTGACTTTAGTGGTTTGTCGATCTTGATTCTTGTGAAGGTACCGAAATGAGTTTTGTGTATTTCTGTGATTTTCAGCATACTTAAAGTACTCGTAAGTTTTTCTCTCAATGTATGCTGCAGCTAGAGCTTTCTAACTCTTATGGCTCTAGTTGTTTTGTTACCATGTGAGGAAATCAGCCCTACAACTTAGTTTAGCCCAGATCACCGAAACGGTTTCCCACGGTTTTAAATATCTGTGGTCGTAAGATGCTTCGTATGGAAGGCATATGATCTGAATGGGACACATTCTCACCCAACTTCCACGATAGTTGGTTGAAGGTACCAAACGGTACAGGTGTAGCGTCTGATACTGGAACACGAGTGATTTGCAGAAGTTCTTTTCTATACAAGTCTTTTTGTGTTCCCTAATGATCTGTAATGCTCCATACGACAATGCTTCATGAACTTCGTGTTGCCTTCCGATTCTTTGTTCAAATTCTTTGATTTATACTCCAATGCAGATTTTGAAATAGTGTAAATCCTGTTTCAAAGGGCAGGTACTGTTCTAGCTGTGCTGTGCTTTGCACATCACCCAGCGAAGTCCTTACACAAGTTCAATCGAAGGCAAGGCTCCCAAAAAGGCCAGATGGTTCTTCACGCAGATTCGGGCATTGACCCCGTCATACTTCTGGCCGAAGTAGTTGTTCAACGCAAAACTGTAGTTGGCAAAGCATTTCAAAAACATTTCTTCATCTTCTTGCTGAATACGGACTATGCAATCCAACGCTGGGCTCGACAGTTGTCTCATGAGGATATCAAAGTGACGAGCTTCGCCAACAATGCCGTAAAGTGCAAACAAGCAATGCTGTATGAGAGATCTCCATGTGAGCAAGTCCACATCAAGTGCCTCGTATAGGCCATCGTCGGCCTTTTGAAGTCTAGGGTCCGGAGTGCTTTAGTTGTTAGTAACAGAAAGGAAAATAGATAGACAACATTGTCTTGGAAAGACGTACATGGAAAGCAAAAAATAATGCCATTGACCGTACTGGGAAGATGGCGTCGCGCTCATGTCTGGTCCTAACTGTGTTTCTCGTATCTGTACAGGGTCTGCGATGGAGTAACAGACATGCGACTATAAAATCTCGATGGAAATTATTCCAGTGCGGAGGAAATTCTGGTGTTCGTTAAAGTCAAGAACGGAAGAATGCACAACTGAGAGAATAGTTTGGCCCGCCTCTTAGCTGTGTTCTGATCGTTCGAGAAGGCCATAGAAATTCACGGATTTGACATACCAATTCCAATATCTTTTCTTCAGTTGAAGATACATTGGCTCCACCAAGGTAGTACGTAGGGTAATAGACTTACCAACACTGAATTAAAATAGCCAATGGATGCTCATTCGTATAAGCTCTTTAGTGAAGCATGACCATAGAATTGTTAAATCGCAGCGACAAGATAGAAAAGTTCTTTATTTGTACCAGTGTACCTTCTACACCTATTCAGTGGAGCCTTGTTCGAGTCGTATAATCATTTGCTAAATCTTCGTACTATTACTTCATAACTAATCTGTGGTAAGCTTCCATAAAACTCTACACTTCTGGGAGTTGGATTTGCACACTCATACTGCTAGAGCTTGAATACTCTGATCCGGCTGAATATATTTCCTCTTTTTTATCCGCAACTGGGTGCATTGCCATATTCTGTGCCTGTTTTGTTATGCACCTCTGACCAGGCTTGAAGTTGGATTTACCGATAAAAGGTTCAAAAAATGGAGCCCACTTGAACTCCGGCTCTGGTCTCGCTTCTAATTTCGTTTCTGGTTCGTCTTCCTTCGTGTACAAAGCTTTTGGTACCGATCCTTGTCCGAAACCAAAATCATTAGTTTTCGTGTCTACTTTAGCTCTCCCCCTTGTCACATTTGTGCCTTTCGAAACAGATCCAACTGGACTATAATTCTCTTTGGTGACTTCTCGTTTGTCATTTCTCTTAGAGGCTCTGACCTTGAATCTCGTTACCTGAACTCGTATTGGTTTTTCCTTCTGGGCATAGTTGTATTGTACTGGAATCTCGATAGGAATAGCGTTACTTGGTATCACCATCCCTGGCTCATACTTAACAATGTAGGGCCCAGATTTGCGAGACGATAGGGCTTTCGACTCAAATTCAACGATGGGTGTAGCATGGAAAGAAAAAGAAGAATTTACATTACTAAGAGGTATCAAGAATTCAGAAAGCTGGCATTCGTGCCGTAGGGCTAACAACTGGGATCTCGAGTAGACTATCTTCATAAAAATAATTGTGGTACAAAAGAAAAAAAGAACGACAACTGCAGGACTCGAACCTGCGCGGGCAAAGCCCAAAAGATTTCAAGTCTTTCTCCTTAACCGCTCGGACAAGTTGCCTTAATTGAAGTGTGTTCGCGAAACTTTACCCATGTTGTGTCTTTAGAAGTTTGTGTCCTTTTGACGTTAATTTGATTTGATTGACGTTGATATGTCAGTGTTTTGGGGATCTATTGGGGATAATGACATGAACGTCTATGCAAGCTCTCTGTTGGTCGCGAAAAGAGGAACTTCAGAATGCAAAGAAGGCTTGCGATGACATTGTGGTCACAAAATTAATGTCTGAGTTCGAGATGAGTCAATAATGCCGAATTATTATAAAATATCGGGGGCTCCATTGTTTTCTGTTGTGTTTTATCTTTTTATTGAGCTCTCTCTGATAATGAGACTTTGTCTTTATCCTATCTTCGCGCATTGGATTTTGAAAGACCTCGTGACAATCTTTACTCATAATGGGAACATGGCAGGAAGTGAAGGATGACCAAGGAAGAACCTATTACTATAATCCCGTCACCCAAGAAACTAGCTGGGAGAATCCAGATGTATCTTCTCTTGGTCTGAGCTGGAAATCTTACCGGACAGAGGATGGCAGAGAATACTATTACAACGAAGCTAGCGGAGAAACGACATGGGACAAGCCAGCGGAATTAGAAGAGGCTTCCAAAGATGACACAAAGGAGACAGATGAAACAGTCCAGGAAACTGAAGATCTTGTTGAAGATGCAGCAGAGAAATTAACCGAAAGAGACGCCAAGCTAGCTAAAGAAGCGGTCAAAGTGAGTGTGTTGCTTAATCCTCCCGTTTTTGAATCTTCCAAAGAAGCACACGAAGCTTTTTTTCAAATGCTTGCCCAAGAAAACGTGGACTCGACGTGGTCTTTCGAAAAGGTGATTGAGCGTTTTGTTCAGAACCCAGTGTATTGGCTGATCTCAGATGCTCTGGAAAGAAAAAGCTTATACGATGAATATCTTTTACGAAAGCTACAGCAGGAATCACAGGACAAGACGAAGTTGATAGAGACTTTTAAACGGAACTTCGTGCAAGTTTTGGAAGAATACAGAAACAACAATAAGTTGACAGCCACAACACGATGGAGCACATTGAAACTGATGCTTATAGAAGAAGAAAATCCTATATTCAAGCACTCTGTCCTTCCTGATGCAGAGATTGCAAAGATTTTCCACGACTTTGTCGAGAACTTCACACTGGAAGAGAAAAGAAAACTTCAGGAGAAGAAAGACCAAGCCCTTACGGAACTCGACGCCTATCTCTCACAGTTGATCTCAGCACAAAAGTCTCATGACTTGACTTGGGAAACTTTGTATAAGAGACTACAAAACGATGCTCGGTTCAAAGCTAACAAGCACTTTCAGGTACTTACAAAGACAGACATGCTTGATTTGTACCGAAATAAGATATACCCGAAGATCGTTGAGGAGATAATGAAGGAAGTTGTAATAGCACGAAAAAGAAATTATAGATCTGACAGGAAGGCAAGACAAGCATTCAAAGCGTTGATGGCTAAAGTTACAATCAATGCCAATACATTGTTTCAAGATGTACTCCCGCAATTGGAGGACGAAGACGAGTTTATTGAAATATGTGGAAGAAATGGATCGACGCCTTTGGAACTTTTCTGGGACATTGTGGATGAAAAACGGCAAATTCTAAAAGTCAAGAAAGATCTCGTGGAGCACAGCATAGCTGATTTCAAAGCACAAAATCCAGATGTTTTTGAATGGGAGACACTTATAAACGACAAGGACAGATTCATTGATGCCTTGAAGAGTATAAAGGACGATCGCTTGTCTTCCTTTGATTTCACTCAGACGGATGAAGATAGCGAGTTATACATTATCTACGACTCATTGAAAAAAGAACACATTTTGCAACAGCAAAAGAATAAAATTGCATATGAAGAGAACCTAGCCCGGGGCATAAAGTCCTTAGCGGAATGGATGATGCAGGACCTTTCAGCTTTTGATTTCATAAAGATGACGAAAGAAGGTGATATAGTGCCGGAGGATGATAAAGAATCAGACACAGTCATTGAAGTTAACAGTCGGGGTATCGCAAAGCTTGTGAAAAATGAACCACAAAGTCTGAAATGGAAGGAAAGTCTTGGGGACAAGGAGAAGTTCACAGAAATACTTCACTTGATTGAGGAACATCATAAGGAAGCACCAGAGCAGCTTGAGAAGGCTCTTTCCGAAGTAATCGGTAAGTGCATTGATCATATTGTTATTTTGGGCACGCAAAGCCGCAAGAGAAAATTGGAACCATATTCCAGAGACACTGTGAGCGAAGCGAAGAGAGTGAAAAGTGATAAGGAGAAGAAGCCTATACTAATGAATTATTAGCGTACATAAGTATTAATGTATCTGGAGTGATAATATCTGCGCACCATGTCCATCACTAATACGATCTTTGTATCTCATATATCCGGTCGGAGTAGGTTGGCACCAATGTCATGTAAGCGTCAATGGCATTCCCAATGTCCAGAACCAAATGAATCGACTAGTAACAGTGGCGACTAAAAGCATATGTATTTTGGTATCGTAGGTAGCTTGCCAAAATAGACAAATAATTGCTGGAATTAAGTAAAAAACGAGTAAAAGTGAGAAATGACAAAACGAACAAGTAGTCACAATAATCGAAAACCATATTAAAGTTGAAAATAACCATATAGCCGGCTACATTGGCAAACCATCTAAAGGATGCAGATCATTTTCAAATCATTTCATGAAGTAACTCTTTATAGTCGTCTACTCAGTTTTCAGCTTGATCCGCACTTGGTTACTGACCGATTAAAACCGAACGAACAGACATGATTGATTCTAAGCAAGCGTGGTACATAGTTAAAGGAAATTGAAACCAAGGCTAATGAAATCAGCCGTCATTGATGTCTAGTTTCCCTCGGGTTTCTCTGTCATAACTCTTTTTCAGCAGCTTCAAAGAGACAAAAGTTAAAATTGCACACAATTGTACACATAAAATTTACCCAGAATATTCTGCCCCTATCCAGCATTTATCATCTCACCTAGGAGCTTTGAATAGTCCAAACAACTATATCTGGTGCCTCTGATCTGGCTGAGCCCACTTCACATAACCTGCATACAAACAACCACTAAGTTCTCATGGAAACGCTCCAACTCTTAGACACCCCTATATAAAGTTGGAATATGGTATGTATCAGATACTTTGAAGGCCATTTAGCAATATGAGCATGGATATGCTTCTTGGGCTGTGTCAACGTATTTCAAACTAACAAAATTCAGTCGCAATCGTTGAAACCATATTTGACTGCGGTGAGAACTTCGTTAACTGCGGCCATTTGTTTGGAAGATTTCTCTTCCCAATTGGTGGAAAGACACAACCGGCCAGAGATTGAAGTGGATAACTCGCACAACCCAGAGCTTCTCTTGAACCCTGTGGTTATTTCCAGAAACGAAAACGAGCAGATTTTGATCGAGCCTTCCATCAATTCGGTCAGAATGTCCATCAAAATCAAACAAGCGGATGAAATCGAACAGATATTGGTGCGCCAATTTACCCGTTTCTTGACTCAGAGAGCGGAAAACTTCTTTATCTTGCGCCGAGTACCTGTAAAGGGCTACGACATTTCTTTCTTGATCACAAACTTCCACACCGAGCAAATGTTAAAGGACAAGTTGGTTGATTTCATTATTGAGTTCATGGAGGAAGTGGATAAGGAAATCAGTGAGATGAAGTTGTTTTTGAACGCTAGAGCTAGAGTTATTGCTGAAGCATACTTGACTCCTTTTGATTGAACAACTACACGGGCTGTTTTGACAATGGCCACGTAAAATTATATATTAACACATCTGATAAATGAAAAGAAGGATTTGCACGTAATACACTAGAGCATGCTATGCATCACTGTTGCCGTTTTGCACCGACGGACGCTGTTGCTGTGCGAGAGGCGACCGTATCATCAATGGGCTACTTGAGTTTGAAGAGTGATTGTCTTTGCCGGACATGATATCCGATCCACGGCTAGCAGAACTCGCTCTTCGGTCCGTACCTTCACCCAGTGCCTCATTGGCATGAACCAATTTCTGCTGTCGGATGATTTCCTTGGGTGACAAACCTTGTGAGGATTGTGGTGAATTAACTCCGACTTGGTTCATGCGCGAAGGGGGCGGTTGCTGAAATCCGGAAGGATTGAATGTCTGAGGAGAGGAGTAAGGCGAATGATTTTGTGTGCTCATCCGATACTGCTGCGCAGAGCTGGGCCGCGTCATGTCTGGGTTTTTGTTGTTGGTGCCATATCTAGGACTAACTCCCCCTGCATTCATGAATTGAGTGTTTGCCGGGCCATATGAGTTAAATCGGTTTTGAAAGGGACGAGGGCCCTGGTTTTGTGGATACGTTGCGGTGTCCGCCAGCGATACAGACATAGGCAGTGATTGCAGCATCTGCTGCTGCTGATAAAGCTTGCTGTAGTCGATTGTAGGTACATTTGGGACAACCATTGGCTGTTCCGCGTTTTCAATAAGAAGACCTGGAACATGGTTCAAAACAAGGTCTAGTTTCTGTAATGCATCTCCAACTTGCACAAAGCCTTTAGAAGATATTTTGAGGATCCATCTGTAATTGAATATCTGGTCTTTGTAGTACTCTGACTCCTGTTTTGTAGTTGAAGAGATGAACAATAGCGCTGCGAAAGTTCCGATTAATGTGAAGTTCTCCGCTGACGACGAGTGCCAGAAGGAGTGGATATGCTCTGGCTTGAGGTCACGCACAAACTCAATAGACGCCAGAAGTCTTGTTTTAGCAGCAGCACGGCAAACATCAATTAATTCCTTGGGCGCTTCCTTACCACTGAGTGAAAGCTGATGCAAAACAGTTATGATCTTTCTATGGAGGGTTAACTCTGTAGCGAAGTAAGCAAGCTGAAGATAGCCATTGGAGCATAGTTTGCGCGGCTGAACAGAGTTCATCTGGAGCTCGACAGGAAGAGAATGGTACCAAGTTTTCAAACGCAATTGAATAGGCTTGGCGATGCGTAGAACATCATTGATGTCAGTAACTTCTCTCATTGCCTTCATGGAGTACAAAGATGTGAGAATATCGGAAAGGATTTGGGATAAAAGAATTAAATTCATGAAGTTCTTTTTCCCGTTGGTGATATCGGATGAACCTTCTTTCAAATCCCCATCGCCATGTTTTTCGGGAAAATCCTCTTCAATCAATTGCAGGACTTCCCAGTTATTCGCATCAATGTGCGAAGGGCGAGCATTCTTCAACGCCAACCACTTATGCTCCATGTAAACTGCCCATGAGAGTCTTTTACGTAAGCCTCGCTCCCATTTTGGCAACTTCCAATGGTCGCAATCTAGACCCAATCCTAACTCTTCGGATAAGGCGACAATCTGAGAGCATAGAACCCAGTCATTGTAGCCACAATCAGTGAACGAAGAACTGAGAGACGCAGATGCGCTACTTTCGGTGTTTGAGGGATCATGCTGGCCAAATTCCCGAAGAATGTGTTTGCACTGTAAAAGCAACAAACCTGCCTGAACAGCACTGAGTTTTGGACGCTTCAAGATTTCCAGCACATAGTTGTTCAATGCGATTTTCAAGATGAGTCTGACGTTAGGTTTAGGAAATCTGTTGAGCTGCGGGTCATAGTCCCACCACTGAATCGCAAGGACATAGACTGCAGCCAAAAGAGGAGCACTGAACTCTCGATGTGTCCGGGAGTATTTTTCGAGAAAAACTTTTTTATGCAATATAGGGTATGAGGGGTGAATGATGCGAAAATATAGGTCGATCAAGATTTGGCCGTGAGGAGCAACAAATTTCTCAATAGCATCCACATCGTTGGACATTGTCAGGTATGATTGTTTAGATTGGTCGTCTTTGAGAACAAATTGCGTTCGTTCTCCGACTTTTCTCAAGGAAATAGAATCGCTCAAGTTGATCTGCTCAATCTTGTTGCACGTCAGTTTTCCGTTTGCTCTATATGATCCATTGGGTTGCAGTCGGTTCTGGGCATCAATTATAGCATCCAAAAGGTTCCAATCAAAGAGATAAGACGTTGGACCCACATAGAAGGATGACCGTGGATATTGGAGTGATAGGGTTTTTTTGAGCAAAGAATTATTCATGACAGAATAATCTTGGACTGGGGGAACATCCCGGATAGGAACATTCGGCGGAACAATGTCCATCTGTGGCCTATATCCATTTTCCAGCAATGGAGACGCTTGTTTTCGGAGTCGTTTTGTCGCTGGTTCATCTTCAGGTTTCGAAGGTAAGTATGTACACGAGAGCGACTTGGCTTCACATTGAACACAATTCTGTGCTCCGGGGACAATAACACATCTTGTTTTGCGTCTTCGGCAGTGATCACACGGCCTGCGCAGTTTCGAACGAGGGTCCGTATATTGTATCTGAGCCAGAGGTTGGACGCCTGGAGGCGCCGAATGAGACTGGGCTGGTTGGGTTGCGTTTTGTTTGGGGCTGAAGATTCCGAGTCTGAGCCTGAGTCTGAGCCTGAGTCTGAGCCTGAGCTTGCTGAGGTTGTTGAAGCTGGTGGTTTGGTAGATGTTGAGCTTGCTGTACATGGGTTTGTTGCGATTGGGTTGGTTGAGGATGAGATGGCTGAGATGGCTGAGATTGACTATGCTGAGATTGAGATTGCAGTGGTTGAGTTTGTTTCTGCTGATCCAGACTGTTACTCTGAGGGTACTCGTTAGGAGGAGCGGAGTTGGCCTGAGGCTCATTCGGCAGATTGAGGGACGGTAGCGGTTGCGTTTTCTCTCGCGAGCCGGTCGCGTTCGCATAGCCTTTGTGAGCCATTTGGTTGGAACCATGCTCAAAGTCAAACGAGTCCAAGAAATCGTTATTTTGGTCGAGCAAAAGATTTGACGCCCAATCGAGATAATTCGGCAGCTGGTAGTCATTTTTCTTGTGCGAGTTCTCTTCTCCTGACGCATTTGGAGGCGGCTGGTGGTTATGCTCTGCCTGGATATTGTTTGTGTGCTGAATTTGCTCATGTTCCAGCGGATTAGCAATCTTCACCAGCAGACCCAGCTTGTTCGCATGGGGATTACGCTGATACCCCTGATTTTGAAGGATCCCCGCTCAGCGCCAGCATTAGTTTCGGGTGGAGTCAGCCACTGTCAAATGAAAAAAAGAAAAAAAGACCTGGGTACAAGATGATTGTAAACAAAGAGGCTGGACCTCACCAGCAGGGCGGCAATGTGCTGTAGGGCTCGAAAAAGCGGAAAAGCAAAAGCTAGGGGAAAAAAATCAAAGTCCGGCGGGACGTTGTTGGTTGAAGGATGTACGAATCTCCAATATGCGATCATCCCTATCTTACTAGATGTGTAGTCGTGTGCGGGTCAATCTTACAGTAAGTCCAACAAAAGTCCGTTCTTGTCTCTGCATTTACGATTACGACCATTGGCGGTTTTCCAGAGCCACTTAGGTTGTCTCGTCCATACTACGATCGATTTGCCCGCATAGCTAATGTTTCCTTTCCATCGAATGCTTCGCGACCAAAGTCTGCGATTTTCTCCATTTGTAGTTTCATGTTATGAAAGCGCGCCCTATCCTAGTCTGAGACAGTAAATAAACTTTTAACGTCAGGGCTTAAACGTGCTTGCATTAAAATTTGGACTAAGCCTTATCCAACAAAGATAGAGAATGTAAAATAGACCACATATGGCCTGACGCTGCGTGAGGACCAATTAGAATTGAAAAGCGACAACGATCATAGACCCACTGGTTTCCTGTTCTGTTCGTTGTATAATTTCCGTAAAGAAATTTTTACAATTGCATTCAATGCAACGGCATGTGTCCTTCAATCATATGTTTACCTATTGAAACAGAATATCGATACTGAACACTAAGAATTTGGACAGAAGAGAACATTTCGAGTATTCAAACTACGTACCTATTGCATCTATAGATTCTATTAAGTGTCGAGAAGCATCATGCCGCATGGGCATATTCGACACAGACTGCTTGTACTGGTTGCAGTACTTACAAGGTCTTGTATGATTTTTTCGTTCAGTCGCCTGCCCGAATAAACATTCATGCGGTAGTCTCACCGTACTTCATTATATTAAAAGGATTAGCTGTTTACCATCAGGTGGTAAGAGATTCATTAAACTACATCAACCACGAATGCCCTAGCCAAACACATGTACTCGTTTCTTTTTCATAGTTGTTACTCTTTCATATTTGTTTCGCTTTCATATTGGTTTCTCTTTCATAGTGAACAGCAGCACCTAAGGTTATCCCAATAAGTAGCAGTTCTTCAAATGAACCACTTCTTGAGAACTACATTCCTTCCATAGACTAATGAAGTCTTAGATTCATTTGTACTTTCGTTCGGGTATTTTTTATCAGATCAATAGTACTCACAATGTACACCTTTGGTGTATCTGGCCTTCTCATCCTCAAATAACGCCAGTTGTGGAGTGAAGTCCTCAAAGCCCTCTTCTAAAAGCGTAGGCCGGATGATATTCTTCCCTGGCAAGGATTCCACAATGGTTCTGATTGTACATCCACATTTCAAACAGTACTCCTTGTGTTTAGGCTTGCCACTGCCTGTCTTTGTGATCACATACTCACCAATCTGGTTTTCAGGATCAATGATTTTCACATTGCTGAGATCGTAGCATGCGGTGATTTGGCCGAGATTTCCGGAGTTTTTTCTGCAATCATGGCAGAAGCAGATAATAGTCTGATCTGGCGATCCGGTAACCTCCAATTGGATTGCTCCGCAAACACAGGATCCCTTATATGTTTTGGACATGAAGAAAAGAGTCACTTAGATAGAAGTTGAAAGGAGTAATGATCGGTGATAAGCCATGTGGGGAATCTATCTCTATGCACTCTCTTATCCAAACATTTTAGAAAAGAACCGGAAGTTCAACAAAAGTAGGAGTCGAAAGATGTCGTTTAAGAACAATAATAGTAGGTTTGGGCTCTCGATTCATATAATGAAATTTGTTGTATATGCTTTTCGCTTTCAATGTTTTGCTGATAAGTTTCAGCCATGATCTTCTAGCATCCTAGGTGGATTTGATAGGAAATGTTTGATTCCTTATTCAAAATGTAAAGAGGCCTCAGAACATCCTTGGAAATATACTAGCTGCCTCATTATAGACTCAGAAAGTGTCCCTTTTTCCTTCATCAAAGCATTAGATCGGATTGAGGAGAAATGAAAGAACAAACAAAAGAACTAAATGAAAACAAAAAGAAAATAGAAAGGCAAGTAAAACATGCGTCGTTTGACCAAAGACGGCTTTAGTATGTATTTATACTTTCATTGCTTTATCACAACTGTGGTGGTTTTACGCCTCTGCAGGATCATGGGTAATAATCAGAAGAGGAAGACCAATCAACAGAATAGTCATGAAATTCATGGACTTAAATGAACTCAAGTATGTGGTGGCTTTTGGTAGCTGTGAGTTGTCATTGTTGAATAAAGGTCATAAAATCGTAACATGATCAGTTTGCGCTAGGACAAGGTAGACAATGTTGATCCCACCAGAAAGACATAGTTTTCTGAAAAATCACATTTAGTTCAATTAGGCTCTTTTAAGTTTTGAAAATACTCAACATGGACCGACTAACCTTTTCCACAGAAGGCACACTTAGCAATACCCAAATATTATTTCATCCTCAGATATAAAAAATCTTTCTAGATGGCATATCTCATGTCTATACTATCTTCGAAACTCTTAAACCATGACTTGTGGACTTTAAAAATGCTGGAAACCCTAAGTATTGACAATTATGCATTATAATATCGTGCCATCCCATGAGTCCCGATGGAATTCTTTTGATAGTCCATTACCAGATGAGCAAACAGATCTACGGAATACAAATGACATCTCTCACAAAATTCATTAACGAAGCACCACTTTCCTTCAAAAGCAAAATACATCAGGTGAATTTTCGTCTGTCCTCAAGCTCTTCAAAAAAAAAGCACCTGCTTGTTGCTCAAAGATGTAATTTGGTTGAAAAATATGCGGATTGGCATAAATTACGAGATTGTGCGACCTATAAGTACGCAGTTTTTGTGCAAAAAAAACCTACTTCTCTACCTCTTTCTTTCAGTCATCTTTTCCCCACTTGGCTCTGCCATACTCAACCGTATTGCTATTTGTATTTGCTATCTAATTCTTGCTCTCCAGCCCCTTTTGCTTCTTCCATTTTTGCTCCCCAGACTTCTTTTTTAGTAACTGTCCGTTTTGCACCCATTTGTATCCTCTTCTAATATGACCGATATCTTTGCTATCCCGATCTCAACCTCTGCCCCACTGTCTATTTTCCCTTGGAAAGCTGGAGAGGTTTCTGTACCTGCGAACACAAGTAATGCCAGCCCGTTGCAAACAAACAGCTTTTACAGTAACATGTTGGTGGGCGACCAAACTACTCCCGTTTGGACTTATCCTTACTGTTTGTGGAACTCTACTTCAAATTACTACGGCTTGTCTGTCTTTTTAGGCCTTGAGTCAGACCGGGTCTTCGCCTCTGGTACGCCACCTCAGTACTTCTACTCCCCAATCGGAATCCAGGAGGTTGTTCTTTCGTCCTCTGATTTTGTTTCACCACCTGCCTTCTCTTTGCAAAAAACGTCTAAGTTTGCAGCCACCGTCCGCTTTAGCTCCAAGAGCGTTGATAACTCTTACTTTGAGTGTCCCTTGGTGCAAGGAATGGGGTTTGTGACTGGTATCTACCACAACCTGATCCCCATGTTGAATTCTCTGGTTGGATTTGCCTCTGTTGTTGGCCAACAAAGTCCCAGAGGTGGAATTAACAAGTACAAAATCACTTTGCACAACAACAGAGTTTGGTTTCTATACATCGCTTTACCTCGTGGAAAGTCTGTATCTCTCGCTTTAAAGGACTCAAACACAATCTGGTTCTCCAACTCTGTTGATGGCGCAGTGTTGCAATTGTGTTCCACCACAGATTACACTGGGGCCTTTTTTGATAACGCTGCTGGATGCTATAGCACAGACGCTAGCATCCTGGCTACCGTGAACTCAAATATATGTTCTTATGCTTTGACACACAATGTGGCTGGTAATTCCAACACGGGTGAAGGTTTAATTTTCGCTTTGCCTCATCATATCCCAAGCTTCGACTCCAACACAGCTTCGAAGGCCACAGGAGTGACATTTCCTTCCACAAAAGGAACAGTTAAAGCATATTCAACCAAGGTATTGACAATGAAGGAAACCTTACCTACCTCTCTAGGTTTCGAACCTTACACTAGCCTTGGAAAGTCACCAAATTACACCAGTAATGCATTGGCTGCAATTCTGGCTGCTGCTAAAAAGGAAGCAGTTGGTGATGTGGTTAATGACTCGAATGTCGATTCAATGTACACAAGCGGAAAGATCTTGGCAAAATATGCCTACGTGTTGTACGTCTGTAATGACATTTTGAAAGATACGAGCCTTGTGAACACCTTGCTACCAAAGTTGAAAACTGCAATCGAGCGATTCACTTCTAACTCACAAAAATACCCACTTTACTATGATACTAGTTTCAAGGGTATTGTATCAAGCGCAAAAGAGGATGCGGATTACGGCAACAGTCATTACAATGACCACCACTTCCATTGGGGCTACCACATTCAGGCAATTGCCATCACTTCTTACGTGGACAAAAAAAATAACGGAACGTGGATCAACTCCGTCAAAGACTGGGTCACAACTTTGATCCGGGATGTAGCAAATCCTTCCAGTGGTGACGACTATTTCCCTGTTTCACGGTCTTTTGACTTCTACAATGGCCACAGCTGGGCTAAAGGTCTTTACCCCTCTTCTGATGGAAAAGACGAGGAAAGTAGCTCAGAAGATTACAATTTCGCATACTCAATGAAACTCTGGGCAAAAGTGTCCGACGACTACAGTATGGAGCAGCGAGCCAATTTAATCTTGGCAATCATGAAACGGAGTATCAATCTGTATTTCTTGTACACAGACGATAATACGGTTGAGCCCAAAAGCTTCATTCCAAATAAGGTGAGTGGCATTTTGTTTGACAACAAGATAGACCATACCACTTACTTCGGTCAGCAGACCCAGTATATCCACGGTATCCACATGTTGCCCATTACTCCATGTTCTTCGTATATCAGAAGTCCCACGTTTGTCGAACAGGAATGGAACCAAAAGCTTAACGGTGTTATTAATTCGGTAGCCGATGGCTGGAAAGGTATTCTTATGCTTAATGTGGCGTTGTTTGATCCAGACACTGCCTACAAGTTCTTTTCGTCGTCTTCCTTTTCCAATAATTTCTTGGACAACGGGATGTCCCTTACCTGGGCCTTGGCTTATTGTGCGGGAGTAGGTGCTTCCAGTTAAAGGACAGGAAAAGCTAAATCTCTGACTCAAACGCTCTAAGATGGGATTTCATTGCGTATTGGGGTGAACACTGATATTTATAGTGCGTGTTTCGTTCATAGTTGAATGGGTACAAATGTTAGCGCGCAGTAGAAGAATTATACACCACTGATGAATGAAGAGAAATTTGGACATCAGCGACATTCAAGATGACGAAGACATCTACGACCGCCTTGTGTTGAATCAGAAAAGAAGATCGCGAAAGGGGAAGGCAAAGCGTCTGATGAAGGCTCCACTTCTTCTCTCGGAGCAAGTTCGATTAATGGAAGAAAAGATCAACAACATCTCTCCTCACCATGAAGACAGCAAAGAAACCGAGAAGAAATATGATTTAGATATTGTCAGCGATGAAGAGGGCCCTGTTATTGTTGACTCAGAGCATCTTCTCACCCCTGATATACGAGAATATCAATCTATTCATGATCGGTACGAAGAACTCGAGCTCCATAAACTTTTCGACGACACGAGGACTAATTTCATGTTTCGGTTGTTTTTCATTGCGACCATGCATGACCAGGGAGATAACTTTGTGGATGGTAGCACAGGAGACCTCTTTCGACAGAAACTACGAGATATTTTAGCCCAACAGCGAGCCAAATTAAGAATGCGGAGAAAATTCGTGGCTGAAAACTACTTACCAGGAAAAGCTGCTCTCGCACTTCCCTCAAACGAAATTACACGGACCACAACTGCAATTAAAGTTCCACCGCGTATTCTTGAGCTTTTGGACTAGAATGTGAGGAGGATAGGAATCATTTCATGCATTATTGCTGGCAACCATAATCTACGGACACTACGATGATCTCTGGAGCTTTTTGACGTCATATGGATACATCTAACTTCATAGTCTGAATGATACTTATACTTTGCAAAAGAGACGCTCGCATACGTTGCCCCAAAACCCTCTGTCGTAGATATTGACCAAATCTGTTTGAACCAGCTCAATCCGAGTTATATCTGGTGCATTCTTTTCCGTGAACTGTATTTTCTCGTCGTCCAAACTGAGATATACTCTTGTGGTACCCAACTGTGCCTCCTCCACGTAATAACCATCTCGCACATAATAAAGCACGCCGAGATCCACCAAGTGCTCAATTTCCGCCCATTTATCAGCCTCATTAGTAGTAACACCTAAATAGAGATAGTTTACGTGGACAAGAGTGAATATTGTGGTCACAGCCAGGAGAAGCACGCACAAAAGTAAAAGTGTGCCAGCCACTTTGTTTCCGTGAGATGTTCTCACTATAAGCTTCCACCAGCCATGTGGCCGTTCTTGTCTATGAAGAACTTTGAAGCAAAGTATGGCCCCGTAAACCATCATGGCAATGTTCAGCACAAGAAATGCCATAAACCACACATAGTTTCCACGGCCAACGCAATTGTTCACCCAGACACAATGATGGTCGAAAACCAGCACACATTTGTTGCACACAGAACAGTGTTTCGAGCGAGCGGGTCGTTTCCAGTTGCAAGTAGGGCAAACGCGCCCGAAAAAGATTAGGCCGTTGTCTTTGTAGGCCAAACGCTCTCGCTCCACATTTTCTGCTGTCACGTAGCCTGGATTCGCAAACGTCACACCAATTGTGGAAAGTAACACGGCAAAAAGTGTGGCTGTGATTGATACTTCACGCATGTTCGACGGCTCAAGATTCGGCTTCACATTAACGAAAAATAACCGGACACAATAAAACACCACAACTGCGTAGAATATGGGCACACTCCATCGTAGAGCAGAGCTTATGCGCTCATGTCTTGCGAAAAAGCGCAGAATCGAGCCCACCATGCACGAGAGACGGAGATGCAATCGATGCACTGGCGAATGGCGAACTGCAGGCGCATCACCAAAAAGGAGTACAAGGAGCGCCACAGCCAGGCCAAGCACAGCAAAAAGAACAAGGGCAGCCATATATATAAACGGACACTAGATTTCTTAGGCTGCGGCTCGGTGCTAGGTGGAAAGAACGTATTGCGTTGGAATGGAGATGTTGATGGTGTTGGTAGAGGTGCAGGCTCGCGCAGCGGACTGATGTAGATGCATGCATGTCTTGAAGATGCATTTGACGCAACGTATGAAAGAAGAAGCAGCCTGTAAGCAAAACAGATGGACACATTACGAAAAAAAGATTTTTAGGATCTCGAACTATCAGGGAATTTGAAAGTCTGTAACCAGCGCTGAAAAAACTGTTGATTTCAACTGTGGAGAGCTAGTATTGGGCTTAAATTGAGCCAAATGATCAATAATGGCTTGCAACCTGGTACATGATCAATAGATTGCTTCTATATTTGATCGTCTGGGAACAATTGCTTTGAGCAGAGATTTTTCGGCATTATATAGTATGGCCTTCCAAAAACTGAACAGTGGAGAAGCATTTTCGCTATCAGTTCGTGAAAGTAATAATTCTGGATTGTATTGCTTTCAAGAAATAGCATATACTATTTCCAAGTTCTTTAGAAGCTTTATTGCGTCCGAGGTGCTGTTGATTATATCTCACCAACAATAGCATCACGCATTACTCTATTAATCAATGATCGAAGAAGAAGCTGTAGTTTGGTGTATTTTCCTTTTTCATTCCGTTCCCAGCTTCATTTCTTCCACAGAAAGAACATTCAAACATTAGCCTTACTTTGTTGTGCCTTCCCCTCATTATTCGCATCCATTCACTTAGTCCATTCACAATTCCTGTCACGGAACCGTCGCCATTTTCACACACTTTCTGCCTTACGAGACTGCCTTACGAGACTGCCTTACGAGACTAATGGCCGAACTATATTTACATCAAGGCTTTCCAGAATACCAGTTGACGTCCTACACCATAGTTCCAAAATAGTGTGCATATATAGACCACCCATCAACACGCATAGTCAACTTGACGGTGCATGCGCGCATGCAGCCGCAACATGAACACTGTTACTGCCGCAGAACAGGGGCTTGCGCAGCTCCAGAACCTTCTTGCGTCTGTCCCCTTTTCTCGAGGATCAGAGCCGCAGTGTCACTTTCTTAATATCTACAAAATCTCCCATGCGGAGCTTGCAGCGCTCGATCTCACAGAGGCGCGTTGGGACCAGCTTTTCCCAATATCAGCAAACAAGCTCTTGAAACTCGGCATTTCGCTCGGAAATCTCTTGCGGTCGTACGAACTTGAGCTGGACGCGTTTCAGCGGCGTACTCCACATCTACTGGCGTCAGACCCGTTCGATGAAGCTCTTCTGGAACGCACGAAAACCATGCCCGCGCATCATCTTCTGTTTGCACGTAACTTTGTGCTAATTCTCAAGAACTTTAATGTCGGCGTAGCACGGCGAGGCAAAAGCGATGATCTGCTGTCTGGAACAGCGTCACTGAGCACATCTGGTTCGCCAATAAAGTTGAGGTCACGTCAACTTCTCATTGAGAAGTTGGAAATCAATATTCGGCTCGACTGCCTATTCACGATCAAAGTGGTTTTGCAAATGCTCGTTGCTTCTTTTGAAGTCGCCCTTCGACTTTTGCGTGCTGCAACAGAGCTTGGAGACACTGCCGTTCTTAGTACTATCCGTGTTTATTCCGAATCGCTGTCTGAAGTATCAAAAGTTTCTGGTACGCCATCGGACTTCTTTACATATTTGAACGAAGCGCTTGTTCGAGTCTCATCGGGTGTGGTGGAGCCTTTGACTGCGCTTCTTCTAGAGGAGCTAGTTGGGCCTTTAGTCATTGCTAGTTGCCAGAATCTTGTTGCTGGAATGTAACAAATTAATCTCTGCCCTGGTGATAGGTTTATGCATAAACGGCGAGCCCATTCTAGTATCGCCTTTCAAAATGTTCTATGAGCATGTATTCAAGTCCGATTAATTCATCTGCTGAATGGGTCTTTTGGTGGCAAGGCTTTGGTTCCATTGGCACCAAAACGTTTTTGAGCTCTGTCTCTCAACAAATGTGTGAGAAGCGCTCCTTTTTTTCCCAGCCATAAAGAGACATGTAAGATACAGTTGATTGTAACTAGAATAATTATACCTTTAATGCTAACTATGTATCGTTTCTTCAAATCCACCTCTCCTTTGCTTCCGGGCATCAGAAATATCCTTTGGCTCATTTACCCCTCCAGTATATACTTTTAACTTTGGGTTTCCAAACCTTAGCAGGTACCGGAGGACTCAGCACTGAAAGATCTCGCTCCTCCATGGGCACCCGCATATTCTCTTGATTCTAAAGCCACCCGCGATAGCTGTGTGGAAGCCAGTGGCACTTCGGCCGAGATCATTCTCATAACGCAATCCGAGCTTGAATTGGCCAGCAATCAAAACGCCGGAAACCACCAGTCAGCAAAACGATGCCATATAATGTGAGCCGTGCGGCGGCCCAAAACTTTCCCCAACAACGGGAACAAAACAAGATTGACCAAGCCGCGGATCTGCTCGATACTCTCTTCCCATTGTTGTTGGGCAGTAAGCCCGTATTCCGAGTCGGAGTAGTACCCCGAATCGGATTCGGAGTCGGATTCCCACTCAGCGGAAAGAGACATAATTACAAAAGATGAAGAACGAGAAGAAGATCGGCGCGCGAAAAGTACGAGGGCGACTAAAGCCGAGATATGGGGCAGATGGACATTTTAGGCAATCGCTTGATTTATCTGTTAGTTCCATTCAGATTTCTCTTCTTATTTCTGGCTCTATGAATAAGTTTCGTGATTGGTGGTATTGGATTTTTTGACTGGGTTCATTGATCGGGTTCAATGTATGAGATTTAATCAGACTGTTATCATCTTCTCTTTCTTTTCACATTTCTACTTTGTTCTCTGCTAGTCTTTTAGGCCTGGAAGAACCATGATTTCAACCGACCTCTAGAGTTGAATAACTTATGCTACTGTGATCAGGAGAGCATGTGAGAAGCGGACGTTATCCGGCTGAAAGATAGTAGTCACATTTTACTACAAGTGAACAAACCAGAAAGAAACATCTGAAGGGAACTTCTCGCTAGTCAGCAGAAGCGTAACTGACGACGCTGACTCATTCAGGCTCTCTTCATCATATTGACGTCTTGTAAGAATTACTTTGCGTTTTCTCTATAAGCGCACATCGCAGGTTACTAAAACTTCAAAGCGAATCAAGGCGTATACAACGAATACCCATTGACAGTTTCAACAGTCAAAGTGGGAGAAACAGGAAACGGACCATTTCGGACATCTATGTTATTCGCAGTAGCGATGCGATGCAGATGAGTGCGAGCGAAAAATTATGCTCAAGAGACTAGTTCGGTTCATGTCTTCGATGGACCAATTTAGAATCGTGCAAGAGGGCCGGGCCACGGTCTTGGCACCCAAAGAGGATAAGGTTTTCTACAATCCGATCCAGCAATTCAACCGAGACTTATCTGTGATGGCCATCCAAGCATGGTTGCAGGAACACAAACAGAGCAAAGTGGGCAAACGAGAGCTCCAGCGGGCAGAGAGGCCGCTCAAGAAGATGAAGCTCGAGGAGAAAGACGCAGAGAAGGAGGGAACTCAACCAGAGAAGAAGGAAACACAACCAGAGAAGGAGGAAGCACAACCAGAGAAGGAGGAAGCACAACCAGAGAAGGAGGGAACACAACCAGAGAATAGCGGCAAGGCGTCCGAGTCTACAGAGGATGGCGAGAGCCATGCCAAGGCTGCCACCGGCGAAAACGCAGATGGAGGCGCTCGATTTGTCCGTATCCTTGAAGCGCTTTCTGCCACCGGGCTCCGGGCCATCCGCTACGGGCACGAGGTTCCGCAGGTCTCCCGCGTGGTGGCCAACGACCTTCTTCCTGCGGCGGTCGAGTCCATCACACGCAGCGTGGCCCACAACGGCCTCTCGCACCTTGTCCAGGCACACCAGGGCGACGCCATTCGGTACATGGCGCTGGGCGAGCAGTTCCACGTGGTGGACTTGGATCCGTACGGGACCGCCGCGCCTTTCCTCGACAGCGCCATCCAGAGCGTGCGGGACGGCGGGTTGCTTCTTGTCACATGCACCGACGCTGGCGTTTTGGCCGGCAGCGGGTACCCCGAAAAATGTTTTGCGCTCTACGGCGGAAACAACCTAGGCAGCGCGGCGGCGCTGGAGGCGAACCACGAGGCCGGGCTCCGGCTCATTTTGGGCGCCATCGCTGCGGCGGGCGCGCGCCACAAGAAGGCCATCGAGCCCGTCTTGAGCTTGAGCGTCGACTACTACTTCCGAGTGTTTGTGCGGGTGCGCGCGAGCGGGCTCGCGGTGAAACAGCTTGCGAGCGAAACCATGCTCGCCTACCACTGTGTGGGGTGCGGCAACATTGTCGAGCAGCGCATGGGCCGCGCGGGCAAGGGCAAGTTCCATACGCCGCGCGTGACTTTTGAGGGCAAGGCGAGGGAATCCAAGGAAGCAGAGAGCCAGGAGAGCCAGCAGAGCCAGCAGAAGGAGAATACACTGGCAAAACAGAGAAAGAAGCACGACGACGAAGAGACACACTTTTCCGGCGGCTTGTGCGGCTTCTGCTCTCGGCCGCACCACTTGGCCGGGCCCATGTGGGGCGGCGAGTTGCACAGCGCGAGCTTTATTGACCGCGTGCTTGCCATCAACGCGGCGGCGCTGCCCGAAACCTACGCCACGCGCGAGCGGATCCGCGGCATGCTCTCGTTGGCGCGCAGCGAGTTGCGCGCGCCCTTTTACGTGAGCTTGAACCAGATGCTGAGCTTTTTCCGCGCGCCGCCTATCCCGATCGACGAGTTTGCCCGCGCCGCAGGCAATATGGGCCACGAGGTGTCGTTGACCCACGCCAAGAAAAACTGCGTAAAGACGTCGGCGCCTTGGAGCCACGTGCTTGTCATTTTTGTTGCGTGGTTGCGCCGCAGCAACACCCGCCGCTTGCAAGAGTTGCAGACTCTGCTCGAACTGGAACAAGATTCCGAGAAGCGCGCGCGGCTCGAGGAGAAGATCGCCAAGTTGAGTGCGGATTTGGGCGCCAGCGCGAACTTGACCCCGGGCATGGTGGGCGCCGCGCTTTTGCGCACCGCGCCTCGCCTCGACGTGGACTTTGACACCGCCAACGACCAGAGCGCTCGCCTCGCCCAGTTGCGCCGCTTGAAAATGGTGCGCTACCAGGAAAACCCAACAAAAAACTGGGGGCCCATGGCACGCCCAGGCGGAAAAAACGACTAGACTTGAGCGGCAGATGTTTGGGGCCTGGCAATCACCTCACGGGTGTGGCAAGCTTGGAAGTCGCCATTTTTTGACCCATAGCATATGGAACTTGTGACTGGGACTGTGAATGTGCTTAGCAATGACAAAACACACATGTAATTAAATTTGATGACTATCACATCTGTCTTTAAATAGACCATATGTATAATCCAAGACTCATGACCAAATCTATTCGGCCTGAAAAGGCTCAAACTACGAAAGTACAGATACGCCCAGTCTATGAGTGGAAGACGAGATATTTAAGCTTTAGATCTCGTTACGCTGCGCCGGATTCACATTCTTTATATCCTAAGAAACCGGTAACTTTCAATTTCGTTCTTGTAGATTTTTAACCACAATTCAATCCAACATGGAAGCGAAAAGGTTCCTGCCACACTGAAATGTATTCCCATAGATATCACCGGGGTCTCCATGGACACATCTATTGACAATACATCTCTACGATCTTCGTCTGTGAAGTGAAGGAGCGGATTTTCAGAAGTCGAAAGTGACCAAACAGATCCAAGCATGTGTTATCGCAAACACTATAACAATTTTCGAAGCATGTTGAAGTCAAAGAATGGAACACATTTCAATGTCAAATCAAATCAGTGACATTTTAAAGGAATCAGGTTCTACCGAATATAGATCAGACTGTGACTTTCTGTGAAACATGCTGCCATGACAACATAACAGCTATAGTAGGATCGCTTCATATACGGATATACGTCTCCATTTGTTTGGGTGAGAATGTAACCAAGCAGGATCGGGAATGTTATCCGTCAAAAACGGAATGTAGAGATAAGCCCCAAATTGTTCAGCCGTCTCCTTCTTTCGCTTGTTCTCCCTTGCTCCAGATAGGATCCCATATTCAGCCTGTCAACCTAGGTTGTTCTTCCGCTCCTTTCTACTCTTGAGTTGCTTTTCCACTTTACGTTCTCTACTACACGTTTTGATGTTAGCATCGATTAATTTCTATACACCTGTTTACAACAACATGGCAACACCAGCGGCGGCAGCAGCACCGAACAAACCAGCACCAACAACTTGGACAGCACCAGAGTCAGCAGAGCTGGAGGTACCGTTGGAGTGGTTGGAACCGTTAGAACCGTTAGAGGCGTTGGCGGCAGAAACAGCAGAAGCAGCGGTCAAAGCAATAACGACAGTCTTGAATTGCATTTTGGTACTAGTAAGAAAAATTTTTTTGCCGGGCTTGGGACTGCGCGCCTTTTTATACCGGGAAAAATTTTATGGTCTGTTCTGCGCACCAGCAGACTGTTGACGCCTCATATGCATGTCGCCACGCTTCCGTTTTGGGAAAAAGTCGCCCCAAATTGGATGCGTAAGCTACGCTCGCACCTCTATCTATTCTTTTTATTTCGGGAGACATTCCTCACACACGGTAACAATGCTGTAAGTGTTTCAATCGTTTCTCTCGCCTTGGACTCATCCACACTCTTGCTATCAGTTTTGACGCCCGAACCTAAAGTGGCCGCGACAAAAGCACTATAATAACATCCTGTATACAACGGTACTCCTATGTACTACTTTGATCGTGACGGCCCCACGCAGCGACATTCCCTTCCCCACGCATAGACCATGTCGCCCCAAAATGTTCTATCGTCAAAGAGAAATGTCGCCGAAGCATAATGTCGCAGTTGGGTCCCTCAGCTCCCATTCCTAGATTCTCTCCTTCTCTCCTTTTCTCCATTTTTCCGTCTCTCGTTGGCTTCCTTCTCCTCCAACCCTCTTTCATCCCTCGCCCCACTCTATAATTACTCATTGATTATGCATGGCCAGGGCATCTGGATTTTTCTCGGCTCCCGCGTATATACACCGGAACAATTTTTCTCTGCCAGGAGACATTCGCGCTTTGCGCATCCATGATGCAGATAAGCCTCTGCTCGATAAGACGCGTCCCGTGTCGTCTCTCGTGTCTCATGTCTCGTCGTTGCTAATCATCAAATGTCGCTGATACCACAAAGTTTGGTCTTCCAGTGTTGATACTACATGTGTGATTTTTTGCTAAGCCATCGCGCTATTTTTGTGTTTTACCTCACGTTTCTTTCTTGATTTCATCTGTCGTTACTATTTGCTCTTTTTCTTCCTCTTCAAGCCGCTTCTTCTCTTAGATCCGCACCATCTTCTTTCAGTCATTTGTCCATCATTTGCATATCCACCATTTGCATACCCATCATTTGTATCCACCATCGTCAATGCTATGAATTCTCTTAAACTTACCACTCTCCATAACTTGGCGCTTCATTGTGGTTATCCGACACTGACCACCAAAGCTTCCCGCTTAGCCATCGCAGATGCGTATCGGCCACTTTTAAACATGTTTTCGTTCCCTTTGAATGTCTTGTCGATTGATGTCGGCATCAAAAACTTCTCCTACTGCAAGCTCCGGTACTCAGGCCGAAACCACAAAGTCACCATTGCCGATTGGAATTACGTCAATTTGCATGACCGTTTTGGAGACGGCTATTCGCCGATAACAGCAGGTTCCGTTTCTGCAGTTGATTCGAAAGCGTATTTGGCCCATCTTGCCCTTTCAGTGGTCGATACCGTTCTTGCATGTCCAAAATGGACCCCAAACGTCATCACAATCGAGAACCAGCGAACGCGATCCAACTCTAACTCATCAACTTTGCCTAATGTTTTACTTAATTTCACTTTGGAGCATATGATTTACGCTGCTTTTGCTGCTCGGAAATCAGACTCGACGAGACTCTCTCAAACAGTGATTATGCCCATGAACTCCAACAAGATGGTAAACTTCTGGCTCACTCGCTTTCTAGCGAAAACAAAACTCACAGCCGCCCAATCAAAGCTTCTCCGCACGAATCTACTCTACGGCTGGCTCTCAAATCCTGAGCTGGCTCCATTCCCTTTGCCTATAGGACTCGAGCAAAACTTTGGCTCTCTCTCGTCGCGGGCAAAGACGGCGGCTTTTCTTGATCTCTTGTCGCTTGACTCTCGCCCGACAAAAGTGGACGATTTGGTTGATTGCATTCTATATAACATGGCGTTTGCAAAACAACTCGAGCACCATTTGGAACTCGAGAAGGCTCGAGCGGAGCACAACGACATTTCGGAGCTTACTGCTCGGTGGGACAAAGAACATTGTGTCTATTTGACTCCTCTTATTGCCTCAGGAAAAATGTCCCTCAACGATGCCTACCGAACATAAAATGCTTTCTGGTATGTCGAGAGACGAGAAGTAATCAGCTCTCGAAACAGAATATCATATTAATTGATTTGCATTTGACTCAGAAAAATACATCAGCATTCATGATACATTACTTCGTAATTTCAAACTTCAATTTGTCCAACGATCTCAAAGGTTTATTTCCAATGCACAGAATTTGACGGCGCTTATAGTTCTATGATGGAAATAAATATTGTACTTTTAAGGCTAAATATTTTGATAGGAAATGGGTGAATGCCCACTGACATCCTCTGGCCAAGAAAAACGGGCCGCCTATTTGGATGATGTAAGGATTAAATAGTAGTCAGGGACATCAATAAGTATAATATTCGAAAAAGAGCTGATAAAGTCGTTACTATCACGCTCTGGTTCTTTTCTAACTATGTATCGTTTTTGGGTTGGTGATGAATGCAGCATTATGTATCTCATGACGATGTGAATGAACTTTTTGTTTGGCAAGAAGATAGAAAAAGCAACCTTCATTTAGAATGCTAGTTTTGATATGTATACTGGACCGAGTTAATATAACCTTTGCTAGCGTCAGCAAATAATACTCAACAGCACATGAACAGACTATTACAAGGTAGGCATATAACACATGCGGTACATCCAGTTCATCGTCTTTGACTCAGATAATGGATTGTGCTTCCAAACTGACTGGACTCATTGTACGTTGTAGCAGGCTCGGCGACTCGATAAAATCGAAAATTAGCTCGTCCTTATCGCTATTTTTCTTTGAGCCTGATCCATTCTTCCCTGACTTCCCCAACTTGGCCTTGTTTTCAGCTTTGTCTTTGTCGTCGTCCCTATCTTCGTCGTCATTTTCGTCGTCATCATCTTCTTCATCTTCATCGTCGTCATCATCATCATCATCTTCATCGTCGTCATCATCATCATCATCATCATCATCATCATCGTCATCATTTTCCTCTTTTTCTTCATCTTCATCTTCTTGTTCGTTAAGGTCTCCATCTTTGTCAGCAATGAGAGTCTTAATGTGACGCCTGAGAACCTCCACTATGTCCAGCCACTCGCGCATACCTCCCATACCTATATCACCACAAACTAGAACCTTCTCCACGGGTTTGAGAACCACCATGTCAAAACCTTCCTCAGGGGACGCCAATAACTTCAAATGCTTCGCAGTCAAAGGATTAGTGTACATAAATGTGTTCATAGCAGGAGCAACCAAAATTGGTTTCTTTGGCACCTGTTGGCTCGAAGGTCCAAGTCCGCACATAGGACCCCAGCTTCGAACAATAGAAGTCAACAAGTTGTCAGAAATGCCATTGGCCAATTTTGCGAGTGTATTTGCGCTCAAAGGTGCGATGAGCATGATGTCAGCCCATTTACGCAATTCGTTGTGCAAAATCAATTTGTCGTACTGATTCTTTGGTTTTTTCATACTCGTGGTGTCGACCGTCGAAGCAGTTGTTGTCTTCGCATTGTCACTCCATTCTGTAAAGTTGGCCCATTCGTCTTCGTCACGCCAAATCTTCACGTCTTTATGTATTTTCAAGCCCTTGAGGAAATGACATGCAGCCTTGGTCACAACTAGTTGCACTGAGATTTTGCTCGGGCCAAAAATCTGAAAAAGTTTATTGATAATCAAAGGCACCTTGATTGTGGCCACGCTTCCAGTGCAGGCTAGTAAAATGTGAAACTTATTGTCATCCTCCTTAGATAAGAACTCCTGGAATGGTACAGGGGGGCCCACAGGCGATGAAACAATGGTTTTGTTAGACCTCTTGTTGGCTTCGCGGCGCAGAAGCGAATTTTGGCGAATAGGCACAGGCGCAGATTCGGGTGCAGCTACTGTCACAGAAGGAGCAGAAGGTGATGCGAGCCGCATGGAAGATGGTGGACGAGATACGGGAGGCGAAGGCGTAATGCGCTGCGCAGATGCGTCCCTGGCCGCGGCGTCACGCACCCCATGGACGCTTGACGCCGCAAAGGCAAGCATAGAACCCGTGCGCGTGAGGCCCGTTTCGGCTGAGCTTTTTCGTGTGGGGAGCGCAACGTTGGAGTTTGGCCGTTGCGTGGCAATATTAGCTGAAGATGGTTGCGCCGAAATAGTGAAGCGGCGGCTACGCGCCAGAGCCTCGGTGTCGCAAAACGACACAGACTGACTACGCAGCGGGGCATTCAGAGCAGGTGAGGCTGCAGACTGGCCCGCAGCCGCCGGCACTGCCGCATGCGAAGTTGAGATCGGCGCCGGCACCGGGCGCTGCATCACCGGCTCTGCGGCCGGAGCATGTTGCAAATTGTCATGCTGGGTCGATGTCGCCTGATGCTGTGGTGTCGTCTGATGCTGTGGCTTCTGCGCTGCAGGGCGTGTCGTTTCTTTCGTGGTGGCGCCAGCCTTTTCGTGAGGCTGCAAAACCCCGTGCAGCTGGGGCGCTTGTGCCGAGTGCGCTTTTGTTGGCGCGGGCGCAGCTAGCGTCGTAGGCTCGTAAAGAGGAAATCCAATGTTGGCGCGAGACTCAGGGGCCAGGCTTTTAGCCGCCTGTGGTTTGTTTTGATCATAATGTGGCACACTACGCGGCGAGATTTGCGCCGCAAGTTGCTCGCCAGAAGTATAATGACCTGACCCCAGCGGTTGTTCCGTCAGCGGCGTTTTGGGCACTTCAGAGGAGCTGTCGGTTTTTCGAGTGGCAATATTGACAGACACTGCAGTAGGAACAGAAGGGCCCTTTTCGTTGCTCGATGTCAGATTGTGGGCGTTTGGAATCAACGAGTTTGTCTGTTTATGGGGTGAGGGCTGTTCTCGGGAGAAAATCAGGGGGACGCCGCTGGCAGACGCCGGATGCGGGTGTTCCTTATTCGGATGGTCGCCCGTGGTCATCTGGCTTGATAGATAGGCGCTAGAGTCTATTGAAAACGGCGGTAAAACTAGAAAGTTGAGAGGTCAAGTGAAGACTGTTCAGAAGCAAGCGCAAGAATGCGGAGTCCATGCAAGATTTTGAGAGTCGCACTTTCCTGCCAGATCCTTCCGACAATAGGAAGAGAGGAAGCTTTGAGGGAGGAAAAGAGAGCAATAACCTTACTGGTAGAAAGGTGTTTTTTTTTTTTTTTTGCTCGGGGCGCCGGCTAGCGACATTTGGCCATCCGAACGAGGGATTTTTTTGATTTGACGACATTTTGGCGAGCATTGGCGCATGTCGTTCGTAAATGTCTTTTCTTGCAAATGTCGCAAAGCAACAAGAAAATATCTTCCGAGCGGAACCCCTGCGCTCCAATGTCTAACACGTGAAAGCAAGCGTGCTTTTAACTCTTGTCGCTCTAGTGGCCAAGTATCTTCTTGTTGGGCCATCTTTTTATTTCGAATCTTGGTGTTTTTCTACTCTCGTACTTTCCTCTCCCTTGTCTCTGTGCGGTCTGACATTTTCTTCTCGGCCGTTCGCTTCTCATCCAACATCCTGATGTTCTATCAAGACCGCTCATTTTCTTCAGCCTAGTTTTCTCCTTACATGCTCGTTTTCTAGCTCATTGTCGCTGAATTAACCTACTGCTCAATTCGAACTTGTCGCTCTTGTACAGACCACGAGCGCGACATTCAACTACGAACACCTACACTCTTTTCCATCATGAATCTCCGCCAGCAATTGACACAGCTCCTCTCGATAGCGTATGTGTTCACTTCCGCTTTTGTCGCATGGAAAGCACTTAGCATTGTTGCCAACTCCCATTCGCCCATAGTCGTCGTATTATCTGGTTCCATGGAACCGGCATTTCAGCGAGGCGACATTTTGTTCTTGTGGAACAGGGATTCCCAGGCCAAAGTAGGTGATGTTGTCGTCTACGAAATTAAGGGCAAGAGCATTCCAATTGTGCATCGTGTACTTAGAGAGCACCATGGCAAGGACAAGCAGTTTTTGCTCACCAAAGGTGATAACAACGCTTTGGATGATCTTCTGCTTTACGCGAGAAAACAAAACTACTTGAATCAGAAAACGGATCTTGTCGGTACGGTGAAGGCTTATCTTCCGAAAGTGGGCTACGTGACCATTTTGTTGACGGAGAACATGTATTTCCGTTACGCTTTATTGGGGTTCATGGGTCTTTCAGCCTTGTTGTCGGGCGAGTAAACTGTGCATGTCGTTCATTCAATAAATGTCTTGGTAGAAGAGAAAAGGTCTTGTAGTATAGTCATTCAATGCAAGTGATCACGCTCCATTCACCTGGCAAAAATAAAGCCCAAGAAGCAAAAAAATAATGCCTTCAGCCAGATTCGAACTGACGATCTCCTCATTACTAGTGAGGTGCCTTACCAACTTGGCCATAAAGGCAGAAGCGACCCCGGTGAGGATCGAACTCACGATCTCAAGATTAACAGTCTTACGCCTTAGCCAGCTTGGCCACGGAGTCCGCTTGTTGTCACAAAATTTTAAGTGCCGTTTTGTCTCTGAGTCAAGATATCTGTTTTCAAAGGTAATTCCTAAGAGGTTTTGAAGAAGTCATCCGCTTTAAAGAACTCAAGGGGGTCATTTTTGTTTTCCACTTAGGTCGAAAATATCTCAGACAGCGACATTTCTGAGACATGTCTCAGATAACGACATTTGCTCTTTCCTCATGGAAAGGCACGTCATCAATTTCTTCATTTGTTCCTCTCTCACAAAAGTGGATAGTCTTGTTTAATCACCATCTTCAAGAATTTCAAAACGTTCACGGTAATATTCGGTGATTTTGCATCGCACAATTCTTTCATAGTGTGCATTTAAACACATCATTCTATGCTTATCGGAAGAAGAGCAATAGTAACAGGCGCTTCGAGGGGGATTGGTCTAGCCCTCTCACAGAAGCTAGCACAATTGGGATGTTCCATCACGATGATTGCCCGAAACGAAGATTTGCTCTACGAAAACATGAACCACTTGGATAAATCGCATGATCAAAAACACCGATACGTCTCGTTCGACCTAATGGATTTTGCCCGAGAAAAACCGCTTGAGGCAGACGGGTGTGATCTTCTAAAGGAGAATTTGCAAGAGGCTACCTACTTGGTCAATTGCGCCGGAGTGGCGACATATTCGCTTTTGGCAAAAACCCCAAACGACGTTATTGCTAATGTCATTGGCTTGAATCTTATTGCGCCTACTGTTCTTAGCAAAATGGCTCTTGCGCCCATGATGAAGCTTCTGCGCAAAACAAAAGTGGTGCCAAGCATTTTGAACATTTCGTCCATGCTTTCCACCACTGGGCTTACTGTCCCAGGTACCAGTGCTTATGCTGCTCTGAAAGCTGGTCTTTTGGGTCTTACTGAATCTTTAGCTGCAGAGCTCAATGGGAAAGTACGGGTCAATGCTGCTCTTCCCCTATTGGTACGAGAAACAGATATGGGTAAAGGCGCCTCTGCCGATATGCCAACGGTTCCGCTCGAAACAGTAACTGAGGCTTGTGCCAAGATACTTATGGATGAAAAACTCAATGGAAAGTTTGTGCCTGTTGACGGGTCTGGATTTCGGTGTCTCAATTGAGCAACTGTGTGTATTTTTGTATTCTTTAGGTTATGGATTCTGTTAGTTGTGGTACGCTCTGTTCGTCTTACGATTCTTTACTTCGAATGATAGTGCTTTATGGTCTTCATGTTATATAGTCATTAGTCATCAGTCCATGTACTACCGTCTTCTGCCCGACCTAACATCACTCTGTTCGATCTTTCTATCTTTCTTTATTGTTCATTTCATTTGCAGACATTATCTCTCATCAATCTTCAACCCTCATGCCAAAAGCTTTACACTCCTTTTCGAAAATGCTACTTATTTCCATGAAGAAGGCGATACGCCCTCTTAAGATCTCGGCCCAGCCATTCATCGTCATATAGTTGGGAGGCGCATTTACGACTCAATTCACTTAGTTCTTTGGAGTCAGCCTTGGCCATCCAAACCAAAAAGGCTGCGACTTCCTGGTCCTCAGCTCTTGCTTGTACCAAATCAACAAGAAATTCGGCCACGGCCGTTTGTTTCAGCCCCTCAAGAGTCGGAGGTTCGTTCAAACAGAGGTAATAAGCTTCAAAAAGACCCGTGACTACAGACATCAAGTCCACATGGTAATAAAGAAACTTGAACCGGCGAAGCATCTCTTGTGCTTTCCGTGAAGAATTTGAATCCACCACTTTATTCAAATATGCTATAGCACCAGTGGCACGCCCAAGAATATAACGGAGAAGCAGTTTGATGGCTTCGAAAAGTTGCCGGTTGCCTTTGTCTTGCGAATTGAATATTGCCTTCCGGTTTAGCGGTAGCCATTCCTGGACAAAATTTCTTGTGTCTGAGTACGCTGAAGTAAGCGTTTCTAGTGTTTTGTGAGACGTAGAGCTATTCCGGAGGCCCTGCTTTGTTAGGTGAATAATGTCAGCAAACAATCCCATCAAGATGGCTGGGTTATTCGGGTTTTGCGGATTGCGACCCAAAAGCTCCAAAACTAGACCTTTCGGAGCATTCTCGACTTTTACACACAGCGCCATTCCGTCTAGTAGCATACCGTCGTAAATGTTAACAGATTTCCAGCTTGAAGCTACTCCAAGGTGCAGAATTAGCCTTTCCCAGTACCCGCTGGAATGAAGCGACCAAATAAGGGCTTTTGAAGAGTCGGGGCCCTGTACACCTAATTTAACATGCACATCCTGGGGCAGGAAGCTCCAGAATTCGTGAAAGAGTAATCTCAGAAGCGTGTTGTCCCCTTGTTCATGGAGGTAAAGAGCCAAAACTGGAAGAAGCATAAACAAAACTGGCTGCAGAGAGAAAACTAGCACGTGAACAACATATCCCGCTACGATATGGTTTCTGTACCGGCCAGTAACCTGTTCCGGGTCTATGTCGAGCCATTCTTCGATGTCGTTCGCTAGTTCACTGTGGAATCTCCGAAGGTTCGCCGGTATTGTATCCGCATCGAAGAGGCGGGCCTGGCTAAGCCGATAGAAGCTCGATTTTGTTCCAAGGGCAACTGTTTCCCCCAATTTCGCAGCAGCAAGCGTAGAAAGCTTGGAAAGTCTTTTCTCTGGTACACTAGATCCGTAAAGACTAGTGTATATGTTCCTGAAGATGGCAAATATCTCAGTGTATGCCCGATGAAGCTCGGACAGTAGGTATGGTTTAAGGCTGGCAAGATGCGAAGCAGCAGATTCCAAGCTTTTCTTCTCTCTCGTGTTTTTGCGTGCATCCTTTGTGAACTGGGCGACATCGAAATCAAATTTGGAGGGATATTTTTGGTACAAGTCAGAGAGTACGTGGATCTTAGCAAGGAGGGGCCGAACGATGCGCTTGCATTTAGCAATCGGAAGGGCCTCGGGCCTAGGCTTTTTCATGTTTTGGGGCCATTGGCTGAAATGGCTTGAAGAATACAAAGCCTAAACAAAGCGCGATTGTAGATTGAGAGTGGGTCTACAAAAGAATGCGATGCAAAGATTCAGCTTGAAGGCTGAACAACAGTATTACAATGGACACTCTTAAATGACAAAACAGCGTCTGTCATATGTAAGAACTGTTCACTTCGATCAAAGGACATGATTTCCCACTACAAGTACTTAGGTGTAACTTGAATTCGTAAGATCTGGATGGACAGAAGTTTCTACCAAAACGGAAGACCCTCCAATGATGGCCAACAAGCTCTGGAAATTCCTTCTACTCGAACACAAAAGGCTTCCGATCTCAAAGCACACTTCATCTAAGTTGTACAAACTTGCTATGATGTTAACATTTCGAGTTGCAGTGCACCAACTCCAGCAATTTCACTGCTGTTGGTGGCCAAGTTCTTGCAACGTTTGCAGGGAATCTGCTTCTGTTACATATGTGTTAGCCGGACTCTGTAACAGAATATAGAAGGCTGTGTATACGTTTCTGATATATTACCTATTACCTGTTCTTAGTAGCTGATCTGTTCAGAAGACCGATGCTTGCTAAAAAATTGGCCCATTAGAAAATCTCTACTTGGCCTAGTAGCTTCGATTTCGTTTTTTATCGCTTCAGATTAGAATGATGGGAGCTTGAGTACTATCGATTGTCCACTATACCTGTACTTTGGTGACTTACGTGCGACTACTTGAGACTAGTTACATTAAGCATTCTTTGTCGAGGCTTGGCAATTGATCTGTTTCTTATCAATTTGGGACATGTTTCTTCTATTTTTTGCCCTTTTCGCCTTTGCCTCTGCGCTTCTTGGTGTTCTGCCGCAGGAACAGCATCTTTACGATATCGAATCGGGCACTTGGCATTGTCTTCTGGATCCATCCATTATCTTGGATCCCAGCCAAATCAATGACGATTTCTGTGATTGCCCCGATGGATCGGATGAGCCCGCCACAAATGCATGTCTTGCGCCTGGGAACACAACTTACTTCTTTTACTGCGAGAACAAAGGCTTCTTCCCACGCCTTTTGGAACGTCATAAACTCAACGATGGCGTTTGCGATTACGACCTCTGTTGTGATGGTTCTGATGAATGGAGCTCAGGAAAGTGTGAAGACAAATGTGCTCAGGTTATGGACCAGTATAATACACACGTTTCCAGCGCTAGGAGGAAAACAGAAGAAGCTTTGCAAGTGAAGGAGAGACTTTTGGCGGAGGCGAAGAAAGCCAAAGTATCTCTGGAGACGCAATTGGCGAAATTGCGGAGCGAGATTTCCCAAGATGAAAGTGCATTACAAGCTCTTCAACAAAAGTTGTTGGAAGCACAAAAAAGCTCTGAAGAAAACAACGAAAACCCGGTAGCAGCCGAGCTCCAATTTTACGGCGAGAAGATCCGCAATACCATTGACGACTACAAAAAGCAGCTCGAGTCCCAGAAACAAGAGATTTTACAGCTCCAGAACATGCTTGCAGACTTGACGCAGAACTACAATCCCAACTTCAACGATCTTGCAGTGAAAAAATGCGTGAAGTTGTATGAGGACTATTCCTCAAACCGAGAAGAGGAGCACTCTATTCCTCCTTTGGCAGTGGAAGACCATCTCTCTCAGTTGGCACAGAGAATCCCCACATCACAAATATCAGCCCAAACAGCGGTATTACCTACATTTGGCAATATGTGGCACCATTACTACTCGCAATTGATTAGTATGTTTGCACCAGAGGCTGAAAAATCTGAAAATGCTCCAGCTCGTGGCTCCAGCAGACAGGCTAAGCAAATTGCTGGGGAAGTCGCAAAAGCGGAAAAGTCGTTGAACTCGAAGAAAGCTGACGCATCTATTTTGGAAGAAACTGTGCGGAGGAGCTACGGAGAAAATGACATCTTGCGTTCTGTCGAAGGCACATGGGTTTCGAAAAAAATAGGCGACTACACATATAAAATCGGATTCCTCGATTCAGTTTATCAGGATAATACTTTGGTTGGCCGCTTCAGTGGGTTTGACAGTTCTTCCTTGACGTTTTCTCATGGAAGCAAATGCTGGAACGGTCCTCAGAGATCTGCTAAAGTTGATATGGTCTGTGGACCCGAACACGTCATTGTTTCCGTAAGCGAGCCAGAAAAATGCCAGTACCGCATTTTGCTTGAGACACCTTTGGTATGTTCAGATTTGAGTGAAGAGGAGTTGGCTGAGTCATTTAAAGTCGATTTGGGGAAGTTGTGAACCTGGACGAAGCAGGAAGGAGTCGGTTTTCGTACTCTCCCGCTAAACATCATATCTTTACTGGAAAGGACTAGTTTTTAGACATGCAGGGCATGTATGGAGCTACGGGTATTGGCGCATGAATTAATGAGTTCCATCTTATTCGCTGGAAGCAATTGTAATTCTGTAGAAGTGTTCTAATCAAACGTGATTTTCTTTCCCTGGAACTTGGCATTCAAACGCTCCTCTTCCTTCTTCTTGGCTTCCCATGAAGGATGCATTTTTTGAGCAGAAGGTGCATTGGTCTTTTCTCCCTTCTCCTTGGCCATGTTTGCCTTCTCCTCTCTCTTTCGTTGTCTTTCTTCGAACTCCTTCTGTCTCTGTTCTCTTTCGCTAGCAATCCGCTGCTGTTCTTTCTGTAAATGTGCAGCCTTATTGCCGTATTTCATTTCCCAAATCTTTTGTCTTGCCCGCTGGCCTCTTCTGTTTTTACGAACAGTGGTTGCAGCCTTGACTATCTTATCATTGTCAACGTCCTCTTCATCATCTGATCCACCCGAAAAGTAGCCTGTTGCCAACAGGGGTAAAACGATTTTCTTCTTTTCTTTCTTGGAGCTTGCCTCTACGGATTTAGAATCAGCATCAGCAAAATCTTCATCGTCAGAGCCACCATTTTCCGAGCTATCGTCTTCGTCATCCGAATCCTTCTCTTCCAATTCTTCATCTTCAAAGCCACCAAAACTGTTCTCGTTATCGTTCTCGTTCTCTTCTTCCTCTTCCTCTTCCTCGGAACTGGATCCAACCATATCGTCCAAATCATCGTCATCCTCATGTTTGGTTTTCTTTTTAGTGAGTGCAGCATGGGCATTTTTCTCTGCAGCTGTCAAGTTCCCTCTGATTTTGCGAAAAGACCAATCGATTTGGCCCACCAAAGGTTTGATTTGTTTGTCATTCCACAACGATGAAACGTATCCATTGAGAGTTTTATCGTTTTGGCAATGGTTCTTGAAAAACTGTGATGGGTTTCTAGGGTCCGTCTTGTCCAGGATTATCTGCTGGACGTCGTTCAGAACATATGCGGGAGGATTCTGTTTCAGTTCCTTGGATGTGAGTATGGCAGCAGACACGATTTTGGCCAACTTGGAAGAGACTAAGTGTTCCGAGTTTTCTGGGTTGTCGAAAAACTGTTGAAGCAGTTTCTGGTCTTTCCACAGGCGCATATCATGCTTGACTTTACGCTGGATTTCACGGAGTAACTTTTTATGAGAGCCGTGCCATTTTTGCACAAACAAATCCAGCTTTAAAGAGGCGATCATAGCGAAAGCTTCTTGTGGAGAATGGGGAAGCTTTTTGAGAAGTTGGGCATTGTTGCGAGCATGAAGCAACTTTTTCGTAGAGCTAAAGCGAGGAGCAGACTGTGTGAATTTCGACTCGAGAACATCGAGCTTCCAGAGCTCATTTTTTTTATGTTTCATCTTGAAGAGTAGGTGCGATGATCATCGGAGAAGATGGAATTTTCGCGCAAAAGAGTGAACAGTGAGACGCAGCGAAAAGCCTTTGTAAGACTTTCGTGAAATCAACTGGGGTTGACCTGTAAAACTTTCGGGAGATTATCTTGCCCATATTTACCTGTGAGTGTTAAAATACATAGACGAGTGTCGAATACCGCTAGCCTAAACATTCACTTCAGATTCCCATACAATAGTGCCCAAAACCTGAGGGACATCAACTCGTCATATCTATAACCTTGGAGACATCAACTCAGTTTCTCATCACCTCAGGGAGCAAACATTCTTAAAACAACTAGAACTACACGTTACATTGTTTAGCCATTCTGTCATTCCGATTCGATGTCGCAGATTTCAACAAAAGATCAAGGACCTGAAAAACGGCCTTTAACTAGCACCCGTTCTTCCAAGAGGAAAAAGCTGGCACAGCCCAGAAGTACCCAATGCCAATTCTGGCTTGCCCAAAAACGGCGTTTCTGCGCCATGCAGCGCCAAAATGGCGAACAGTTTTGTCTGGAACATCTCCAAGGTGAAAAATCCGCCGAGCGAGTTCCATGCCCGCTCGATCCGAAGCATAGTGTGTGGGCACGGGATTTGGCAGTTCATATGGCCAAGTGTCCTGCTCGGCCGGAGGAACCTGACCCTTGGTTCTGTCGCAACAAAAACTCCTGGCTAGATTCAGAAAGAGAAGCTAGAAAGAGCAGTCAGGAAGAGAAAGTTCAGGACGACGAGAAGCTGGCGATTGAGGAGACCTGTGAAAAGGGACCTAATACTACATCCGAATTACTTGACACTTCATCTAGTGATTTGAACAGCGAGACGGATGCGGAACTTCTATCTGTTATATCCATTGTTCAGCGTTTTGGGGTAGATTGCTTGCCTGTTCCACGCCAAATTGGTTCACATGCGGCACTTCCCCCATGCGAGGGAAAGGAGCAACAAAGGCACAACACTCAGCATGCAGCACTTGTGTCTCTTCTTCAATGCCGTGGTTTGCTTTCGTCAGAAAACTTTTATGTAGAGTTTGGATGTGGAAAAGCTGAATTGTCCCGTAGTGTGGATATCTGTGTGGTCCATGAGTGGAAGGAAGCTGAATCAACGGCTGATGAGAAGAGAGAGCAGTCTTCGGGCTCTCCTGATAATGGAAAATCTCCAGAATTCTCACAGGTTGAGACATCTCAGATTACAGGTTCTGAAAAAAGTGCAGAGCATGAAAAAAATGAGTCTATTTCCGACGTCTCTGATACCAAAACTGCCCCAAAAGCCTCCTATGGTTTTGGTCTCGTGGATCGAGGTGCCAACCGTATGAAAGCTGACACCAAACTCCGTGCTTCGCCTTTGCATCCAGTCGTTCACAGAGCTAGAATCGATATTGAGCATTTGGACTTGGCGTGTTTTCTCAAAGAGACACTTCCCCAGTCACAACTCGTGGCCATCTCAAAACATCTATGCGGAGCAGCTACAGACTTGACGTTGGTAGCCCTTGCCAATTCTAAAATACCTTTCCGAGGTTTGGTGGTTGCCATGTGCTGCCGGCACGCCTGTGTTTACGAAAGACTTCTCCCAGCTGCCCGGAAGTTTTTGGAAGAGCATGGTGTATCCAAGGAACAATTTCCTTTGTTGCGCCGTATTGCTACTTGGGCTGTAAGTGGGGTTGAACAGGAAAGAGCGCAGCTCGGAAAATGGGCTCGCCGTATGGTGGATATGGCCCGTGTACATGCCGTTACCGAGCTTTGGGGTGAAGAGTACATGGTGGAGCTTGTGGAATATGCAGAGGAAGATACAACGTTGGAAAACCAGTGTTTGTGTGTGTGGAGAAAGAGCTAAGGATTGCACTAGAGTTTAAACAATAGACGATCCTATAACTGATTAACGTAAATTGTAGATAACAAAGAGAGCTAAAGAACTGAATAAAAAGAGCATAGGACAATTGTAGGAGGGAAAGAAACTCAACAGTGGTTTTGATAACGGAACCATTATGGATCGTAAGAAAAATAGGAACAATTCAGTAACCAGAAACGTAAGGAGAAGTTATTGCGATTGAGCTTTATGGTAGAAGTTGAAAGGTACAACTAAACAGCAAAATATAAGATAATGTATATCATCTGGGGTATCTCTATTTGTAGACTTTCGTATTACTATTGAAATCTAAGCGTGAACTAGGATCCAAATTGCAATATACTTACACTAACCTAATGGTTGTAACATTTATTATTCAATTGAATTTAATCAATCCAAAACATGACACTGTTCTATTATCATTTGCAACCGAAGGTTTCACTTTGTCGTTCATGGAGGCTATAATGAATGATATCTGATCGGTCTTATCGAGGTCGATCATAGGCTCCTCTTCTGCGATGCCTCCACCATAGTCAGTTCTCAAAGAGAAGAATACGTGGGGTGGACAATGTGTGATACGTAAATCCATTGACCATCGCAACAGTTTCTAGTAAAAACACCACTTGGCACAATTGTACAAAAGCAAACCTACAGCAAGCCATCAGCATAACGTAGCAAAATTCCGTCTGTTCATCCAGATGCTACACGAAACAAAGAAGATGTGAATATTACCTAGATCTTTTCCTCCTTGACACCGTGCTTCCAGATAGCAACGTATGGAGTGGTACCGTCCTCACGGTAGTTCAACAACACAATCATGGCATCTGGGTCCATGGACTCACCGGTGTAGAAGTCCCAGTCGTTGAAAGAACCAATGACCTTCTTGACGTAAGCTTGAGCACCCTTTTCGAAGGTCTCAACCTCCTCTGGAGCAGTCTCAGCCAAGTGAGCCTTGACCTTCTTCATGTAGCCCTTGATGTAGGTCAAGAAGGACTTCTTGTCGAATTGGGTTTGCTGCAATCTGAAAGAGTAAACCACGTTGTTGACGGTCTCAACACCTTCGTCCAAGTCCTCCTCTCCGCCTTCAGCAGATGGGTTTCCACCAATGTCGACATCTCCACCGTTTCCAACTTGCACCATGGCACAGTCGGCCTCGTAGACGACATTGTCGACCAACTTGACGTCGTAGGCGTCAGACAACAATTCGTCGCCAGAAATAACGTCAGAGTAAATAATCATAATGGGATGTACAGAGGGGATAATCTTTGGGAGAAGGCTTTCTATATATACTGGGAAAAATTTTCGAGCGCGCGCCACGTGAGCGATGCAGTTACCCGACATGGCTGGCCTGATCTTGCTTCTTGTCCAGGTGCCAGATACTTGTACCCGATACGATAATTTATTTTTGCGTTCTTGTCTGCTTGTATTCTGTTTTTTGGTGTTTAAAGCGCTCTCGTGTTTTATTCGTGCTGCTGGATTTTTGGATTTTTCTGTTGTTCTTCGGTGATGATTATCTGTAGCCTTCTCTGCGAAACATGCATAGAATTCCCCACCTTTTGCACCCAGCAAATAATAAAGGTAAGAATAACTCAATATAAATTAATTAATTCAAATTGGACTTGACAGCCCTTTGAATTACAGAGTGAAGACATAATATATACGCAGCTATACTGTTGAGGCAAAGCACATGTGATTCTTTTCTGGCTGGTTTTCACATTAGCCACCTCAACAGAAATGTTTCCAGTATATTCATATTTGCGATGCACTCAAACAGAAATCAGAAAACATAAACGTCAATGAAAAAAATAATACATTAACAAAAGCAGAGTCAGAAGAAAGATAAATAGTACATGTATTAGCCTTTCTTGAGAAGAAACTGCACTTGAGAGCCTACCTAAGGATCCTTACTGAGTTTTATCTGATATTACGTCGCTGAGACCACGCACTATTCAAATCAATTGTTATGTGTTACTTGTTTGCCATGTCGCCTACCTTAAAATCTTTATTCTAATCAATACTAATGCTAAGTCTGTATTTGGCTAATACTACAGTCTATAGTAATACAACTCACGCGTAATCATTGTTGAACGCGTGTCGGAGCCAGCCCAAAATACGGTCGAACACAACGGCGTTACCATTGTGGAACCTGATCGAGTGGTCCGAGTCTGGGAAAACCATAAAGTCGAAATTCTCCACCGCTGCCAAGTTAAGATCATCCACGAGGCTCATGCTATTCTGAAAATGAACATTGTCGTCCCCAGAGCCGTGCATCACTAAGAAGCGGGTTACACCTGCGAAATTAGTTGCATTTTGAATGCTGGCTGTAGCATACCCAGTCGGATTTTCCTGAGGTGTGCGCATGTACCGTTCCGTGTAGACAGAGTCATACAAACGCCATTTTGTCACGGGAGCGACAGCGACTCCGTAGGAGAACACATGTTCAGTATCTGTCTCTAATGTTTTAAGAGTCAAGAAGCCACCATAGGACCAGCCCCAAATGGCCATGCGAGTAGAGTCCACATATTGTTTCTCTGCCCAGATCTGCGCAGCGCGGATTTGATCGAGAGGCTCGTAATGGCCCAACTGATCACGAACGCAAAATTTGAAGCGACCGCCTTCAGTTCGCGTGTTGAAACCGGTTCCACGGCCATCCACGGTCACTACTATCGCATTGAGTTGAGCTGCCACCACGTGACTAAACCCCACAGAGAAGTCGTTGGTCACCAACTGCGATCCAGGCCCGCCGTAGACGTAAAACAAGACTGGGTATTTTTTCGTGCAGTCAAAGTTAGGTGGGCGAATCTCCAAGTAATTGGCCTCAACCCCATCTTCTAATACAACAGAACTCACGTTCTGTGGCGGGATATCGTACTTTGTCATTGTTTGGCGAAGCTCAGTGTTTGTCTCAATCACTTTCACCGTTGCCATCGTATGCAAGTCCACCAACCGCTGCGTAGGAACATCGGGCCCGCCGTAGTTCAAAAGAAGATAACGGGCACCGGATGAGAAAGTCCCCGTGTACCATGCTGTACCGTTCGTGAGTTTCCGAGGTTCTGCTGGTTCGGTTAAACTTACCGAATAGAAATGTCTCTGGACGGACGATTCAAGTGTTGCTGAAAAGTAGATGACGTTGTTTCTCGCATCCACAGTGCTGGAAAGTACATCCCACTGACCTTCGGTCAAGAAGACTCCCTGAGCATTGTGAGGAGGTGCAAAGTACGCTAAGTGACTGAATCCATCCTTCATCACAACATCAACATATCCATCTTGTGAGCGACCCAAGGATTCATTCTTAGGGACATAGACAGCATTGGACCCAACCTCAAACCATGAGTCCTTGGCGTGATGGGTACGCACAACTTTGGCTTTACCTTGTTCGATCAAGAATACTTCCATCAAGTCACTTGCACGGTTTGTAGTTTTCACTAAAAGAGAGTCGTCTGCCACCCACAATACCTCAGTCACAAGTCTGTCTGTAATTTGGGCTGATTCGAGCGCAATGTAACGCACATCTAATGGGTCTAAGGTCGCAACCACCAATTGAACTTCTGGATTTGGATAGCCTGGTTTGGGGTATTTGATGGTTACTATTTCTGGATAGTCTTCATGGCCTTTTTGCACATAATATGGAATAGTGTATTCTGGAACATTCGTGTCATTGAAGCGCAAAAATGCCACCTTATCTCCCTGTGGCGACCACCACATGGCGATATCGGCTGCAAATACTTCTTCTTCGTATACCCAGTCTGGTTTTCCGTTGAAAATGTTAACGCTACCGTCTTTAGTAATACGCTCGACTTTCGCAGCGTGTAAGTGGCGTATATAGACGTCGTTGTCGAGAACAAACGCAATCTTATCCGATGTTGGTGCCCACAAGGCTGTGGACACAAGGTCCTTGCCAGAAAGTGGTTCTATAGCTTGGCTTTCAACATCGAGCACCCAGAAAAGCGCTGTGGACGAATGGCGCCAGCCCTTTGTTGTATTGGTGCGCAAGAGCGCCCTATTCAAGTCAGGCGAAGCAAACAACTCGTCAATTTTGTACGTGGTGCCCTCATACAGAAAACTGCTGTCGCCATACAAGCTGTAGTGATACGACTCGTTGGAAAGGCTCTTCACCACATACTTAGTGGCACAGTCGCCTTTTTTCTCAGTGAGCAAGTAGGTGCCCTGATCGTTTGACACCGACTCTGGACTGTGAATCCACTGCACCAGTTTCACGTTGGGGCGAAATTCACCCTTTCGAAGCGCGTCAAACGTAAGCTCCTTTCCTTTACCCAAATGCCCATGCGTCGGGAAAATCTGGTCCACAGATATACGTGACGGGCTGGCGTTCAACGAGAATGTGTAGGATGTAGCAAAGATAAGAAATCCCGTTCCCCATACTAGTAAAATCGCCAAGCGAGCCCAGTGCAGCCACGTGCGGTAGACGCGGTCTTTGCGAGTCTCCCTATCCAAATCTTTTTCTAGATAAGTCATGGAGATGAACTTTGAAATACCCTAGTAGTTTCCTTACTCCGTAGACGGGTATGAAAATCAAGACAAAAGTGTTCGGTTAATCGGCCACTTTACCAGTTGAAGTAATGTCGTTCACCGGAGGTTTTCAGTGTAACTTTTGGATTCAACGTCTTTTACGTCTTTTTGATTTTGGGTCGGCTTCTTCCAGTATTACCCGTTATGCACTTTGCTTCACGTCTTCAAAGTCTTTTGCTCGGCTTCTTTGTATTCAGCTTCCTTTGCTGAGAATTTTTTTGGCCCGTTTCTTTTCTAGCCGACTTGGTCGAATTTTTATTCGACTTGTTTTTGCTTTATAGCCTCAAGGAGTGTTGCCGAATAATTTTCTGCCGAGTAACTGAAGGGAGAATTAAATTAATTTTAGCTGGCGCGGCATGACAGAAAGGAACGGCTCCATCTGCATATAAGCAAAATAGATGGCTGGTTTGTTTCACTGCGGATTCCATCTGCATAAACGAGCTTTAGTGGAGCTACGTCATGGCATTCTCTTTTGCATTCCAGATTTGCAATCTAATGATACATGTTGAATTCTATAGTTGTCTCAAACATTTGAGGATTCTGCTGATAAAAATCTTTCGACAGCCAGGGTCGTAAAAAACGTTCCGATTATGAATGGTAGTATTCTTGCATAGTAACTGATCGATGTCTCCAGATGAGAGTTGGAAACCGTGCATTTTTCAAACCTTATTTGTACCGTCATCCATCTGTCTTGTGAAGTGTCCCTTTTCTTGTCTTCCTTCGGGTTTATAAATAGTAACTTCACTTTTCGTTTCCGATTCTGTCTTTTGCTGCGATCACAAGAAAAACTTCCAATCTGAAACCACAGTTCTACCTTACCTCTACGTCGCAAGAAGACGTAATCAATATTCTTTATATCAGAATTTCTGTATCGAATGGAGCAAAGGGAATTCTTTTCTTTCGGTTCCTTCAATCTCCTGCTTCTATATTACTTGCATAACTTTATTTTTTCATTCTCTTACATGGCTTCGTCTCAGTTTCTATTCCCGTTCCACATTGTTCCTTCCATTTTCTTCTTATAACCAGAGTAAACCCCCTTTTCTAGACCCTTATCCCTATTAATTAGAAATATATTACACGTCTATTAATCATGGCTTGATTTTATGAGGCAGCATCACCGGGAAATCTGAACGTCTCTCGTGCTCATCTGTGCCCACTGGGGTAGTCACAATATTGCAGAAGATTTCTGTCGAAAACTCGGTAATGATCTGCCGCAAATTAGTTCTCTTAATGGGCTTTGAAAGGAATCCCGACATACCACTGTTCAAACACTCCTTGACATTGCTCTCATCCGCAAAAGCTGTCAAAGCAATAATGGGTTTACCATATTTTAGGTTATTACGGATAAGTTTTGTTGCTGTTAATCCATCCATCTTGGGCATCTGAACATCCATGAAAATCATGTCAAATTGTGAGTCCGTTTCATACGCATTTTGCACATAGTCAACTGCCTCTGCCCCATTGCCAGCCATTGTCACATTGGTAAACCCTTCGAGCCTCAACATCCGTTTGATCACTTCCTGGTTGACAGAATTGTCCTCTGCGACCAAAATCTTCAAGTGTGATAAACTGCCAAGGAGAGTATCGCCCGCATGTGACTGGTCAACTGTGCCAGTTGAAGAGTCTTGAAGATGGTGAATACGGAGTGAGTTTTTGGGCAAGTCGAGATGACCGTTGAACTTTTTGGGCGACTTTTGATCTTGAGTGGTAGGTGTAGAGTTTTCGGACTTGGTTTGTTCTGCGCTTCCATTGGGCGTATCAGGAGTCTCCTTTTCATCCTCTGGCTCAGAATGATTGTCGATATCGAAAACGACTTTTCTGTTGACTTTCGAGTCTGGATTGAATTCGTCGTTGCAGAATTCCTCCATGCACTCTTCTGGGACAAGAATTTCACCATTTTGAGGAAGTGGTACGGTGAATTTGAAGGTGGAACCCTTCCCTAAACTCGATTTGAGTGTCAAGGTACCATGCATCATTTTAGCTAGTTGTCTGCAAATAGATAACCCCAATCCAGTTCCACCGTAACTTCGAGACAAGGTTTGGTCACCTTGTATGAATGGTTCAAACACCTTTTCTTGTAAAGCAGGTTCTATTCCCGAACCAGTATCTTTCACTTCGATTTGGATGGCCCACACTTTAGGCTGATACAACTTCCGCATCTTATAGACCTTATTGTTTTTGACCATTTCGCTGTTGGAGAGCAGGTGTGGTGACGTGAACAAGTCCAGTTTCTTAGCGAAATGAGCCTGCTCAGCGAAAATATTTGAGCTTTCTGATAAGTGGGAGCGATGGGTATGTGCTCTTGGTCTGGTTGAAATAACTTTATTATCTGTCCCTGATTTCACACTAGTCGCAGGGGATGGGTGAACATTCTCTGGATAATTCTCCAGTGGAGGTGTCGGAAGTGGCTTGTTGTAAGAGAACTGGGAGTTGAAAAGCGCCTTTTCATACTCAGCCGTTGCCAAAGTCACTAAACTCTGTGTATCTGACTTCTCATTAATTTTCTCTTCTTGTTCTGACATGCCAGAGATTATCGACACCAAATCGTCCTTAGGGTTTTCATTAGTACCAGGATAGTTGCCTTTCGAGGGGGTTCGAAGTGGCGGCCTAGGTGGAGGTCTAGGCGACGTTACTATCAGGCCGCGAGCAGTTTCGTTAGAATGGGAGTCTCCATGAGGAGGGTTTTTTATGCAAACGCGCTGGTAGCCATGCTCCAGTGACTTTTTCTCATCATACTCTCCAATGAGCCTGAAGGTGACATCAACATTGCCATCCACAGGAGTGAATTTCAAACTGTTGGAGACCAAGTTCATCACCACCTGGATGATTCGATTTGAGTCGCCAAAAAGAATGAGCTTGCGCAAGCTATTGGGCTTAACCAAAACCTTGAAGTTGACTCTTTGGTCTACAGCCAACTTTCCGAAAATAGACCGCACTTGGTGTACTATCTCAAGGATTTGGAAATTGGATTTTTCCAACTTTGATCTATTCAATGTGTTTTTCGAATAGGTCAATAACTCTGTCAAAATATGCAAAAGTAATTCACCAGAACGATGAATCAACTTCAAAGAGTCCTGAACTTGCAGATGGTCAGTCTCTTCCAAAGCGATAGAAGTCATTCCCAAGATACCATTCAATGGCGTACGCAACTCGTGGGAAATATTAGCAATGAACACGGTTTTTGCCTCGTTTGCTGCCTCTGCTTCTATTTTCGAAGCTTCTAACTCTTTGGTCCGCAGTTTCACTCTCTCTTCCAAATGGGAGTACTGTGTTTCCAACTCTTGGGTCATGATGTTGAAAGCCTCGGAAAGCTCCGTCAACTCGTCTTTGAATAACTTCTTCGACTGTGGAATACGCGCAGGAAGTCTGATACCAGACGAATACACAGTAGAGCTACCAGAGCTGATTGTGTGGCCTGTGTTTGTTTTCCCAAGCGCTACCTGAGATTCAGACAAATTACTGCGTGTGGAATGAGAACGGGCAAGTGCGCCGTATGCTGCTTGGTTGTCCTTTTCCTTCTTCGATTTGGTAATTGCTTCGGTCGCTTCCTTCAACTTTGTGATTGGGTTGACAAACCACACCGCAAGGGGAAAAGTAATAAAACACATGAATGCGCCGATGCCAATCACGACACCGATCATGATTCTAGTAAGACGATGGACGGGGGCCAAAAAACGGCTCTGTCTTTGTTCGATCATGATAGTCCAGACATTTGACTCGTCAACGCGAACTTTTTTGAATCCGACAGCTGATTGATGGCCCGTCATAAGACGAAGATGCTGATAGAATCCCGACTCATGTGTAAGAGCCTCTTCTACTGCATCAGAAGAAGAAATGGGGAAAAACACGTTTGGTTGTAGCAACGAGCCTTCTACTGGAAACAAGGACTCGTAACCTATGAGCGCATCTGAGTTGCCTATGACGGTAGAGTTGGCGTAAATTCCCTTCACTGTTGCCACGCTATAATCACCGCTTTTGCTTGTTAGGGCGCTGCGGATAGTTTGTGCACCAGAAATCACAGACAAGTAGCCAGAGACAGATGGCTGATCAAGAATAATCGACGTGTTGGAATAAATGGGCACAGTGAGGCCGAAAAAATACGACGAATTGCTGTTGGTGGAATTTGGGAGTGGGCCCGACATCATTCCTTCAGGCAACACATAAGACAGACTCGACAGTGTGAGAGCACGCGGAACTTCAGAGTCTTTGGCTAATGGGTACAATGCGTCTTCTGTGGACGAAGCTACACGCACTGCAGAATTTTCAGACAGCGCCACGACGGTGAGATCTAGGTTGTAGAGTTTGGCCGAGGCAAATGTGTCTGAGGACGTAAGGAGCTGGTCTAGCGACAGTTGTGCGTCAGCAAATACCAGCAGCGAGATATTTCCCGCCTTGTACACTGCCAATGGAGATGTGATGGCGTCTCGCTGGGAAAGATAATATATCTGGTAGTAGATGTACTGGATGGATTGTGACAACTGCGTTGATTTGAGCTGCGAAATGACCTCCAAACGGTCTGCCCGCAAACTGGATAGGTTTTTGGTGAAGTAGACGCCAACCACAATGGCCAATATCAACAAGGAAAAAAGCGACGAAAAACCAACCAAGATGATGAGTTGCGGCCGGATGCCGATCTTCATGCGGCGCCGCTTGCCGCCTCTTTTAGTGAGCGTCATGACAACTCACAGAAAGGAACGGGTTCTGGGGAAGCCTGAAGCTTTGTATCGGAGGTAAAACTGGAATGGTTGGTCAAAAGAATAGAATGTGTATCCTTTGTCGAGATTCGGGACAGTAATGGGTCGGTGCCGAAAACGCCCGATGCTCCGGCTAAATATATGGGGGTTTTCCGAAGAAGACGTTGGAGATATCCCGGTGGAGAAGTGGGATGTTGATAGTGGTGGTGAACTAGTATCGATGAGGCTAGTGTATTTCTTATTTTTTCCTCTAGTGTGCAGAGGGTGGCCGCGCAAGGTGGAAAGCATAAAACGGCTCAAAATAGAACAGAAAAAGCGACATGCGGGCCCACTTTGAAAAGTTTCTTCTAAGGGTACTTTTGGTAAACATGGGTATGTTGGGTTCTCTTTTGGTTTTGAAATGGCCAACCTTTGTCCAATCGTGGCTTATGCACAGTGCATATTTTGCGACACTAATCTATAGCCGTGCAGGGATACTACGCAGGATCCTTGACGTAATTGAGGATTTCAACCAAACAACGAACCCCTAACATTGTGGAAAAGTGACAAAAGATTTCATTTGAATGTGGATGCACTTTTATGTTCTGTTGAGTCACCTGTCGATTTCACTATCCTGAAATCTCGGTAACTAGTCGATACTCTCATTGTTATGTCTTGTATCCACAGTTTCATTTGCATGCACACTAATACTAGAGAGCACCCAGTAAGAAAATCACCGCTTTGTCTTCCTTCCACACAACGACATTTTGTAGAAACATTTGGTTCAGACTTGGAAAGAAATTAAGACTCGACTGAATAGCTCCGTCAGTCGTGTTCAGAGTATAATTCCGATAAGCGCCTAGATGAATTTGGTACATTACCTCGTTTCGAGTGTCTGCTAACTCTTTTCATAACAAGAACTTGAGCTCTCATTTACATTGAAGATAAGAGATTATGCCAAATTTGGGTTCTTAACAACTTCCTGTGACTTTCTTCATTTTGATAGAGCAAAGAGTCAGACGTATCTATGGAATTAAATTTAAACCCCTTGCAGCCGAAGCAGATCTATGGCCTTAATCACTTGTACAAAAACTGAAACTCGAAGAGTACATTACAAGTCCTTTTAAACAGCCTTGAATTCCAACTCATAATAGGTAGGTATTCCTCTCTAGCCTTGCTTCTCTAATGGAAAGCTATTGAAAGAGCTAGCTGACGGAAAAGTTTCTCTGGTAAAAGTAGCGAAGCTCTATTCTACATCGAACTCATTTGAAATACGAGTATTACTGCGGCCATACTAGTTGGTTTTTAACGTAAGCTTCCTTGAGTATTACTCTACTGTGAGATAATAACAAGAGAACTTAAAAAAATATCTTCAAGACTCCTTTACTTGGCATACAACCTAATGTCCAAGACATCTGACTACGCCTGGCCCTTGTGTTAGTAAGTATAGACCTTGCTCATGAAACCACGAGAAAGCTTTGATATCCAACCTTGTCTGCCACTTTGGGACTCATGAAATTCGGCACGCTGGTTCCGATAATAGATCGCGCAGGACACGGAGACGTTGGTATTGTGGCCATCCATTGTATGGATTGACTCATTTTTTTGTTTTGTCTTGCTTTTTTTTTGTTTCTTTATGTTTAAGTTTCCTCTACGAGTATTCTTCTTTCCTTCACGGCCCTGTTTGTTTGTTTCTTTGTCCCTGTTGGAAGATGATACGATCTAAATATAGAGTCGAGATGCATGATGCGCAGGCTTTCCGGTTTCTCCTTGTTCAATCTTATCTCCCTCAGTAAGTTTTTTTTCAGTGGCCACTCTTTTCTTAAAAGCATATTCGCTTGTTACTTTCTTGTCATCTTCTGATTTTGGTTTTCCCCTTGACCCTTTGTAGTCTTCGCTTCCGCTTCGTCCACTTTCTTTTCCAGATCCACCTGCACACGGCTGTCTAGCTACAGGTGCTTCAAAAGTGTCAAAACAAAAAAATAACCGTACCTGGCAGCGCTCAACCAAAAAAGGCGGAAAGAGCGAAACTTGAACACGCAGTGGAAGCGGGATAAGGCAGCAGATACAGTAACAAACAGCTCCCCTCGATATCACAAACAGGAACCATGCTTCGCCGTCTCGTGTCTGTGTGCGTGGTGCTAGCGCTAGCGTCAGCGGCGGTCAACGATGCCCATAAAGACACTCGAAGCGACAAAACAGACAAAACAGAGTCGCTTTCAGCCTCTTCCGATGGCTCTTCATCCCATTCTTCGGACGCCACTCCGTCGCGTTCTTCAGATACCTCGAGGTCTTTGAGCCCATCGACCTTACCGGAGTTCATAACCGTGCCACTCTCTATACCTTCAGACGACATCTACTACAACGCCTACGTCACGGACGACGCGGGAACTTCCATCGGTGTGCGTGTAGATCTCGTGCAGCCCGACTTGTGGTTCTTGAACGGCGCAGTCTTGCCAAACTGCAGCACCCTCAACTCCTCTGCGTCCATAGGCTCTGCCGGTTGCTACGTGGGCGACGCTTTCACGCCCACCACTTCTGCTCCAAGCAGCCTGACATACAACATTCCGTACCCGAACGGTATCTCCGCTCAAGGCTCTCCGTACACTGCCAATTTGACGATAGGCGGTGGCGGGGGCCATTTGGCTTTGGACGATTTCGGCTTTGTGTTGGCAAGCAGTACAAACATGCACTCAGGCGGCTTGGGCCTTGCTCCACATCCGTATGCACTGGGTCTCTTGGATGTACTTGTCTCGGAAGGGCTTGTGGCGGGCCACGGCTACTCGATTTACTTTGGTGGAAAACGTAATGGCACGAGCGGCAGTTTGCTCTTAGGTGCCGTTGACAAGTCTTTCTATAGCGGAAGCCTCTACCAATATCCTCCCGTAGCATACACAGGCTGGGATGATAATGGGGATCAACGTGCGCTTCCCATTGTGATGTTGGACAAGATTATCTTGTACAACAGTGTCACGCGGCGACAGGCTACGCTTTATGGTAATGAATCCATTCCTGTGCTTCTAGATTCGCGTTACGGCTATTCATACTTGCCTTTGGATACGGTGATACAGCTTGCCGTTCAAACGAACGCATATTATAGTTCCAAGTCCAATCGGTGGATTGTGAAATGCCTGGACATCGAGGACAGCCATGCTACTGTCAACCTCACGTTTGGGCCATTGAACGTGCCTGTCCCCCTTACCTCTCTTCTAGTTGATGCCATGATGGACAACAACTACTTGTATTTCAGCAGTGGAGACCGTGCATGCTTCTTGAATGTATTGCCCAACACACGTTTGGGATACACAGCCCTCGGCCTCCCCTTCATTACGCAGATGTATCTCGTAATGGATAATGATGGGGGACATGTGGGCATAGCCAATAAAAATGAGGATGTGGACCTTGATTATGATCTTGATGATGATGCCAAAGCGTTCAAGGGCAATGCAAGCAAGCTTCTGGTGGGAAACTTTTCTACAAACGTCTCGGCACAATACATCCATTCAGGCACCATCCCATTCGCCACACCAGTGACATACTCAGAAAACAGGACTTTGACGTTCGCCCCTTCTAACATCACGAACACAGAATTGATACCGTCTCGATTCTCGGCAGTCATAATCCAGTCGGGCGAAATCTATATAACGGTGCCAGACTCCTATACTGAGAAGAACAGCAGCTCAACTCCTGCAAGCACATCCAAGTCTGATGGCATGGCCATAGCATACTCTTCGCGCAACTTGTCGCCTATATTCTGGGCCATACTTTTGGCGGGCTTACTGCTTGGTATATGCCTCTCGTAATAGAAATCATGAGGAAAACGTTTCGTATATAATGCAAAATAAAGGAAAGGATCAATCTACAGCGTTGCCTGAAATAAGGTAACTAATGCTGTTTCAACTCAATACCCTCACCTTCTTCCAGACCGGACAAAGCAGTGTAGCTTTCGTCAGTGGCATCCTTTTCCACAAATCTATAATAATTGTACCATAGCACATCGATCGATGTGATAACCACCCCAATGCAATTGAGCATGCTTAAACGATCGCCAAAAATGGCTGAGCTAAACATGATTGTGAGCAATTCCTTGAAAATGCCAGCGATGGACAAAGTCAAGACCGGTGCTACAGAGAGAAGCTGGAACTCGAACAATGTCATCAAAAATGCCAAAATTCCGGGAATAATCATAAGGAATATTGTACATGCTGTACCTTTGGCGGCCCAAATGTCCAGAGAGATAAAAGATGGCCAACCTTCGACCATAAGGGCAAATAAGAAAAGAACCACTGTCATTGCAGGGGAAATGTAAAAAATCGTCAGTACAGGGTTCCTCGTATAGTCGCTCTTCTTCAAAAGAAGTTGTGTGAAACACCAGCGGATGCCCAGCACAAATGAGGCTCCCAAAATGAGCATAATGCCGAGAACCTGGTTTTCGTCTCTGTCTTGGGCCGGTTTCTGCGTCATCATCATAACCGAAACACACATGACTGCAACTATGGCGACAAGACGCCAGTTGAACCGTTCCAAGCGGAACAAAAGCCCAAACAATAACACGAATGCTAAAGATGATGTTTTGAGCATGGTGTAAAGCGTCAAAGAGATGTAGCGGAGAGAAACGTTGCTGAGCCCAATATCCCCGGCAGAAGCCACAGCACAAGGCAAGATGTTGATCGCGTACGCCCCGGCAGACATCACCAACGATGCACAGAATTTAGCCAAGGTTCCTTCTGCAGAAGAAACCTCAGAAACATTGACGGTAGGCCGAAGTTTCGGCCGGAAAAACAATCCTGCTCCACTGAGAAGAAGAAGGCACACCTGGTGGAATGCCGTGATGAACAAAGGGAAGCTGAAATTGAGTCCCAGGCCGAACATCCATTTGTTGTAGATGGAAATGGACATCGAGAAGAGATACCATCCCGCAATGTACACGACAACCAAGTATCCATTTTGAGAGCTTTTCGGCGCAGGCGATGCGGCGGAGAAGGAATTAGATCGCATATAAAGAGTTTCGCTTCTTCACCTGGGCATGGGCCGAAAAACAAGGTGGTTGAAACTACACAAAGCGACTGTACACATGACACATTCGCGTGCGTTTAATAAGTAGGAGTGCGGAGACGATTAAAAAACCATTGATAGTCTACTTTCTGAAAAAAAAACTATGTTTATACGATGTGTTGTTGTAATGTTGCGAGCACGTTGTGATGATACGATGATATTGCTACGTGGTGTAGCGTGACTGTGTGGTGAGAATAGCTGTCATTTGCAATGTGATGCTATTCGGATGTATGATCCGAGACTCGGTACACGCGAAGAAACCTATGCAAGCTATGCCATGGACCATGTAAATTGAGTGTTTTCATCTTCATAATATAGAGGTGATACGGGTCTGTAGAATGAGTAGAAGCGGAAGTTCCGGTCTCAGGTTTTCACACCTAATCCGGATAAGCGAAAAATGCAAATTGCACTCCGACATCTTTGCGTTCAGGTTGCTTCATGATTACTATTTTGGACAAGTCATAACTAGATTATCAGAAGCAATTAAAAAGGGATGCTAGTCATATAATCCGATCTAAGTGTTCAATGATTGTGGGTGAGCTCTTAAGTACTATAAAGAATATTCATTAGTCTCAAGATTCTACTACTCTGGAGCCTTCATTACTCTCGAGGCTAGAAATTGAGAACGGGTATTTGATAAACAAACTCGTGGATAATCGGCATTGGCATTATTTGATTTTTACTTTGTACAAGTTGTTCGCAGTTAGTCCCTTGTTCTGTCAAATTTATGGGAAATGAGCATCTCCAAATAAGACCGAGGTTGACAAACGTAGTGTAAAAAATCGAAAAAAAGGTGTCCCATCTCTTCTGTCACAGTGAAGCACCATCCAAAGTGTTTGATTCCAATGGTACTCACTTCCTTTTTGCTGATGAGAATTTACGTTTCCTTGTAGGTTTATAGAGAAATCAGTCAGAAACACCTGCATGTCCTAGCACTAGACTGTAGCCGAAGAATACATTGACGGAAATCCACAAGCTTTGAGACTTTGTTTACTTCCTATTCTCAAACGGTTCAGGAAAATCCATGTGAGACTATTCCGTAATGGTCTTTCGCTTGTAGAGAAGAAGTAAGCAATTATCAGAAGTGAGCAATTATCAGAGTTTAATTCAAAGTTTACAGCTTCAGAACCCGTACGCGGATGTAATCGAAAAGAAGAACAGGTACGGACGCAAAGAAAGGAGACTTCCTCTCATCAATGCCCAAAGTTAGTGTCCCTGGGAAAACAAACATGATGCGAAGAGATTCTCAGCCACTAAAGGGAAAGCCAGTAACCACACAATGTATGCGTTTATTCACCATCCCAACTTCAGAGGCCTTAAACAGGAAACCGGCGTTCTGTATGTGGACTTACTGACAAAACCGTTTCGTAGCAAAAACGGCCCAATCTTGATCTTTCGTAACAAGCAATAACACTCTTGCACATTGCCTCGCACATTCCACCACACTCGCGCTTCCACCTTCATTCGCACCTTCGTACAACTGGCTACACTGGGCCTCATGAACCTGCTCTTTCTGCTCCAGGAAGCACATTTATTGCAGGCGCTCAAGCATGCTGTGGCGCCCGGCGGCCTCTACACACTTGTTGTGGACAAGCAGACCGAGCCCGTGCTCATGCGTGTCATTGCCAAAGACACACTTCTCCGCATCTTTGCTTCCATAGAACAGCTAGCGTCTCCTAGAAAACAGCAGCCGTTTTTGCTGGCGGTGTATTTTGTGCATGCGCTGGTATTCAACTTCAACTGCATTGCTGCCGACGCCCACGCCCGCCGCTACAAAGCGGGCCATCTTTTGCTCGTGCCTCATCTGCCGTGGGACGAGGACACGGCATCCTTTTTCCGCCTGGACCGGTTTTTGGCCAACCCGGCGGTCAGTGCATACCTCGGCCATTGTGACGATGCCACATATGTGCCTGCGTCCATGTATCCTTTGGAGCAGCGGGTGTTTTTAGCTGATGCGGCGGGCCAAAACTCCATGCCCGTATACTACAACGAAAACTGCGGCGACTTGGTGTTGGCACAGGTGCGCAAGTCCGCAAAGGCAATTGTCAACGCCGTGGTTGCTGCCGGCGAGTACCCGTTGCTTCGCTTCTATTCTCTGCCCGAGGCCGACCACCAAGCGGCACGTTTGCCCGAACTTCTTGCCGACGAAGTACAGCGCCAGCTCGACGACTACGCCCGTCGCAACACAAATTACCCGCCGCCGTCTGTCGGCGAAAAACAACGTGCCGTTCTTCTCATCTGCGACCGCACGCTCGACTTGTACGCGCCGTTGCTCCATGAGTTTACGTACCAGGCCATGGCCATGGACATTGTGCCCGAGTTGGAACGCGAAGGTCGGTATACATACACCACAGAGAATGAGCGTGGTGAGACCCAGGACGTGGTGGCCCGCTTAGACGTCGAGGACGATGGCACTTGGGTCGCCGTGCGCCACATGCACATTGTGGAAGCGTCTGAGGTGGTGGTGGGCCGCATTGACGATCTTATCAAGCGGAATCCCATGATGGTGGACCGGTCGCGGGCGAAAACATCCGCAGACTTGATGTATGTGGTGGCCCATCTTCAAGGCTTTGACGAGGAGCGGCGTCAGGCAACCTTGCACAAGAGCTTGATCGACGAATGTCTAGCCATCAACGCGGCGCGGAAATTGGCCGAGTTTGCTGCGGACTTTGAACAGACGTGCTGCGCCGGCGGAACGCTGTTTGAAGGTGTGCGCAACACTCGCTTGGCCGATGACTTGGTGGCGCTTCTAGCCCGGGCAGATTTGCATGTCAATGACAAGGTACGGCTTGTCCTCATCTATGCGCTATATCGTGGCGGCTTGGCACAGTCAGATTTTATCAAGCTTGCAAAATTCATTGGCGTGAAAGACTCGCAAGCTACGGCGCTCGTGCAGCGCTGTTTCTTCAATCTACACAAGCTTGGATTCCCCGTGGTGAAGTCCAACCCACAGGAGCGAGCCGTACACCGCAAGACGTTCCACACTATCAATAACGACGGAACCTATAATACGTCACGGTTTGCGCCAGGAATCAAGCGTGTTCTTCTGGCGGCCGCACGTTTTGAGCTCGATGCCGACTGGTTTCCGTACTTCCGCGACAAGCCATTGGAAGACGATGCCGTACGTGGGCCAGAAAAGGCTGGTCTGTTGAGGAACCCTCGTATCAGAGCTCAATGGGCTCCAACAGCAAAGGCGCAAACATCAAGGTCTCGCCAGAGAGTCTTTTGTTTTGTGGCAGGCGGCATCACATACCTGGAAATGAGAGCCGTATATGAGTTGTCAGAAGCTCATAACAAGGACTTTTTTCTCGGGTCTGAGACCATCTTGAAGCCGCGAGACTTTTTGATTGGCGTTCAGAACAGCGACCAGGTGAAGCTGCCGGGAGATCTTGCTCTTGACATTGTCGCTGAAACTTCAGGTCCTGTACGTGCACCTTCATTTTTACTTGAAGAACAAAAACCACCTTCGCTGGCGCAGTCGAACGTCCTGGGTGAGCGTTTTAGCCATGGGTCTCAAAATCAAGTTCCTCAACGTCAGGAACTCAAGAGTCCAGGCAAAAAGGTTCCAAGCAACTCTGTGCCGCTTCCAGCTCATTACCGCATGGACGGAAAGACACAGGAGAAGGAGAAGAAGTCACGGTTGAAGCGTTTCTTCAAATAGAGAAAACAAAAATCCCATAGAAGCCTGTTCGTGAACATGTGCAAAGTGACTGGTTCACGGAGATAGATCATAGCAAGTTGGCATCAAGCTTGTCGAAAGGCTTTACTCTCCGCATTACTTTGCCTTCTAGATTGAATACTGGTCCTCTCTATAGTAACGAGGAGGTGTCTTTAGCAATCGCTAGGGTTTCATCTGTATTTCTCAAAGTAATTCCAGAAATTTGCAAGCACTTTATACAACCTGTGTTTACACCAGCTGCTACGGGCACGCATTATAATAGCGAATGGAAACTGTAGATACATTCTAAGATACGATGATTGGTATCAGCAAACACTCCATGAGAATATTCTCCATTCCTCGAATGAAATTTAAGCTTCGCTTTATGCCCTGGTTAAGATTGTATAATCTCATCATGTAACCAGTTTGTTCCATATAGAAAGGTTGCCGAAAGGCAGCTCCGGTATTTTCGAGAATGGACCAAGTATTTAAATGTACATTATGCACCTCTTCTAGTTTGTGGGAATTACCGCAAATCAATTGATAGGCATTTCTGAAGAATATATTAAATACAGAATTATGACCAGCAATAGCAGAGACAGTTACTATTCCCAGTCACTCTATTTCTGTATAAGACATTATTGAGACACTTCCAATCAACAAATGAAGTATGCTGTGTTGTATCTAACTGTGGATGTGTCCATCTGTATGTACGCATATAATCACGTGCTTGATTACATTTGTAAGCGAGATTCTCTCCATACATCAAACGTGATATGGACAACGCAAAAAGTTATTTGAAAACTCAATTGTTTCTTGAAAACTCAATTGACTTATGTTTCATCTGATCTCATTCTATGACATATTATTTGGATATCCAACCTCGATAATGTTTTCTCTTAGCTGCAGCTATAACGCTCAGATTAGCTCCGTTCGCCTGCATCGTACGGTCCTGCGTTTCTTCTTGCAGACTAAACCCGTCTCAATGCCCTACCTGAAAACATTATCCACGCTGAAAGAACTGTAGCCTTATAGACACCAGCCTTTCGTAAAGGACTAAGCTAGAATTTCCCTTGTTCTGTATTCGTTCTAATCTCTTGGTGGCACTAACACGAGAAACGTTATCTGCCACTAAGTGCAGTACGACCAGCTAGTCCGGTTGAGGATAACAAATATACGCATTTTTCTTTCTTGGTATTTTTCTCCAACAGAAAAGTGATGGAACAAGTACTGGTGCCACACATCGACCCTGCTCTACAGCACTGGGACATTTTGGCCAAAGTTCCGTTTCTTGCAGTCTCTGAGTTTTCTGAGAAGGCGAAAAACGGCTCGCATTTGCCGTCCTCTGGTGCAGCTACCGGATGGCTTTCTTGTAACTGTGAAGACGGATGGGGTCCAATGTCCCCGAAATACAGTGACTTGACTCCATGTTTCTTTTCGGGTGCCTTGTACTTGGCTGCTGGTGTCGCCATGGTCATTTTTGGCTCTCTTCAAGTTAGGACTCTTAGGAACACGAAAAAGGCTACGGGTAACAAGATCACCTGGGTTTTCTACTCCAAGTTGCTTTTGACGGCTCTTCATCTTGTTTTCTCCATTGTTTTGGTCTTGCTGTACCCTGGACAAGAAGACATTTTGAAAACTGCTGACACTATCAATGTTGTGGCTGTTTTGGTGGCTTATGCCATTCACTACTTGGAGCAGTTCAAGAGCAACATTTCCAATGGCGTACTTCTTTTCTACTGGCTCTTTCAAAGTTATTTTCCACGCGGGAAGAGTGCTTTCTTTGAGCTTGAGGTCTGAAAAGGGCTCGAACTATGCTGTGTTTTTCTGTCATGACTGCCGTGAATGCCCTCTTTTTTTGGGCATTGAACATCGTTACCCAGCCCCAATCTTTTGGCAGTGTCACTGAAAAATTGGGAACCTCGCCTTACGACAATGCCCAAAGTGTTTTCCCGTCTTACCTTCAACTGGATGGCACCTCTTATGAAAAAGGGCTATCAGCAATACTTGACGGAAAGGGACTTGCCATTTTTGCCCCGTCTCCTCCGCTCCTCAGAAACGTCAGAAACCTTCTACCATTATTGGTCCTCTCAGTCTTCACCTTCCCTCGGATGGGCACTTTCAAAGGCATTTGGTCTTTCTTTTGTTATTGGTGGACTTTTCAAAGGTTTACAAGATATCTTGGCTTTTGTTCAACCACAATTGCTTAGATTGTTGATTCGCTTTGTCAATGAATACTCTCAGTCATTGAAAGATGGCGAGCCAATCCCACTCACTAAGGGTTTGATGATCGCAGGTGCCATGTTCTTGGTATCTGTGACCCAAACTGCATTTTTACACCAATACTTCCAAAGGGCTTTCGACATGGGTATGAAAATCAAGTCTGCCTTAACCTCGGTCATTTACAACAAATCTTTGACATTGTCGAACGAAACGAAGCAAGCCTCTAACACGGGTGATATTGTCAACCTCATGTCTGTTGATGTCCAAAGATTACAAGATTTGGTACAGAACTTACAGATTATTTGGTCTGGGCCTTTCCAAATTATTATTTGTTTGTATTCTTTGCATGGGTTATTGGGTAATTCCATGTGGGCAGGTGTTGCAATCATGGTTATTATGATTCCTTTGAATGCTGTCATTGCTAGGTATCAAAAGAAATTGCAGAAAACACAGATGAAGTTCAAGGATGAGAGATCCAGATTGATTAGTGAAATCTTGAACAACATTAAATCCTTGAAGTTGTACAGCTGGGAGCACCCATACTTGGAAAAGTTGAACCATGTGAGAAATGACAAGGAATTGGCTAATTTGAAGCGTATGGGTATTTTTGGAGCTGTCTCCAATTTTACCTGGACTTTGGCTCCATTTTTGGTCAGTTGCTGCACTTTTGGGTTATTTGTGTTGACCAGAAAAGATGTCAGTTTATCTACTGATATTGTCTTCCCTGCGTTGTCCTTGTTCAATTTGTTGTCGTTCCCATTGGCAGTTGTTCCTATGGTCATTACTAATGTCGTGGAGGCACAAGTTGCTGTTTCAAGATTAACTAAGTTTTTGACTAGCTCTGAGTTGCAAGAGAATGCGGTGATAAGAGCACCTAGAGCTGAAAAAGTTGGTGACGTTGCCGTGTCTGTGAAAGACGGTACTTTCTTATGGTCAAAGCAGAAGGGAGAAGAGAGCTACAAAGTTGCGTTATCAAATATCAACTTGGAAGTCAAGAAAGGAGAATTGGATTGTATTGTCGGCAGAGTCGGTTCTGGAAAATCCTCCATTATTCAATCTCTTTTGGGTGATTTGTACAAATTGAGAGGAGAGGTCAAGGTTCACGGTAAGATTGCGTATGTCTCTCAGGTTCCATGGATCATTAACGGAAGTGTCAGGGAAAACATCTTATTTGGTCACACTTATGACCCTGTATTCTACGATTGTGTCTTGAAAGCATGTGCGTTAACTGTGGATTTGAAAATCTTGCCCAAAGGTGACAAGACAGAAGTCGGTGAAAAAGGTATCTCCTTATCTGGTGGACAAAAAGCAAGACTTAGTTTGGCTAGAGCCGTTTATGCACGTGCTGACGTGTACTTGTTGGACGATCCTTTGAGTGCTGTTGATGAACATGTCGGAAGACATTTAATTGACCATGTTTTGGGACCTCAAGGTTTGTTGAAAACGAAATGTAAGATTTTGGCCACCAATGCTATCCATGTCTTGAGTATTGCTGACAATATGCATATGGTTAAAGACGGGAAGTTGATTGAGCAAGGTTCTTACTTGGAAATAATGTCGCAGCAAAAGAGTCAGTTACGCCAGCTTATTATTGAGTTCGGTAAGGGAAACAAAAGTTCGTCGACTGCGGCATCTTCCTCCGCCAACTCCACCAAGGAGTCAATTGCAAAGGAATCCAGTCCAAAAGAAGCTGACGAAAACAAAGATAATGTTGATCTTACCTACTTGGAGAGTGACACTGAGATTGATTCTGCAAGTTTGAGAAGAGCTTCTGATGCACCTCTTTTGACAGACGAAGAACGTGCCATTATCCAAGAAGCCGAGGAAGAAGATGACGAAGAAGCAAAGGCAAGAAAAGAACACAGCGAGCAAGGCCAGGTCAAATGGGACGTTTACAAGGCGTATGCTAAGGCATGCAATCCTAGGAATGTTGTCATTTTCCTTTTGACCACTGTTATGTCGATGTCCTTCAATGTCGCCTCTAACGTTTGGTTAAAACACTGGTCCGAAGTAAACACCAAATATGGCTACAACCCCCATGTTGGTAAGTACCTTGGGTTTTACTTCCTATTGGGAATTGGCTTCTCTTTATGCGCGTTGATCCAAACCAGCTTTATGTGGGTTTTCTGTACTATTCAGGGATCCACTAAGATGCACAATGGGATGGCCACAAGTGTCTTGAGAGCACCCATGTCCTTCTTCGAGACTACTCCAATTGGCCGTATTTTGAACAGATTTTCCAATGATATTTACAAGATCGACGAAGTTTTGGGCAGAGTTTTTGGTCAGTTCTTCAGTAACTCAACGAAGGTGATGTTCACCATCTTTGTTATTTGTTTCTCCACGTGGCAGTTCATTTTCATTGCTGCACCATTGGGTGTCTTATATGTCTACTACCAACAATACTATTTGAAGACCTCCAGAGAATTGCGTCGTTTAGATTCTGTTTCCAGATCTCCAATTTTTGCCAATTTCCAAGAGTCTTTGAATGGTGTATCTATTATCAGAGCATATGGCCAGGAGGAGAGATTTAAATTCTTGAACCGCAACAGAATTGACAGGAACATGAGAGCATACCACCCAGCAATTAATGCCAACAGATGGTTGGCTGTGAGATTGGAACTTTTGGGTTCTTTTATCATTTTGGGCTCTTCAGGTTTAGCAATTTTGAGTTTGAAGAGTGGCCAAATCAGTGCTGGTTTGGTTGGTTTATGTGGGT